ATCCGAGCGAACTGGATTGAACATCCAAGCGTGGCGAGAATTGCGTGCGACCATCAGCATGGTGACTCTGTTGCTTGACCAGCGGGGTAGTTTCCTTGAACATTTGCCCGCAAGTTTTGCCTTGAGATGTGGGTGTGGCTCACAATGAACCAGGAGGGGCAAACCGCAGGTGTTGGTCCATGTATCCACTTACCAGGGTAACCCATTTTGGAATTCCGGTTTTTTGAGCCACAGCCATGTGCTTGTCTTTTGAGTGGGCCCCCAGAACCTTATGGAAACCGGACTCGCTTCCGCCACTCCAGCGATGAACCCCAGATCCCCTAAACCACTAGAAATCACAAGCAGCCCCACCGGAAACGAACCTTCGCGCATGAACCGCAGCGCCATATGAGTGACATGTGCCAATTTTCCGCGCCAGGACCCCTACCGGGACTTTGCGCGGCGACAGGTTTACGAGCCTCTGCTGCAGATGTGGAGTCCACCCGTTTGGCCGGTTGAAGAGCAAAGTGACTCTACAAAATGAAGCAGGGAAAGAAATCTGTGATCGAAAACTGAAATGAGGCCAGAGAAAGAATTTTCAAAGTCGATGGCAAGCGAGTCGACCGATTACAATGAGGGATTTACCGGTAAATGATAAATGTCCTTGTTCTCTTTTACTTGAGGATCCAGTTATGTTTTCTGGTTTTGGGGTTTTTGTAGAGTTTTGCAGAAGAATCCGTTTGCCGATGCGGGTACATCAAAAGATGGCAGCAGTCTCAATAAGTCGGCAAGCAGAAAACTCTGTGTTTGCATCAGTTGAAAAAAACATTATGTTTTCCAAGTTCCTAGTTATCGAGAAACCGGTTGCTAGCTATCTAACAGGGGGAAGAAGAGGCAACATTCCCGCAAAAAGCGCATCCCAATCCCCCCAAAAAAAACGCTTGGCTTGTGTGGAGCGTGGGGGGGGGCACAGCGAGAGAAGCATGGAACACAGAAGCAAATGTTCCCTAAAATGCAGAGGCCTTCTGAGGGTTCACGTATGGCCGGCCGTTGTGGCGCTTGTATGGAGCCCATGTGTAAACCAAGCCAAGACCAAAGAATAAGAGAGTCACATAATATTTTTCTGTCGGGGTGAACTGGACAACGGCGCAGACAATGTCATCATCCGTGTAGGCGGTCCTCAAACTGTCATGCTTCCTTGGCTGCAAAAAGAATGTTTTCTGCTCACATGCCAGGAACTGGACAGGTAGGTGAAGTAGTTAAGTAGGTACAGGTAGGTAGGTAGGTAGGCAGGCAGGCAGGTAGGTGGGTAGGTGGGTGGGTGGGTGGGTAGGCGGGTGTGGCTCAAAGTTAAAGAGCTGGGGGTTTTAGTCTTTTGTTTTCACCACAGCCAGATAGGTAGGCCCTCACGGGACAATTCGCTCGGAAGCTGCGAACCGAAGCGGCGCTCGCTGGCTTCGCCAGGAGCGCCTTGCAGCGCTGGAGGCCTTCCAGCGCACCATCCCCGCGGGGCCTCTGGAAGGCGGGTGAGGGTTTCGTTTCGGCTGAACAAGCCTTCTGACTTCCTGAGTTCAACTTTAAACTTTTTGGGCTTGGACCATTTTGGTAAATATAAAGTTTGGACTTTTTTTGGGGCCATCCACTCAGCCAGTGAGCCTGGAGTCTCCATGACCCTTTAAATCTGGGGGCATTGCCCCAAAATAACGGGGGTCATGGACCCATGTTTAAAGGGTCATGGAGACTCCAGGTGTTTATCAGGTTGCCCTTCATTGCTGGTTTACATTGTGGTGTGGATTTGGATTTGAACCTTTGGTGTTTGTAGTGAATGGGAAATCACCCCAAGGGTAGTTTGTTCGGGACCTGCTGGGACGTACTGTCTGAAGCAGCTGTCACGCCCCTGCCCCAAACAATACTTACAGTTTCAGTTTCACTTGGGTGGGTGTCGCCTGTTAATAGGATGGGTTTACTTCGGGGTCATCATTAGCAGGTTAAACATTTTTATGTGTTTCGTACAGTGGAATGCCTCATAGACACCATCCAACTGGTGCTTTCCTTTCTTCGGGGACCCCAAACGGTGCATTCCATGTCTCATTCCCTACGTACCGATCGCAAGGTGTTCTCAACCGCCCCAGCCAACGGCGCCCACGCCGCCCACTCCGCGGGCTCTCCGCGTTGAGGCTCCGTGGTGAGCTGCGGGCGCCGGGCGCCCTCCTTCGACATGGACCGGCTGAGCCCGCCGGGGGGCAGCTAGGGGCAGGAGAGCTTCCTGGACCCTCAAGCCCATAAGAAGGGGGAAGTCACCTCATGATTTTTGCGGCAATAACGCGTGGTTCGGAATGTTTAGGGGAAATGTGAGGGTTTCGTTTGCTTTTTTCTTTTCAGCATTTTGCCTTTCTGGCTCAGTTAGCCTTGGGGGTGCTCAGCCCAGATTTGCAGCTGGCAGACAGTCGTCATGGTTGCGGTGGTTGTCATTTGGATCCTGCAGTGAAGGTGTAAGGGTAGGAATTCAACAGGCGAAGGGAGCGTGAAGCAGCAGCGTTGACAAAAGCCGCTCGCGCCAATGTATCCAACAATGTCGTTATATGATGGGCAGGCAATTGGCACTTTGCTCATCAAACCACCAATGCCGTGAATGATTTCCAGAAGTGGCAGCCAGCCTTGTAGAAGGATCATTTTCGGCAACTCGACCCACGAAATATTTACTACTTTGTTGTTCGAAACCGGGGTCCCGCCCCGGGTGACGATGAGCTCACGAGCTCTCATTTCGATTTCAGGATGCCGCACAAGAGAGCTTGGCCCCTAAAGTCAATCCCCACAATCTCGTCTAGTTTGTAAAAGGTTGAACTTATCGGGATGCTTTTGTTTGCTTGTCACCTTAGATGAAGTGAGCTCTCTGCACTTTCTGCCCAGAACCTGCCCGCATGGCACAATTTAATTGAAATCATGGTACCAGAAGTTCGAGACTCATTTGGTCCAAGGCAACAAACGCGCCAGAAGCGGTCGGCCGCGTTCAGCCTCGTTCCGAGTTCCGAGCTGAGCATATTTTCAGCGCCCGCCGTGCTCCCGCGGGCGTACGTAGCGCCCTAGGGCGGAGAGCAGGATAGCGCAGGCAGCGATTTTCGCTTTTCGGCTGTGCCAGGTCTGAAGTACTTCAGACCAGCTAACATGAGGTCCCCCAGTAGTGCCCTTTTTAACCCCTTTTTTGGCGGAGGGTTCCCCTACTAAAATGAACTACAGAAGAAAGGGTTCCCTTATTGTAACCTCTCTACTGGAACACCTAGATGATGGCCCAAGATGCCCGGGAGTGAGCAATGGGTTGCACACGTTCAGCGGCCCAACAGGGATGTTCTGAGTAAAGCCTTCCTGCAAATGCTGGCGGAGCCAAGGTGAAAGGGTTTGGGGGCGCAGCTCGCATTCACCTGAGGGCAGCTTCTTGGAAGACCATTGCCTTTTCGCGAGGGCTTGGTATTGAGTTCAATAGAAACCTGGATCAATAAACCCTTGGTGGACTATTGGCCGCGGGTGTATGTTTTTTTGTTTTTTTTGCGGGAGCCCCCCAAATAGTAGGAGGGGGTTCTGCAACATGAATCCTTCCTCGCCAAAGTTTCAGAGGACGATTTACACTCAGCCGGCGCCTTGAATCAAATAATGACGTCACCATGCCCGCCTTGGCACAGGCTGAACAATTTTCAAGCTCGTCTGCTCACTGAAACCTTGTGTTCGTCGGAGATGGACAGGAGTACGAAGGTTGTGGCGGGAAGGATGAATGAACGATATGGCCCAGCTTAGAAGTGAAGTTCACTATTTGGCTGGGCAGGGGCTTGCTTTTGACTCAAACTTTTGAGTCGAGTGTCATAGAGCTGAGATCAACAGGCTTTTGTTTGAAGGCGTTTCATCGGCGGTTCAGATACCGGCGATCCAGGTTCTTACATTTTTTGGCACTTTCCCTTCCAATACTCTGGGTGTTTTCTAGGATGATGAACATTTTCTGGATGATGCTCCCCTTGGTTGCCCAAAATATGACAACACCCGCCACATCCAACCCTTGACAGTCAAAGACTCTCACAGATGCTCAAAGCAGGACAGCCTCATGCCGCGTGCAGCAGCAAAAAGGCAGCGCTGTGAGCAAGCTTTCGGGCCTTTGCCCAAATAGGACCTGGAGTGGTTCAGAGTGGGCTCCGGAACCCCTACGAAACTGCCGAATCCATGTGTCATGGAAGCTCAGGTTTTAGTCATAAATGTAGGGGCGATTTCTGCTGGATGGGAATATTTTGTTATTTAAAATGACTGTTAATCCTTGTTCCACCCCCCGAACAAAAACATCGGGTGGCGGGGGGGTTGAACAAATCCGTGGCATGAGCTGCCTGGTCTACGTGTGAGACCTGCTGGAGGATGCTGTGCATTTCTACGTCTATATATATATAACTATGCGTGAACACTGTATATGTACAGGTATGCAGCCAGCAGGTGTTTAGTTTCAAGAAGCAACTTGCTCGCACAGCGTGTGTTTTATTACAACCAATGTACATATACCCTCCCACCAATCAACGTGGAACCTGACAGTAGACATGTTTCCTTTTAAAGGGACCATTTCCACATGCACGCATGTACATACACATACCTGCATACATACATACATACATACATACGTACGTACATACATACATACATACATACATACATACACACACACATACATGCATACATACATACATACATACATACATACATACATACATACATACATACATACATGCGTACATACATACATGCGTACATACATGCATACACACATACATGCACGCACGTACAGACATACATACATACGTATGCATATGCATATACATATGCATATGCATATACATACACACATGCACACATACACACATACACACACACACACACACACACATACACATACATACATGCATACCCATATGCCTATGCATATGAATATACGTATGCGTATACGTATATACATTTATACAACCCGATTCTTGGAAGAAGACAATCGGCGCCAGGTGGGAACCGGCAAGCTGCTGGGCAAGGCGGAGCTGGTTCGTTGCATCCACCTGGGCCGCAAGGCCAACGGCCGCTGCCTGGCCGTGGATTCGGGGAAAACCATGGATTTGGAGAGCGAGCCACTCGAGCCACGTGCTCAAAACCCGGATAGATGAAGGTTAGTTAGGGGCAGTCCCAGCCAGAAACAGGTTAAACAGTTGCGGCCGCCTTCTTAATTCTTTGCATGGTTCTGGGTAGACCATTTTAATATCGAGTTTTGGTTGTGACTCACTTGGGGGAGGGGGGTTCCTTCGCTGTTCTTGGCAAGTTGTTTCGTTTTGTTCTCGTTGTTTTTAGTAGGGGGGGCTGCACAATGCTTGTTTGCAACCATGCCAAGGGTTGTGAAGTTTAGGTTTCCATGTTTGGTGGTCGCTTGCCCTATGTTTCCGCGCTTGCGGTTTTAAGCATGTGGTTTTCACCACTCACGTGAAGGACCTTTTGATCAACCCCCACTTGGGGCTGGGGGATAAGGTCAGTCGCTGGATCTCCCCTGCAAATTACTAGTGGTGTCCACTAAAAACTGCCACTTTCAGAGGTTGTCCGATTTTTTTGAGGGACAATGTAGTCAGAATTGTGGTTACAACTTTGACTAAGTGGCTTGAACTTCTTTTGTGATTGCATCCCACCCCCCCTCTTGGAAGGGTGTGGTTGGTAATGGACACCACCTTTTGGGGCGCTCTCTGCGGCCGGTTGCTCCAAAGGCACTAGAAGTTGATTTCCGGGGATGATGGGGTTTGGCCATGATGCTCAAGGCAAGCCAGGCGGTTGGCTTATCCTTTTTGGGGGTCGCCTAGACAACTCCAACTGATTTTGACACCAGGGAAAGCAGGTTGAGCTCCGCATTTGTGAGGTTGGATCTACCGCGATGAGGGGAGTATCCGGAAGACGCATGTGAAGCATCGATGCGGGAGACTCAGGTAATGGACACCGAGAAGACGCAAACTTGTTCTTCTTTCCTGGGGATCATCAGTGTTCAGCTTCCCCCTCAATTGGTGGTTTGGATGGTGGGTTGGGGGTTTGAACGCATGGTTGTTGTACAGGGTAAACCCGGAACTCCCTCCAGAGCTCCAAACCACCAAACCAAACCACCAATTACCGGGCAGCTGAATCACAGTTTTTATTTTGGCTACGTAGACTGCACTCGGGTAATCTTCGCAGCCGCGGACACCCCACGCAGGCCCTTGCGAAAGGAATTTGCTAGTGTCTCTGGCCGCACAGTGATTGAGAACAACGCTGAGTTGTTGTTTGATCATATTCCGACTATTCACAACACTAGGTCCCCTAGTAATGCCCTTTTACCCTTTTTTGGGGGAGGGTGCCCCTACTAAAATAGAACTACAGAAAAAGGGGTACCCTTATTCTAATCTCTTTGCTGGAGGACCTAGAAAAGCATTCTGCGTTATCAATACCCCTCTGGTGCTCAGTGGGCTCCCCTTCTTGACTGGTTGCGAAGGGAAGCCAATAAAATGCAACCAACCCGTTTGGGGGTCCAAATTTGAGTGAGAATCCCAGCAGTGGTTCTCTAACGTTGGTCATTTCAATCAAGGTTCCCTTTTTCGACCAGACTCACTGGGCAGCAGCTGGATGCCGCCCTTCATTTTGTTTTGTTTTCTTTGTTGCCCAGGGGTGCCCTTTTTTCCTTTTTTAGGCCCATGGCCACTTGGCATCTGAGTTTTAGCCCAGGTTCCGATTCTTTTGGAGGATCACCTCGGCACTTCACCAAACCCACCAAAAAGCTATGCCTTTGGTGCATGTCCGGCCACTCTGGTCCGAACACTCCTGGAAGTTCTGATCCAGCAATTCCTGGAGGTCGTCCTCGGATCCCTCGGTTTCCGACGCATAGAGCACGCGGATGGCCACATCAGGCAGGCCCCTGGACAAAGGCCATCGGGTTTGTCTCTAAATAGGGGAACCCCAGAGATGATGGTGTTTTTTGATTTCCCTTTCATCCAACCACTAAAAAATGTAGTCTCAAAATCAACAAGTCACAACTTGTTGCCGTTGGCTTCCTTGTCGACAACGCTCCCAGAGCTTATCTCTCCAACCAGACTCACTCTACCTTCACCAGGGTGCCAAGGGCACAATCGCCCTGGACACAAAAAATGTCGTGCAGAGGCACTAGCCCTGGACCTTTCTTGGGTCCTGGCGGATCGAATGGTGCAAGCTACATCTAGACGTCGCGGACTTGGCACGAAACCTTTCTCCCGATTCTGCCAAGCCTTGCTTTTGGAGAGACCTGTCCTCGCATCGCACGTAAAGACAACGCGCAGACAGCGAGGTAAGATCGAAGATGTGAATGCGATCGGCTACACCACGCCTTGGCCCCAGCGCTTTGGACAGAAGGAATTCGGCACGTGGAAAGGCAAGGGAGGAGGGGCAGTGGTTGAAGCCGCATGGCAAGCACGGAGCGGCGATTTTCCTGCATGTGATTTCAGTGTACATTTGGATAGTTTTTATAGTAGAACCCCCCTGGCTACGATTGCGTTGTGCCTGACTAGCCTGATATATGTTCATGTGTCGACCGGAGTGGAACCTCATCAAGTTGGAGCCTGCATCCACCTCAGCTGATCGGACTAGTGAATGTCTGGATTAGTTCAGGAGGTCTCCTCCTTTTGGGAATGCCTGAGGCTTTGTAGACTGCCCTCGGAAGAGAACCAAGGATAAATGAACCCAGTGTGGGTGTGCTCCATTTTAGAGAGGATCCTTCGCATTTGGAGGGAAACCATGCCCCCTCTCAGTCACCCCTGGCTTTTTCCCTCCGGGGTTCACACTATGTGAAATGTTGGATGCGTTCATCTAGAAGACCTACAACAGCATCATGATGATGAAGAAGACCACCATGCCTCCAACCGCAATCGCCATGGATGATATGATTTTAAAGATCTACCACCAAACAGGCCGTTCCCACTGGGGCGCGGGCGGGGGAGAGGGGGTGGGCGGGTTTTTGTGGTCGCTTTCGGCACTTGCGAGGCTTTACGCCTGGGTCTTACGAAGGGCCGTGGCGCCCTCAGCGACGTGCGTTGCAAGCTCAACCATCCGGTTCCTGAGGTTTTAGTTGGTTTAGTGGTAGTTTCGTACCCACGAAAAGTTCAACTTGCAGGGGATCTGAGGGCAACCCAGCCAGTTTTTCAGGTTTTAGTTGGTTTAGTGGTAGTTTCGCAACTGACAGTTAAAATTGCTGCAGGGGATCTGACCATGCAAAGGTAAGGCATGATTCAAAAAAGCCCCAGGCGGATAGTTTCAGTTTGATGTTCCTTTGGGTTTCTTTGAAAAGTCAAAGGAGTCAACCAGAATTCCCGCCAAACACGAAGCATTCCCGGAAAGCCCCTTACACCCAAACGCCGAGGTGCGTTACAAACGGCCCCGGGCGGTGAACTCCCAAGAAGGCGCGAAGCCGTCGCGAAATCGTCGCGAACCTGTGGTCCATGTTTGATGAGTTTCCTTCACCGTGATTACCCAACAAGTGGTCTGCTTTAGACTTCAATTTTTTGGGAAATCAAGGCGTTTTCCGCTAAATCCACAAAAAATAAGCTTTTTGCAGAGGGGTCAACAGCAACAAAGGGTTGGCATTGGGTTTGGCTTCGGGTTTCAATCCCTGGTTCGTTGTTCAGGCTACCCCGCGTTTTGGCCGGCGTAGATAGGTGGATTTGGATTTGAACCTGTGGTTTTTGTAGAGGGTGATAAACTGGGACAATACCCCCGAACCGCCAAACCATGAATTCAAATCGCCAGGGCATCTGAGTTCTTGGCCTGCATTTTTAGCCAGTGGCTGCACAGAACCCGAGTTTTCTGCTCACATGTCACGGATCGGACAGTTTTCCTTTCAAAGCAGGCATGAAGGAGTTGCGAATTGCATGTGCCAAGCAGTCACTCGGCCCTTTGGGCACTCCCTGAAAGGCCGCCGGTTGTTTTTGTCTTGACTGCTCTTGGGCAACGGATCTTTAGACTTTAACACTTTTTGGTTGAAATCAAGTTGGGTTTTCCACTAAACCCCCCAAAAAGTGATTCACTTTTTGCAGGGGGGGTCGTTGCAGCAACCAAGTTGTGTCTGGTGGTCAGAAACCTCTAGGTGTGTTCATTCAAGCCGCCTCATTTCGCAACACAAAAACTTCTCCGGCGATTGAGATCTTTGCTTTTAGACCAGAGGCACGTCCTCAAAACTTGGCCTAGTTGGAGGGTAAAGGACAATTTGCTTGCCATGAATGGGGTGCGATTCGGCCGCCTTTTCAAATCTTGAGGCATGCTTTTGGGACAAACCATTTTACCACCGAGATTTGATTATGGACCAGCGCCTGGGTAAATTTGAAGAGGAACCTGACGCCATGCAACTGCTTTTCTGAATTATGGAAACCTCTTCTGGCCAAATTTGCATTAGATGCTTTGCGTCGGACATGGCTGTTCCACGCGTTTTTTGTTAAGAGCCCAGGGCCCAGTTTACATGTCCCTTTTCCATGGGGACGAAACATGACACTACAAGTAGGAAGCACTGCCCACTGTTAACACGGGTGTGGCATTCAAGATACAACGCCCCCCTAAGGGTGCAACTTGTTTTGACACCTCGGGGTTCGTCTTAGATTAGGAGAACCTCCACCAAACATGCTCTCGAGATGTCCTTCGGACTCATCCCTAAAAAGGCTACCCCAAAAAATCAGACTCACCCATATGGGGGTTGATCAAGAGGTCCTTTACATGGGATGACCATTAGGGAAGCCACCACAAAAGATGAGATTTTCCACATGGAACAAGTTACCCATGGTCATGTATGTTGTTTTATCTTCCAAATACCCTCCCACAGGTTAGTGGCCAAAGTCCACAAGAGTCGCTCGGCCATCTTGGGGGCAGGATGATTGATCAACCCGATCTGAGTTCATCTCCCTGACACCAGAAACCTCCACGCGGGAAACACAACTAGGTCCCCCAGGATCGTGCCCTCTTACCAACTTTTTTGGTTGGGAGGGTTTCCCTACTAAAATAGACTACAGAAAAAATAGGGTACCCTTATTCTAACCTCTCTACTGGAGGACCTAGAAAACAAAAAAGCAGCTCAGTCCGGCTCGAGGCTCCGTGGTGTGGACGAAGCTCAGATGAGGCGTGGGCACGCGGGAAAAAACTTGGTTTCGCCGTGGTGTTCCCTTGGGTTTCCCCGTAGTTGTCCTGTTTCTTTGTTTGTACCTTTGTTTGTCTTCTTCATTTGGTTTCCATCGGTTTTGCCATTGATTTGCCCTTGATCTTGCCTTATTCCCTTGGTGTTCCATTGGTTTTGCTATTGGTTTTCCCTTGGGTTTGTCTTGTTCTCTGGCTTTCCACTGGTTTTCCCTGTTTTTGTTTGCCTTTGGATGTTCAGCCACCGTCAGGTGAGACCTACTCAAAACGTTGGCCTCTTTTTAGTTGGTACTGAAAGGAAAGCCAAAAGGAAACCCTTGCCATTTTAGGGGACTCCCCCCCCGTATGATGGACACTTAGGGTCTATTTTGCGATCTCCTTGATTTAGGGTATTGGGTTTTTAGGATTCTAGGCTCCCTCCCTCCCAATATTGAGCAACGCTCCAAGTAAGTAGGTTGTAGCCATGGAAGCATTTGAGGCCACAAGGGTTTGCCTACTAGTCACTTGTAGTCGTGATTTGGGTATGGGTCAACATGACACCACCAGGATATGGAACGCTGCTTTTTGTCCATGTTTCCATTACCAAAGTTGGGTGCGCAGAGGTGAGCCACACATGAAAAGAACCTCTAGAAGACAAAGACACCAAGAAACAGAGGACAGGCTGAGACACGACGTAAACCCCCAAAGTAACAAACGTGGATGGCCAACCCACTTAGGATAAAACCACGGTGCCGGGGTAAAATCAGTTGCCCCTGATATGAGCTTGGCTTTAACTTGCTTCCACTCACTCGTCCAAGGTGGCTGGACCCTTTGACAGCTTGTGTTTTCCCCTTTGGTCTGGTTTTAGTCAAAGGTTGCAGAAGGTGATCAGCTGATTTAAACTGTCTGTTCCACGCCCAGCCAAGGTCCAAATGATCACGTGTGATTTCCAGGCCCAGAGGGGGCAAGTGAGGCGAATTCGTGCCATAGCACGGGCCATTCAACTAGCTACAAGCAGCTCTTGCAAAGTGTGGAATGTGCATGCTTGAGCTGCTTGCATTGAAGGCGCTGGTTGGAGCATTGATTCACAGAACTCACTTCGACTTTCGTGTTGCATCTTGCAAAAAGAAAGTCTAACGGTTCTTGCAACTGTGTAGCGTGAACACTCGGACGCTCCAACCAATGCCAGTCTAGAACGACATCCTGAGCTCACTGCTGCGATGCTTTGGTGTCAATATCGAGCCGTCAAGTTGTCCCGATGGCCATTGCTTTGAGTCTTTTTCTTCGAAGCAATCTCGAGGGTTGTGGGATCGCTCGCGGTTTATGTGACCACTTTTGTGATACAAGGGCATCCCCTGTTTATATGGGTGGTTAGTCTTTGGGAGGCCCTTGGTGTTGTCATTTCCCACGGCCCTGATCCTTCTCCAATCCAACGGAACCGTACGAAAAAGACTCATTTATTGACGTACGAACCTCCGGGAGAAAAAAAAAAGAAGAAAAAGCTGGAGATCCAGGCTCGCGAACGCCCAGGTTCTTCAGAAAGAGGGGAAGGTTGGGGGCGGACTGTGCTTTCTTCACCCCATCTGGTTGCGTGATTGCGCAAGATCAATTTTTCTTTGGGTTGGTGATTTGGATTGGTTTGGAGGCTAGGAGGCGGTTTCCCTTTTTCCTTTGCACGAAGTATAGCCGGGTTCAAATCCAAATCTAGACCAGTCAATCCATTGAGAGTAAGCTGACAGCAGATCGGCAAAAGATGGGGTGGGTATAGTGGACACTTCGGGTCTATTTTGCAACCTTCTTCTTTTGGGTTATTGTTTTTTTTTCGTAGGGTATGGTCCGTATGGTTGCAAAATGGACTCTAGGTGTCCATGGCATGGGGGGTGTGTGGGCAAATAACCGAAGAAGTCTACCAGGTGACGTACGATCCAAGCCGCAAGGCTCAATCGAATATCGAGCAGATCGCGCGGATCGATCTTTTCCCGCAACTTTGGGGTATTCAGGCCAGAAGTGTCCCCCAAGTAGCCGGGCGATTTGTCCACCGATCTCGACCCCTGGAAATCCATTTCTGGTTCCATTTTCCCTGTTGGGAAGACTGGAGAAGTGGAATTGGGGGCCCGGGCTCTCAAACAAACAATTCTCAGATACCCCCCTCTAGTTGGTTTGGGTTGGCGGTTTGGATTTGGACTTGAATTTTTGGTTCTTGCCTCGCCACTAAACCGAAAAACCGAGCCACCAATTGGAGGGAAGCTGAAATTCTAGGTGCTTGGGGGGCTTGGGGGTATTGCAACATAGTCATAGATGTAGGAGTAAACGATATGCGAGAAGCTTAGCGACTGGGAAGCCAATTGTTTTCGGACCTGAGGGTTTTTGTATTGCACCCTGGGATTACACCGGGAAATGACCCAGAATGCTTTAAAATAACACGGTGTTATCCGGAAATGCGCCTAAATGGGATCAATACCCAGTGGGTGTGTTCCCAGGGTGTAATACAAAAATCCTTGGAGCAGAGCATCTTGCGAAGTTGTTCTTTGAATCAAGCCTTCGATTTCTCCTCCGAGACGGGGTCACAGTTCCTGAAAATCCCCCAACAAATGCCACGCAATCCTGGAGTGATGCGTGCCGGGGGGGGGCATACTGGGGGGGTGGAAATTGACACGAGATATCTAGAGTCCAGTGGCAAAAAGCGGAACCCTTCAAATTTCCCTTCTGCTCGCTGGGCTCGTTCCCCGCCAAACAGAATGGAAGTCAACCCGCGAAAGGTTCCCCAAAGTTGGGCGTGTCTTGGATAGGGGACCCCAAAAATGCGAGTTTTCCCAGTGGGTTCCCTTTTACAGTAGACCAACCCTAAAATGAGTACCTACAAATGAGAAGACAGATCCATTTGGACAGCGGGCTGGTGGGGCGATTCGCACCTTATGTGCCATTCACCATGCGGCGAGCGCTGGGGCTTGCAGCAGTGGTTTGCGGAGAGGCGCGGGGAGCATGTTTGTCCGCATCCATTTTCTCACCAAGGCCCAAGGCGAATCGACCGGATCTGACCATCTGACCTGTTGACTGTTTCCCCCTTTTGGAGTGCCCCTTTCTAATGACCCCAAAAGGTCATCAGCTTCTGTTTCCAGGTCCTTGCAAGCAAGTTTCAGGCCAAAATCAAAACCTCCGGTGGGTTGCTTGCTTTTGTTCTCTTCTTGGAGAGGGGTTCCCTGTTAAAATCAACCACCGAATAGAGAGCCCTCTTTTTCCCATGGACACTGGAGGTTTGGGTGGGGAACCCTGGGACAGTTCCCGATCGCCATGTACGGTGTAGGGGTCCTCTTTGAGGGAAGGCCAAGCCCAGTGCTCGCTGCGCTATGGGGGCAAGTGGAAAATCGCGCAAAGAGGAGAATCTATCGACTGCTCTTGTTTCATGTAGTACCTGGATGCAGGCTCGTGGCCTATTGTAAGTTTTCACCTAAGAGGAGCACAGCGGGCAGAAGGTTTTCCCCTAGGTAGGCGATTGTTGGATGGTTAGTCAGGAGCACCACATCCAAGGTATTTCATTTGCCTCTCCTGTTAGCAAAAGGCAGAAGGCAGAGTGGCTTCGTTTGGTTGGGTCTTGCGAACAATTCAGCCCAACGGGGCCTTTGCTTTTTTCGCTGCATGTCTGAAGCAGCACGAGGCATTTTGGGAGCCGAGACATGCGGACTTCTTCAAGCTCAGCGCGGACATCTCGCAGGTGGAGCGTGTGCGAGAGGCGGGGAAACGACTTTAAAAAAAAAAAAATTAAAAAAAAATAAAAATCAGGACTCCTGAAAAGATACATTTTGCAACCATTTGAAACATGGCTTTTTCCACCAAAATCACGGGAAACCACCATTGGCAAGGCAATGTTTAGGTGTTTTTCATGTAAGGATCCCTGTTTAATAGATGGAGTTGGGCCGCATGGAAGGTTGACGTACCTCGGGGTCGGGCCACGGATTTAGTTCAGCACTGACCTTACAACATTGAACCACCTGCCGAGATCCCCGAAGTCATTTGCACAAAGCTTCACCGGAGAAATTCTACAGATTATATCTGGAAGGCTGACGCAAAGTGATCAGGCACCTCCCCTTGGCCTCCAGTTCACCCGCCTGGCACCGACAAACCAAATACATGTATGCCCCCTTGGCACGCGCCCAACTATACATATTACCACATAAAAATATATATATATATATATATGTACACATAGATATACATATTTTAATATGCACACCATGCAGCCAGTTCCCGTGGAACAACAAAGCCAGCTCGGAAAACCGTCTTTTTAAGTAGGTGTTAGGTGTTCCCACTTGTATAGCCCTCCCACCAACAAACGTACAAGTGCGTATACCGCTTTTGGAAGACTACTTTCCTTGGGAAAGGCTCCTGCGTGAAAATCGACCAAGAAATGGATTTGTCTCAAGATAGCACCAAAAAGGGGTTCCTTTTGGGTTTCCTTCTAAATCCATTCGAACAGCTTCCACTTGCTTGATAATATGTGTTATTTCCCTTTTTTTGGACATATGTGTTTTCCCAACAGCCAGGGCTTAAGCAAATGGAGGGTGGTGTCGAAAGGGGAACCAACCAAAGAACCACAGTGTCCTCCATTTTGAGACACACCCATACGTGTGCCGGATCCTGCTTACAAGGATCTCATCGTGGTATAGCTATTTGGCCTCACGTACTCGTGGTGTATTTGGTAGGTTGCACCAGCACCGTCTTACGCATGGGACGGGAAGTTGCAGGGGCATAGATTCATATACAGCATACATTGAGCCTTACCCATAGTGGCTTGAGTGTCTCTTTCGACTGGCTGGATCAATTGTTGACCCCCGATCCGATGTATAAACCTCCCATGAGGGTTCCTGTTTCGCGGGTTATGCGTTCCTTGGAACCATTCGGAAAACCAGAATCCGCCAGCCAAGAGTCAAGTGTGTCCAGGAAGGGCGCCAAAGCCGTTTCCTTGGTTGCTGCATGAAATGCATCATGTGCGCGTGGTAGTTCCCACCCAAAATGCCGTGTTTTTATTCCCCAGATAGCTGAAAGCTATAGGGGTTCTAACTTCTAATAAAGAGGGGAACGTGATTTGCGAGATTGATGCGCTGGTGCTAGGTGGCGTGCAGTTTGGGGAGCTGGTGTAGGTGCTGATTGGGGCGCTGTTTGAGGTGCTGATGGCAGTGCGGGCGCATCTTTTCAAGATTGACGTAGGGTGCTAGGGGGTATGCAGTTTGGGGTGCTTGTGCAGGTGCTGTTTTGGGGGGTGACGTTGCGTGCGCATTTTTGCATTTTGCAGGTAGGACGCAGGGGGGAATGCAGTTTGGGGTGCTGGTCCTGATGGTGCTGTGGGACGCAGTTTGTGGGGATTTGAGGTGCTGGTGACGGTGCGGGCGTATCTTTGCGATATTGACGCTCGTCGGGCATGCAGGTGATGGTGCAGGCGCATGTTTGCATTGCAAGGGGGCATGCAGCTTAGGTGGTGGTTTGGGATTCTGTTTGGGGTGCTGGTTGGTTTTCGCAAGATTGACGGCTGGGTGTCTTGGGGGGTGCTGTTCGGGGTGCTCTTCAGGGTGATGGTGCGGACGCAGTTTTGCTCGATTGACGGCCGGGTTTTGCTTGGGGCGTTCTTCGGGGCTTGGAGGTGCTGTTGTGCAAGCACTGCTATCTGGGGTCTATGCTGGTGTTGTTTTTTTTCTTTTTCGGAGGATACCCCAAAATGCGCGAAACAAGCCACAAGAAAGGGATACTCTTCACAATGTGCTTCCGGGGCATGGGTAGTTCGGGATAAGTTTTTGCCGACCAATAAGTGTGTCCCGGTCCTTTGTCCGGGGGCTTAATCTGTCGTCAAAACTAGTTTGGACAAACTTTGGGCTTCTCTTTAAAATCACACCAAGCAGCACGTATACGCCCAACGCCACCTTCACTTATGTCCCCTGAGCATATTTGGCAGAGCTATCATTTTCTCCCAGCTTCTGGTTGGGAAAACAGCTGCAGATATTTGTTCCTTGGCCAGCTGTTGTCCCAGGTCAGCCCTGAGGAATTCGACGAACGCGTGCGCTGGGGCAAGCCTTTCATCATCGAAGATGCAGGCATGGGTGTTGATCATGAACGAACTTACCTTGACGGTTCCCAGCCGTCCCCTTCGGGTTTTAGTTTTTTAGGAAAGTTGTTCTCTTTCAGCAGGGGATCAGTTTGGGCAGCCCTGTTACCTTCTCATTTCCACTTCCACTGTGTATTTTTGGGACAACCATTCAAGTCACATGACGGCCCGGCTCTTGATGAGGATGTCCTGGGTCCTTGTTTCGCTTTTTGCTTGGAGGCTGCCTCCACATTGGAAACCTGTCGCAGCATGTTGCATCATTGAGGGGAGCCCTTGTTTTTGTTCATGGTCTCAATGGGACACCAACAGGAAGCTATCCACCAGGCTGGAGGGGTTTCTACCTCCGACTACTGCCCAGGGGGCAGTAGATAAAAAAGATTTCCCAAAGAAACACCGTAGATAGAAAAACGGCTGCCAAATATTTGAGGGGAACATCCCCAACCCTCTCCCCTCAGTAGTGGGCTCAGGGGAGGGGCACGGGGCAAGCCGCCGGTGGCACCGGGAATGACAGAACCTTTAAGATTTAAACGAGCCGGGCGAAGGCTCCCAAATCCCTTGATATGGGGATTGATCAATAACCCCGCCAAATGACCATGGGTAGCTTTTCAAATTTAATGGGAAATATAATATTTTCATTGGTTTTCCCTAATGGTCATCCCATGTAAAAGGCCTTCTGATCCACCCCCATATCTCGAACTGTCATTTTGCGCGCCGGCTTACGTGATTAGCCATCAATGCCCGGTTGTCCAACGCGAGTCCTTTGGCCAAAAGCGGTTGTGGCTTTGTTGCCATGTTGAGTGGGTCCATTGCCATCCTTGTTCGCTTCGACTTGCCCACAGGGATTTGGAGAAAGAGTGTTCGCGGTGTCTCGACGAGCGAGGTGACTGCACCGGTTCCTGTTCCCAAACGAAAACTCGCCACCAGAAGTACTCCTAACCGCTACCTTCGCTTGCGTAAGGATACTCGCCGATTTTCCCTGGCGGTTTTTTGGGAGCCACTGGGACATGCTCCATTCGGACAAATTGCGTCCTTTAGGCGAAAACGCAAATAAAAGCCTTCCTTAGCAAACTTTGCAAAGTCACACGCTGGGCTGCTCCTTCGGGGGAAGCAGATCCTCTTTGTTTTTGTTTTGGTGGTGGAATGAAAAACAACTGAAATCCCCAGGGTATAACCACTAATGTTGACCCCATATTCATCAACCCCGGTTTATCAATAGGGGGTGTTCCACTCCAAAAGTGGTTTGGCCCCCCACTACACCCAGGGAGAAGCACTCCCTAATTAATAAACTGGTTGCTGGATTAATATGGGGTCAACATTAGTTGGTTGAATCTTCAGACTTTATATTTTCCCGCAATGCCACAGGACATTCGACTTTTTGCACAGGCTTCCAGACCCTCCTGTGAGGTTCCATGTGAATTGGTGGGAAAACCAAACCCTTGGTGCATTTCGCTTGGATGTTAGGACTTTAAACTTTTTGCGACTAATGGGTTTTCCATTAAACCACTAGAAGTTGAGCTTTTAGCCGCGGAACAGAAAGCAACCGAGATAAACCAAGCCACCAATTCCTTTCACCTCTGCCTCGCTTTCAGGCAGAGGCCTCGACCTCGTGGGGGCCAGCTGCGAGTCCTTCCATCATCGCTTCCCCGGCGCCAAGATGCGCGCGGAGTACACTGGAACAAGGCGACGCCTGGAAAAGCACAGGCGTCCTTTTTAGGTTAGTTTCGATAGAGATAGATGATGGGGTTTCACTGGTTTGGATTAGTTTTAGTCCATTGGTTTCACTGGTTTGGATTTTTACCAGGGCCATCTATTTTGAAAAAGCACACACCTGCTGAAAAAAGCCGAGTTCCCAGTTCCAACAATTTGCACTCGAAAGTCACTTTTTGGGTTTGGATCATTTTGCCCGGCAAACAGTTTGGCAACTTTTTCCTTGAACAAGTGCGGGCTACGTGTCCAAATCTCAGCCCAATGGGCATCCCATTTCCCCCCCTTGAATGGCCACCGGGCGATCCAATCGCGCCGCAGGAAGGAGAAGTTCGTGTCTTTGGGGGGCAAGGCGCCTGCGCAAAGTGAGCTGGCTCAACGCCCGGAGACATGCTTGTTGTTGGGAAACAGTTTACATGTTTGCTTATTGTGGTTTAGTGGGATCCCACTTAACTGCTAGGATTTAAATTTTTGCTCCCCTTCCAACGGCAACCAAGGAGAGGTGAAGCATGGTAAGGCAATCACAGCAAACTCACCAAAGCCCAAGGCCAACTTTTTGACCTTTTGATTCCTGCTGTCTGGTTCAATTTTTAATTGTCCCAACTTGTGATCACCTTGTCTTCCTGGGTCCTTTGGGCAAGTGTGTGTGGCCGCCTTTTGTTGGATTCTGCTCATGGTTTGACTGTTTTAATGAAAGGTGTTGATTATGACTCACCTTATTCTGGGCAAGTTGTCGCAGGGTTGAGGGACATAGCGTCTTAGGTTGCCAGTTTCTGTGATAGTATAGGGAATTCGGCTCTGAAGTGAAGTAGTGGGAATCAACCACTTTGGTAGTACAGAACCGTGAAAAGCTTAGTTGCCCAGTGTTTCCTCGTTTTCTTTGGAGGGTGTCCCCGTTTTAAATGGTGCCCTGCTTTTGTTTCCTCCTTGTCGCCGGGCTGAGATAGCGACAGGTGGGTAAAACCAGCTTTGGCTCCCCATACTTGGAGCTGTCCTTTCCGTCGACAGGTTCGCATGGAACCTAAAAAAGGGTTCGCCCAGAGGAGATCCTCCAACATCGAAGGTTCTTGGGAGATACGAAACGGATGGGAGCTGAGCCCCTTTTCTAGGGATTGATCTGGTCAACGTGCGTTTCCCTTGGGTTTTCGGGTGGTTTTCTTGAAGCAAGAATGCCGGCAAAAAATGTGTAGCGCCCCTTTGCGTAGCATTCTGGTGGCTTCCCTTTGTGGGCATATTGAACAATATGTGGGTGCGCTTGTTTTAGGAAATAATCACCTTGGGGGTAGAGGCAAACTTGTGTATAACCATGGCTGAGTTTCGTTTCCACTTCGAGGTGGGGATCCCTTGGCATGTCCCGGAGGCGTGGTTCCAGAAGGACCGCCCACGACCAGAGAAGCAGCGGAAGGACGACGCGTTGTGCGAAGCAGCGGCTTAGGCATTTTGCATGGGAGAGCCCCAAACACAAGACCAGAAAGCCAGCCAATCACACCCACTAACCAAACAACCAACCAGCCAGCCAACCATCCGTTCCAGACAACCAGCCAACCAACCAATTAACGCACCAGTCACCCAACCAGCCAACCAGCCAACCAGCCAGCCAACCAACCCAACCAAACCCGCGGCAGGAGATGCCCCCAGACCTGGCACAGACCACCGCGCCCTACGTGTGGCATGTCAAGGACCCTCGTTTCGGCCGCGGCGCTTCGGGCGCTTCGCTTGCGCCGCTCGTTGCACGCGGCAAGCCGAAACCGAGCAGGGGACGCCGAGAGGAGGAAAAGGAGGGAGTTATAGGGAGTTCTTTTGGCTTTAAAGCCATCCAAAGATAAGCAGTGGACGGAATGGAGGCCGCAACCCGGTAAAGAGCAAATTGGCTGAGTGGGCAATCAAGCCCTTTTGGAGTTGTTCAGGAAACCAATATCGCCAATTCAGAATTTCTGGAGTTGCCCTCAATTCGACTAGCGAAGCCCTATTCGGGTGTGTCATGTTTTGGGACACCTGTTTTGGTTGGCTTGAAAGGGGTTTTCCAAAGGAATCCCACCATTTGGGTTTCTGCTTGCTGAAGAACACTTGCCATTCTCCTTAATTTGGAATGGAATCTACTACTACCGCACATGTGTTTGTTTCCAGACTTAAGCAACTGGAAGGGCATTGTTGGCCCTAAAAGGTGATCACCTCGGTTGCCCCACGGAACCTGTCACTACTGCACAAAAATGTGTTTTTTTGGTTTCCGGCGGACTTAAGCAAATGGAAGTTCCCGGGCTTTTTTGTTGGCCCACAGGGTGATCACCGTGTTGATTTCTGGCAGGATGGTGGCCACGAGGCCCCTCCGGAGGTGCGCGCCGCGGTGCAGCGGGCGGATGCCTCGGAGAGATAAACCCGCCGGGGTCCGATGCCACCGGTGGGTTTTTGTAGGAAACGGTTTGGATGCGCCGTTTGTGGATTTCACCTGTTCTTCCCTCTGAGGGTTCTTTTTTAGTACTCTTCTAAGACTCTTTTGATATCCTACAGGGGTGGATCCACAAAAGCCGCATCCAATCCGTTTCCTAGGGTTTCTCAAAAAAACGCCTCACTGCCCCCAGAGATCAGGGTGACCCCCAGTCGCTGGTTTTGATTGGCATGGGCTTCAGGATGACACTTCACAAATCGAGAAGTGCCAAAGATCGGGGTATTTTGGGGTTGGTTGGAGTTGAGCCCTTGGTTCCTTTTGGGGTGAATAGGCACCTCCAGTTGGACTTGAAGCTCATCTCTGGGCTCATTGACCTGGACGTGTTCTGCTCGACACATTTGGTGGGAAGTGAGTGGTTGAGTGGATTGCGTTGTCGGCCTTTGAGGGAGCGCAGGGGAGAATCGAGTGGCGAATTTAGTGGTAAACACATTTAAGTGGTCGACTTGTTGGGAAGACTTTTTTCCTGGCCAACCCACTCAAGAAGTGAGAAGCCCTTCAACTCGCCGATGTGAATTGTTTAAGGCGATCACGCATCACTCCAAGAATATGTTGACTTCCACCGGGGAGGGAGCCTTTCGGAGCTGGCGCCCCTTCTCCTCTTGTTCCCTTTTTGTCTGAGAGCAGCAGACACAGTCCCAAGGCGCTTGGCACAACAAAACCATGGCACATGGGAGTTTCGGCCCTCCACTGCCAGTTGCGGAGAGTTCTCGAAACGAGGCCTGGCAGCCGCCGTACTTCCTCAGGGGCCAGGTGAACCTCCGCGAGGCCAACGAGTCGGCAGAGCGATCTGGCGGAGTCAGTGCGTGTTTTTGGGGGCGTTGAGAGGGAAGCTCAACCAGGGTTTCAGTTCCGAGCCCTTTCCGTTTTGGTTTTTCTCCCGTGGCGATCGTTTCGAGGGAAGCCGCCAGTAATTTGATCGACTTTTGAAGCGGGAATCCAGTGGTCAAATCTAGGTCCGTACTTCGGCACGTGCGCGAGCCGAGGAAAAGATTTCTAGGTGGTGCAGAAGGATGTATCCGACTGCCAGCTGCAGTAAATCACATGCCAGTAGCATGAATAGCATGGCTAATTGCAGAATACAACATACAAAGCCAAACTTGCGTTCTGACTGGCATGAGCAGCTGTCCACGGGTAGTTTGGTTGCCTTGTCACAGCTGGGGTCCGGTTCGTTTCCAGGCTGTCAAGCCGTAGCAGATTGTGCCAGCCATAGGCAAAGTGTGAGCCCTGGCAAGGAGTCTAATATAGTATTTCCCTTGGAGCTGAGCTTCTCTTTCGGGGGGGGGGTGATGTTACCATGCAGTGACGAGGTTCCGTCAAACACATCAAGTAGCCTATGTTCAGTTTGCAGGACCGGGGGGCTTTCGAAACTTCCCACGCTGCGGGCTCACGCGGCACCGAGGTTTTGGTTTCACCGGCGGAACGGCGCAGTTCTAGCCCATGCCGACGGGGGCTCAGAGGCGAAAGCGTGAACATGTGAACATGGGCCAGTAGATGTCATTGTTTGCTTGAAGGGCCAAGTGGTGGTTTCAAGCATGTTGGGGATTCAGTAGCTCCATGAATGAGGGAATCCTGGGGTACATGTTCATTTGGGGAGTAATTCCTTTTTCCAGTTGGTTGAAACATGATGCTTTGTCCGAATTTGAACGCATTCCTAAACCGTCTTTCCAAGAGACACGTTGCCCAAAAGGAAAGTCGTTCCAACTCCCATTGCAGGAAAGAGATGATCAGGCCCCTTCTTGGTGAAGATGAGCTTTCCAGCCATGATGAGTTGTTTTTTTTGTGGGTTGATACTTAGATACCTTAGTTGACGATTTTCAAGAGTCTTTTGAAGATGAACATGTCTTTTGCACTTGAAGAAACGGCTTCCACCTCTTGTTCTACAAGGGTTGCTGGTTGCAACTGGCTTTGAGGACACCTACTGCATCCCGGCGGTATCTCTGCAGCTCACGGGCAAGAAGTGGCTGGGCTAAAGAGGTGGGAGTGGGCAGCAGGGGAAGTGATTTGGGTAAAGTCCATCTCTTCTGGAAATCTGGACTTCTACATGTTTTTCAATGTTTATCACAAAGACCATGCTTTTCCTATCAGTCCCTCACTTCTGGAAATCCTGGACTTATACCTTTTTTTCAATGTTTTCACATCCACGGGGGTGAGCCTTAGACTCTTGGGCACACGTGTGGCCAGAAAGCTTCCAAGGGATGAGACCGGCAGCTGCCAGCTAGTGGGGACCCCTAAATGAACTGTTGGTTGATTCTTTCCCATTTTAGAGGGAAAGCTTCACTTGTCTGGGGAACAACCTTCCATCCACCAGGTCCGCCCTGAAGGTTTTAGCAAATCGGTGGGGGGGGGGTTGACGACAGCATTGCGGGGAATGGCAGGGAACATCCCCACCCCTTAAACATGGAATTGAGGGGGGGGGAGGCTTCTGGAGATCTCCACTTCCATTTTATTTTTATGGTTGGAAGACTACAGAAAATGGAATTGGAGGACCCCCCCCAACCTCCCTCCCCGTTATGGCAGGGGGGATCAGGGAACCCTTCGGCCACGAAAAGATCTCGCTCGATATCGTTCGCCTCGCGGCTCTGGACGCCGTTCCAGTCACCGAACCCGCCCGAGTTGCAAATCGACCTTTGGATACCCCTGGAGTTCAGTTACCATTGAAACAAAGGGGGCGAATACTTCACCACCATGATTTGCCAAGGTGGTGGGATCAATAATTTGATCCAACCACTTCGAGGTGATACAAGGGAATCCCCTCTTTACATGGCAGGGTGGTCTTTGGGGGACCTTTTTCTTGTATCACAGAAGCGGGCATTTCCCACAGCCCTGTGATTTGCCATTCGAAAATTCATCGTCCAAGTTGGTTTGCCAGTCTTTTAATGGGGCTTGAACCCCAGGGATACTTCTCGTCGAGGTTCCAAGAGGCCAAGCCCTCTCAGTTGCTCAGTGGCACCAATTGTTTCCCCCTTTTTTTTGGGTGGCTGCCCCACTAAAATGGTCCAAGCCCCAAAAAAGGGTTCCCTTTTTTTCCAGGGTCACTGAACAACTTACTGTAAACCTTTATTGCAGTGGCTCCTCGCCATCCGGCATCTTCACCCAAAGTTTGGTTTCCGCTCGGCGGGTTTCCAGGGCTCGACCTTTCGAGCCTTTCGAGCCTTTTCCTCTTGTTGGCTTCCCTAGTTAACGGTGGCCCCCCAAAAAAACCAAGCTCACCGCGTTTTAGGTGTTTTTTTTTAGGGCAACCCACTGAGTTTGGCCCAAAAAAAAGAAGTGACCACGTTTTATGTTTGGGGAGTGAGCTTCCCGCAGCCCTGGTTCTTTGGGCAAGGCTCTGGCGACTGATGCCCCACCCAGAGGCCCGGGGTGTAAGGCTTTAAGGGCCACAGTCTTCCATTTGCTGAAAGTTTTGCGTGGGTTTACTTGGGGAAACCAAAAGGAGAACCACATGAATTATTTGGGGAGGTCCCCTGGAAAGAAAGACACCCTCTGGAAAGAAAGACACCCGTTATGTTCACCTGTTGGTTTGAAAGGGAATCGATTCCACTACTGGGTACAGTTGTATTTGGTCCAGGGGGCGTAAAAGCAAATGCAAGCTGTCTCTTCTCGCTGTCGCCAGGCTCGGCCTACTTTCTGCCCAACAATGAAAGTGGAGCTCTAGGATGGAGTAGTCTTGCAAAGTTCCCCTTTGTCGGATTCCATGATTGATGGAGGGAGGGTGCCATTTGAACGTTTTGCCATTTTGTCACTGTGACTTTCACCTTCAGCCAGCACAACAACATATCAGACAAGCACACACACAAAATGATTTTGTTTTGCAGTATGAATGATGCGGGGTTGCCCTGTTGAGTGAGAGTTCTTCCAAAACAGGGTTCACATGAAATCGAACAATCCCTCAGCGGTTGCGTTTCAAATGCCGTGTTGAGGCGTGCTTGGATGTGCAACCCAAGTAGGGTGTAACTTGAATGCTCCCCTGACTCGTGACAGTTGCCAGCGTTTGGGCGTTTATAAGGTCATTCCCTCATTCCCTCTGAGCATCAGAAAGTAAACTTCATCCACTATCATAGCCTATGGTCGCGCGGACCCAAATTTCACCACGCATCTGTTTTTTATTCCAGGAAGCCTGTTCGTTGGAGTTGGCTTTTTTGAGGCTGCCCTTTGTGCTAAAGGGGGTGGAAACATGGAGACCACCTAGTTCGGGGTTGGAAATTCACTCAAAAAGATGACTTTCCCACAACCCTTCCATTTGCTGAAGAGTATGTGTTATTCTCCAAAGGGAACCCATCACTACTGGAAGTTTTTTCCAGGTGCTGAAGCAAGTGGAAGTATGTGGGAAAACTTATCCATGGCCTTCTGAGGGCAGAGTATCGATCCCCCCCCATTTGGGTTGATAGACCGACCGTCCAGAAGCCGACAGGTGCATCTTTCCCGACTGGCCCCGGACTCTCACGACGGCGGGCCCGGGCCCCGGTTGGCCCGGGTTGTGGGCGCCCATGGGCGCGGGATATGCCGTGTCTTGGCTTTTCCTTTGCTAGGTGCCCCAGCTAGGTGCAAGTTTTAACCTTTGTTGGTTGGGAGGGTTCCCCTACTAAAATAGTCAGAAAAAAGTAGGTACCCTTATTCTAGCCTCTCTACTGGAGGACCTAGTTTGTTCAATCTTTGCACAACCTTCGTTTGGCCTCTTAAGGGGCACCCGGGCCTGGTTGCTGAAGCCAACTTTGGGGTTGTTCAAGCACCGCTTCTTGGTTGCAAGTTTGACTTGGGCGTCCTTTTGGTGAGGTGATGTAAGGAAGTATGGGGAGTCCCACATTTTCCTCAACAGCTGGTCGGAAGGCCGATCCGGGTTTTGGAGTTCCTGGGGCCAAAATGGTGAGTTACCCTTCTTGATTTTGGTTGACGTGGCTGGTCAACGTTTCCAGCTGACGTTTAGTAAATGCGTATGGTCTGCACAATGTATATCTGAACTAGTTGGTTTGGTTGAACGTACACACGCACACACATCCAACACATCGAAGATCATGCTGCAACTCTGCAGAACAATGATGGAAATAACATGGGTTGATTGAATATTTGCTGCTGTGTCGATTTGCAAACGTTCTGACTGCGAGGAACGTTGCAATGGCACCAAAAGGGAGCAACCCTGTTTTGGGGGGTCCCTTATACTGTGGAGACACGCTACTAAACTGGTGGCTTTGCGGTGAGCGGCCCAAGCTGAAAGTGTTAAACTTTGAAGATCCTGTCCCCTGCCATTCTGCGGGTGTGCACATCTTCCCACCGGGCACCAGCTGAAGCGTTTAGCTCCTTGCACGCGAGCTTGGGCCAGAGAGTCAACCAAGAGGGTCCCGAGAACCCCCCGCTCGCCTGCCAATTTGAGGTTGCTCTTGCGTTGTTTGTTTTTTTGGGTGGGAAGCTTCTTAGTGAGAAGCCCAGGTGGCGCTTTGACAAAGGTATTAATCCAGGTGTTTCGGCTTCCCCCCAGCAAAGCTCTGACGGGAAGAGGATCGATCCGCGTGCCGCACGGGCCCAGGATCTACCGCTCCAAGTGGGAGCCTCTTTGGGAAGCCACGGTGCAAGAGGGCGAGGCGAGGCGGAAACCGCCTCACTCGCCGGTGGTTTTTGGCTGGACCAGCTCTTCGAGTTTCGATTCGGTGTGCTAAATCAGTTTCTCAGCACCTTGCAGAACCCTGGAATGACGAGTCCCTGCATGTCCGATGGTTTCTGAACGGTGGTGCGAACGGATTTCGTCCATCCACAGTACATCCAGGGCCAACTTTTTGACGGAATGGTGTGCCGTGGCTGCGATGTGTTGCACCCTCCGGTTGGGGTTTGTGGCCAGGCCATCGTCTTCTTTCCCAACCTCTTCCATGAGACCCAGGTGCCGTCCGAAAATCCCGAGTGCACCGTGGCACGGGCCCCGAGTCTTTTAGGCGAGCAATGCATTTTTGCCTAGGCAATCCAGACAATTGTCATTCTCGAGAGGGCTTCTTTTTGTTTGCAGGCAACTACACACAAAAAAAACAAAAAAAAAAAAAGCGAGGGCCCTTTTTGCTCATGGCCGCTGGGGGCTGGGTTTTTTGTTCTTTTGTCCCCGCGCGTGAAAAGAACACGCGGGCGATTGAGCCCCGAGGCCACCACTTTCCAGTTCCAGCTGCCCATTCCCGCGCGCAGCTTGGCGGAACCCGAAGGGATTGGGCGCTGTTCGTTGGCAGTGTGTTTAAGGGGTGTTGCCATTGAGCGGTTTCCGTGGTTTTGCGGTGTTTGCCTGGGGTCTCCCTAAGGACCATTAAAAAATGGGGTTACCCAAAAGAATCAAAGGGGTCACGGATCCATGTTTACAGGGTCATGGAGACTCCAGGTGGTTCTTGTTTTTGGGGGATGGGGGGATGTGTTGTTTGTGTTGAAGGAAGTTTCCCCCAACAGTTTCGTAGTTTGGCAGTTTGAAGTCAGCCAAGTTGCTTTCTCATCATTTGCAAAGGCTGCTTCTGCTTTTGGGGTTGGCATTTCAACTAAAGTAGGGGGTGATTCTACAACTGTTTCCCTGGTCAAATTCATTCGAGTGCCTGAAATTGCCTGGCCCAAGAGTATCCCTAATAGCTCCAAACCCTCCAATCTGCCCCACCGCTCGGAACCCATTGGCAAGGACCCCATAAACAAAATTGCAAGCTAGGAGCTTAGGCAAGTCAACCTCTAAATGGTGGTTTGGAGTGGGGGTTTGGGGGATTTCAGCCTCTGGCTTTTGTCGAAGGGTAACTGGGAAACCACCCCTAACCTCCAAACCACCAATCCAAACCACCAATTGCAGCGAAGCTGATCCGTTTTGAGTGGTGGAGTGAACATACCCGAAAAATCCCCAGGTTATCTCCGGGCCTACCTACCCACCTTCGCCATGTCGCACCTCTACTACGAGGGCCACTGCCTAGACCTGTGGCATTCCTACGCGACCTTGGCCTCGCCAGAGGCCCGATATGCCGAGCGAGCAGGAAAAGCGCCGCCTGTTCCCAGTTGCCCAGTGGCACTCTTTTTCACATTTTTTGGGGGAAGGGTTCCCCTTTAAACTCAACCAGCCAGAAAAAACGTGGCTCGAACAAAACGTCGTTTGAGGTTTGACTCAACGCCCATAGTACCCCGCGATTCAATCCGCCATTGTTTACCCAAGGGGCCAAGGGGGTTCATTATCCAAGTTGGGTCAGCCATTCTTTCACTTGGGTGTGGCTCAATATTAAACAGGAGGGGCAAACCGCAGGTTTTGGTACTCACGTTTCCACTTACCAGGGCAACCCATTTTGGACTTCCGGTTTTTTGAGCCACTCTTTCACTTGGGGTTGAACCCTCGGGTGCCCAATCCTTGCGGCAGCCTTCAGGCGAAGATTCGCAGAACCCCCCCGGATGGCCGCGGTTTTCGGGTCAGCGCCAACTTGGAGGAACTTGGGAAGTGAATTTAAACAAGTACATTGGGAAGACCGTTTGCCAAAAAATCGCCGCAGCCCACTATTCCCAATAGAATCACTGGAGCTTGACCCATGCTGAGGGTGAAATCCTGCAGCTCTTGGAACCATGCAAAACCATTGGCCGTTGGTATTTAGGGATTCATATCATTCCAGGGTTTCTTTGGTGCGAATTGGATCTCGTCCTTGCACAGTATCCGTCTAAGCTCGAAGATTTTTTTGGGGGTGGGGGCGTCCTACTCGCAATCCGTCGGCTTTCTGTTGCAAGGCAAATCAACCTCCTGGCAGGATTGAGCACTGATATTGCACAATTCAGACAACTCTGCTGCTCTCTAACAACACGTGGAACACACATGTGAATATTCTGTTACCGTGGGTTCTGGCTCCTTTGTGGCAACAGCGTAGGACGTACAGCCCACCACGGACGAGCGGGCCATCAGCCGCGCTTCTGCGCGGGTGTTTGCCTCTGTGGACACGGCCGCTGGGCCGTGACCCGAGGGGAAGCGCGGCAGGTAGTAAGGGGGCGATGTCTTTCCTTCCATTTGCTTCAGCCCCTTTTCCGACCTTGTTGAAATCACTTCGGCCCCTCGCGACTTCGTCGTTTTTGGCGGTTGACATTTCGGTTCCCAGGTAGATTTTCCTCCATTTGCTGAAATTAATATGTGTTATTTCCCCTGTTGGTTTTAAAGGGAATCGATTTCACTACTGGACACGTTTTCTCATTTTTTCCAGGACACAGAAAAGCAAATGGCAGTTTCTCACGTCCTGAGTCCCGGAACTCTTTGGGTTTGGACAATTTGGTGTTGGACACTTTTTGTGTTTGGACAATTTTGGGCAATCCACTCAGGAAGTGAGTCTTTTTCAGGGCACCCTGTTATTGTGGCTTCAAAGGGACGGCACAAGGAAAACGTTTTTTTTTTTGGGGGGGGGTCCTCTAAACAATGCTTGCTTTTATAGGGAAGCCTTTTTGATTTCCACTTCAAAATGCCCCCATTACCCTCGTAATACCCTCAGAAAAGGCATCCCCGAGCCTTGTGGAATGCAGCTCATGGAATGGGCCACACATGACTCTAAGACATGCTACGGTCGAAGGGTCTTGGTCTAATCTTATGACGCGGTTCGGTTTCGGCGCGTTTAGCAGTTTACCTTGTTGACCCCCGTTGCTTCGATTGAAACTCAAGGGCCCCCGTCACGGAATGCTTCCTGAGGCGTCGGCCGAGCGGAAGCAGTCTGAATTCAAATTTCTGGGCCAAGGCGAAGCACCGACCGAGCCTTCCCCAAAAAGTGATCACTCATTACCCCACTTTCTTTTCGGCCTGGGCCAAACAGTGATGTAACCCGCCAAAATCCACCAAGGGAGGGAGACTGAAGTTCTGAAGACCGGCTTCAAGGGAGCACTCGGCTTCTAGGACGGCGATGCCCGGATCACGCTCGAGGAGTTGAAGGCGCAGCCTTTTGGGGGAAGGACTTTGGACCCCGACCACTTCACCTGCGGGGTCTCCAAACAGATTTTACATCTAGAGACTGAATATATGTAACAGAACCTGAAGAGAATCATCACCTGCTTGGCCCAGATGTGGAATCAATGTCACGTTTTTCATGCCTAGCATTGGGGGACGATTTTCCCCTGACAAACCAGCCAGGGTTTGGACCGGAGCAGAGTTTTGTTCTTCTGACCAATGCGAAATGGATATGTTTGCATGTGTAGATGCTCAATATGTGTGTCCCTTCTGTCATACAAGCTAGCTCTGGGTTTTGTTTGGGGGCAACTGAGGGCTTTGGTTTGAAAGGAGAGAAGTAGCTTCTCACCCCACGAAATGATCATGAGTCTTCGTTTGAGGGCATCCCTTTTGTTTGAAAGGGGCCTTTTCTGAGAAGGCTGACGGTTCCACTTTTGGGTGGGGGTAAGGAGAGAGGTGGCTTCTCACCCCAATGATCGAGTGAGTCTTCGTTTCAGGGCATCCAAAGCAATTTGAAAGGGGCGAATCTGAGGAGGCTGACAGTTCCACTTTTGGGGGTGGCCCGAGGCCTGTCAAGGACCCCTAAGGAACCCTAAGGACCCCTAAACCTCGCGACTACCCACGCCCACGCTTCCCTAAAACCTCCCCAAACAAAGGTCAAGGACCCCCTAGGGCTCACCCCCAACCCCCCACCTACGCGAAGGGCTACTTGAGCGCCTTCACGGAGCGCCTGCCCGCGGGTCGAAACTTCGGGCCTTGGCCCCGGTGGTTCTTTACGGAGGCACGGAGCGCATCCGACCACGTCACCGGCCGATCGCGTCGCCGGCCGAGCATCCCTGAACACCGGCTCATGCCCAACACCAAGGGCTCGGCGATTCATCCCTACCTATCGCACCGATCGCAAGTTGTGTTAAATAAGGTGAGCTCAGTATATGACCCCGGCTGTGAAAAGGGCTCTGGTGCGGGGATTGTCAAAGCTTTCAGGAGGAGTACTTGAGCATAAGCCGGGTGGATGGTGCCAAAAGGTGGCTCCCCTTGAAGTGGACCCCCCAACCCCCCTCCCCTTCCCACCACCTCTTGCAAAAGACTACAATCGTCCATTTTGGGTTTGGGTGTATCTGATTTGTCTCCCTAACCAAGGGGATAATGGTGAAGCGTTTCAGCCTAGCTTCAGAGCCATGTTTACCTGCCCCAACCCGTCCCAATGAATATGGGAGGGAGCCATCGAAAAAATGAGTCCTGGTTTAGGGGGGTAGGCAAAGTTCTGACTGGGGTAGGCGTCGGATACATTTTACAATTTACCAGTGACTCAAAGTGAAGCAAGCACTAAAATATACCTTCTATAACTGGTTGCCTAACTCTAATCATGCTGAATTCGGACTCTTGAGCCACTTCAGGACTACTTCTACGACTGGCGTCCGGTGGAGGAGGAAGCGCGGCAGATGCAGCTGGAGCTGCTGCAGGGAAGGGCCGAGGACAGCGCATTCGGCATTTCGGCCGGGTCCGACTTGGTCCACTTGGTGAGTAAAAATGAAAATGACAGCGGGTAAGATAACTAAGACACAGCTCTTGTCTTCTTTGTTCAAGCCGACCTTTTGACCTTTCGGTGTCCCCTTTTGGGTCAATTGTGTCACTCATGGCCCCCAACAAGTTGATCACCCTTTGATTTCTGGGTCCTTTGAGGCAACGGCGCAACTCAGATTTGCTCTTGGCGTCAGGTTGGTTCACTTGTTCAATGCCCAGCCGACCTTTTGACCAAAACCCTCTCAATCCATATTGGACCAGATAGAACCTATCTTGCTGGTGCTCAGCAGGCAGCTGGTGGTTCCCTTTTTTCTGGAATCCCCAAAACCCTCGAGCGCTATTAACCACCCTATTCTCTCGGGTTCGCGGAACCTGGAAGCTCCAGCGGCTTTGAGCCGAGACCCCTCCGTGATTTGATTGATTTGATTTGATTGCTTGGTTGGTTTGTTTGATTGCTTGGTTGGTTGCTTTGATTGCTTGGTTGCTTGGTTTGATTGCTTGGTTGCTTGGTTGCTTGGTTGGTTGGTTCGGGAGTCGCTTCTGCTGGGAGTTCGCCGATATGAAAAGAAGGGCCCAAAAAGCGGCGGACCGAACAACAACAGGATTCGAGCCACTTCTGAACGGGAAAGAATCTGGTTCTATATATCTTGACTGCTGCTGGGTTGGATCCTTAGACTTTTACTTTTTGGGAAATCAAGTTGGGTTTTCCACTAACCCCCAACAAGTTATTCACTTTTTGCAGGGGGGTCAACAGCAGCCAAGATATTAACCGCCTCTGGTTCAATGGTTGTATCTCAACCCCAGGGTTCAGGATTCTTCAATTCCAACAGGACACCTTGGCCTACCTGGACTGCTGTCCGCCACTGGGATGAGTTGGAGTTTGCTACGCGCGCGACTGGCAATCTGAAACCTAGGTGTTCGCTGTTCAATTTCCATGCAGGTAACCAGCCGACCGGTTCGTTAGGTTTTTGGTCTTTTACTTGTTTGAGCGGTTGGGTGTCCATTCGCCCCTCTAAAAGTTAGTCACTTTTTTAACACGAAAATCAGTTTGGACAGTTCTATTCAGGTCACCCGGCTTGGATTCTTGCTTTGGGCTTCCCCCAAAGGGTTCCTTTTGGAGAAATGGGAGACCATCCCAAACCTCCACAAGCCACTGAACAACCAAACCACTACTGGAGGTGGTCAAAAGGCGGCCAAGAGAGGATTTTCGTTTTGGGTTGGGCTTCCCTCTACCCACCTGACCCCCGATTGAGATCTACATCCTCAAAACCTAGATTTGCGGCTTTTAAGTCTTTGCCTGGTTCTGGGTAGGCCATTTACCAAGTTTTGATTTTGGTGGTCTGGATTGGTGGTTGGATATGGATTTGAAGCTCTGGTTCTTGAGGGAAAATGGACCACCCCTTCCCAAGCCGCCGGGCTCCGAACCAATTTGGGGAAGCTGACTCTATTCACTTTACCCCCTCAATTGGGGCGGCGGTGGTGGTGGTGGTGGTGGTGATTCGGTTTGGTTTGCTCACCTTACCCCCAATTCACCACGTCCAAATCAAAACCGGATAAGAGGTGAGGGATAATCCCCTTCACATAAATCTGTGCGGATATCCGCCTTGTTCATTCTTTACATGGCTCTGGATAGACCATTTTCTAGCAGGTTTTGACTCAATTGGTGATTTGGTTTGGCGGTTCTGGCGTTGGGGGGTAGCTTTCGAACTAGCCTTCAAGAACCAAGGGTTCAAATCCAAATGCAAACCAAACCAATCAAGAGTTACTTGAGTTGGCGCTTGGGACTGGACAAAAAGCTGAGTTTCACCAGGATGCTTGACACGTGCTCCTTTGAAGGCAACGAACATCGCTGCGTGTCGGGACGTCGAGTTTGATGCCCGTCTTTTTCCGGAATGTGTGAAATCCGCGGCCGCCATGGACAAAGGCCCTTTGGTCGAGGTGGGCCTTGATATTTAGGGCGGGCGTAGGGTGGGCCATGCAAGGCATTACGCAAATCGCGCATTTCTCTGAGTCTTTTTGTCTTTGCGACTCGCTCAGTGCAACTAAGTGCGCGGTGTTTTCTTGTTAGGGGGCATTTGTCTGAGTGCCAAATGGCAGAAAAATGTCCAAGTTGGCCAAAGCCTTTGGTTGGCAAAAACGGGTCCAAAGACGCATCCAGTTTTCCAGTGGACAAAATCCACTTCATCCAAAACCGCTGCGCTTGGGGGCTTATGTAGCTCTCCACGGTTCATACAACCGGCTTCCCTGAATTCCCCGTCTTTAAGCATCACACCCAAAGACCAACTCACCTTGGATCTTTGCCTCCCTCGAGTTCCGCTGAAAAAAAGGCCGCACTATATATATATATATATGTATATATATTAAAAGAAAAAGAACAACAACTGCCTCTGAAGAGCCCTGTGCAATCGGTGCACTCGGTGCCCTGCCGTCCCTCGGACCGTGGACCTTGCCGAGGCGGGACGGGGCGGTGACCTCCGCGGAGCTGCATGCGGCGCTGCGGCAGTGGCACCTGGTGCACAGCCGGCTGCACGCCACCGAGCGCCTCAGGCACCGTGGCGTTTTTTTTTTTTTTTTTTTTTTTCTGTTTTCTTTGTTTCCCCCTGACTGGTGGCGGTGCGGCCGTTTTTAGTTTTTGTATTTTTTCCGACCGGCGGTGCGGGCTGTTGTTTTTTAGCTTCTTTTGGGGAGGTCTCCATATTTCCCCAAAAAACACGACCTTTTCGGGGGTTGCCGATATTTCCCCCGTGTGTCGATGTGTTGTTGGGCTTGGCTTTTTTCGGGCTTCCTGGCTCATGTTTAAGCACGTCTTTTTTTCGCAGCCTTTTGGCCCCCAAAAGGGGTAGCATAATTAAGTCGTGTTGGGTTCACTATATCTTCCCCTTGTTGGTGAAAAAGCCACCTTGTGGGCTTGCCAATTTGAGGCGCAACTGCTTTCAAACTTTCCTTTGGAGGGGGGGTAAACCCCTTTAAACTGAACTACCCAAAAAGAGGTGGTGCTAATTCTTGCCGGAAACAGGTGGTACCTGTTTTCAGAGGTTCCCTATAGTTCCCCTCAGGTGAGTTTCCTTCTGGGGCGATGTTTCGGGCAGGAGTTTGGGGAACCCCGTGTTTTCAGCTTTTCGTTTCGAGGGGGTGGGACCCTTTGAAAGAAACCATCAAACAAAATGTGTGTTTCCCAAAGATGGTCGCAACTGGTGCCATGCCTAGCCTATTTACTAAGTGGTTGATTCTACATTCGTTGGATTCCATATCCGTTTGCAGCGGGGTGCGCTGATCATGAGATTTGAAGATGGCAAGACGGAAACTTGGGAAGATGGACAAAGCTGGTGAACTCGCCCCAAAGCCATGTTCGCTGTTGGCCACGAACCCGCTAGACACGGAAAGCGCCACCCAAAAGGGTCTGTGCTGCTTGTCTTCGCGTGGAACTCCAAGAAAGGAGGCTTCTAACTTGATTATCCCCAAGTGCGCTTTCCCCAAGGCTCGATTGAATGGAAACCGTGGCATGGCTTTTACAAGGGTTCTCTTGTGCAAGGCTTGCTGGTTGCCGCTGCGGTGTTTGTCAAAACCCCGCCCTCCTTCCCAAATCCAAAAAACAGCTTTGGTGTCCAAGAAGTTCAAATTTTCCAAGGGTCGCTGGTAGCTGGGCAGTGGGCATGTGAAACTGTGAGAAAAGTTGCCCTTTAGCCTAAACATGGCTTGGATTCAACTTGATTCAAAGAGGCAACAGGAAGTTCAACAGGAAGTTTTACCTTCAGCCATGTCCATTTACAAGTTTTACCTTGGACATCGAAGCTTTCCCTCCCAACGGCCCACACAAAAACTGGACATCAAGCCCTTTGGGATCAGCCTCGGGCGAAAAAGTCCATTGGACAAACCCAGAGACGCAGCCCCCATCCCCACCGAATTTGCCCTGAGGGGACATTCCCAGCATAAACTCTGATGGCCCACCCAAAACCAATCGCCGTTCTCGTAACTCGACAGAGGATTTCAGAACTGGGGGGGAAAAACCGCCTCCGCGCTAGGCAGAGGGGTGCTCCGCACCGGAAAGTGGAAGAGCTGGAGCGTGAGTTCTTGGAGAAGCGCCTCAATCCCGCACCGAGCGTCGGGTTGTTGAAGGAGCCAAACGGCCCACACTATAGTCATTTTATAGCAACCGGCCACTACGATAAAACGACTATCCCCAAAAGGCAGGATGGGGATCCCTTCCCCCACACACGTCCCTTGAAACAAACAGAAGCTTGCGCAGATTCTCAGATTAAAGGTGATGAAGGCCCGTCACCGGCGCGAGCAGGGGGGGGGGTGGGGGTGCAAGGTGTGTGTTTTGCTCGTAAGTAGTGAGGGTTTGTGTATGCCGGAAGGGTTCGGGCGGGGGGATAGTAAAGAGGCATATCAACAAATGTGTGAGCGCTCAATGTGGTGCTCCTGGGGAGTGCGCCGCTGAGGATAGGACAGGGAACATCATACCTCGGGTGATTCCGATGAAAGTTGAGCTGACTTACCCTCCCGCCAGCTAGCATGGAAGTGCACAGACCTACTTTCCCATGTTGCTGGGAGGTGAACCGCTTTGCAACGATTGTGGAAAGTGGTCCGGATGGTTTCGGAAGACTGCCATCCTTTTCAAAACGGCGAACGGTAACATGTGGAAACTGGATCCCGTGGCCTAGAAATGGACCAGACTCTCAACTCGCAGGTGCGAAATCGGCAGCTGAGACATGGAATGACCCCCCCCAAAAAAATATATAAACAATCCAACTGGTGGTTTCCTATGTGCGGGAATCCCCAAACGGTTCAAGCCCATGCAACTGGGGTGTCCTTTCCTCGTGAGTCCCCAAGCGGTGCATTCAACGCCCGGGCTCGTTGTCGTTCCCTATCTTACCGATCGCAAGTCGAGGTCTCTGTTTAAAGGCTGGGGTCATTATTTTGACGGTTTCTGGGGGTTATCAAAGTCAGTCACTGGGTTGTTTCCCTTTAACCCACCACTGAACGGGGGCGACTTTGATCATGGTAAAATAATGAGGCCAGAAAGGCTGAGAGCGTGTCGCTCAGGTATTTCGCCCGCGACGAGCTGTGAGCGCGCCAAAGATGCGCAGCAAAAGAAGCTGCAGACGTCGAAACGGTCAGGCGAGCGCCCAAAGGGTCCATCGGCAATTTCAGAAAAAAGTTCTGCTCTTGGATCCAAGTTGTTTGTTTGTTTTTTTTTGTTGGCTCTGTTTTTTTTGTTGAATGCAAACAACCATACCAAGGGTTGTGAAGAGGAAGTTCTACTAATGCTGACCCCAGATGAATCAAGCCCTGGTTGATGAAGTACGAGTGGAAATGCGGATCGTGATTGGGCCCCCTTTCAACTACTGCCGCTTTGAAGCAGCGAAGTACGGGTCGGTGATGTTGAGGCAGCGCGGGTGAAGTATGCTTGGATTTGCCTTGCACACATGGGCTTGTTAGACTTGCACCGCATTCATGCGCGGTTTCAAGGACGCAGCTGCTTGTTCCCAAACTCGTCTGCAGCCATGCTGAAGTCGTTGACACGCTGCCTGCTGCTGATACCGGCCGTGGCCGATGTGAAAATCCCCACGACGGAGATCGCGGATGGCGTGCACATGCCGGTGATGTCCATAGGCGGGTTTTCCACAGGGATCCGCGGGACACTTGTATGTTGGGGAGGGGGACATGAAGCTGAGCAAAGCTTCCTTTTTCCAGAAAGAGCCTTGCTCCCTGGGTTCTATGTTAAGTTGCAGGGAAACAAAGGACATCTGAGCCAACAGTCACCAGCCAAGTACCAACCATATCCGAACTCTACCCTCAAAAGGCGTATGACGAAAGTGCAGCCTGCGGGTTTGCCAAGGTGAGATGCCCAAAAGACAACAAAGGGGAAGACGGTGTGATACGGCCGGCGTGCTTTCGGGGTATCACGTGATGGATGCATGTTCGGCCCTTGACCCTCCAAAGGATACCAGTTTGTTCAAGAAACTCGACCCTCCCAATGAAAGAAGATCCCCAGAGTGAAATGATTTTCCAGGGGCCCTTTCCAGGCTTCATGTTTGGGAGGACATTGGGACAAGGGTCCCGGTTGTCAAGGCCGAAGCTTTGCCTCCGTTGGCCTCCATTTCTTTGGAGCGAGGTTTATGGGAGACATTGTCTTAGACCTCCGGTGGTGTTTGTTTGGTGCTTAGGGGCTCCCCCTTCAAGTGAACTACACACCAAATATATGACGCCCCCCCTGTTTTCTTGGCCGAGGGAGATTTGGAACTCTTCCATCATAAAGGGTCGTTCATTCTGATCTTTTCCCACCACATCCTTTTCAGAAATCAAAGCGAATCAAGAAGACAGCACCCTCTTTGCTTTGGAAAGAAAACAATCAAAACCGGGCCTGCCAGGCCTCCCCAATCCTTTTGTTTTGACAGCTACTTCGCAAAACGACCCCTTGACGATTGGAACAAAAAGATACCCCCTACGTGAGCCCCCTTTTTTAGGGGCAGTTCAGCCGCTAGCACGCGACACGGGAGCCCTTGAACAAGAAATTGGCCTCCAAGTATACCCCCGGATAAATACACCCTGTTTGATTAACGTTGACCCCATACGAATCAACCCCAGTGCATTAATAGAGGGGTGTTCCCCTCAAAAAATGTGATGATTCCCCACTAAACCCAGAAACACGCCCCTTTTAATTAAACTGGGGTTGATTACTGTGGAAGCCCCGGATTAATACACCCTGGTGGACCTCTGGCATCCTCTGGCAGGGGCGTCTTGGACGTGTGGTTTGGGCAGTGCAACCCGTTTTTTTTTCTTTTTTTCTAGTGGTTTCAATCAGTTCCATGCGTCTTTTGAGAGCGCGCGCAGGTGTGATTAACATGACTTTGGGAGTGGTTTTGGAGCCCATTCCTTCGCAGGACAACTGATTCCAACATTCGCTGAACATCTCGGCCCTCTTCGTTGCCCATCAAGACCAACCATTCCCTGCTGAAAATATCTCAGTCTTCCCAGCTGACCTTAGTGGAAAAACTGGTTGAAACCACTCGAATCCGGGGTAAGATAATTTATCAACATTCCCAGGTGCTGAAACAAATCAGTGGATGCTGGTTGAAACCACCCCTCGGTCCCCCAGTGCCCTTTTACCCTTTTTTGGGGAGGGTTCCCCTAAGATAGACTCCAGAAAAAAGAGTACCCTCATTCTAACCTCTCTACTCGAGGACCTAGACTCGAACCCAGGGCCCGTTCTCGTTGAGCCCAGCGCGCTCTCGCTCCGCCCGACCCCCGGACGCGCGAGCCCGGCGCGAGCGACCGTGCGAGGCATGGGCGGCCTGGAGACCTCCAACGCCTCCAGCGGCCCGGTGGATGGGTTAAGCAAGCCGTGGAGCCCACGAAAGGTCGCCATTTGGTGTGTCGTCGGTTTGTGGGAGGAGGAGGAGGAGGGGAGGAGGAGGAGGAGGAGGAGGAGGGGGAGGAGGAGGAGGAGGAGGAGGGGGATCTTGGTGATGTGGATGGGTGAATTTGGTGTGGATTTGGCGGATTTTCGGTTGAGGGGTGTTCTTTCGTTTTGGGAGGAGGATACAGGTCAAGTATCCCTGAAAGTTTGTTGTTTTTTGTTTGGGAGGAGGGGAGAGGTCAGGTTTTTCTCAACTTCTGGGGTGTTCCATCCGCAATTCGCCAGATCCTCACCTTGGGTTGTGTTGCAAAAAACGTTTGGTCCCCTTGGCAGTGGCTTTTTTTGTTGGAATTCTGGATTCGGTTGGCCCAATCCATCTTACACATCTTGAAGAGCCCCAGAAATTAATGGTTGGGAGCCCCTGGATTTGAAGCCCTGGTTCTTGAGGTTAAATGGGAAACCACCGAGCCACGAAACCACCAATGAGAGGGAAGCGAAATCAAAAGCCAAAGGGGGTCTTCGGGTTGTGTGACCAGATTCTGTGGTTTGCACCTTTTTACGGCATGGGAACCCCCGCTGGCAAACTTCCAAGGAAATTGCCTTACCCACCTCTTATTTGCGGGGCATTGGTTTTCCCGTTTGGCCTCAAGTACCGAGGGGTTTCTTTCAAAATCAACTGCCCTGCAACAAATTGATGGAACCTGAGAACGGGGGTCCTGGAAGACACTGTTCCTTTTAAAGGGGCCGGATCCCTGTCAGGTTCCATGTGAACAGGGTGGGAGAGCAACGACAAGCAAGTTGGTCCCGTTTTTCTGCTCGTTCCCCAACAGCGCTTCCCTCTAAATCCAGCACACCAAGAATCGCCAGATCTGATTTTCCCCATAGACTTGCCCTTTCAAATCAACACAAAATTCAACGCAGAAAAATATCCCCTCCGAGGCATTTTGGCCAACTGGCTCGCCCAGGGCGGGCGAGGCATCGACACCGCCGCTGGCCTGCAGGGGCCCTTTGAGGGAATGGAAGGCTAGGTCCCCCAGCTAGCTGCCCTGTTTAACCCCTTTTTTGGTTGGGAGGGTTCCCCTACTAAAATAGACTGCAGAAACAAGTTGGCACCCTTATCAGGAAAGGCAATGGTCGGCAACCTGTGTTTCAGGGGGGAAGAGCAACCCGGAGAGGCCTTACATGACACGTGTCCACGTTTTTGCCAAGAGTGCCGTTTTAGCACCCGAAGAAGAACGTGCTTGGGGAGGGAGGGGTGGGCCCTGAATTCCATGTACAGTTCCATTTGCCCTTTGTGGGGATCACCAAGTTGGAATTCGGTTCATAGTTGCGTGTCCAAACCCTTGGTGAGAAGACAAGTTGGGATCCCCTTTGATCGCTCCTCCCCCTTAGGGGAGCTTGAGATTTGCGAGCCGATGGGAAGGGACAAAGGTGTAGCACTGTAGGATTGAGAGGGTGTCCAGGGGCACGTGCGCGATACGGAGGGCTTGGTGACTGGGAGCTGCACATCTTTTTGCTTCTTTCCGTTGCGGGTACTCTTTGTTTTGCTGGTGCTCAGCAGGGGATGTGGGAATGAACCCAGGGGTCCATCCTGCACTGAGAATCTTACGCCTTGGCTCGCTTCTCGCCTCTTTTGCTTTCTCCCAGTGTGTGGGTTCCACCAGGACCTCTCAACTGATAACATTTTGAAGCTTTCTGCTATAGACCAGAATCTGAACATGTCATGTATTGAATTCCAATCTCGGATTTGTCCACCTGCCATTTGATCGGTGGGCGTTTCAGCGAAGACCTCTGAAACTGAAATGGGATGCCCCCCATGGATCGACCAGGGCTTGAAATGCCTCCCCTTCCATTTCCCTAGGCCGGGGTCCCATCAGCTCGGAAGCTGATCCGGTTCCGGTTCCGTGCCCCAGGCCCTGGTCTACAAGGACCAGCAAGTGGTCCCGCAGGAGCCGGGGCTCGGGGAAGACTCGGAGAGCTCCGGAAGGCTCGGCTCGGCTGAATCATTCCGCCGCCCGGCAGGGATCCCATTGGGTCAGAAAAGGTCGAGTCGAGCGAGAGGCGCGGCCAACGAAGAGGCGACGCCCAAGTGTCCCAAAGATCCAGGAGGCTCACGTAGACGAGTTTTCCCCATGCCCCGTTCTTTGGGCGCCGCGCTTTTTGACAGCTTAGCGAAACTGGGTTGCCTTGAAAAATCATGGCCCGGATCGAATTTGGGTATCCCAGTGCATGGATCACAAGCGACCGGAAGCCAGGCTCAGATCTTCACAGATGCCCGCATTCAGAATTCAAGTGACTGCCCCAGTGGGAATGGATGAAACCCTATGAATACTGGGATGAACCACCTTTCAACTGGCAAAACCAAGTTGAAATTTGGTGAAAGTAGATGGCACAATTCCCTCCTCTTGGTTGAGTCCCCTTTACACATGAGAATTGTGCCATCTACTTTCACCCGGCGTGCCCCCTTTGGAAACCCTTCAGGGGTCCCTTTGAAAAGGGGTGTCGAAAGGCAAACCCGGATACTCAACATGGAACCTGACGGAGGGGTCCTGGCAGACGATTGGCCTGTACTTTGGTGCATTTTGCTTGGCCTCCACACCACCGATTCGGCTCCAAACCACCAACTAGTGGGAACCCCTGGTGCTTTTTTTGAGGGTAAATGGGAACCCACCCCTAGTGGGAAGCTGAAGAGACTCAACTCAGAAGTGCCCAAATTCCGGAAAAAGAAACAAAACTGACGCAAGCCATCCAACAGTAACAGGAGCTCCAGAAGGCGAAAATCGAGCGGAAGGACGTCTTCATTACCACGAAGATCCTCGGCTGTTTTTTTTGGGTGGATTGGTTGGGTGATGTTGGGTGGGTGGTCCTCTTTGTTTTTGTATTTTTGTTTTGTTTAGGGGGCGCTGGTTCAGGCAGACTCTCTGGGCTGTACTTGTTTTTTAGGTCGTTTGGCTTGTTCAATGTCCGTACCGGATCAATCGACCTTTTGGAATTTCCCGAGTTGGGCTTCCCTTTTTTAGTGCCCCCAAAAGGGAAATTGGACTCGGATTCAATTTCCACGGCATGAAGTTGCTTGGACAACCGCTCCGCTGGAATTTGGATCAGCCACACAGAAGAGCTAGCCCAGCTCGTTGGTAGCTGCTAGCCAATGGCAGGGAAGCGCAGATGGCATTGTGCACCACGTGCAAAGCGCAAGACTTCTGTATTCGTGGCATCCGCGCAATGATGATATCAATCGGGATGATGACGGGGGCCATTTACCTGCATATGTGGAGTTTTTCAGCATCAATTTCCGAAACGTTATGGCCTCAAAATACCTCAGACCTGGAAGTTTCCACGCGCCAGGTGTCCCGGGTGCAGTTTCAATATCAGCTATGTCATGGTTTAACCAACCAGCGGCTTCAACTCATCGACGGGATTCTCGTGGCCTTGTTTTTGGGAGCCCAGGTGGTTTTGCCCGAGAAGATGCAGTGGAATGGGGCTCAATTCATGGATGTGAGCGATGTGAATATGCAACCTTTAAGCCGCATCTGGAACATGCCCCGATTGAAACGCCAAGTTCAAGACTTGTACACTGAGTTTTGGTGCCGCCGGAAAGAGCTGGCCTCCAATGTCTGGTGTGCAACGCTGCCAGCGGCTGCAATTGTCTTCGATCCAAATCAGTCAGCTTCGTTTGAGGCGGTCAGAATGCATCTGGATCAGTGGACTCCAGAACGTTTGCTGAAGAAGGGCCAGGAGCTGTGGCGCAACTCTAGTGACAGGTCATGGAGCGAGCTGGCACCCTCCCAGGTGAGAATCGTGGAGCCCTGCGAGTTCTGGTTTAAGACCAAAGTGACTGAAGACAGCGAGATGTGGCACTGGTTTTGGGCCATCAGCAATGCCTTAGATTTCAGTGGTGAAGTTGTCAGCACCTCTGAGCAGTTGAAGCGACTGATGTATGGTGGCTTCGGCCATGCAGCCTTTCAGAAGGCGAAAAGCCTTGGCTACAGCAATCTGCGCAATGGTTCTTATCACGTGGTCCACCTTCGAGCAGAAGAGGACTGGAAAAGACATTGTGCACTGTGGACATCTTGGGCAGGGAAACGGGACAACTGCATGAATAATACCTTCGAAATTGGCAATGTGCTTTTATCCGAGGGAATTACCCCAAGTGTGCCAATCTATTTGGCCACAGGCTTGTCAACCACGGAGCTGCAGCATTTGCGGGAGTCGGGTTCTTTGCCCAACTTGTTCGACATTTATACAGTTGTTACCAAGGATATGCTGAACATCTCTCAGGCTCCACTAGTGGATGACCGGCATCGAGAGTATTGGGCGGCGGTGGATTTTGTGATAAGCCAAGATGCTGAGACCTTCATCGGGAATTCCGTCTCCACGTTTTCTGCCTTTCTCCTGGAAATGCGGCGAATTCGAAATCAATCCAGCCTGCATTACAATGGGGGCAAGGTGCCTTTAGAAGAGATCAACTTGTTGCGACCCAAAAAATTGACGCTCGTAAGCCCAATCCGGCCAGCCATCAAGTGGGTATTCACCCTTGGTGACGTGAAGCCTTTTGACAGCGTGTACAACGCGACAATGGTTTCAGTTCAAAGTGCCCAGGCAAAAACCGCCTTGGTGCCCATCTGCGTGACGGCCGCCAACCCCTACTCAGACCTTGTGGTGCTTCTGGTATCCATGGGAGTGCGTGTAATCTATCACAAGCCAGCATGGAGGGCTACCGTGGATTCTGTGGTGGGTGCCTGGAACGCGGATGTCGAGAAGTTGGAGAGATTACACAAATGGCCAGCGGATCCCAAGAAGGTTGCGGATCGGGTTTTGCGGATTGACATTCCACTTTTAGGTATTTTGGATCAGTTCGTGCTCTACACGGATACAGATGTGATCTTTACAGGGCCTGTTACCTGGCAGGATTTGATTGGAGAGAAGGCTGACTCCTTGATTGCCACCTTGGAGCGCAAGATGTTGGGCCGTGGGTTGTTCAAGCAATATGCGAAGCCAGGTCATTTCGGCGTGCCACAGTTCTACGCTGTCTCTGGTGAGAAGAATCAGAACTCTGCCAAAGACGCTGATACCGGAGTGATGCTTATGAACTTGCCAGCGCTGAGAAACACCTACAAGGCTTTTGAGAACTTTTTGTTTTCGGACGACCACCTCCTAAGAGGGCAAGCTGATCCAGCTGGGTACTTGAAATTCTATGTGGACTCGAATGGGCAGTCAATGTCCGCAATTCTGCCTTTCAACTTGAACTGGAAGCCTTTCTGGAAGCCAAATCGCAATGCTCAAATTGTGCAATTTTATGGCCCCAAATGTGATACTGACATTTTACCATTTTTGCAGGATGGAACCGTGCATTTCGAGCCATACCGCAAGATGCTGACCAGGTGCGCAGAGGGGAACTGCGAGCAGTTATGCCGAGAATATCATGCGGTGTTGGCCCCTGGATGATGACACTGCGTAGCCCCGAAGGCTATGGCCAAAGAGTCATGCAGAGTGATGGTAGTTTCACAAGTGATCATCAACTCAGGACTATAGGAAAAAGAGGGATCTTTGACCGCCGTCCAATTTGAGTACTTGACACCTGCAGCCAATCCACTGGTCGGAAACCAGTTTGACTCTGTCGGTTTATCCGACTTTTTTGGACATATCTTTAAGACCCCAGTTGCTTGTCGTTTTTGAAGCGTGTCTCACTTTTGGGCCTCCACAAGTGTCGCTTTTGCCCACCCTGAAGCTCATAGCAACATCCAGGGCCATCTCCCTTGCACTCTGACCTCGAGTGTGTGAGGTACTTGTAAAGGCTTGTCAAGGCCGTGGTGCAATCCATATATATATATATATCATAATATATTCACATTGGCCGTGTAAGACCACAAACAAAAACCCGGGTCACCTCAGAAAAGACCGGGCCCCGCCATTTTGAGAGGAAGACGAGGTGGTGCGCCGTTTTTCGTGCAGCAGCAAGTTCGCTTGCAGGATCCCGGGGTGCGCGGATACGAAGGCCAATGTGGAGACAGACCTCAAGCTGCTGCAGACGGAGACCCGGTCGAGCTCGACGTCGCTGGCAAGCCGACGCCTTTGAACAATGCCCCGTGCCACTTCCCAGCAACAAAAACAGCAAGATGGACCCCTGAAGTATGAAATCAAGAGGCGGTGTTCCCCTCCCAAAAGTGATGATTCCCCACTAAACCCGGGGACAGCCCCGTAGTAATAAACAGGGGCTGATTAACATGGGGTCAACTCTATATATATATATATAAATCTATGTATAAAGAAAGATATCCAACTGAACGCGGGTATGGCGAGTAGCGCCGGCCCACGCCCGGACTGTTTTTTGTTTTTTTAGGAAACCACCCGTTGGAGGCTTTATCAGGGTCATTCCATTTCGCATTCCCTGAGCCGCCATGGCTTAGCCGAGGGGTTACACTGGCAACCGAGTTCCTTCGGACGAGGCCCTATGTGCTTTTGTGGGTCTTTGGACCGCTACCTTGGGAGGGACCCCGAATTCAGATCCACTGGTCGTTTTTTGTTGGCCGGACGGAACTTCCGAAGGATCCTAAGAGAGGACACTGCTCGAATCAAGCAGGGGAATCCTGGGGTCTGGACGCCTAGGCAACTGAGAAAGCTGTTGGTTTGGCAATGACCTTTTTCTGTTGGGTCTTTTCGGTGTTGGGTGGGCGGTTCGTTGGTCGGTTATGTTGAGTTGGTTGGTTGGCGAGTTGGTTGGCAAGTGAACCTTGCTGGTTCTCAGCAGGGAATGAGAAATGGAACGACGCCCAGAAAAACCATCCATGCTATGGTTCCCTTTTTTCGGGAATCCCCAAACCGGTTCATGCCCAACACCCTGTCGCGTTGTCATTCCCTATCACACTAGCAAGTCTATTTCCGCGCTTGACTCTTGACTCTTTGGAGGACTACATCGACCTCCTGCTGATTCACTTCCCCAAAGGTGACTGTGCGGAGGCCGCGGCAAGGCGTTTGCTAGTTTGATGTCTTTTTGGCCTTTTGCTGGCCTGCCGCGAAAACAAGATCATGCCTTTTCAAACCTTTCTTCACATGTTGGAACATGTGAGGTTCTCTACCACCACTTGACGGTAGCCCATGGTCGATTAGGGATATGCGAAGGTTTACCAGTTTGGCTGGCTAGTGGGATAACATGCCTTTAACACTGACAGATTGCCTGTTGACTGGGCAAAAGGCCGGATTTACATTTTTTGGACAAGGACTGTTTCACAGCTAGCAACAAATTTCAACTTTTTTCGGAGGAGTTCCAAAAGCGCCTGGAAGACAAGGATATGAAAAACAACAAGTCCCGGGGAAAACACAAAAAAACAAACTTCCTCTACGGAGGTGTGGGGTCATGATTGTGATCGCTTGGTAGGGCCGCTTGTGATTGGGATTCCTGTCTTCGAGGGCCCGCTTGGCCCCGCCTTTGTGAGAGCTTATCAAGCCAGTAAACAGCACGTAGATTAATTAAAATGTTGACCCCATGTATGAATAAACCCCCTGTTTATTACTGTGGGGGTGTCCCTGGGTTTAGTGGGGATTCATCACTTTTGGAGGGGCCCCCTCACCTCATATTACCAGTTGAGCAATATGGGGTCGACATTAATCCCCATTGTAAGCAACCTTAGGCCAACGGCAACGAAAGACACCTGGTTTATAGCGGGAAACTGGCAAGCAGTTGCCTCACTTCCCCAAAGCCGACCTTTCAACCTTTGGGTGTTCTATCATCGGTCCGTTCTTATTGGAAGGTGAATTGCGCCTTTGTTGTTTGGTCTTTTAAGGCCAAGCGAGTCACAAGAGGAGTCCAATTTTTGCAGTGTTGTTTGGTCTTTTGAGGCCAAGTGAGTCAGTCACAAGAGGCGAGTGATTAGATGAATGGAATTGGGTTCCGGACCCCTACCCCCTGCCCCTTGAGGCAGGGGGGATGTGACCGGTACTGTTCGACAAGGGATGGGTTTAGCCTCCAAAGAACAAGCATGGAGCCCCGAAAAGCCACGGAAATGGAAGATCGGATTGGGGACGGCTTCAAGTTCCATGCGTTTCCTTTGGCATCCTTTGGCCTATTGGCCAGTCACCTTTTGAAGTGGTAGGTGCGTGAAACAGCAGCCCAACCCCTTTGCTGGCTTTGACAACCCCTAGGAACCATCAAAACAAAGATCCTAGCTGCCCAGAACGGGGACCCCAACCAACCGAAAGGACAGGTCAACTTCCCCTGCCCTTCAGAGAACCCTGAATTGGTGGCTCGGGAAAACCTCCCAAACCACCAAACCTCTAGGGGTTGCTTCCCCATTCTTTCCAACCAACCTTCTTTTCAAAAACCGGCTGTTTTCCCTGGTTTCCGGAGGTTTTTGAGAAAGATTCGGATCCCTGGAAAGAATGGGAATTGGAAGGTAGCCCAAAGCCGACCTTTTGACCTTTCGGTTTCTCCTTTTTGGTCTAGTTTTAGTCATGGCCCCAAAAGGTTAACCTTTTATTTCTGGGTCCTTTGGGCAAGTGAGGAATTGGAAGGTAGCCCTAAAAAACCACCACATCTTCGGCTGCTTTGCAGCACCAGTAACCGAGGGCCGACTTCTTTCAGCCTCTTAGCTTCGACGTCGTTTCAGGCCTGGGCTACGCTGGAGGAGTATCACAGCAAAGGGGTGCTTCGGGCCATTGGCGTCAGCAACTTCAAGAAGTCTGACCTGGACCGAAAAAGAAATCTCGACTTTTCATTGGCTGAAATGAATATGCGTTGATTTTGCCAGAATGTACCACTATTCCATATGCATATATATATATATATCAGGGGCCTTAAGCAAATGGAAGTAACAGGTGTCTTGAAGTCTTACAGCTTGTTTTCAGCAGGTTCCGCACGTTTTGCGTATGTAGGCAAGCGTCAATCGGTTGGTTGGTAAGTTGTTCCAACAGTTTGTGTCTTGGAAAAAGAGTCCTGTGACTTTGCACGTGTACGTAGAAAACGCCTGGGTCTGTCTTTTTTGAGGGCACCCCTTTTGTCTGTGGCAGAAAAGTCCCACACCAGCAGACACACACACACACATCCACGCGGAAAAGAAAACTTCAGCCACGCGTGCGAGGGCCTCAGGAAACGTGGAGCCAGGAGACCCTGATGAAGACCGCCAAGGTGAAGCCTGCGGCACCTCGCCTGATTTGCGAAACCCACCGAAGCACTCGCCGGAGTTTTTGTTTATGTCGCAAGCCGGTTCGCTGTGTGTGTGTGTGTGTTGCTTTCTCCGGCGTTGTTGTTCTTCTTTTTCTTTTTTTTTTGGGGGGGGGGGGGGGGTAAAACATGTTTGTTCCTCTCTCTTCTTCTTTTTTTTCGGCGGGATGGTGGACCTAAGATGTGATGAGCCAGATGGGTTCCCTTATCAAAAAACGAGATGTGTTTCCCTTTGTTCGGTGGATTCCCCCCGTTTTCCCTTACTTCTGGGCCCATGATATTGACGGTGTCTCGGTGTTAAGTCAGAGTTTCTGATGCTGTTTCGCTTTCAACCACTTGGGACCTGGGAAGGTGGTTTGATCATGGCACAAAAAAAGGGTGCCAGTGTTTGGTTGGTTCCCACCTAAACATGATCAACCCACAAAAGGATTCCCTGTTTCTCTTGTTCTGCCACTGGGTCTTCGGGCAAGTGGGCAATGCAAATCGAGGTGAATCAGATCGAGCTGAATGTGCTCGAATATGATGCCGAGGCCGCGTGGCACAGAGGAAACACCTTAAGCTGAGCTGATGGTCCTGAATGACCCCGGCGAAATTCTAGGGGTACCTTCCAATTCCCATTCTTTCCAGGGATCCGAATCTTTCCACAAAACCTCCGGAAACCCAGGGAAAAGGGATCCGGTTTTTGGAAAATGGTTGAACAGAATGGACAAGGAATCAACCCCTAGATAACTCTTATCACGCCAGGGACTCCGAGGGTAACCCGTGCAGCTCGGCGTCTTGCATTTGAAAGGGGAACCAATTTGGAAGCAGCTCGGCTGCTTGAAGCGATGTACGTTCGCGCTACCGTTTCAATTTATGCTTTGTTTGGGGCAATGCCCTTGGCATGAGTGAGAATTCAAAGAAAAGCTAAGAGACATATTATACGTCCAGAGAGCACCTGGCAGATTCCCTCTCCTTGCGAACCTTTCGTTTTCTCCCTCGCCTTCCGGCTGCCAATCGGCAGGGCTTGGCGTACTCCAAGCAGCTGAACATCACCGTGGAGGCCGGCCAAGTTTGAAGAACCCGGAGGGCGACACGTTTTGCCGTAGTGCACACCGGCGATGAACTGGATCCACTGTGGTTGAAGATCTTGAGGAGCCCAGGCTCCAAACAAATATTTCTGGACTTTCCGGCGGGAAGCTTCTTCAACTTCACCAATCTCAAACAAAATGGAGGAGTACTCGAATAGACCCAATCTCACTTGCCCCGGGCGAATGGACTGGATCTGATCTTGGACGTTTGCCCAACGCATGTTTGGTCATGCACGGAGAGGCTTTTATTTCCAGGTCCTTTTTGCAGGGTGCCCTTACAATCGTGCTTTTGGCATTCGGGCAAATGAGCTGACTGGGGGTAGAATGAGCTCATCCATTATAGAGATCCCTTACCTGATTCCGAGTTTCCGGTTTGGAATTATCAGTTGTCCTCCCAACTTGATTTAATTTATGCATGGGTTTGGGAAGCCAACCGCATCACCGAGGCCTACTCCCCGGTGGGCCGCAGCGGCCACTCTGGGGACATTTGCGCCTTGCCCATTGTTTGGCCCTTCCCTCGCTGGTTGGAAGGGACCCGGGCTACCAGAGCTGGGGGTATATATCCGTATTTGCGGATAAGGGTTTGTCTCAAATCCGGGACCCTCAACATGGGTGGTCGTCTTCTTTTTTATACCACCCAAAAAGGGGACCATCATTAAAAGGACGCTGCCTTTTGGAACCGGGGCCCGTCGCAGTTCGTTGGAGTAAGGCACTTCTGTTGGCGGAATGTAGGCAGGTAAAAGCAAGGGCCCTTCAGTAAATCAGCCGCTTTTTGTTTTTTGTTGCTTTTGAGTTGTTATGAAAGGACCGTTCCTTTTGCAGCAACTGCCCAAAGACGTCATGCATTTTGTTTTCCATGTTTTCGGTTGGGTCTGCCGCTTCAAAGCCAACCGCCCTTTTTCTTTTCTGGGGCCAACTTGCGTTTTTGTGTGGCCCGTCTTGTTTGGCTTTTTGGTGTGGCCTTGTGCAGAATCACAGGGAAGACCGCAGCCATTTTGGGGGTCTTCAAAAATGCCACACCCAGTTGCTCCCTTGGCACTCAAGGATTGTAGAAGTCGCTGTCAGCCCGAAGAAAGCAGCCCAGAGGTCGTTTGACACACCGTTGAGCCATTGGGGGGTTGCTGGTAGGGGCTTGTTCACTTAGTTATTTTTTTTTTCCAGGGGCCTACTTTCTTGCAACCCTTAAGTGTCGTTGTGCACCTGGTTCTCGTATGTGGAACCATCCGTCACCACCAAACCACCAAGAGGGAAGTTGGGTGTGCCTTGTTTTTTTTCGGACCCCGCCCCCAAGAACACAAAGAACAAGACGTGGTGATCCGCTTGGTCTCCCTTGGCACCCCAAAAAACGGGTACCGACTCAAAGAAAGCCACACCAAGCTGAACCCAGCCGGGCTTCCAGACCCCCAGACGTTCAACACCGAGGCGGCAACGAGGTGGTGAAGTCGGTGGCCTCGAAGCACCAGATCAGCACCTACCAGGCTCCATGGCGAAGCCGTTGGCCCCAACTGGGCCAAAATATTGGTGCCACTCCTTCACTGTTCTTGGGAATCTTGCTTTTTGTTTAAAGGTGGTTGTTGTTTGGCATTTTTTTGTGTGTGTTTTGTTGTTGGTTATTCGGTGTTTTTGTTGTTTTGTTTTGGTTCTGCTCATTTTTAGGCCTGGGGGCTGCAAAGAGCAAGTTGTGTTTGTTGTTTTTTGCAAGGCCATACCAAGGGTTGTGAAGACTCACTCCCCGATGCGTGGATTGAACCAGCGCTAAGGAACTCGTGGACTACTAGGGCGCAACCAAAATCGCTAGAGATATTCCAAGTCACAGTGAACGAAACGCTCCAAGGGGATGTGTCACTAGTAGTCACTGATGTTGTGTAAGTGGGGTAAAAGCAGTGACCTTTGGTACAACTCCCCGAGTTCCGTTTCGGAATTTCGCCACTTTTTGGAAGACCAGTTCGGTGGCAAATAATAAGTTCCTGGACTTTGTTTTGGCCCATCCACTCAGGAAGTGAGACTATCTTACATTTTTGCCTTGACAAGAATCATGGCAGAAAGATCTAAGTTGAGCGAGCAAGGCAAGGGCTCCCTCCTGGTTTCCCTTTGCCGAACGGGTCACAAGCCAGTTTGAGAAACCAACGGTCATGCCACGTGTTTTACTTGAGGGTACCTCTTTCAGATTGCTTCAAAGGGACGGCAAACGGATAACCACAACTGTTAACTGCTTCACCATCCAACTCTTCTGCCGGCATGGGCCGATTCCTTTTTTTGGTGGGGGTTCGCCTGATACCAAAGAAATGCCGTCTGACATACTGATGCAAGTGTGTACGCCCAACTGTACCCACCTTGGGACCCCAACTGTTTGGGTCCTCCTTGGCGCCCGCCCATGTGTAGGGCAGCCACTGCAGCCGAGGCCCTGGGCATTGTTTTGAAGGGCTTGGAACTAGGGCCTAGGCCTATTAGCCGCGTCTCGGGCGAGGTGGCACTGAAGTGGATCCTGCAGCACGGCAACCTCTTGACCTTCCAGTCAAGCTCCGCAGAGCATCAGGCTTGTTTTTCTTCTTGGGGGGATCGCTTCGGAGGGAAGAAATTGACAGGGAGAGTAAAGGCTTACCATGGCCATCACTTGCCTTCCTATCCCGTCTCGGCTACTTCTGTCTTGGCTCGTCAGGTGATCGTAACGCCAAGATGAGATGAAAGGAAGGGATGGGAACGGATATTCAAACATGCTTTGCAATCACACCCCTTTTTTGTCTAGACATATAACAATGGTGAGGGACATGATGATCATTAATGGGCAGATGTGTTGTAGCTTGTAAGTGTCCAATCCTTAATCAGGATGGTTCAGGACCCGCTCGTGTTGCTCATGAGCAAAGACCTGCTGGCTGATTCGGGGTTTTGAGAGTTCCCTTTAGGGATGTGTTGAACATGAACTCTTGGGCAACTGTCAATGGACCGAGTACCTTTTTTGGTGCGGCCATGTTTGAAGGGGCCACTGTGGCTTGTAAGAACGCACGCTCAGGGCGACTGGGGTCGGGGCAACGAAACATTTTCATTATTTGGGGCCAATTCCTTGAGGCGGTTTGCTTTTGGTTTCCCCAACAAAATCAAAGGGACCCCCTCATTGGTGGTTTGGAGTTCAACCATTCTGAGCCCGCAGCTTTTGAAGGCATAAACATGGGAAAACCCCGTGGAACCACCACACCACCGGGCGCCAAACCACCAACTAGAGCTGACAAACGGGAACCGCTATGAGAAACGTCGCTTCGCAACGCCAACCCTTGGGCAGGCGGAGGACGCGGACGTTTTCGGCTTCCAGATCAGCGACGAGGAGATGAAGGCCGCTTGGCCAGCGAGGGGCACTGATGTACTCTCTGTTTAGAGCAGGCTTGTGGGATCAACGTGCTTGTGCTCAGTAGGGAATGAGAAATGGAATGACCCCTATAAACCACCCCTTTACCATCCAACTGGTGGTTTCCTTTAAGGGGATCCCTGGGTTCATTCCCACATTCCCTACTGAGTACCAGCAAGTCAAGGGTTTTTCCCCACTGTGATACAAGGGAATCCCCTCTTTAGAATTGGGGGGGGGTAGTCTTCACCGGTGCCGATGTTTTTTCCCATGGAACCGCGTTTTTGAGCATGTCAGCAGAAAAAGCGGGTATTTGAAGTATGGGTCTTTTCGTTTGAGAAGCGGCGACCTTTCTGCAAAGTAGCCCATGATGTGTCAATGTCCCTCGACAGAAACATACCGGGAGATGATATGTTTCTATTTTCCTGACCCTTTATCTGAGACTCGGTTGATCATCAACCCCCCCTGCCAAAAGGGTCCCTAAAAGGATATTTTAAGCATTTTCTTTCCCACTTGGATTTGGTAGAAGATGTTCATGACAGTAGTTCCTTATCCTATCAGGCTGGCAAAGCTGATGCATCCAACGTGTGGGTTAGCCAGCCGCCAGTCAACATTACACAATCCAGAAGTTGGATACTCCATGTGTGGATGCCTCATTTTCATTGTTTGACACTCTTTTTGTACTCTTCCACCATTTCACCAGGGGATCTGCAAACAAGTCGTAAACAACAACGACCATCTGCGCAAAAGTAAAATCCACATCTATACCCACAGAAGATAGGCCAAAGAAGTCACGGGTTAGCGCCCATACAAAAAGTAGTCACACCAATTGTTTGTTGCATTTTGCTTGGATGTTAGGACTTTAACATTTTGCCAACTAATGGGTTTTCCGTATTAAACCACTAAAAGTTATTCACTTTTAGCAGGGCTTCGCAGATTTCGCAACCGACAATTCTTTGTTGCCCAGTGCCCTGTTTTCCTTTTTTGGGTAATGGTTCCCCTTCAAACTCAACCAAGAAGACAAGATCGGGCTTTCGCGTCTTTTTTTCCCGAGACTTCGCGTCTTCGATCCACGCCCCTCGCGCGGCGATCCGAGGCTTTGGATCAACTCCACGGAGCATCTCCTGGCCTTCGGCCCATGGTGGTGTGAAGCGGCGTGAGGCGGTCAGGCGGTCAGTGCCGCCGAAGAATTTTCCGTCAGTTGCCCGAAGCGAATGGACGCAATCTGACCTTTGAGTTTTGGAGGTGTTTTGATGTGGTTGCTCAGTTTGGTTCCAAGCAGGTTACTGTAACTCTTGAATTCCTGCTGGGCAAGTGAGCCGGTGGAGCGTTGGCCGCCGGTGCAGGGTTTCACCCTGGCGCAATGCGAGTACGGACGGAAGAAAGGGTGTTGTTGCGTCCTTTGCTGCCATCCTTGGCCCAACTTGGATCAAACAACTGCTTTTTACCAAGTACAAGGCGACCAGGAACTGGTTGCTTGGAAAGTATTGATGTGTGCAGAGATGTTGCAAGCTCATTGCTGGTCTACCTGGTATCAACCTGTTTGGCAGGAGGGGTTTGAACAGTCTAAGATTGGGAGGTATGGGCCAGTATGGGTTTAATATGAGTGTGGTTCCTTTTGTTGAGGGTACAAGTTCTTCTTTTTTTTTTTTGGGTTGGTTTAAAGGAAAACTGAAGGGACACCGCAGATGCTATGTATATATATATATACAGTATATACATTTATTGAAATCGCTACGCGATCCGCCGACGCCTTTGGACAGTCCCCTATTAATAAACTGGGGCTGATGTCATGTGGGGCTCTTAACGCGCGGAAGACAAACAACACCGCTCTGACGTCGGCTGCAGGGCCTTGAATTTGGGTAGGGAAAAAGACTCTCTTTTTTGCCTAGGTCAAGTTAAGCTCTCAGCGCGCCCCTCTGACGTCGGCTGCAGGGTGCCTCGAATTGGGCCGGGAACAAGACGTCTTTTTGCCTAGGTCACATCGGGCTCTTAACGTGTTGAGGGAGAACAAATAACGCCCGTCTGACGTCGGCTGCAGAGTGCCTCGAATTTGGGGTAAGAAAAAAGACGTTTTTTTGCTTATGTCAAATGGGGCTCTTAACGCGTGGAAGGAGAACACAAACAGCGCCCCTCTGACGTCGGGGTAAGGAAAAAGATGTCTTTTTGCCTAGGTCATATGGGGCTCTGCAAGTGGAAAGATGGAAAGAGACCAAACGACGCCCCTCTTTTAACGCCTGGAAGGCGAACAAGCAACGGTTGTGTGGAGGGAGAACAAACAACGCCCCTCTGAGGTGCCTTGAATTTGGAGTAAGGAAAAAGACGTTTTTTTGCCTAGGTCACATGGGGTTTTAACACGTGGAAGGAGAGGGTGCCTCGAATTCGGGGTACGGAAACAGATTTTGTTGCTTCGGTGACATGCACCTTTTAACGGGAATGCAAACAACGCCGCTGTGACTTCGGCAGCAGGGCTGAACACTTGACAGGAGAAGAACACTAGGGTCTACTCTTTAACCACCCCCGAAAGGGTAGAAAAGCAAGGCCCCATTTTTGTTAAGTACCACAAGGCCTTCTTGGCACTTCCTGTTTTTCATGTCCCAGTGCTGAGGATGCTGGAATTCAAGGGATGCAACCACACAACTTACAGGAACAGACCCAGTCTTCGAGCTCAAGATTATAAGACTTTCAGACACGCAACATTGACCAAACACGGGAATGCAGCCGGCTAGCCACAAAAAAGTGCAAAACAACACTGGTTTTTCCATATTTCCCAAAGGCAACCATCAAAAACCGATACTAGCAACCCCCCCTCAAATACCCTAAAAATAGACTTCCAAAAGCACGATAATGCAGGGCATGTTTCAACAGTTCCTCAAAGTATCATGCACTTGGCCCCACCCAAGCCCCTAACAGGCCAATTCCAGCATCGCTTGAAACAGCAAAACACCACTAGTATCTGCAAAAAACAAATTCATGGCAACAAGGCAATCCTGATGCTGCTGGGGATGCAGATCCTGCGCGTCCGGGGGAAACCCCCCCCTAGACCTAGGCGAAACGCAGATTTTTAGCACGAAAGACCCAACAACTGGAAAAATGCAGGTTTTGGACACCTAGCACAGCATGCCCCAAAAATAGCAGTCTCAAAAGCCTTCGGCTTGAATAAGAGATTCCGAAGGAAGACCAAGTTGCGGACTGCCATCTACACGCTCGACTGGCGTCGGCGGATTTGGGGGGGTCCCCTATGTCGTGACCCCATTTGGAATGGTTCCATGTTGCCGACCCACCGCTGGCAGCCGTGAAGCGCCCGAGCTGGCAGCTTCGCGTGGCCACTCGCAGCCATGGCATGCACTTGGCCCTGAGGGTGGCTAAGCAGCGCAAGCTCGCCAGGACGGGCCAAACCGGGCATGGGGCCGAAGAACTGTCCGGTCAATACCTACACGTATATATTGGGTGTTTCTAAAGACTAGGAAGCCTTTATGTGGTTGGTTTCCTTTCTCGGCCCCATCAAAACAAGCCAAAAGGGGACCAACAATTTGGAGAAATATTCATATAAATACATCAGGTGCATGAAGATGCATATACAGATGCACATCATAGATAAGCTTACACAGATGTACATATATATAATTATATATATACATATGTATATATATATATAGACAGACGCACATACAGTAGATATGCCCTGCTTTTGTTGCTGGACACTGAGCTGGGTCAAGGCCGTGCAGCTCTGTTGTAGACAGCCAACAAGCGGAGTCGTTTTAAGATGCCCAAACGAAATGGGCCAACCTCCTCGAGGATGGATGCATCCAGACATGGCTCGCTTCACTCACCTTTAGATGGATAGCGGTGCGTCGCAGGGTTCTGGGCGGCACGCCGCCTACACTGACAAATTTGCTGCCTTTGCGGGACGCCGGGGAAGTTATTCAGAAATTCTGCGAAGTGTCCTTGCAGCTGCGGGAGTTCGCCACAAAAACAACAAGGAATCCGTTTATATGGCATTGCCAGGAGCAAATGCATGGCAATGCCTTGAACTCAAGCATGCCTGCGAGTGTTGAGGGCACGGCGATTCGCGGACATTGATGCAATCATCAGGCACCCCTCAGGAGGGGTTCCACCGTGAGCAACCACTGGATAGCACCATCATGAGTCTTTGATTTGCAACCCTACCGTATTCATCAGGTACAATGCCTTCTACCCCTCTGATCAATCATTTGGGAGATGTAGGGGTTTGCTATAGCAAGCCCACCCTGGAGCTCAGCTATTATTGAGCCTCCCAAGGATTCCGTCGGGTGAAGATCCCAATGCCTCACATGAGTCATGCAGTTCAGCTATGGAGATGGCACTTCCTTCCCTGCGTTGGCATTTGTATGGGTCCGTCAAAGGGTCATCAAGTTTATCCTCCGGGGAACCTCCCCTCAAAACACATTTTGAGAATCCCTCAAAATGCACACCACTTTAAGCAGTCCAGTCTGTGGTCCCGATCCGAAGATCCGATGGGCTCGCTTGGCGCGGCAGGACTCAACAGAAGCTTCAGGGCTTGGTGCCCGCAGCATCCAGCATCTCGGCTTTCGGATGCCCCGCTCGCCGGCCCCAAAATCATGGGTCTCGGACTCCATAGCTCTGGGGGAACCAATGGATGGCCTTTGGCGTTTGGGGTCATTGTAAACCAAATCTGGGAAACCAAAAGGTCAAGTCCGGCCGCCACTGTGGTTGCAGAGTTATGTGTCCCAAGGCAACTTCTGGCGAGGTCATGGATCAATGCTCCGTCGTATGAATTGGATGCCTGAGGTTATCGATCCTGCAGGCAAACCCTTACCAGCCCCAAGGGACCTGGACACAATATTAAGGAAAAAGGCCGATTTGCTCCCTACCATGGTCATGGTAAAGTCAGGGCTTGCCCGGTTGAGGTTCATGGTATTGGGCTACCGATAGGTTGCATCGATGGTCACACCTGATTTCCTGGGCAAGGCTCTTTGATAACTGTACATGGTGGCCTAAGCGTAAAGTGGTTTGCACGCAGGACCCTCAACCAATGTGTTCACGCGGGTTGGACAAGAAGTGCAACGCTCTTTGGGAAGCGCCGTTAGGATTCCTTCAGCAATCGCTGAGCCCCAAGAAGTCTTTTGTGAGGGTCCCCTTATACCCCCTCCAAGAAGCGTTGAAAAGGCAGATCTTGCCCTCCATGCTTGATTGCCTTACTGTACCCCCATGCGCCCCACCAAAGCGTTCCCCGTCAAAACTTCGATAGATTTGGTGAACGTTTGTATATACATATATATATATATATGTATATATGTATAAATGTACATGATAGAAGGCAACAACCCCCCAACCCACCCCACTCCCCGCCATAGTCTCGCCATTTCTTGGATGCGAGCTCATGGGGGGGTGGCCGCTTCCGATACGCCCAAGCCCCTACCCCCGAGGAAAACTAAGGTTGTAGCTGCAACAAACCCATTACATAAGGGTCATATATTGTTTTTTGTTGGTTGGGGGTGGTGCTTTGGGCACAGGGTAGCTACTGTTGCATACTGGTGCCATGATTTAGCTGAATTGTCCTTGATCTTCTTTAAGGAGCTCTTGTGGGGGGGAACCCTCAATGGCCATTTGAGGTGGGCATCATTTGGCGTGCCAAATTCTGTTGAGGAACGGGGGGATCCGGGCCAACTCACATGAATGTGCTCTTCTTTTTACAGGACCCCCCCTTAACAAAACAAAGAAAAAGAAAAGAAGAGAGAAGCTTGGTTTCCCTTTGTTTCTGTTCAACCCCCCCAACAAGAAGGCACCCACACCAAATACAGACTCAGATGTCGACTTAGTTTTTGCTGTGGCCCCCCCTCCCCCACCCTTCCATCCTCTCCCCCATCCTCCCCCACCCTTCCACCTTCCCCACCCTCCCCCTCCGACCCCCCCACCACCCCTTCCACCCACCCTGCACTGGGGGATGCCTAGGCCTCAAGCAGCTCAATGCGCACCTCGCCCTCCTGGGCCGCCAGGGCGCCTGGCCAGCGGCCCTCGCGCTGCTCGCCCGGGCGGAGACCGCGGACGCGGCCAGCGGCTCGGCTCGGCGGGCGGCTGGCGGCTGGCGGCTGGCGAGCGGAGGGCGGTTTGCGGGAGTGCCGGGGGTGGTTTGGTGAAGTTTGGGTCTAGGTGGTGCAATTGTTGTGTTCACTCTTATGTTGACCGTTAGTTATAGCTTAATTATGGGAAACCAGCCCCCAAAGGGTGCAAAATGGCCATAGGTTCATATATGAACCTATACAAAGACTTATCTGAAAGGAGCAACTACAGAAAATGGGCCCCAAACACCTAACAAATGCTGTCCGCCTGTAGAATTTCCGCTTTCACCCAACCCTTTGAGCCTTTGACTTGCTGGTGCTCAGTAGGGAATGTGGGATGAACCCAGGGGTCCCTATAAAGGAAACCACCAGTTGGATGGCTTTCAGAGGTCATTCCATTTCTCATTCCATTTCCATTCCATCTCTCGAACCGATCGCAAGTTGAACCCTGGACCTCGAACGCCTTTTCTTTGAGGTTACGCCTCGACGGTGGCGGCGTGCGCGAGGAGTGGGGCGTGGCAGCAGGCGCTGGCGGTGCTGCAGGCAGCGAGGGAGGCGCTGCGGTACAGGCAGGGCTTCGTGGGCCAAAGAGTTTGAGGGAGATTGGTACTTTTACTTGCTGGTGCTATAAGTATAGGGAATCCCCTTAAAGGAACCAGTTGGATGCTTTTTTTTCTGGGGTCATTGCATGTCTCATTTCCTGAGCACCAGCTAGTTTACTGTTCTTGGATCAGGCTTTTTCGTCTTGCTGCTCAGCAGGGAATGAGAAATGGAATGACACCTCTCAAGCATCCCCCATGGCTTCCTTTCAGGGGACCCACTTCCGGTTCATTCCGAACTCCCTGCTGGGCAGCAGCTGCTTTTTTTGTTTCTGGATTTGGTTGGCTCCGTTCCTTTTTAGGTTCGGGGGGCGGTGAGGGGCAACAATTTTACGTTTTTGGCGACCGTATGCTTACCATACATACGCGCCAACTTTGCGCTTACCTCCAACCCACAATCAGGTCATCCCAGATTGGTGGTTTGGTGCCCAGTGGTCGTATTTGGATTTGAAGCGCTGGATCTTGAGGGCAAAATGGGAAGCCACCCCGGAACACCATCAAACCACCAATCCAAACCACCAGTTAGTGGGAAGCTAAAACAATTCCCTGAGTTGCTGGAGTTGAATTCAACTTAACGCGTTTGGGGCATTTGAGTGGACCAGTTAGTTTAGTCACTTGAGCGCCAACCCGACTTGAAGCCCGTAATCTTCGCAAGGGGAGGGGTATGTTTTCAATAGCTACGAATTCATCGCTTTGTGAGGGGTCTTCCTTTAGGCACCAGGGTTCGGGGCTCAAGGGGACACCGCCAGGTCTTCAAATGTAATTTCTGAGCCCCTGAAAATGCCAGGCTGTAAGGGACACAGCCTCGGAAGCAGTTTCGGCAAGGCCCCAAATCCTTCCTTTAGCTCTTCCAGAGCCAATGGGAGGAAGGCTGATCTGCGAGGGTGAATGGGAGGTGCCTCTCCCCCGCGGGGCCCAGGCACCCACCCAAAGTCCTCTTGACCTTTTGACCTTTGGGTTTCCCAATTTCGGGGTTCCCATATTAGACATGGTAAACGGTGATCACCTTGATTTCTGGTTGCAACTGGGCAACTGAAAAAGTCTTTGGGGTGGTTTTGAAGGGAAAACCCCTCTCCAAAAACAAAGACAATGCCCCACCCTTGCTGTACATGACTTGAAAGAGACATCGCCTCCAAACCCCTTGTTGAACTAAAATGGAAATGCCAGCAACCCCTCTCGAGGACAGGCGCCCACTAGGAGGAGGCTGATCTGGGATAAATGAGAGGCGTTTTCAACGAGTGACCCAGTGACCCAAAAAAACCCAAGACCTTCTCTCCAGGGACGCCTTCAGCACCTGCGCGGCCATCTCTGCGCTGGGCGATCGCTGGGAATGGGCGCTGGGACTGCTGGCGGAAGTGCCCGGCCTGGGGCTTGGACACGACAGCTCTGGGGCCCTGGGGCTGAGCCAAGTGCCAAAAGCGGGGAAGGGGCGCGTTTTTTTTTTCCCCCACTTTTTTTTCTCCTGTTCTTCCTCTATCTTCTTGTTTTTCCTTCTCTGTTTAGTAACTTGGCCCCCTGGGCACCAAGAGAATGATAGTATTTGATTTTGTGTCATGTTTAAGGGAGGAGAGCGCTGGTCCCCCTTTTTCGGGCTGGTGTAAGAGGGGGACAACAGGAACAGCTACGGATTGTTGGATGCCCCATTTTGAGAGACGTGTTTAGGGGCGAGGTTCTCCTTGCAGAGATTCACGCAATAAATTAAGAAGATTGCCCGTCCTTGCACTGCTGTCTGCCGCCCCGGCTGGGAGTGCAAACCTCCAGCATTCACATTCTTACACCTGGAGCTCCAGGGGAAACAGGGTGTTTAACCTTCGTTTGGCAGCTACCTGGTCCCCAGTTTGCCTGGGCGTGATGGTTTTGCGGTGGGGAACCAATCGAAGCCAACATGAAACACCTGGCAGCAACACTGACAGCATTGAAGTTACAAGGAGAGACACTACCCTGACCCAAGAGCTTCTTCCCAGAAGGTTCTAAGAACCTTTCCTTGGTTTTCAGAAAGGTTCTCAGAAACTGTTGAGACTTCATTTTTTTCTTTCCCGACTTGAAATGCGGTGAAGTTGGACCAGGAACCCTTTGGAGATCATCTTGTTGGTGATCTATGTCCACGATTTCGGACGAGTTTCCCATGGAAAATTGACACGTGATGATGTATGTCCAACCGTGCTGGAGGGGTTCCAACTCAATGCCATCCCCAACAATCGTGGAAGCGACGATCGGGCTTTGGAAGCCGAACGCTTTCCTTTTGGGAAACTTCCATGTCAACTTCAGGATTCTTTCAAAGAGGGTACATACCGCTTCCATGTCCATGTCCAATGTCCAGGTTGATCGTTGAAAAATGCTACCTCTCTGTGGGTCAAAAATCCCGCATTTTTCTCAAACGTTGAAAATGTCCAGTTTGATCGTTGTCCAGTGTCCAGTCTCTTAGGGTTGATTTAAAGGGCGATCCGATTCCCACCGGTTGGGACCCCGAATCGATGACCTGGGATTCGAGGCAGCCTGCCGGCCAGCAACGCGGCCCTCACGGCGCTGGCCAGGGCCGCGCAGTGGCGCCAGGCGCTACGACTCTTCGGCCGAGGCGGTGACGTGGTGAGTCTGGGCGCCGTGGAAAGCACTGGATATTTATCGGGGCGCCACATATCGGGACCACTCCCGGCACACACACACAATGGTTTGTGCCCCAAAATGGTTTGAGTTTGTGTGTGTGTGTGGGTGTGTGTGGGTGCGTGCGGGTGCGTGCGTGCGGGCGGGCGGGCGTGCGCGCGTGCGCGCGTGCGCGTGCGTGTGCGCGTGCGCGTGCTGCGCGCCTGCGCGTGGGCGTGGGCGTGGGCGTGTGCGTGGCGTGTCGTGTGCGCGTGTGCGCGTGCGCGTGTGCGCGTGTGCGCGTGTGCGTGTGTGCGCGTGTGCGCGTGTGCGCGCGTGGCGCACGCGTGTGTGCGCGCGTGTGTGTGTGTGTGTGTGTGTGTGTGTGTGTGTGTGTGTGTGTGTGTGTGTGGTGTGTGTGTGTGTGTGTGTGTGTGTGTGTGTGTGTGTGTGTGTGTGTGTGTGTGTGTGTGTGTGTGTGTGTGTGTGTGTGTGTGTGTGTGTGTGTGTGTGTGTGTGTGTGTGTGTGTGTGTGTGTGTGTGTGTGTGTGTGTGTGTGTGTGTGTGTGTGTGTGTGTGTGTGTGTGTGTGTGTGTGTGTGTGTGTGTTTGAGTTTGTGTTTGTGTTTGTGTTTGTGTTTGTGTTTGTGTTTGTGTTTGTGTTTGTGTTTGTGTTTGTGTTTGTGTTTGCGTTTGCGTTTGCGTTTGTGTTTGTGTGCGTGTGCGTGTGCGTGTGCGTGTGCGTGTGCGTGTGCGTGTGCGTGTGCGTGTGCGTGTGCGTGTGCGTGTGCGTGTGCGTGTGCGTGTGCGTGTGCGTGTGCGTGTGCGTGTGCGTGTGTGCGCGCGCCCCAAAATGGTTTTCGTCTGTGTGTGTGTTGTATTGTTGGCTTCCCGTGGGAACTCACATTCTGCCTCCATTCCTAACTTGCTTCGAGTTTTTGAAGTACTTCACCTCATTTTTTCAGCTTCTGGGCTTTGGCAGCTTTTTGGGAAGACAGTTTCAGTTGCATAACAAAATGGATTTTCGGTTTGGCCCCTCCACTCAGGACGTTGTTGCTTTAACACCCCCCTTCTATTTACTTCGCCTCACCAGAGGTGAATTTTTCGGCTGGCCCTCATGGCCCTCATGGCCATCATGGCCCAGGTGCTGCCATGCATGCGGTCGCCAAAGCGGGGCAGTGGCAAAGCGCTCTGGTGCTCTTGGCCCGAACGGCCAGGTGGCGACTCACGGCAAACAGGACCGGAAGGGCAGAAAACTCGCATGAGCCTCTTTTTTTTAAATAACGGTAGCAAGAAAACTGGAAAAAATGGTGAGTTTCCCTTCAGCTTTTGTTTGAACAACCCCCCAAAAAGGCACCCAGAGGAAAAAACAGACCCACATGTCGATCCCAGAAGCAGATGAGCCAAAGTCAAAGCCGGGTAGATGAAGGTTAAGGGATAATCCCCTTGACATGAATGGGCGCGATTCGGCCGCCTTTTACATTCCTCAAGCATGGCTCTGGGTAGATCATTTTATTCCGGGGTTTTGATCATGACTCGCATGAGTGTCTCTTTGTTTTGCATGACCCCCCCTCCCCCCAGTTATGATGGACACTTAGGGTCTAGTTTGCAACCTCCTTCATTTATAGTCTGTTTTTGTTGGGTTTGAGTCTGCAAATAGACTGTCACTGTCCGTGGCTCGGCCCCCGCCCAACAAAAAAACAAAATGGTGGGTTTCCCTTTGGTTCCTGTTTAAACCAACCCCCAAAAAGGCACCTAGAACAAAGCAGACCCACGCACGGCACACGTCAACTTTGTTCTTCGTGCGGCCCAGATTTGGGCCAAGAATACTCCAACCAGAGGGTTATTACCCTTCGAGTCTCCATGCTGGTCAAGGTTTTGTGTTCCAGGTCCTTTGTGAGAGGGGCCAGGAGGGGTTGAGACTTCGTGTTGTTGGGCCTTTTGGTTTTGTTTTCGGATACGAGCTGAAAGCCTTTGTTTTGGACCATTAGTTTGGTGGTTTGATGTGGTTTGGGTTTGAAGCCCTGGTACTTGTAGAGGCCAGAAGCGGAAGGTGTCCCCAAACGTCGAAACCGGGCTCCATTGATTGGAGGGAAGCTGACGTGTGTTCATAGGGCTCGCCGAAGACAATGGCCGGATGCCAGCTCGCCTGCGGAACTGCCCCAGTTGTTCCGATTCACCCGTATTACCTTTTTGAGTCCGGTGGGTTTTCTACAAAACATCGTGCAGTCAAAGACTTATCCCCGCTACCACTAACATGGCACCTGACAGAGGGTTCCTTGCAAAGGAAACCAATTTTCCAGGTCCCCTCCCACAGATACTATGTGTTTGTGGTTAGGAAGGGTAACATATTTTCTTCTCTACCCATGGTCCTCAACTCAGCGCAGTGGCACCCCAAAAAGGGCCCCACTAAAAATGGTGTTCCCAAAAAGGGTTCCCTTTTTTTGCAGGGTCTCTGAACAACTGAGTCAACGGCATTTATGTTTTTTCGGCGCTGATTCGAACCTCGTGTTTTTGTTTTTTTCCTTTTTCTCCCCGTCGATTCGGGTGATGCCGGCAGGGTCGTCTACAACGCGGCAATCAGCAGCTGCCAAACCGCCGCGCAGTGGCAGACTGCCCTCGCGCTGTTCCGTGGCTTAAAGTTGAAATCATCGCATTCCACTTGACTGCTATTGGATTGGATCTTTAAACTTTAACTTTTTTGGAAATAACAGTGTTTTCCACTAAATCCCCAAAAAGTCATACTTTTTGCAGGGGGGCCAACAGCAACTCAAGGGCTCCTGGGGCATAGGCTTGCCCAGCGGCCAGCTAATTAAGCAATAAGCTTTACCCAGAATGTCAGAGATTTAAATCGAAATCCGGCGCTCCTGCATCGCCACGGTGAGTTGTGGGTTGGATTGGCGCGTTGGCATTAGATGCTGAACTTGCGAACCCGGAGCCCGTTTTTGTCCAACTTCCCCCCCAAATAGTGATCTCTCATTCTCGCATGGGCGGTGTATTAGGGAATCTTCATTACTGCAAGGTTTCCGAGCCATTCCCCTTTTTTAAAGTGGCGATTGTTGTTGTGACCCATTGGGCAAGTAGGTTATAACAATGACTATTAGTGAACTCACTGAACTCAGCCTAGTTACCCGTATAACTTACACTTCTCCAACATGTCGACTTTGAATGTTCAGTGAGCTTTCACCATGGCCATTCGGGAACCAACCCCAGTTGCACCAATTTTAAGTTCCAAGTTCCCTGCAGAACATGGAATGCAAAAAAGCATCATTGTTAGAAGACTGTCCTTGATAGCTTTTTTCGCGTGATCGCTTTGCTGTTCCTTCGGCGTCGGGATTTCCATAGGTTGGCGACCATGCAGAGCCAGCGGGTGCACGAAGACCAGGTCTCCAAGAACGCGGTGATCAGCACATGTGGCCCGAGCGGGAGACGTGGATGGGGAATTGAAGGCTTCGGCCAATGTCAGCCTATCAAACTACTGGCCCCATTTGTTTTATCTAGGGCAAATTTGGGTACGGTTGTTCTTAGTTGTTCTTTCTCCAACCCTAATGTTACCCCAAGTTGGTTTTCTCCTCCCAGCTCTTCTAATCTCAGGGTGGCAGTGGCATTGGTCTTCTCCTGGTTTGTTCCACCTTTTAGCTTAACTCAGTGGCCCAAACCCGACCTTTTAACCTTTTGGTGTTCCTAGTTTGGTCTATTTTTAGTAAAGGTCCCAAAAGGTTAACCTTTTGTTTCTGGGTCCTTTGGGCAACTGAGTTAAGGTGACCTTCGTCTGCCGTGGCGTTTCATGGGACTTCTTTTTTTTTTCGGGCCCCAGTGGAATCGGGCCTTGGGAAGCCTTTCTTTGGCTTGGGCCTGCTGGCGCTTCGGAGTGCGAAATGCCCGTGCCTTCAAGTCCTGAAGCCATAGGAACATCCCCAAGATAGCGCAAGAAGAAAAATATGTTTGAGGAGTTGGCCTTTAAGCATTTCGTTTGATTCATGGATAGCTCTAGATTGAGTCATTCATCTTTCGTGGTGAGTAAAGCTTTAGCCAGAAGATTCCACCAGTTCGAGAAGCCAACACTGTGGAAATGGCTGGGCCGGTCTGGCAAAAGGATCCACACCCTGTTTTTTTTGGTGGTTTGGGTAAGTTCCCAGAGTTTCAGGGGCGAAGTTCCTGGAGATGGTTTCTTAGAATAGGTGTTTGCGGTTTGTTCATTTCCACACCATGTCTTGCTGGCGTATCCTCGCTTTAGGACGCGGGCGAGCGGATGGACCTTTGGACCCTTCAGCTTTCCTTCCTATATTGGAGCTGGCCAAGAACAGGTAATGTTGACAACCCCAGCTAGTTGATACGAGGGGTGCTCCCCTCCAAAAGTGATGAATCCCCACTAGTACCAGGGAAACCCCCCTATTAGTAGACAGGGCTTTGAAAATATGAGGTCAACATTACTCTCCACAAAACAAAGCAAAGCTCCCAGGCAGCTGCGGAACCTGTTCTAGGTCTCCCCGTATATAGTGCCCTTTTGCCTTTTTTGGGGGAGGGTTCCCCTACTAAAATAGACAGAAACACATCGGGTACCAGCTTATTCTGACCTCAAACTACTGGAGGCCCGGAATCCGTTGAGGTGGCGCGGCTGGGCAATGGCAGCTCGCCTTGGCGTATTTCGGTGCGCAGAAGCAAGCAGGCCGCGCAGGCCATGGGATGGACTTCGGCTTTGGGCATAGGACCCTGGGTGAATCCAGGAGCTAAGGACTAGAATCCTTAAACATGGGGAGCCAAAGGACCAAACCTCCCCCCACCCAAAAAAAGGCAATCAAATTCAGGCAAAAGTCATTGGCTTGTTATGCAAGAACCTTCTTTAGGGGACCAGAAAGGCTTCAAGCATCAACATGGGAGGATGAACACATGGGTGCACTCAACATGTTTTTACAAAGAGCACCCCCAAAATGGTGTTTTGTTTTGTATGCGTTTTTTCCCCACAAAAGGGGTATCGCCCGTCAAAAACGACCCACCTCCAAACTTGCTGGTGCTCAGCAGGGGAATGAACCCAGTGGCTTTTTTTGGGAAACCACCAGAAAATATACTAGAAAAGGTCCTAGTAAAATAAACCCAAGACTTAGATGGTTTATCTTGGGGTCAGACTCCATGTCTCATTCCTGCATCTCTCGCCCCCGCAAGACGAGCATCTGCCAGAAGCCTTCAGTCAACTTCCATGATGGGCGGAGTCTCTGGAAGCCTACATCCGCAAGGTTCGTTCCATCATTTCCTGTTGAGCCCCCAGCATGGGTATTTTGTAGAATATCCCCCCCCCTTAAAAAAACAGAAGAAGAAGTCGTGGTCCTTGTGTTTTTGAAAGGGGTATCATTCCCCATTTTGTTTTTCAGAGTACCCCCAAAATGGTGGTGTGTTCCTTGAATTTGTTACACAAATCTAGAGGTACCTCCTCCATTCTTTCCAGGGATCCTTCTTTCTAGAAAACCTCCCGAAACCCAGGGAGAACGGCCGGTGTTTGGAAAGAACGATGGTTGAAAAGAATGGACAAGGAATCAACCCCTAGAAGACAAAGGAGTAGCCCCCGTCAAAAACGACACCCTTGTCGGACCTCGCTAGGAGAGGTCACCTACAACGCCAGCATCACAGCCTGCGGGCGCAGCAGCGAGTGGCGAAAGGCACTGCTGGTCTTCGGAGCGCCGCTTGGGCGGTCGCGTCGTCGTTCCCCCCCCCTTTTTTTTTTTTTTGGGGGGGGGGGGTGGTTATGATTTTGCATATATATATATATACATATATATATATATAGATGTACAGTTTGACGTGGTTTTGTGTTTGTTTTGCTTGTTTGTGTTGCTCCTGTGTTGGTTTGTTCATTGTTGTGTTTGTTCATCCTTTGTTTTTTTCCTTTTTTTGTGTGTGTTTGTTTCATCCTTTGTTGTTCTTTGTTTTTTGTTGTCCTTATTTTTGTTGTTTGTTTTGTTGTTGTTTTTGTGTTTCTCGCGTTCATATCCTTGCCCCACGTAAATCGGCTTCCCCTTTGTGGCCAATGTTAAGTCATGACCCCCAAAAAGGTGATCGCCTTTAGTTCAGGGTCCTTTAGACAGCTGAGTATCCCTTACCCCGTGGACCTGCGGCAGGACGCCAGAGTCGGGAACCCTTTGCCATCTTTCTTGCAGTCCAGGGGTCGTCTTCCATCCCGAAACTTGCACATTTCGTCGCATATGTAAATAAGTTGACTATCCGGTGGATCCCAGACAAGCCACTACAGTCCAGGTAACTAGTTGGTGGCGATTGGGGTTTAGGCTCGCTTTTTTTCCAGGGAGAATGGGAGACCACTCCGGAACATCTCAAGACCACCAATCCACCTCCCCCCCAAGAATTATTCTCAGAACACTGACGGAACCTCGGAGGGCCTTGCGAATTTGGAGGAGGGGCTATGGCTTCTTCACTCACCTAACAATTAAAACTCCCAACCCCCCGGCCCCCGCCCCCTCACACTTACTCCATTTTGGGTGCCTTGATTCCCCTCTACTGGGGGAACATGGTTGAAGACCTATCACCTTTTGTTGTTCTCAAGTATGAGATCTGATTTCCCCTTGATCTACAGAATTGTGCTTAAGTCACGTCCCCAGCGGCATCGACCCTGGAACTTTAGGGCAAACAGGGCGTCCCTGAATTACTTTACCAACTTGTGCTACTCTGGATTCAACCCTGAAACAGCTGCCCCCTTTGGAAGAATCACCTGTTGCCATTTTGAAGTTTCATTCGATTCCAGTGGTGTCCATTTTCGCTCGACCGGATAACGGAAAACTGGCCAACAGGGCCCTTTTTTTTGGACTGGCCACGGGAAAGGGCAATGAACTTCCTGCAGGAAGCTTCCAGAAAAGGAATGCCATTTGAGAAGGTTGCGCAGAAGGGAAAGAAGTAGTTGAGAGCCCCGGAGCCACAAGCGACCCCCCCTTTAAAACTCCAGAATCCACTATATATGTTTATGTGTCAGATCTTCCTGTAGCTACTCCTCCGTTTTCTTGAGAATATGTTTCATTTTCTTTGTCTTGGTTTCATTTGGAATCTATCACCGCAGGAAATTTGTTTTTTAATGTTTCCAGGGGGAGAGAAGCGCATGGACGTACTTTGATCGTTGTGTTCCCCGCGAAGTGAGTCTGATCCATCCGCTGCAGGATGGGATCGGACGCCAGTACACAGACCTACGGCGCTGTCATGGGCGCTTTGCAACATGCTGCCCAGCCGCTCGCTTTCCAACCGTCCCCTTTTTACAGGTAGAGAAGTGGCTTTGTGTCAAAGGGGAAAACCCAAACATATTATTTCCTGCCCATTGTTTCAAAAAAGCAGGGCCCTAATTCATGCACCCTTTCAGTTCCCCAGTTGGGGGTGAGGATTGCAAGAATCTCACCATCTTGCATTCTGCGTAAACATTGCCGGGCTCGGCCGAAGCTTCTAACGTTTACCTCTTCGGAGTTTCTTCATATGGTTTATTTTGTTTTCCCGGGGGGGGGTCTATTTTTTGTTAATCTATTTTCAATCAAATGCTTCAACTTGTTCAGCCTCCGAGTCTCCACTTTTACGCTTTTATGTGTGCTTCGCGGGAGAGTGACAGAGATGCTGAAATCCCAGAAGATGTCCCTAAAAGCTCTTGGGAGATTGGTTGGTTTTGCCCTTGTTGGTTTCCTTCAAACCTTCAGAAAACAGGTCACGTATTAGAATTGGCCAAGATCTTGTTATTTGATCACTTAAGAAAAAAATGACCGAACCCCTCAAACATGAGTTGACTGCCCCCAAAATGATGGGGTGATGTCCTTTTTTATGGCTGGCTTCAGGGTCCAGGTGCACGAGTGGTGTCCAAACAGTTAGGCTTTGCATGACTGTTCAAGACGCCTCCAAAGTTGCCAACCAGAACCGCCCAACCGCCTGCCTCTGAAGAGGCATGCTCTTGGTTCCAGGGGTCTGGGTGCGGCTTGGAACTCAGGTGGTTGATCCACCTTGGGCTTGGGGTTGGGGGGTCCGGTGGTGCCCTACGTGCTCAAGGGATCTGCCACTGGACCGAAACTTCAGGTGGCAGATGGCCTTTGAACTGCTGGAGATGCCGCGAGGCCGCAGACTTTCGGAACCCAGTTCTTCAGTGCCACTCATTTGTTTTCCCTTTTTATTTGGCTTCCCCAAAAGAAATGGCTCCGATTCTTGTTCTACCTTTCGGGTCACAAGGGAACTACTTTGCAAGACAAGCGGCGTGTCGAGAAACGACCATGGTTGAGAAATGCCCATGCTGCCGTGTGTAAAAGCTTAGGGGGCACCGTGCTGCAGGAAGCTGAAAGGAAACCAACATGAGTGGATGTGTAGGTGTGTCTTTGCTTGTGTGTTGTTTTGAAAGGAAGTTGCTTGAAAAGTCAGTAGGGTGTGTGTATGTGTGTGTGTTTTTCGAGGAGAAGGAACACCATTTTGGGGGGTTTTGTTGAATGCGGTTTTGCTAATGAAAGGGTTGATTATCTTGCCGGCTGAGTCTGCAAATCTGAAACTTGTGTATGTTCCTTCATCAGTTTGGTCCACAAAAGTAAAAAGACCTGTGTTCCAAAAAAAGTGCAAGCTTGACCAGCCTTTCTTGGATGGGCCGTGATGATTTTATATGGAGACCAGGGGGGAAACCACCCATCATTTGGCCAGCTACACTTGCTGTCATACCGAGGGATTTTCCTTCAAAGGGAAAGTGTAGTCAGACTGGCCGATTTTTTCCATCTCAAGGTGTATTTTGCATGGGATGGGCACAACTTAGGCTCTGTGAAACCTTTTTAGGGCAACTTTCAAGCCTTAAATCATCAAATCGCTTTCAGGCCAATTGCGTGAGTCAGCCTAAGTTGGAGTTAAGATGGTGTGGTGGTACTGGGCCAATTGTGAAGCTTGCTTTGGGCGGGTGGCCGGAACGGGCCGTTTCTGGCGAACCGCCCGAGCGCCATCCGCCCGAGGATGTTGCAGGGGCGCGTGCCGCGGAACAGCGCCGTGTGCAACGCAGCGATCAGCGCCTGTGAGAAGGCGAGGCCCAGGCTTTGCCTTGAGTCCCCTGGCGTGTTTGCCCCCGTGTTTGCCTTGATTCGGATTTTGAAGCCCTGGCTTTTGAGGGTAAAAAGGGAACCCATGGTTGTTGTTGGGAAACCTTTTACATTTTTGCTTATTGTGGTCTAGTGGTTGAAATCCAACCACTGAACTGCTAAGATGTCCATTTGTGCTCCCCTTTCAACGTCAACCAAGTCAAAGCCACATCCTATTAGAGAAGCTAACTTACAAACTAACTAGAACACATTAGTGTAATGTTCAGAGAAGCTAACTTACACTGGTGGGTATCATATAGCCTGTGTAACCAACTAGCAAAACAGCTTCCCAGCAACCAACAAGGAAGCACTAGGTCTGCCAGCAATTGGTGCCAACTTTTTGCCGTTGCTCTGTTGGTTGGGAGGGTTCCACTACTAAAATAGACCACAGAAGAAAGGGTGCCCTTATTCTAACCTCTCTAGTGGAGGACCTAGGTGATCCCCTTGCGCGTTTGCCTCAGCTTGCCTTCTCTGAGTTTCATGTCATATCCACACCACTTCCCAACTTTGCCTGCACACCTTTCGTACCAGCCCTCCTGAAACCACGAAGACACGATTCGAATTCACTGTCCATGCGCCCAAAGGGCATTTGTCGCTTGCGCCTCGTGCGCTCTCGTTCTGTGGGTCAGGTGTGTGTGTGTGTGTGTGTGCTTGGGTTTTTGGGCCCTTGGGCCCTTGGATCCCCATCGCGAAATCCCTGGCTTGCCCTTGCCTACGTCACACGCTTCTTGACGCATCGCTTTGGCCAGGCCTTCGGTCTCCTTGCGAGGAAAACACGGTTGGGGTTTGGTCTTAGAATTGGGGGACCGGCAAAACAAGAAGTTTCCTTTCCTCAGTGGCCCAAACCCAACCTTTTAACCTTTTGGTTTTCCTAGTTTGGTCTATTTTTAGTAAAGGTCCCAAAAGGTTAACCTTTTTTTTCTGGGTCCTTTGGGCAACTGAGTTTCAGTTCCTCCCTTCTAAAGGGTGTTCCCAACAACAACCAAAAAAAAACGCCCCAAAGTCCTAAGCGAACGTAGCCCAAAAAAAGCCGCCGCGTGTCACGGATCGATGGATATTCTTACTATTCCTTGGTAGCCCCTCCCACCTCTCAACTCTCCCCGGTTAAAAGGCCGAGGCGACAGTCAGCATAGCTAGCACAAGGCGACAATGGAGGTGTTGTTTCTCAGGGGCCGCCAAAAGAACTCAGGTTTCCTTGTTTCGATTTCCTTAAAAACCGCCAAGCCATGGTACTCCAGCCCCCCGCCAGTTGCCCACCTCAACCGCCACCTTGTTGAAAATAGGTTTTAGGGCAACTTTCTGTGATGCCAGGTGAACATTTAGTCATGGGATTGGAATCCCAACTGAGGGTGTTTCCGACCTTCACCTGCATGATGACTTTAGTCAGGGCTGTGGGAAATGGAATCCACTTCTGTGATACAACAAGAAGGGCCTCCCAAAGACTAACCCCCCTTTTTAACCCACTTTAGGTACCACCACCGCGGGTTCCCGTGAAGAACGTAGCGTTGTTGCAACCTCCCAAGTCGCCCGACCTGCAGACCCGCAGGCGGGCGAGCGCAAAGCGGCGCTCCGGCTGCTGCGGCGGTTTTCGTGGCGCCACGGCCAATTTGTTTGGCGCTGAAGTACTCACTTGACTGGAAGGGGTTTCCCTTAAAGGAAGCCATAGAGGATTGTTTATAACTATTTTGACCCCATATTCATTAAAGAACCCCAGTTTACTAGTAGGGGGGTGTCCCTGGTAGTGGGGATGTATAACTTTTGGATGGGAGCGCCACCCTAGTAGTACACAGGGGGTGTGGCTTGTGTTTTAAAGGAAGGCGAGCAGGAAAACCGAGGCCATTTTGCGGGGTCCCCATGTTGACCCCGGATTAAGGTGTGTCTTTGGGAGGGTGCAACCTCCCTTTTTTTGTTTGGGCTAGAACCGGAACCCAGCCATGGGAGCTTTTTTGGGGCTCTTTGTTTAGAGGGTGCCCAGGTTGTTTGACGGAAAAAAACGCCCTATTTGGAGACAACCCACTGGATGTCAACCACTTTTGGGGTCAAACAGTTCAGTGGACAAAACGCTGGACTCGTAAAATATCCCGAAAAAAACGTAGCCCCCCCCCCCCCGTCCTGCACGTAACGTCCCTAGGTTTTGTATTTTGGGTGTGGTGAGGGTGTGGCTCCTTGATTCGCACTGTCTATGGGAAGCACAACGGAACAAGACCATGTGAGATCTGTGGACAACTCCGGAATATGTTCCCCAACAAACCGTCCAGGGATGGATGAATCAAATCCTCTCCCGAAGCTGAGACCCATCCATACACCCGTAAGGCTTTCTTGGAGCTTCCATGTGAACCGGAAGGCACCCCGAGGCTGCAGACCGTCAGCGAATCCAAAGTGACACCTGGTCCCTGGAAATTTCGCCCTCAAGGTTCTCATGTGCAGTTGATGTTTTTGTTGCTCCAACTTCTAGCAATAAGCCCGTAAGCACCCATGTGCTTGGACCCTGAGGGTCAGGGGCACTCGCGGCCTCGCAGAAGGACAAACGCAAGTCCGGACCTGTGGGTTGCGAGCCCTTTGCTCTCACTTCCTGAGTTCCGGAACTCGGACCTTACCTTTTGGGTTGCGCAGCAGGTGGCAAAACCTGGTGTTTTTGGGCCACCACCCCACTTTTTGTCTTCGTTCTTCGAGTGCCAGGTGGGGCTTGGACTTTTTCGGGGAATCCACTTCCAAGAGCCCCAGAACCCCTAAAACCCCCCCAAAATTCTTAGGTACATGAATAATCTGCACCAGGGAAATCATCACTATAAATGTAAATGCAACTTAGCAGAGACCGTTGGGAATATCAAATACAACATGGGCGAAACATGGAGGAAGCTAACCTGAGCTGTTCCTTTCTCACAGTTTCCAACTTTGAAACTGACCAAACGGTTTTCGCAAGAGTCTGGGGGAAAATCTCGAGGAAGGGCATGCTGCATGTTGTTTGAGAGCCCTGAGCCGCCACGATTTTGCAGCTGGATCCACCGTTTTGCTTGCCTTCAGGCATGCAGTGCAAGCTGACGAGATAACTTACAATGCAGCAATCAGCGCATGCGCAAAGACGGACCGCTGGGACATTGCGCCCCTTGGCAAACCCGGATGTGGCTTCGCTTCAAAAAACCCACGAAAATGAACCGGCGCTCCCGGCCTCGTGGCCACAGAACGCTTTTGTCTCACTTCCCTTTGGCTTCCGCGGCTGCATTGAATAAATCTCCGTAGCAAGCCTGGGCTGTTTGCTTGGCGCAGTTCAGGGTTGCCCTTTACGATACCTTATGGGAATGTATGATGTATAAACGGATACCAACAAAGCTTGATTTGTTTGTTGGTTTCCCTTTAAACCAAATTGACAGAGGCACCCCCAAACAAAGAAACAAATAGATAGACACACAGGCAGGCAAACAAACGAGCAACCAAACAAAGAAACAACACACAAACACCCATGTTCCTCTTCTAGGTCCCCCAGTAGCGCCCTTTTACCCTTTTGTTGGAGGAGGGTTCCCTGGTTCCCTTACTAGAATAGACTACAGAGAAAAGTTGGTACCCTTATTCTAAGCTCTCTACTGGAGGACCTAGTCTTGGAGATGTGCCAAGCTTCGCCCGAGTTTCGCCAAAGTTGGCCGCCTCGGCGCAGGCAGCTCCTTGCGCTGTGCGTTGCCGGAGTTTGTGGTCGGCATTCGTAGGAAGTGCTCCCTCGTTGGTTTCTTTTTCTCCGGATGTTCGGATTTGCGCCTAGCGCAACCCCAAGAGTTCAGGCTGGACTGGTTTTTATCTTGAACCAGTTCGAGCTGGAGCTTTTCGGGGGGAGGTCTGGGCATTGTTAAACACATTTGCTATGCAACCTCCTTTTGGCCTCCGAAGGGGTAGGGTCAGGTTGGTTCACCCATTTTGCAACCAAATTCGGTCAGGGGTCCCTGCATTTATTTCCCTTGTGCTCTAAACATCAGCTTTTGGGCCAATGATCAATGTGAGCTAAGATTCCTGTTGGGGTGTGTTTTCAGGAGGGGAAATATGGGGAACCATGATGGTCCCGCAAGACAAGGGAAAACAATCAACCCCAGGGCAACAGTCAACCACCAACAGGGGAAACAAACAACACCCAGCAGTGGAAAGAATGGAGTACACGGACCTAAACAATTGGAATCTGATTCTAGGGTAAAGCCACAGCCAGTCATGTTTATAGGAGTAAACTTACACTATTGGTAATTATCTAGCCCCTTGTATCACCAACCAACAACTGGGGTACCCAGCAACAACCAACAAGGAAGCACTACCAAAACAACGACCTTATTCGCTCAGTTGTCCAAAGGGAATCGACCTTTGGACCTTTTGGTTTTCTCATGTTGGTCCATGTCTTAGTCACCTGAGAATGTGATCACCTTTTACTTCTGAGCCCCTAACAGGCAACTGAGTGGGGGAACACTACCAGCCACCCCACCAGTTCAGAAACCATGGAATGATACTGTGGATGCATGAAATCCCGCACCGTTTTGAAACCATGGGAAGCCATTGTTTGTTGGTATTTACAGGGGAATCATTCATTCCGGGTATTTTTAGGTGGTGCAGGATTTTGTCCATCCACAGTATGATCCAACGTAAATACCCACAATGGTTTCATCCCCATGGTTTCTTAGTGTGAAGGGATTTCGCAACCATCCGCATGCAGCGAGGCTGGAGCTTTTGTCCGAGATGTCCAGCTCCCGCCTTCAAAGCCGCGGTCTCAGCGACATCACGGCCAGCGCGGCCATGGGTTCCTGCGAGAGGGCCTCTGAGTGGCAGCAGGCGCTGAAGCTGCTGACCTCGCACCTTGGAACGATCACCTGCGACTGGTTGCGAAATCCGCGAGTCTTTTTTTTTGGGTCCGCACCCAAGAAACCATAGCTGAAACCATACTCAGTTGCCCAAACCCAACCTTTTAACCTTTTGGCTTTCCTAGTTTGTCTTTTTTAGTACAGGTCCCAAAAGGTAACCTTTTGTTTCTGGGTCCTTTGGGCAACTGAGCATAACGTTTGTTGGTATTTCCAGGGGAAGCATCATTCCAGGGCTTCTGAGGTGCAGGATTTCGTCCCTTCAAAATCGTAGCAACAACACGTTGCGGCCGTTTTTGTCGAGGGGGTTCCTAGAAGAGCTGCCGGGGAATTGTCCAAATTTGCCGATAGAAAATAGGCCCATGTGCTGTGTGTTTTTGCGTGTGCCGTTTTCAGCTTGGGTTACCAGGAAGCCACAAGCACTTGGTTTTATTCCCCAAACAGCGAAGCATTGGGGTTCTAACTTGAGGTATAGAGAATGGGAAAGTGTGACGCCGGTTCCGGGGTCCTGTTTTCCGCTTGTCTTCCTGTCTCCCAGTCTCTCCGGTCAGATGCCAGATGCTGTGACGCTGACTCCAGGGTCGTGTCTCCCGCTTGTCTCCCTGTGTCTCTCATTTTTCCTGCTTGTCTCCCTGTGTCTCCCAGTCTCTGCGGTCAGATGCTAGCTGTGACGCTGGCTCCGGGGTCGTGTCTCTCGCTTGTCTCCCTGTGTCTCGCAGTCTCTGCGATGCTGTGACGCTGGCTCCGGGGTCGTGTCTCCCGCTTGTCTCCCTGTGTCTCCCAGTTTCTGCGGTCAGAGGCCAGATGCTGTGACGCTTGGGGGTCGCACTTGTCTCCCTGTATCTCCCAGTCTCATCTCCCTGTGTCTCCCAGTCTCTTCGGTCGGATGTGACGCTGGCTCTGGGGTCGTGTCTCCCGCTTGTCTCCCTGTGTCTGGAGGCCAGATGCTGTGACGTCTCCCTGTGTCTCGCAGTCTCTGCGATGCTGTGACGCTGGCTCCGGGGTCGTCTCCCTCAGCTTCTGCGGTCAGAGTGTGACGGCTCCGGGTCGTCTCGTGTCTCCCACTTCTCTGCCTGTGTCTCGCAGTCTCGTCTTGCTGTGTCTCCCAGTTGTGGTCGGATGCCAGATGCTGTGACGCTGGCTCCGGGCCAGATGCTGCGACGCTGGCTCCGGGGTCGTGTCTCCCGCTTGTCTCCCTGTGTCTGGATGCTAGATGCTGTGACGCTGGCTCCGGGGTCGTGTCTCCCGCTTGTCTCCCTGTGTCTCGCATCTCCCGCTTGTCGGTCTCTGCGGTCGGATGCCAGACGCTGTGACGCCGGCTCCGGGGTCGTGTCTCCCGCTTGTCCCTTTGTCTCCCATCCCAGTCTCGTCTCCCAGATGCTGTGACGCCGGCTCCGGGGCTTGTCTCCCTGTGTCTCGCAGTCTCTGCGATGCTGTGGGCGCCGGCTCCGGGGTCGTGTCTCCCGCTTGTCTCCCCGTGTCTCCCAGTCTCGTCAGTCTTTGCGGTCGGATGTTTTTTTAATGCTTACAGCCCTCAACAGGAAAAATGAAGGCCCCGGGCCCCGGGCAAAACCAACTGAAGCTGCTTGGGGGCTGACCTTGCTTGCTGCCAGCTGCTTACAGAAATCAACAGAAAAAACGAAGGTCCCGGGCACTTACCAGTTTTGAGGCTGACCTGGCTTGCTTGGCATCCAGTAACCGGCGTTCGGCTCCCTTCGGCTCCCTTCGGCTCCCTTCGGCTCCCTTCGGCTCCCTTCGGCTCCCTTCGGCTCCCTTCGGCTCCCTTCGGCTCCCTTCGGCTCCCTTCGGCTCACGTGGCAGCAGCGCGCAAGCGCAATTGAGAAGCATCAAAAGCAGTCCAGCTAGAAACATAGATTCGAAGTCAGAAGGAACGACTTGCAAAAATGTTTAGCAATGGGGAAAGGGCATGTCGCAGATTTTGCCGTTAGCCTGTGTGCAAAGGATGTGCCTCTCTCTTGGTCAAGCGCAGGTTTGCATCCTTGTGGCGCACCAGCAGGGCCCTGTCTATGTTTCTCGATGAAAAGACCATATACTGTCACATCCGGATGATTGATTTGCTCGGGACACTGAGATGCTTTTTGGAAGCCAGTGCCACATTTTTTGGCCAAGTGCAGGTTTGCATCCTTGTTGCATCAGCAGAGCCCTCCATTTTGTTCTACAAACAAATATACCGTGACTTCCGCCTGATGGCTTTGCTCAGGATTCTGAGCTGCTTTTCGGAAGCCAGTGCTTCTGGCGCATCAGCAGAGCCCCGTCACCTTGAATATGTACTTTTGTTCTCGATAAGCAAATACCGTGACATCCGCCTGATTGCTTTGCTCAGGATTCTGAGCTGCTTTTTGGAAGCCAGTGCCGCACTTCTTCGTCAATTGCAGGTTTGCATCTTTGTCATTAGCAGAGCCCTGTCGCGCCGTTCATGTGTGTTTTCTCGATAAACAAATGTACTGGGACATCCGCCTGATTGCTTGGCTCAGGTCACTGAGCTGCTTTTTGGAAGCCAGTGCCGCGCTTCTTGGCCAAGCGCAGGTTTGCGCCGACAGCGGAGACACACTTGGCGCTGTCGGACCTCTGGCAGGGACAAGGTGTAAAAAGCGGTTTCTTGACATGTGTTCCGGTTGGCATTTTTCTGGTTGGTGCCTTCTAACATCTTCTAACAAGAAAATCGCTTGGATCCTGAAAGCATTCGTGGAGTTGACCAGATTGGGTTGGTATTTGCGAGTGCTGGCCATGAATGCAGGTGCGCAGGTGGACAAGTGGCAGACCGGGCTAAACGCAAAGCATTTAGCTTGGACTTTTGCAGCGCTGTGATGATGAGGGTGGATGAGGAGGATTCTGTTGATTCTGTGGCTGATGAAGGTGGTGACGATGATGATGATGATGATGATGATGGTGATGAGGGTCAGGACGACGAGGATGAGGAGGATGATGACGAGGAGAAGGAGGGTGATGATGAGTGCGATGGTGATGAGCCACAGAGAAGTCGACGGTTTCGTTGACAGTTTTGCTCCGAGTCAACGAACCCTTGGAATGGAGAAGGGGCACGGCCCCACTAAGCTCTGCGCGGGTCAGCCACCATCTTAGCCAAAATTGTATGAAGCGGGGGGAGGGGGGCTATAGGCAACTGATGATGCTAGGGGTGCAGGAGCGCTGCAGGAAAGACCTCCAGCGGATGACACACCAGCTAGCAAAATGGCGCGAGCCAGTAGCACGAGCAAGATAGCGCTAGCGAGATGCACGAGCCAGTAGCGCTAGCCAGTGGCACTAGCAAGTAGCACCAGCAAGTGGCACTAGCAAGTTGCAGTACTGAGTTGCACTAGGAAGTTGCAGTGTGTTGCGGCAATCGCTGCGCGCAGAGAGCTTGCTCAGACAACTTGCTCGTTGAAACTTGTTCAGAGAAACTTGCTCTGAGAACTTGCTCAGATAATTCGTTCCAAGAACTTGCTTGGAGAACTTGCTCAAAGGAACTCGCGCCAACAAGTTGCTCAGAGGAACTTGCGCAGAGAACTTGCTAGGATTTCTTGGCGCCGCATCTTCCAGTTTCCTCTTGGTAGCATCACTGTAGTTCGAGCACCCTTTCTTGTTGGCAGTGCTGTTGTAAACCTCGGCTCCTATCTTGTTGCCAGTATTTAGCACCTTCTCAGTTGGATAGCCATGTGGCCCGGTCAAAAGCATATCCAGTCTTTCGCTTCGCTAGCTGGTCCTGCGACGCTTTTCCTCTTTGCAACCTACGTAATCCAGTCCCACTGACAAACGCATTTGCTGAAGCATTTCACACCTTCGTGATGCCAAGGTCGCAGCTTTGACATATCTCGTTGCCTTCTGACAGAAGGGTTGAAGACACATTTCCCAGGCTTGTTTTCCTCAGGGCTTGCAAGTGCGAGGGGTCAAGGGTTTTCATGGTGGGACGTCGTAAGGTGCCATTATCATTCTCTGAGGCGCTAGCTTCCCTACAGTCTCTAGACCCATGGAACACCAAAGGGGTTCAACGTGAGCTGTGTTGCATGGCGCTTGTGCCAGCCTCCCGCAGTGAGTATTGTTGGAAATCCGGGCAATTCCGTTTCATTCTCGCAATCAACGTTCTTTTCCGAGATCTCGACTTGAATTTGGTAGCTCTGGGCGAGATTCTGATTTACTTGCTCGAAGCATACGTGGCTTGTCGGGAAACCAAGCTGGAGGGATGTGCTGATAGCATCAAGACCATCGCTCACCGAAGCAACACGTGCTAAAGACATGGCCCATCCATTTCTTCTTTGACGACACAGCTTCGCCTCCACTACGCCGACCCGTTCTCGCAAAAGGTTTCGGTGCTGCTGGACACTCTGCGTGCGTGGCAAACTCCCCAGCAACATTACGGAATGGCGGCTCCGGTGCTCAATGTGGTAATTGCAACACACGGTCATGGCCATGTTTCGACACATGTTCGGTGGCTGTATCTAATAAGAGTTGCTAACGCCGCAGTCTGCAAGTTTATGCAAGTTCTCTCTTGCTTTGCTTGTGGCAAGACCTTTAGCCGAGCTCGAGAAGAAGGTAGCAACCAGAAGTGGCATGTGCCCAGTCTCGGCCGCAAGCTGCTGAGACTGATGCGCAAGTTTCAGCAGAGTAGCGAGACGGCCACCAAATGCTGCGGTGATGGAAAAGTGCGTAGAGTGTCCGTACTACGGAAGTTCCTTCGAACTTCCTTTGATTAATGCCAGGTGTTAGGTTGATTCACCCCGAATCCCTGGGGCCTTCACTCTCGAACATGGCATTGACATTGCATTTCCCTCCTCGAAGTCGATGAACAACATCGATGCTTTTACCCGGCGTCAAGGAGATGGATGGACCCGATGTGTCCTCTTCCCAAAAAAGGCACTTTCCACAGGGACATACATAGACTGATTGTAACTATGTGTTGCTCACATAAGCTACCCAATTTTTGCACCTTACATGAAGGAGGCAAGCCTTTTTTTGGTTTTACAGACCTGTCATGCTTTTTTGCTGTTTGGGGTCGAGGCTGGTGTAATTTTTGGGGAGGGAAGGGATGGGACTCTCACACCCATGCGGAGGATATCTCAAAAGCAGGCAAATACCTGGGGTGATGCTCCTGATTGTTTTTTTTACACCTTGCTTTTCTTGGAGGGGGGAGTGACCCCCCCAAACAAAAAGAAAAGAAAAACAACAACAAACAAAACAGGAGGAACAACAAAAGCAAGCCCAATGGACCTAGACGCATTGCTCAAAGCTGCGCTCAAAAAGCCAAGCTCGGCTACCCAAGCTGCCACATTCTAAACATCAGCGCCAAGTCCGTGGCCAAGATGCCAATGGTTAGTGAGGTATTCACGGTGCGGGTGCGGCAGCTGTCTGGGGCGGAGGAAGAATTTGACTTGCAGGCAGACATGACCGTCCGTGAATTTAAAAGGGAGCTGCACGGGTGGCTGCCCTGCGAAGACGAATCAAAGCGCAACATGGCCATTCCCGGTGCAGAAGTCTTGGCATTCCTGAGCGTGCAGCCGGCGGTAACGTCCTCACGCTGCGAAACCTCCGCTTGCGAACTGGAATGCTTGCGCGTAGCAGAAATTCTGGCTGTAGGGCGTATTGAAGCAGGTGCGTTCCACGGCTGCAGCTCATTGGCAAGCGAGACAATTTCCGACTCCGTGACTGAGATTGGGTCAAGTGTCTTCAAAGGCTGCAGCTGAATGGCAAGCGTGACCATTCCCAACTCTGCCATGTGCCTTCAACGGCTGTAGCTCATTGGCAAGCGTGACCATTCCCAACTCTGTGACCGGGATTGGAGAAGATGCCTTCAATGGCTGTAGTTCATTGGCAAGCGTGACAATTCCCGAGTCCGTGACTGAGATTTGGTCAGGTGTCTTCAAAGGCTGCAGCTCATTGGAAACCCAACTCTGTGACCAGGATGGGAGAAGATGCCTTAAATGGCTGTAGTTCATTGGCAAGCGTGACAATTCCCGTGACTGAGATTGGGCCAGGTGCCTTCAAAGGCTGCAGCTCATTGGAAAGCGTGACCATTCCCACCTCTGTGACACAGATTGGGCCACGTGCCTTGCAGCTCATTGGCAAGTGTGACAATTCCCGACTCCGTGACTAAGATTGGGTCAGGTGTCTTCAAAGTCTGCAGCTCATTGGCAAGCATGACCATTCCCAACTCTGTGACCGGGATTGGAGAAGATGCCTTCAATGGCTGTAGTTCATTGTCGTGACAATCCCGACTCCGTGACTAAGATCGGGTCAGGTGCCTTCAAAGTCTGCAGCTCATTGGCAAACGTGACCATTACCAAGTCTGTGACCAGTATTGAAGGGTTTGCCTTCAAAGACTGCTGTTCATTGGTAAGGGTCTCCGTGGCTGTGAATGCGGACGGTAGGCTGATTAAATTTCCTGCACCTGGTTGCTTAAATTGCTGCAAGCAGAAATGGCTGCAGATTACTTGTCTTCATGACACGGCATTTTGTTTGGTGTCGTGTTTACACGTGAAGAGCAAGACTTCGACATATCAGAATTTGCGTGTTCCCTCTGCCCCGGATAAACTCACAGAAGCCAACTGCAAGAGAATCTACCGGATGTAAACTGGGCTCCCTTTACCCCTGCGCTTTCACAGGGGTCTAGGCTGACCATTTGTAGATGTGGGAGTCGTTCTGGAGGTCCTTGTAAGGAGCTTAGTGTTCGGCGACCATCGGTGTTTGTTGAGATACCTCCCGCGAAAGATTCGCGATGGAGTTGCGACAGTAATTGTTAGTTTCGCGAGAGTTTTCCGCAACTAGCTTGTAAATCAAAGACGTATGCAAGCAGTGCGGACTCGGAGCTGGAGCTGCGGACGTGTTCTGCAAAGTTGCGATTTCCAGCTGGAGCTGCGGAAGTGTACTTCGCGTACTAGACTTGTACTATTAAGTTGCGATGTTCGAGCTGAAGCTGCGGAAGTGCACTTCGCGCACTAGACTTGCACTGTTAAGTTGCGATGTTCGAGCTGGGATTGTGGAAGTGTAAGCACGTATTAGGCTTGCGTTGTAAAGCTGCAATTTTCGAGCACCATGCGGAAGTGTACTTCGCGCACTAGACTTGTACTACAAAGTTGCGATGTTTGAGCTGGAGTTGTGGAAGTTTAAATCGCCTGCTAGACTACTTCCAGAAGTGACACTTCATGTACGAATTTGGTACTGGACAGTTGCTTTTTTATTCCAGCAACGTGAAGTGCGCCGCGATGCGTCTGCGAAAGTAGTAGTTTGAGACAGTAGAGTTGTGAACTACCTCCGTGTTCATGCATTGTTGGTCCCTACTTGGTGCACCCAGCCTAGGTGCACATCAGAGCTTTTGTTTGAGTGGATTTGTCCTTCAAGGTGAGTGATAAGCTATGGGTCAGGTCAAGGTTTCTGTCGAGGAATCTCCCCCGAGTCCTTTCACCCACCCAGGCTGTCGCAGCACGTGTGGCCTTCGGTGATCAGCCCTTTGGCCGCAGGCAGGCAAGTGGACGGTGCTGGTGAGTCCCTTAGTTCTTGTTCCTCGGGAAGTGCCTGGGCCACAAGTCTGCCAACTGATTCAGCATGTCTGTGCCTCTGTTGCTTTAATCCCTTCCCCCTAATAATAAACGACGCCCCCCCCCCCCCCCCCCCCTAATAAAAAAAATACCCGGCCTGCAAAACAATTTTTATTATTAGGGGTCCCCTGGTTCTGGAGGGCAGGTTTTGGAGGTACTTCTTGTTCTGTGTAGGCTTGTTTGCAACTGTGGTCCCCCTGTTCCGTTCCGTAAAATCGCTTCAAACGCACATTTCTGAGTAAGGAATTTAAGTAGCGGGAGTTGAGGTCACGTTTTGTTGTTTTTGGTTGTGGGTTTTGGGTACAGCAACTTTGTAGTACAGCCGTAGTAAAGGAAACGTGCTCCCGGAGCTCTGGCCTGAAAGTCGCAACTTTGTAGTACAGCCGTAGTAATTAAAGGAAACGTGCCCCTGGGGTCCCCCTAATGGGGCTGGATTTGAGTACGGGCAGGAAAATATCTACTTTAGAATTGGTTTAGTATTGGCTATTCTAAAAGTAGTATTCCCGGATTTGGGACTTCCGAAACAAATATTTATTATTAGGGAGACCTTTATTAATAGGGGGAAGTGATTAATTTGCTTTCGCATCAACTCCTTTCAGGTTCTTGGAGTGTTCAACCCACTTGGTTAAACGGGTAACTAAACAGTTATGGCAATTCCTGCAAAAAAAACACGCAAACCCAATGAGTCCCCGCCTCGAAGAGGACATGGCTGGGTTTTTTGGGGTAGACAGACCTGCATGAGGAAGGGGGGGGTGCTTCGGTCTTTTTTGCCCTTTCAACCACAACCATGGTCGGTGCCTCTTCTGCAGGGTTCGCCTTAATACACGACAAACCCCAGAAACGCGGCCTTTGTTTCTGTGCCTGGACACTGGGCAAGTGCCGTTGACCTGCTGAGTGATGAGCAAAGATCAATCACGGGGTTGCTGTGTGTGGGGAGTGCTGAACTTGCAATCAAAAGGGAACGGGGGCCACGGATTCATCAGGGTTTCCGAGCCATTTCCCTTTCTGGTTTTCCTTAAAAGTGGCGATCGAGTCGACGCAAACCACTATAGTAAATTGCAACCTTTTGGAAGGGAACATCCAGTTCATTGAAGCATTGTTGCTCACTTCGGGGTCCGCATTACGCAGAAATTATTGTGATGTACCGCTGCAAGTGCACCCCCAAAATACTGACGCTAACATGTCTCCAAACGGGCCTATGGTTACGCGCACACACACACACGCCAGGTTTTCCCAAAATGAACCTTCTTCCGGGTTCAAACATCGACTTTGGGTCTAATCAAAATGAGTTTGCACTTCAACCCCACGAAAGCTTCCTTTCCCCCTCGCCGCTGAGGCTTCAATGCGCTCCTCAGCTGCTTGGCCTCTGCTGCCCAGTGGGAGCGGAGTTTGGACATCTTCGTTTCGCTCGCAGAAATCGACCCTCGCGCGGTGCAAACGGTGCTGGACGCCTGCGGCACTTTGCCTGAACGCGTGTGCTTTTTGCGCTTTTGCGCGACGTTTGGGCTGGGTGCCAGCAGCAAAGGGTTGTTTGCCCGTCCTAAGGGCCCATGCTTGAAGGCATCATCTCTCAGAGTGGGAAGGGGGAGTGTTGAATTACAAGTCTATCATTTGCTTCGAGCTTGTGCAAACTAGGTTTAGCAATTGCAGGGAGGGTGATATGTGATATATGGTGATAGGGCTGAGATGCAGGGGTAGGAAACAAAACGTCGGTTTTATCCAGGCCAAGTTTCTTAAGCCACTTAGCACGTCGCAGTATATCAGATGGATTTTGTGCGTGGTTGGACTACCAGGTCGGTGCATTTTAGTCGGGGGCGGCGGGCGTGTTACCAAAATTCGCCCCGAGCCATTCGAAGCAAGCAAGAAACCTTGCTTTGGTAGACGGGATCGGTCACAGAGTGCCCTGCCCCACTGCTGTGCATGTTTTAGTGAGATAACGAGTAGCAACAGCATTCTGAGCGAATGGAACCCTTGACAAAGCGCCCGTTACTGAAAATCGCCCCGGCATTTTCGTTCCAGAAGGGATCCCAGAAAGGGGCAACGATGCCCGAGCGGCTAACATGATCTTGTGCCAACCCTATGGTGTGGCTGCAGCCAAACCCTGCAGTGCATTTATCAACCAACATATTGGTGTCTCGGCGCATTCTAGCCGGATGAAGTGCTGAACCAACCCTAAACACGTAGCATGGTGTTCGCATTGAATCTGAAACGCCTAACTGAAAGCCAAGCGCAAGGCTTGGGTTTTACCATGACTTTGTAGTGTTTTTTCGGGCTGGCAAGGGACCATGTCCTCAAATTGATGAGGTGTCCGTTTTTTGCTGTTCGCAAATTCGCAAATGACAAGCATTTTGACTGCAATGTGCGATAGGCAATGTTTACCGAGATATCCGTTTTGATGGTCCCGTGTCGGTATTGCAGATAGGGGGTATCGCTTGTCATTGGCCCCTAATCGTTTTCCAGTGGGTAGGGAATGCACGATTTGCAACATCCATGCACATATGCAACAGCATTCATACTCAGACCCTTTCTGCTGAATGAAGGTTTTGACCTGGTCCTGGCACTTCCGCGATCCACTTGGCACGTGCGATTTTCGCCTTGCGCGGTGAGGCAAGGCGCGGCAGTGGCGGCAGGCGTCTGTCCTACTGGCGTTGAGACGCGGAGAGGCGCCCAGAGTTCGAAATATGCGAGTTGGTCAGCCTGCGGGTTGCAAGTCCTTTCTTCAATTGGTATTTTTGGAGGGGTGGGGCCCTGGAACAAGACAATAGGGCCCTCCTCTTTCTCATGGATGTCCACTGGAGGCCTGGGGGTGTTCCCTCCCTACCCTTTCTGATAGGATCAATGATTGCAGTCCCATGTGCATTTGAAGGGATGTTTTGGGGTTTCAGCTTGCACCAAGGGACACTCCTGTGGGCGTGTCCCAAAATAGGAACACTTGGAGCCTCCAAAATGGGTGGTTTCCCTGTGGTTTCCCTTGAAGCTAACCCCAAAATGTGTGTAGCCTAGGACCCATTTCTTAGAACCCATCGGAGGATCACCTAATTGACGGGTTCCAAAGGTGTCGGAGTTCGGCGGGAGGACGACGATCGGTAGAACGCCTGGGCAAACAGCTGTAAACCTCCCATCCTTGTATTCTCGTATATTCTCGTATATTCTCGTAGAGCGTTTGGTCCTTTAGTTGACTTGCTTGCCCAAAGCTGACCTTTGGTTCATTTTTGGCCCCTTCCAAATGCGCATCTAAGTGTGTGCGTGTGTGAATGTGTGAATGTGTGTGTGTGTGTGTGTGTGTGTGTGTGTGTGTGTGGGTGCGTGCGTGCGTGCGTGCGTGCGTGCGTGCGTGCGTGCGTGCGTGCGTGCGTGCGTGCGTGCGTGCGTGCGTGCGTGCGTGCGTGCGTGCGTGCGTGCGTGCGTGCGTGCGTGCGTGCGTGCGTGCGCGTGCGCGTGCGTGTGCGTGCGTGCGTGCGTGCGTGCGTGCGTGCGTGCGTGCGTGCGTGCGTGCGTGCGTGCGTGCGTGCGTGCGTGCGTGCGTGCGTGTGTGTGTGTGTGTGTGTGTGTGTTTTTTAAACATGGCTGGATTCTCAGCTGGTGTAAATCCCTTTCAAGGTCCCTCGGTTGCAGATGAATTGAGTCTTGATGTTTGCAGGTCCTTTCGCCTGAGCCCTCCCCTAGACCGACCTGGCCTTGGACGTTTTCGCCAAAAGAGCCGGGCAGCCGAGTTTTCATGGGCGGATACAAACTTTGCACTAAAAGCAAAACTCCATCCTGCGGATGGAGAAAGTTCACTTGGTGCCTGGTAAGCATGAAGCATCTACCAACTGGTGCAGGGTTTTGTCCACCATGGACCTCTCCTTCCTTGTGCACTCAAAAAAGCCGCCTTACATGGCGGTTTGAGTGTTTTTTTTTTTTTTTTTTTAATCCGTGGGGCTGTGCTTAGGATCTCATTTCTGGGCGGTTCCCAGCGGTCCGGTTCCTTCGGTTTCAGGTTCAGGTTTAGTGGGGGTTTCCAATTGAAGCCACGAAAAGTTGTTCACTTTTAGCAGCGGATCAGTTTGGCCAGCCTTATTGATCGATGATTTTTCCCCCGGTATGCTTTTCGCTGGGCTGTTCATGGCCGCTGAGTTCTGACGTATGTTCAAGGGTCCCCAGTTTAAGCAGGTGGGTATGGGTCAAAACACCACCGACCGCAGGTTTTAGTCCTTGTCGGTTTTTCGGTTAGCATTGGGTACCTATGTGTGACCCAGGCCCAAGTGTCTCCCGCCATTTGGCCACTTGGCTGTGGCTCCAAAACATGTACCAAAGTGGCAAATGGAACCGACCTCCTCTCCAGGCCGAGCCAAATGACCGCCCCGGGCCAAAAGCTCTGCGGAGAGATGCGGGCGAGAGAGAAAAAGCAAAGTCCGGGCGATTTTTTGAATTTCTTACTCATGGAAGCTGACGGGGAAGGGCGTAAGACTCTTCTCCGTTTGAGAGGTCCACTTCCATGATTGAAAAGATGGTGTAGTGGGCTCGCTGAATCTCAGCCGGAATGAGAATTAGACGTATCGAATTTGGGCAAAAGTTGAAGGTGGGGGATTCCTATGCCAATGGAATTGTTTAGCGAGGTCCAAGGTCGTGCCACTCAGGTTCTTTGCACTCCACCAATTGGGCAATAGGTAGTTTACCCCTTTATTCACGCGTATATATATGTATACTGTATGTATATACTGATGTCTTTTTGCTAACTGTGTTGGTCCTTATGTTTAGCCTTGGAATTTCGACAAGGAGGATTCAACGTCCTGAAAATGATTGCTGTCCGAAAGCATGTCTGGGCCTAAGGTAATTGGGCACCCTCCTGTCACCATGGAATCCGGAGAAATTGGCCCTTGAGGAGAATGGGCCGAACCAAGACCTCGAAAGGTCAGGTTCCGTGGCAATGTGGACAGCTGGGTAATAAAAGTTCCTTGAACAATGTGGAGAAGGGCATCTTTTTCACGCATGGCCATTGGGTCGCTCTCACCTAACCTACATGGAACATGGCTGGCCCTTTGGTTTGGCGCCGTTTTTTTTGTTTTTGTTTTGTTTGTGTATTCTCTTCCAGACTTCCAGATCTAAACAAACGCAGCAAAGCCGTCGGGATTTGGTGGGAATCAAGCTTCACATGCATGATCTTGGTGGCTCCCAGCCATCCAGTTCCTTTGCTTTTTAGCCTTTTAGTGTTTAGTGGTAGTTTCCGTTTCACCCACCAAACGTGATTCACTTTTAGCGGGGGATCAGAAAACGGGAAGCCCAGTGATGTGGCCAATGCCAGGCGGTGTTTGCTTGTCAGTCAGGCAGTTGCGAGTTCAGCTCAAGAGCCTTCGAAGCAAAGGCTCTGTTTGCTCCCTACTTGGTCAGCGGGGGCTGGTCACATGGAACAAAGTGCGGTTGTGTAGACGTCTTTGTTTGATGAATAAGCCGACAAATCAGCCAAATGCAGAGAGATAATATCAAAGATGTTGGATGTGTGATGTTCAGCCATGCTACGGGTTGCTTGCACAGTTTCAGTAAAGAAGGAAGCTGACCACAAGACAATTCTATCACGATGCAAGCGTGTGCCCGGTTGAAAAGAGGCGTGCAATTGCCGCAACAAGCAATCCCCTCCATGGTTGCCCTTTGTCCCTTCTAGCGGGGTCTTGTACTTGAAGATAGGCTGCTGGCCTTTGTGCAGGCCGCGTGCAAGATGCAAACCAGATTTTCTTCTATGATTTCCGTTTGTTTGGATCTTTAGCCCTTAGCCTTTAAGAGACTTGGGTATTCTAACCAACACAGAGTCAACTGAGTCAACAACTTCTTGCGCGGGGGGACTTCTCACAGAACATTTATTGTTTGGTTGAAGTTTTAGCCCTGAAGTTTTGGGAGTCTGGGCATTTTCCTACCCAAAGTCAACTTAACAACTCCCAGCACACTCTGGGGGCGTCTTTCGCTTTTCGGGAGCCTGGCTACTTCCTAGTAACCAACACTGAGTTGAGCAAAACATCCAGTCTTCTATTATTGTTGATTGGTTCCCTTTAGCTTAGGTTTTTTCATATTCCATTTAGCTTTAGCTGAAATTTGCTCCTTTTTTTCCGGAGCAGGTGACCATGGGGCATTTCCTAGCCAGAGACGATTATTACTGTTTGGACCTTTCGTCCGAAGAACTTTTCTCACGGGCCATGTGCACGAAATTCCGCGAATTCGGGACGTAGCCATGGGCTACTTCATCCAGATCTCCAACGACTCGGGGCGCCCGGTCTTCCAAGCCGCCAGGCCTTTGCCTCAGATCACTCGCAAGCGGGTGCTCCGCAAAAATCTGACAGAAATTCATGAAGGGGGAGAGGGAGGGGAGGGAGCCCAAATAAGCCCTTAAGGCCGGTTGTCAGTGCGGGGGAGGAGGGGAGGGGAGGGGAGGGGAGGGGAGGGGAGGGAGGGGAGGGGAGGGGAGGGGAGGGGAGGGGAGGGGAGGGAGCCCAAATAAGCCCTTAAAGCCAATATTTGGGGCTTGTTTGCCCGCAGGTTTCATGAGAAATACTCCTGCAAACCATCCGATTTGGTTTCCTTCGATGGAATCCCTGGGTTCATTCAGCAAAAACACAAATTCATGAATGAAAGACCCCTTCCTCAGTGGCCCAAACCCAACCTTTGAACCTTTTGGTTTTCCTAGTTTGGTACCTATTTTTAGGTAAAGGTCCCAAAAGGTGATCACCTTTTGTTTCTGGGTCCCTAGGGGGCAACTGAGCTTAAGACCATGCGTCCTTGGCTTCCTCGGCAATCCCCGGGTTTCGGTTCATTCCCACCAGGCTGAGAGCCATTCCCGGACCGATCGCGAGCTTTTTTTTCCTCCGCCTTTGGAGAGTTTCCCGTTCATGTCTCCCTCCTGCGGCTTTTGGAGAAGAATATTTTAGAGGAAAACGGCAAAATTGCGGATTTCTAGAGAACAACATCATAATTTTTGGTATTTCTTGAAGAGGAGATCACGGCAAGTTCAGATATGGTTAGACCAATCCAAAATCTAGCTTTTAGTATGTCTTGGAGAGGAAACCACGGCAAGTTCAGATATTGTTAGACCAACCCACTCGATTGGAAGTGAGATGTTCAGCAAGGCGGCAATCATCAGGGTTTACCCTAAGTTTCCCTTCGATGCCAGCCCCAAACAAGTGCTTGAGCGGGTTGCTGATCTGATGTTTGTTGTTATCGGGGCTGTTGTTCCCAAAGCCGTTTTACCCCACACACATCGGTTGCATGGGTTGTTCGTTGAAGACTTGACAAAACACGGGCCTAATGAAGGTTTCCTTTTTGGAGGTCTGCCAAATCTTTGCTTGTAAGCACGCCCTTTTGGCCTTTTGGTTTATGTGCCCTAAAAATTAGGATGGAGGCAAGCATGTTCCCTGTGTAAGTTTCCTCACTAGTTCCCTCTTGAGGCGTGCCAGTCTGTCCCGGCCCAAAAAAAGAAAAGAAACGGAATAGAATCTGCTGAACAAATGATGAGCTGGAGATATGCAAACATTCCCCGGGCAACAAGATTGCAGTTCAGGCACCCCTTTATTTGTCTTTCAGGTTGGGATTTGAATCCTTGGCTCTCTAGCCCCCAAACCAATCCAAACCAGCCTTTCTGTGTAGGGGGCCCTAGTACCTGGACCTCTGGTGGGAACGTTTTTCCTTATTTGAGGGGTTTCCCGTTAAAACCAAGTAGGCCCAGGTTTTTCACTACCAGCAACAAATGTTCCCCTTGTTCCCCAACATCAAGTACCAGCAAATCTCGAAATCTGTCATTATTTTCTATGGCCACCGGAGGCACCAGCCATTTAAGAATCAGATGTTTCCCTTTGTTCCCTTTTTTTTCCGCATGGCCAGGGGTTTGAGTGATAGTTTCGAGCTTCACAGTTTCGCGCCGCCGCAAGGAACTACCCAGACGTATCCTTCGCCTCCAGCGCGCTCTTCCACGCGCTGGTCACTGCCAGCTTGGAGCAGGCGGGGGGCGAGGTCACAAGGAAGATACGGCCAGTCAGAATTGCTTTTCCCCAGCTGAAAGCTATGGGGTCGATAGCCTCGCATAGGCTCTGGGGTGGGGGTGGCTTTCAGGGTCTCGTCCCAGGTTCAAGGGCTTATTTTCTGTGTACCTCAGATGTGGATTAGCAAGTGAGTGGGATTCAGCACTTGAGAAGAACACCCCCCCCAATGAGCAAAGAGGACGGGCGTGTCCACCCATACTGTGGATGGACGACATCCTGCACCACTTAAGAAACCCTGGATTGGTGATTCCCCTGTAAATGCCAATAAACAATGGTTTCCAATGGTCTCAAAGTGGTGCAGGATTTCGTTCATCCACAGTAGTCCAAACAAGACCTCACAAGGCAGGGCAAACCAAACAAACCGACAAAGAACCAATGCATAGCCAATCCGAAACGGATCAACACAAACCACAACAAGATCAACACATGATGATACTAATCATGGGATCCACCCCGGCGCAACGATTTCCACCATGCAGGCAACAACCCGACAACTAATGCACACCACCCAACACGGGTTCTCACAAATCCACAACATGATCCACAAATATCCACAACCTAATGCGCACGCCAGACATCAAGCAACAAGAAGGCTGAAACAAAAAAAATCCCCCAAACCCAACCAAAAAAAAAACAAATCACCCAACGCCTTTGGCGCCTTCGGTGTGCGCTTGGGGTTCCCAGGGCTTTGTCCCCAGCGTGATCCGCGCGGACGACGCCTCCATCGGCTTGGCGGTGCGGCAGTTGGCGGGCTGCCGCCTGGGCTTGGCCATGGTCACCTCGGAGCTGGCGCAGGGCCGCACGGAGGACCTGGCGCCTCGGCGCATGTCCGAGCCATTTGGCGGGCGAAAATCCAAATCGTACCCCCAGTAAACATCCGATTCAATCCAACCACTAAAATAGGTTCTAAAATGGGTGGTGCACCTACCCCAAAATGGTACCATTGGTTGGAATTTGCCCGTTGGTTTTAAAAGGAATCGATTTCACTACTGGAAATATATGGTAAAAGAAAACAACAAGCACACATCCAGGGGTCTTAATCAAATGGAAGTTTTGTTTTTTCCGAAAGTGCTGAAATCCAGTGTCTTTCTTGGAGGCGCCTCAGCCGGTCAGTCGGCCTTCCGTTCGATGGGTGTGGGGTGGGTGGCTCGTTTTTGGAGTTGGTTTGCAGGGAAACCAACTTCCGGTTTGCCTTGGTTGAATGCACATTTTGGGATTGTTTTGAAGGGTATTCTTTCATTGGGCCCTACGAGGAATTTTCGATTGACATGTAGGTGCAAGCAGGCGCAATTCTATCATGGTTTAGTCATCCCCTTTACCCACGTGAACATATTTTTGCCATGTACTTTCACCCCTACACCCAGGGGAATCCAGGAGTACACCAGAAGGCCGCTGGCGGGTTCAGCCTAGCTGGCTCACTTGCGCAATAGTTCGGGAGTTTTGTCACAGCGTTCGTTGCCTCCCTGCTGTTGCCGGAGGTTGTACCACTAGTTGCGCAGAAGGACACTTGTGACCCAGCAACTGCCCAACTGGAAGGGGGATCCCTGGCCGCGACAAAGAGGAAAGAATATTCTTCCCTTCTGTGCAAAATGCACATCATGACTCGGCCCCTCCGCCCCTTGCCCTCTTTCTCTCTCCCCCCCGCACCCTCCCCCCCCCCCCCCCTCCCACCCCACACACCCCACCCCACCAGCCCACCCCAGCCCACCCCACCCCAGCCCACCCCACCCCACCCCAGCCCACCCCACCCCACCCACTTTAGGTTACTTGAGCTTCTCCCTTCCCCCAAGCTTCCTCCCCAACTCCCCTCACCTAAACCCCACCCGTCACCCCCAAACATCGCCCGCGGGGTGCTTGCACAAATCCAAGGAGAGGTGCCTCGCGTGGCGCCTGGAGACGATGTACCAGGCCCGCTTCAGCTGGTGCTTGGAGCTTCTGGGAGCTGGCATATCCAAATTTGCTCCAAACAGAGGGAGCTAAAGGCCCCAAAAGTTGCAAGCAAGCTCGAGGGTGTGCGTTTGGTTTAGGTACCCTCCTGTCCACGAACAAAGGAACCCACGGGCTCCCTTTTAAAGCAAAATGGTCTTCCAGGACCTCCCTGTTCCAAGTGGATGGGAGGGTGCTTCATTTCAGTTTCCGCCCAGTTGGATCTTCAATTCACTGTTCAAGCAGATTGCAACCATGGCTCAAACCTATGATCCATCGGCTCCCCTGAAAAAGGTTGGTTTAGAGCCCGGTGCTTTAGCGGTGTTGCGAGCATCTTCCAAGGCGACGAATCCAGAGGGCTTCTCAAATCAAAAAGCCTGCGCAACTTAATTCTGTGGTGTGTGTGGGGTGTGTTCTGGGCACCCATGTTGGGGTGCAACCAAGGGGAATTACAATTTGTGGTGCTTTTGGAGACAAATTAGGCAATGAATGGTTGGGAAAGGACACAACATCCAATCATGTGAATGATGTCGACTCAAGGCGCCCCGATTGACCTCGATTTGCGACCCAGCATTTGGAGCTTTAGGTGACATTGAAGCCTCGTTTAAACCAATCAGAGGGAAACCAACGCCACAAAGCCTTCATTGAAGGGGACTGGGACCTGAGGGGTTGGCCGGACATGTGGCATTTCCGTGGTTGAAACAGAAATGCTGGCCAGATGAGCGCCGGATCTGCCACGTTTTAACATTCCTAGCACGGTTCGCTACATCTCTTGCCAGACAGGTGAAGAAAAGTGCCGGTTTGCCGTGTTTGGGACGTTCTTGCCCGGGAATGGTCCTTTTGGTTGCCCGCTTGCCCAGGGCGACCGGATCTGACCTTTAGTTGCCCTTTTGAAGGGGTAAAGAAAGGGAGATGGTGAACTTGAGTTGGTTGTTTTTGGTTTCCCTTTGAATCCAACAAAAAAGAGGCACCCTGAAACAGACGGACCTTTTGGGAGGCTGCGCGGCTGGTGCTGGGCGAGAAGCTGCCCCAGGCCGTTTTGAGCATGTTATTTGCGCAGGAGAATGCGAAAGAACAGAAGAGCAGGGTACCCTCCATTTGCTGAAATGAATATTTGTCTATTTTCCCTTGTTGGTTTTAAAAGCACTGCATCACCACTAGATTCCTATTGCCAAGATACTGGGGCGTGTTTCTTTTCCGAGGCTACCTAGGGTCTCCATGACCCTTAACCCCTTAGTTTTGGGGAATGACCCCATCTTTTAAGGTTCATGGAGACTCCCGGTACCTTCTTTTTGTGGGCGCATAGGTGTCCTTTTTGGTTGTTTTGGTCGAAACATACAATGCCCTTGTTTGTTCCTGGTGGTTTAATCATCTGCCAAGGCCATCTATTTGCCCCAAAAGGACCTGAATGCAACCAGTAACGCTTTGGTGCATTTTGCCAAAACGGATGTTAGGACTTTAACTTTTTGCCAACTAATAGGTTTTCTAATGATTAAGCCACTAAAAGTTAAGCTTTTAGCAGGGCAGACAGCAACCGAGAGTAGATTCCAAGGGGCCACATGGGTGTTCTTTCTTTTTTGGAGGAGGAGGTGGTCAGGTATCCTTCAATGAATTTGCGGTCTGGAGCTCGGTGGTTTGGATTTGAGCCATTCCTGCTTCTCGTGGGTAGATCTGAACCCCTCCGTTTCACCATCAAACAACCGGGCTCCAAACCACGAATTAGAGGGAAGCTGAGAAGACACGTAAAACAACAGTTGAACCAATGCAAGGACGTTCAGACTGCATTTTAGGTGGAGGAACGTCCCTTCAAGATGCAGCCCATCAACATGACGCTGAATCGGCAAACATCCATGACCTTTGCAAGTCCAGCGGATTCCCTTTGAACCAGACTAGTGTGAAAGTAAATGGCACTACTATGTGTTATCCGTAGACAAAGGGAATGATTAAGCCAAAATGCCGAGGTTGTGCCATCTACTTACTCTCATCCAACTGTAGGAGGGGTGCCCATGGTTCTGCAAAATCACGCTCGTGATGCCAAGGTTGTTGATTCTCATGACCTTACCTTATTGGTATTGCCGAAAGTGGCACCAAAAACCAATTTCTCCATGTGGCTCTCCAAACTGGGCTTGGCACCGCCTGATTGGTATTTTAAAGGAAATCAGCAGGAAAGCCCATTCTGGGGGATCCCTATTTAGACACCAACCCAGTTGACTCCTGCGGGGTCTCACTTGAAGCCGGTTCTCGGCGCCCTACTGCGGCCCGGCCGCCGCAGGTGGCGGGGGGCCAGGTGCAAGCGGACTCGGTGCGGCGCGTGCTGGGGGAACGTCTGCTGCCGGTGGTGGGGCAGTTGATGGCCGAGGAGGACCCGACGGAAAAACGTCCAAATTTGGCGGTTTTGCCGGTGTTCGAGCCATTGTCCCCTGCTTACTTTCCCCCAAACAAGCAAACATAGAGGACTTGCGCAGGCACAGGCATTGATTTTTGGGAAGAATTTTGCTTTGTGGTTCCCAGCCCTGAGGTTCCTTAGGTTTTTCGTTGCTTTCAGTTGGTTCAGTGGGGGGGTTCCTTTTAATGCATTCAAAGTGTTTTTGTTAGCAGCGGGTCTGAGGGCAGCCCAATTTAGTTTGCTCGTCAACAAACAAGCATAGAACCTGCACAGGAACTGGCTCCTGGACTTGTCCTTTTCATCAGGCGACCCCTGTGCAGGTTCTATGTTTGCTTTTGGGAGGGTAGAGGTTATAGCCATGGTTCGTGGACTTTTTGCTGCGAAGACGACGTTAGTGGCAAGAAAGAAGTTTGAACTTGTCTGGGCCAATCCACTAAGGAAGCGAGCTCTTGGATGTTCAAACCTTTTCGAACCACCTAGAGGTTTATGACCGTGGCTAAATGCACCAAACCATGTTTGTTGGAGGGTACTGGGTACTTAGGGGTATTCGCGCCACGTAAGTGACCTACCAAGGCAAGGTGGGCTGCCAATTTTGCTTGAAACCGGTACTCTGTCCTAACCCACTGCCCAACGCGCAACTACTTTCCTTTATTGGGTAAGGGGGCCTGCGGTTTTTCTTGTTTGGCCTCAGCATGCAGAAAGGAATATGTTGTTTTTTTCACTAAGCCCCGCAAAACGGTTCCAGTTTTGGCACGGTTCAATTTCAGACAAGTCTGCTTATTCCAGAGCTCAAACATATACGAGCTCACCATGTAAGTTTTACTCGGGATGTTTGGCGTCAGGTTTTGGACATAGTGTGGAATGACAAATTCCTGCACCATTTAAGAAAAAACCCTGGAATGAGGTTTGCATTTGGCAAATGCCAACAAACAATGGCTTCCCATGGTGTCATGCTGCGAAATGGATTTCGTCCATCCACAGAGAACAATGCAGTTCAGAGCTTCCTTGCGGGAACCGCAGCCGGTCGCGGTTCAGGAGCTCACGCCGGACCTGCCTTTGGACATTTGCGGCTACGTGGCGCATCCGCCCAGGCGCCGTTTTCGAGAGGTCCGAGTTGGCGAAGTTGTCGATATGTCCGGCGTGCCCAAGGGCCCTCTATTTTACAGCCATGCAGGTAGAGCTTGGTGGAGGAATAATTAAGCAGGAGCTGTTTCAAGTTTTGCGGTGCCGTTTCCCTGTTGGCATTTTGGCAAGTGGGGCTGGTGTGGCAACAGCAGGTCCGCTGGTTAATTTGGCCCACCTGCTGCCAGTACACATTGCCCGGCTTGCCAGCTTCCGGAGTGGAGAAAACACACGGATGCGTTCCACGGTCAAAGGCAAGCCAGTCCTCGGGAAAGATGCCCCCAGTACCATAAAACCGAGCCATGTATACCGGAACGCTGTAGCTCCTGCAACAGGATTGCAACAGGGGTAGTCTCCCAGTCTTCACGCATACCACCCCCTTCAACCCAACCCCAACGCCCCCCCCCCCCCCAACCCCTTCCAACCCACCCCCAACCCAAGCCGCTTGGCAGCTCGAGGTGGCCAGCTCCCTTGGGCCTGCGCCTCACGGGGGCCTTCGTGGAGTGGACGGCTTTGGGCTGCGGCGGCCTCGCGGAGATGGCGCTCCAGGAGCTCTTGGAGGCGCCTCACGCGCGCGGGCGCGCGCGCGCGCGAGATCGCGCGAGCCTCGATCCGGAGAGAGGTGTCTGCCTGACTCGTTGCCACTCTGCTCACTTACCCAAATGACTTGGAACCAGAAAGGGAAATCCAAGAGGTCAAACTGTCGATTTGCCTTGGACAAGTGAGGCTATGGGACGTTCTTGGCTTCTCGCTGTTAACCCCAGCCCTTTTGGGTTTTTTGTTTGGGGGGTTGTGGTGGCTTACAAAATTTCCCTGAAGGCATGGCCGTCTTGGTCCTTGTTCCTTCCTATGGCTACGCCTTCCGGATGGCTGAAACCCTCTCAAACAAGCCATCCGACTGCAGGAGTTTGTCCAGCACTTTCCACAAACCTGCCTCTTGCCTTCAACAGGGCTCCTTCAAAGATCTCCATTTTGCCCGTTTGAAACATGGCTTTTTCAACACCAAACTAAAGGGAAACCACCATTTACGAGGCAATGTTCAGGTGTATAATGTAAGGATCCCTGTTCAACTAGCCCTGCTTTGGTTCGACCGCTGACCTTTGACCGCTGACTTTTGAGAATTTGACCTTTGCTTTGCCCTGTGGTGGTTCGGTGTGCGGCTCGGCCTGTGCATTGATCTTTAACCCCAACATGGAACAGCTACTCCCCTGAAACTTTACGGAAGGAAGTTCAAAAAAGCCCAACATGAGATTCCCCTCCTGAACCAACCCTTCAGGCACTATGTACGGCTTACCATCTTTAGATTCCTTTTAGTCCTTTACCTGCTACCCTGCCTTGGCTTGACCTTTCACATCGTTCACCTTCCGCCTGCGAGACCAACCATGTCTAGAAGAGAGAGCATTGGGGTAGTGGCGTAATGGAGTAGTGAAGTCGTCTATTTGATGAGTGGGCAGTGGATCAGTACCAAACTTCCCCCCACAGAGGCTTTGCATTGCTACAAAGGAGGTGAGCGGCAGGTTTGTGGTTGGTGGCATTTCTGGGTCAACGTTACCATCTTACATTCTGCCGTTTGACTAGAATGATGAACAAAGAGTACAATCAACAGTCCTACTGTTCGCCGCAGTTGGTAGGTGGTTTATCCGATTGGGTTTCATCTATCCGTGGTGCGAAATGGATTTCATCCACCAGTAGGTTCAGGGTTGAACGTGGAATAGTGCACGGGGTCAGCCCAGGACGACTTCGAAGAGCGGTCTTTGGAGCGCCCAGCTGGGGACCTCAGCGCGGTGGGTAGCTGGGAACATGATGTTTTTTGTTTTGTTTTTTGGTCTCAGGTTTCCTCTATATCTCTGTTTGGAGCCTCCAAAACTGGCAGTTGAATAGAACCAAAGAAGAACATCATTGCTTTAACTGAATTCTAAGCGAGCCTCACCTGAAGGGAAAATACACAAAGAGATACCAGGGTTCCTTAAAGGGAACATCCCAAAACCGCCTTGCAAGGATCCAAGGTGGTGTTTGCCTGGCCCAAGTGCCAATTCTTTTTCTGTCTTTGGGCACCCGGCTTTCAGCTCAAGCTACGGGGTCTTTGTGTTTGCGCCCCAAAAATGTCACAGCCTCCCCAAAACATAGTTATCTACCTACCTGGACCCTCAAACTTACCCACGCAAAGAGGAAAATCACCTCATAATTCTGGGCAATAACTTAGAATTGTGAGGGTTCAGGTCGCCTTTCACACGGGCCGAAAAGTGCAACCCGAAAAGGGATTGCAGTTCTTCGAGCATCGGGAGACAAGGTTAGCATGGGCTGAGTGAAGGAAGACCCCTCTAGGTCAGAAGTGGCGAAAGTTGCACTTGATCCATGGAAAGTGGCACCACACGCGCACAACTGAACTTGGTCTGTTAGATTTAGCAGCCTGGTTGGGGAGCCGGCGTTCGACATATGTGTGTGTGTTTCTAGGGTGCTTGGCTTTGGGGTTATCTATTTCAAGGGAAACCAATAGGAAACCATGCGTACAAGATTCAAATATTTTAGCACAGTCATGCGGATGTTTGCATGGGTTGACTTGAGAAAGCGGATTTCCGATTGCACTTTGGCAAGCCAAGTCAGCCAGTGACAGGGTTTCCTCCATTCCCCTTTGTGGAACATTCAAACAAGTGGCACTTTCAACGGAAACCACCAGTTTGAATTGTCACTTTTGAGGGGGAAGCCCAGCCACCCCTCAGTAGGGAAGACAATCGCAGTCAAAAGGACCGTCACTTTTTTGTTCTCAGCCCACTCCATGGCATAGCGTAATGGCGGGAATCCGACTGCTTGCACAAATTCGCACCGTGGGTGAATCAGGATGGCGCAATTCCACCATTTGGGCGGAGTAATCCTCTTTCCTTGCCCACGTTTACTCATCCCATGCAAATGAACTGCCAGCGGTTGAGCACCGCCTGGAGATGTTTGTGAAGAAGGCACTGCAGCTGCCTTCATAGAGTTTCTGCAACCTCCCAAAACAAATCCCTATTTGCCCAGTGACGCGCTCCCTTCTTTAAATTGTTTTTGAGGAGGCGGGCTTCCCAGAAAGATGGAATCCACTGGGTGCTGAGCTAACCTTTAAGTTTAAGATTCCCAAAACAGAGTCCAAAGAGGATAGGTGTGAGTTGTATTGTTGTTTGCTTGACCCCTGTTTAGTGCCTCAGAGGCTTAAGCTGTGGATGTCCGACCCACTTCATTAGGTGGGTTCTGACCATCCAAATAGGCTTTCCCAAGCCCCGGTTTTCCGCTGACGTTTTCCCGGAAGACGCCTCCGTCCGCGGATCCACCCGGCCAATTCCAGGCAGCGGTGCTGTCCTGGCGCGGTCGGGTGGTAGCAGCCACGCCCACCTGGCGGAAGCTGCAGGCGGGGTTTAGTCGGCTGCCATGAGTGGCTCGTCCTTTCAAGCTGCCCGCAGCGGCTCGCAAAGGACAAGGGGAATCTGATCCAGAGCAAGAGTACCCTCAAAACAAACACACTCGCAAATAAACAAATATGCTTGGACAGGGCTCCCTATATTTACCCTGAAAATATCACCCATGTTGCACATTAGGAGCTGAGTGTACTTCCTTTACTACACTTGTACTGAAAAGTGTTGACGTTCGAGCCGGAGCTGCCAAAGTGCATTTCCTTTGCCACACTTGTACTGAAAAGTTGCGACTTTCGAGCCGGAGCTGCCAAGTACTTCCTTTGCCACGCTTGTACTGCAAAGTTGCGACTTCCGAGACGGAGCTGCCGAAGTGCATTTCCTTTGCTACACTTGTACTGAGAAGTTGCAACTTTCGAGCCGGAGCTGGCAAAGTGTACTTCCTTTACCCTGCGCTTCAACAGGCCTATCTAAAGGAGGCCTCTGGAAAGAGGCCTTGCTTTCTAAACCCGGAAGTCTCCACGGTAAGTATCCACACCTTTTCAAGACCTTTGGCCCCATCTTCCTGGCCCAAAAAACATGTTTCACGTTGGCTGCGCATGGTGCGTCACCCACAATACGCTAGTCCTTTGTGCTCTCAACATTGACATCTTTACCTCGCATTGCTTTGCTCCAAGGCAGTTCTGCAAACGGACGACGGTTCCATGCTTGCCTTTAGAGGTGTCGGCACAGTTTCGGCGACCCTGCTTTTTTTTGTGGAACAAGCGCCATGCTCTTGCACGAAGGCTGCAGTTGGTCCAAGCAAAAGGCTGGGTTTTGGGAGTAGCATCATGTGCTTGAGAAACTGGAGCCAGGTTAGCAACACGATGTGCAAATTTTTGCCTGTGTCAGCAAGACGCTGTGCAACATGTTGCCCAGTGAAGTGAATCAGAACACCAGATGGACCGTGGACAAAACGTGGACAACCCGTGGGAAGGCCTCAAAAAAAAGCGTGGAAAGGCCGCAGGAAAATTCAACAAGGCTTCAAAAAGTCATGGACGCCATGCCAAAAAGCGAGGACAGCACAGCAAAAACCCAGCAGGACCAGATATTTACGAAGGGGGGCTTCAAAGCAAAGAGCGTCCCAAGCAAGATGGTAGGAAGATGGCAGCTATGATTCTGCTAAGGCGAGTTTTTTGGCTTTCTAGCTCCCCCTCGAGACCCTGCAGCTGAGGCATGTGCAAATGCATGCTTTTCGTATTCAACAACATGCCAAATCCCTTCGGGTTACAATATGACCAGAAACTGCCCGAGGTGGCCACCCCTGACCTTTCCAGGCCTCCGCCCTTCCTTTTCCAAGCCTTTGCCCCTCACCCGATTCAAGGCCTCTGGAACAAAACAAGGCCTAGGCCTGACAAAAGGATGCCTTGCAATCCCAGATTTTGTTACATTTGTACTGAGAAGTTGAGACTTCCGAGCCGGAGCTAGCAAAGGAAGTACCAACACTTGTACTGAAAAGTTTCGACTGCTGGCAAACTGTTCTTCCTTTACTCCACTTGTATTGAAAAATTGAGACTGCCAAGCCGGAGCTGCCAAAGTGTACTTCCTTTGCTCCACTTGTACTGAAAAGTTGTGATTTCCGAGCTGGGGCTGCCAAAGTGTACTTCCCTTACTACACTCGTACTGAAAAGCTGCGACTTCGGATCCGGAGCTGCAAAAGCGTTCTTCCTTTACTACCCTTGCATGAAAAGTTGCGACTTTCAAGCTGGCAAAGTGTACTTTGCGTTGTGAAGATGTAAAATGCAAAAACCGCCGCAAAGCGACAACGTTACAAAAAAGAACCATACCCGCCACCCAATGTCCTTTTCCCATACAACAGGTTTTGCAAGTTGCCCATGTGCAAAGCCACCAACAAGGGAAATATAGGGACCCTTCAAGGGGCTTGTTCTTCCCCCTGCTGGTTTTAAAGGGAACCCATCACTACTGGAAATATGTGCACATTTTCCTTGGAGGCTTAAGGAAGTGGAAGTCAGCGAGTCACAAAGAAAGCCTTTTTGAACAAGTGCTGCTTGACATGTACCTACACTTTTTGGCCGCTTGGAAATGGATCTTAGGACTTGAACTTTTTGGTTGGAACATTGTGTGTTTTTTGCGTATGTTTCGCGTATTGGACCCACACGAGCTCAAACAGGGGGAGTCGAAATAAACCGATGGACCCCTTTTCGAGGAATGAATCATAGGATGCCCAAAGTTGCCCCACGAGTCGCGGAAGCTTAGTGGCTTTCCCTCCAAAAGGAATTCCCAAGAAAAAGGGACATTCCGTATTGAAATCAACCGGGGTTCTGCTTCCGGCTTCCCATTTATATAGTCGGGAAACTCGTGTTTCTTTGGGTTTCCTTAATGGTCACCCTATGTAACGGACCTTTTTGATCAACCTGCACACTGCGCCTTTGAATCCATGGTTGGCACCATTACGTTTGTTGGTAATTTACTTCTTGGGGAATAGGGGGATCATCTTTCCGGAGATTCCCTTTTGTGATTTTCCCATCCAGTGGCCAGACTCCCTGTCAATCCGGGGTTCCCAGGGAAATGGCCAAGAAACCAAGGGAAACCTTCAGCTTTTTCTGTTGGTCTTGCTCTTTTTTCTTTTTTTTTCGTTGTTGTTTTTTTTCCGATCCGCAAGAAAAAGTGGCCCAAGTTGTCAGGCCTTGGACCGGGGGCTGCTGGTGGCCATGGCCAGCTCTGCGGGGCCACAAAGCTTCGGGGAGCTGAGGCCGGGGAGCTGCTGAGCAGCGCGGGGGCCTTCGCTCGAGCGAAAAAAAAATCCTCGGATCCATCTGCCTTTATGGCGAGCTGATGCTCCCTTACCTTGACTGCTATTGGGCAACGGATCGTTAGACTTTCACTTCTTGGTTGAAATAAAATGGTGTTTTCCACTAAACCCCCAAAAAGTTGAGCTTTTTGCAGGAGGGTCAACAGCAACCAAGTTACTTGGGGATCCCTACATTGAGCTATTGGAGGTTTTGTGAAAAATGCAGAATCCATGAAGTTGCCAGATTAGGCTGCTAGTATGGAACGGTGAGGGTTTTGCTGGGTTTCGGAGGGGTTCTAGTGAACTATGCGCCAGCGGTACAGGTGCGCATGTTTGCCTTCAAACACGGCCCCTCGGGATTGTAAAGTAGTGTTTCTTTCAAATCAACCCATGAAAAAGGTGCCTTGTGGTCGTTGTGTTTGCCCACGGCCGCTGGGCGTATGTCGATCGTGGCTGCCCCATTTACTTTTGAGACTTCCTTCTTGCCCAAAGAGACGTGAGTGTGAGTGTGTTTATGTGGGCAGCTTTGGCTTTGTTCATGTTTGTTGCAGGGTTGTGTTAGGTTTGGGGTTCGATTAGGACCGCGTTCGGGGTAAACACCAGCTTACCCATGAAGGCTCAACTCCCTGGCAGCCCTGGCGTTTCAGGATTGGAGTTGCTACATGTTTGTTTGTTTTTTCCGAGTCATTGTGCACCCTCCGTGGGTTTTGAACAAATGACCACATGGGTTTGTCTCAAAATGCCACATGGGTCTCTTTGCAAAAATTGGGGGGGGGGAACCCACCTTTGGGATGGTCTTTGCGGGACGCCAAAAGCAAACCAACGCTCAAGTTGGAGACAAATCCACATGCCACGGCATGCAGGTCTGTGACGCTCGAGGAAATCGACGACCTCTCCTTGCATGTGAAATCAGAGCCCGGATCGGAGGCGACGGAGGCGAAGCACCACATGCTCAGCATCCGCCTCCATCCCGAGATATCGGGGCAAGACGCTCGTAGGAGGGAGGACCCGGATCTTCCAAGGAAGCTAACCCCGGGTTCATCTTAGAGTGACCATTCTGAGGTCTCCTCCAAGTGCCTTTGGGTCTTGTTTCTCTTTCAGCCACTATTCAGAGCGTATTTTGAGGCCATCACCTGAAAGGGCCAATGAGCCAAACTTGCATTTTAAATTATTACTTTCCCCTCAGAATCGCTATTTCGTGAGAGACCCTGGAGGACGCATCTTTGGTTTTTTCCATCATTTCGCCTATGGACAAGGGCCCTTTGGATGCGCAGAGGTTGCGGGACCAAGCCACGCGCTGCGCGGGCCATGGGAATCTGGCGGTTCTTTGGGAGAAGCTTGGGAAGAGGACGCTGAGTGGCTCCAAGTGTTTTTTGTTGTTTTTTCTGGATCGCCAGTTGCAGCTTTGTTCCATGCACTTGACCCCAAAAACCAACAACAGTGAGTGACAAAAAAGCAGCAACTTGGCAAACTAAGAATGGTCAACCTTAACAAGCGTTCCTCACTTCCTGCATTCATGGACTTTAGTCACTTTGTGGGTTCGGACATTTTTAGTGGGAAACAACAAGTTTGGGTACTTTCTTTTGGCCAATCCACTCGATCGGAAGTGAGGTTCTAGTTTTAATTTCTACGAGGGTCATTGGTTGCATTTGGGAGGAGCATTGCAGAGCTGACGCTCGACAAGCTGTCGGCAGCATTGCTGCTGGATGAGGGCGTCGGCGACGTGGTGGCGCTGCCAGCTCTTTGGAGCAGCGAAAGCGTGGGTGCTGAGGTTCACGAAGCTTTCAGACGCCTGACTTACTGGTTTCACGCGCTGCCCACGCTCTCCGCAAACTGCCCTCAACGCTTCGTTTGCTGCGATGGGTACGTGATCACCGCGGTGCGGAGGGAAGACGGGATCCTGTGCTGGGGATGCTCCACGGCTGTGCAAGAAGATGCGTTTCAGGAAGTGCAGAGGCTGCTCAGGCATCTGCCGCGGGCGCCTGATTTGTGGAGCTCCCTCGGAGCGCTGGAAACGCCAATGTCCTAGCCTTCGCAAAAATAATTATATCACCCTCCCACCCTTTTCACAGGAAACCTGACGTTCGAAACATGGTCCCCTTAAACGGAAAATGGTCCAAGCCAGGAGCCCCCGAACGCCGAACGGTTCCATGTGAAAAGGCTGGGAGGCTAGCGCCAGTCCGCGAACGAGATCCGCCGTTTCGGACTGGATCCGCAGCGAGTCGCGCGTGTCACATCTGCTGCTAGAGGGTCCTTTCCCAAAGCCAGGGAAAACAGGTATCTCAGTGGCCCAAACCGAATCGAGCTTTTAACCTTTTGGTTTTCCTAGTTTGGTCTATTATTAGGTAAAGGTCCCAAAAGGTGAACCTTTTGTTTCTGGGTCCCTAGGGGGCAACTGAGGTATGAGTCTGTCTTCAGAGGAGACCCCCCCCCAATTTTTGTTTTAAGGGTTTCCAACTTTGAGTCCTTTAACCTTGGCAGCTTTACCCCAGCCATTTGAGGTTTTTCTTTTTGTTTCTATCCTTTTTTTTAGGGTTTTCGTGGTGTCCGAATTTCCCAGCCATTTGAGTTGTTTTTCTTCTTCTTTTTTTCGGGGTTTTCGTGGTGTCTGAATTTAACCCGCTAAAAGTGAATATCTCAAAAACCGGACCGCCCAGTAGCGTACGGAGCCAGCCACCGAAGCTCCTCACGGGGCTGGACCAGTTGTCCTCCGAAGCTTTCAGCGTGCCGTAAGCTTGATCCAGCCAATTGAAACCTGGCTAGGCTGGTACTTTTTGGGTTCCCAAATTTTCGTGATGGCTCCAAAAGGGTGTCACCCGAAATGTTTCTAGGTCGGGGGGTATTTTTACCCTTCCCATGTGAAGTGTCCCCTTAAAGGGTGTATTTCTGGGTTTCTTTGGAAGGGTAACTGATGCACAAGGATTTGCCCGGCAAGGATAGGCAGTCACGAGCGCAGTAGGCGCACTCGATCACTCCGACAAGGACATCTTCAACATGAGCACTGCTAAGTAGCCCTGCTTATTCACTATCCCTGATGTTGATTGAGAATTGCATCCCAGAAAGGGGATTATTCAATTCCCTGTGTAGACGTGCAAACACATGCTGGTTGTAATTAGATCATTGAAGTTTATCATAGAAGTGGAAAGCAAACAGTGGATTCCCGTGAGAGATGACTTTTGACTTCCCCCGAAGGAAGTCAAAAGGGGATTTGAAGGAACTCGACTTTTCGTGAAAAAAAGTGGTTCCACAGAATGAATGCCTTTGTTTTTTCACTTCGAACCAACCCACAAAGAGCACCCTTGCACCAAGACACATGGAACCTGACAGGTTTTTTTTGAACACGGAATTGGTCTTCCAGGTGAATCTGTGCACATGGCCACGTGGTTAATGCTTGGGCCCATGGACCTTGCCATGCGGTCCTTGCCGCGGCTGCCGCTGGCCAGGCGCGATGTTTTTCAATCACAGTCAGCTTTCTAGGAAACCCAAACACCTTATTTGGAGGAAACTAGTGTGGGCTATTTATTGCACCACAAAAAAGGGACCACGCCTTCTTTTTTTTTGGCCAGGTTAACGTTGCCATTTCAAGAGGTTTTCACCCCTGAGGGTTGTTTGGGGTGGTTTGGCTGTTTCATGTTTTGCGTGGCTGATTCAGTTAGGAAGGGGGTGCTATGCATCCTTGATTGGGTGTGACAGTTGCTGTGAGGATCCCTACAACAAGAAGCATCACCATGACCGACCATCGAAAGAGTTTGATCAAGGCACGCCTGATGCCTAGGGCAAGAAGCGGAGCTAACTGATTGCCACACGTCTCCTGCGTTCATGACTTAGATTGTTTCGCAGTGGTACCCGCACACAAACACAGCAACCCATTTCGGCTCTGTGGCTATTGCCCTGCGCAAAAAGCTTAATATCCTGTTGCATCGCGCGACAATACAATGCCTGAGGATTCAACCAAATGAGTAATGTTCACCCCGGAACTTTTGGAGGGAACACCCCCGCTATTCATGGGAAGGGTTTATTACTCCTGGGTCAACATGAGCCGAGAAGTTGCAAGGAGGCCCTCATGACACATGTTTTGATTGGCGCTCTGTGAGCGCCGGTAGCTCCAAAGCTCGGAGCTGAGGTTGAATCAAGCTACCCCATGGTGCCCTCATTCACGAAGGTCCGTTCTCGTAGTTCTGTGTTGCATCGTGTTTCTTTTTGGCGGGCCCCTTACATGGGGCCCTTTTTGTTCAAGCAGATCTGACAAGTGTAACAGGAACAAGCGGCGAGACATGTGGACCTGGGAAAGAATGCTGGGCTTTCTTGTGGTTTCCATTCAACTCACTTTCCGAGCTCCTGGACTATAGAAAAGACCATTTGCGTGGTAAATAACAAGTTTGGACTTTTGTGTCCAATCCACTCAGGAAGTTGGTTAAACCTGCTTTCCTTCTGATTTCCCTTCAGAACATATCGACGACCATTCCGGCATTCCTATTAACGCTTATGGCTGGCCATCATCAGGAAGCAAGCCCAGAGGAGTCCATTTCCTATGGTTGTCAGTGGCCCCCCAATAGGAGCCCCTAACCCCAGGGGCTGATAGCGACTAAGAAGGCTAAGAAGGCTGGGGGGGGCCCTGACAACCATGGGACCATTGTTTGCCTTTCTTGGATGGCCGTTTGTTGGCCTGCCTCAGTCGAAGGGCATCTAATCTAGGCCAATGCGGCCGATGCCACGGCACCTTCGAGCTTTGCGAACGACCGCCGCGAGATGGGATTTTTAGACGACCGAGAGTTGAGAAGCAATGCTTGCTGGGTGCTACCCTCCCACAAACAAAGATAGAGCGGGTTTTTGAGAAACCACCGCAGCATGAGTCACGCTTCTCAAAAGGGACAGACAACGGACCTCTAGCGTTTGGAACTTTGAGCTGCTTTTGGAAGCGGCCTATTTCTTGTCCTTTCCAAAATCAGCTGCTTCTGACGGGAGGGTTTTGGAACACTGCTTGCCTTTTCGGGTTTGGCTTCCATGATTGTGGGAAAGAGGGTACTGTTGATCCCGGATTCATAAACCCTCCCATGAATAGCGGGGGTGTTCCCTTGCAAAAGTGATGAACCCCCCACTAAAAGGGGACACCCCCCCTCCCGCTCCAATAATCAGCCGTTGGTGGGGATAAATTTGTTGATAGACAAACGGTCACGCTACTGCGTCCAAGTGAGCGGCCCTTCTGTTAATCAACCAGGGGGTCATAAATCCGGGGTTTTCCCTGAGAAAGTGATGTGTCCCCACGAGAAGGGGGACACTGCTCCTATTGATCACCTCCACTCAACATCTGGCCAGGGGGTGTTATAAATTCATCCGGGGTTTTCATGAATATGGGGGTTGATCAATATTCCCTTCGTCCCAAAATGACCATGGGAAACGTTTCCCATGTGGTGATTTCGTCATTTTTTCTTGGGTGGTTTCCTCAATGGTGACCATTATGTAAAGGACCTTTTGATCAACCCCCATACTATGGATGAACAAAATCCATTTCGCACCGCTTGACACCATGGTTGACACCCTTGCTTGTTGATATTTACGTTGGGGAATCGAATGATTCCGTCTTAGGTGGTGCCCAAGAGGATCTCGCAACCATCCCCAGTACCCCTTCTTGAACCACTTCTTTGTGGGTGGTTTCCCCTTCTCACTTCCTGAATTCATGGACTTTAGTCAATTTTTTTGGGAAGACCCTTTTAGAGGTCTTTTTGTTGGCCAGCCTACTCAGGAAGTGAGAATTCCTGTGGGTTACTCGCCCAGCCAGTCGAATCCGAGGCCCGGACCGCCGCCACCTCTGCCTTTCCGGCGGCGGCGTGCGCCACGGCGGCAACGGCCTTCGCGGCCAAGGCGGCGGCCAGGACGCGACAGCTGCCGCGGTCCGGGAAGAGGCGGAGTTGGGCAGTGATCCAATGGCACTGCCCCAAAATACGACAGCGAAATAGATGGGTTCCACTGGTTTTGCTGGGTTTCATATGGTTTGATTCCATTTGCCAGGGCCACTGCTTTTCCAATTTCCAAAAGGTCACCTATGCAAACTGTTTGTTTCTTTTTGGGGGGGGAGCGCCCCTTTTTTAGAGTGTGGAACCCTGCATGCCCTGCTTGTGTTTACAGATCTCTCGTTGCTTAAGTTTGCTGACCGACCGCACATGTGTTGTTTTCTTTTGCTTTTTTGGGGGCCTTTGACCAATACGTGTCAACTTGGATGTTTAACTAACTTAGTAAGTTGGCACGTGTTATTGGTTTTGCTTCTGTTCATTTCTGGTGGGGAGTGGGGGGAGGGGGGTGCGGGTAGGGGGGTTCAACAAGCATTTTTTTGCTACCCTACCAAGGATTGCCAAGATATGTATATTATGCTTTACGTGTGTAAAGGGTCACCAGCTTCATAGAAAACTGTAGGAAATTCTGGAGAGAGTTAGCAAAATACCCATTGGGAAAGTCAGGGGAGGGTGGGCTCCCATTCGCACGCGAGGCTAAAAAGTCTCACGACTCGTTTGGTTGTTTACTCACCCCAAGCCATGAAACCAATTCCTTGGCCCAGCAAAGTGGGCTCGTGCCCGCTTCACACATCAACATCCCCCCATCAACTTGTAGGTTGGCCTCAAAGTATCATGACTCACTGTTTTGCAACCCAATGAAACCAAGCCCCTCGCAAGACCCCGCTCGATTTCACTGTTCTTGGATCATGTTTTTTTTTTTTTTTTAGTTTTTTTGTTCTGTTCATTTTTACTGGGGGTCTGCAACAAACAAAGTACCAAGAGTAGAGATGGTTCGAGAACTCACATTCGCAAATCTGACGCTGGCCTCGCGGGTTTCATCCGCTAGGCTGGGCACCCACAGCGGCTCCTTTCAGGCGGACGATGCTCGTGCAGGTAGGCCTCGGTTGATTTTTATGTTGTCTAATGGGTGCGTCGATTCTTTCAGCGGACCGAGCAAAAAATGGTGGTGGTCATTTTGGTTTCCCTTTGAACCGGGTGGGACCCTGAACAAAAAAAAACGCATTTGCGTAGTCATGGCCCCCAAATGTTGGCCCTTTATTTCTGGGTTCTTTGCGCAGCAGTGAATTGTAATTGGGGGTGGGGGAGCGGGGGTGGCCATCCATCAGTCCTTTGGCATTCGGCCTCTCGGTGCCTCGCAACTCGACCCATACCTATTTCTGTCGGATGTTTGCTTGTGGCTGTTTGGTTGGATCTACGGACTTTGACTTTTTGGGAAACAGTGGATTGTCCATTGGACCCGGGGTCAACAGCAACCTTTTCGCCTGGGAAGACGTGACCTGGGTTTCGGTGTCGGAAACTGCTTTGGCCTAGCTTTGGCACGTCGCATCAGTTCACGGAGTATGGATGCCAGAATCTACGAGTGTTCCCTAGCTGAAAGCTAAGGGGTCGATAGGCCCAGGCAAGCTTGGGAGTGGGCCATGGGGGCAGCTCAGGGAGGGTTCAAATGGAGAAGGTTCCCTCCGGGGGTTCCAAAAAGGCTGGAGATACCTAGGCTTGTGCTTGTTTCCGGGCGAATCCAGATGGACCATACCCAGGATGACGCCCAACAAGTTTTTTGAGGTCCGTTTAGTTTGGGGCCCTGGGCCCCTGGGCCCCTGGGCCTGGTCTAGTTTGATACAAGTTCTCCAGACTCCCCTTCAAATAGAGGAGTCTGGACATTTGCAGAACGAAGTGGGTCTGTCTACTGTATTGTTTTGCAGTTTTTACAAGGGAGCCTAAAGGAAACCCACCCATTTCCAAAGCCGGAAAAAAGATGGCCAAGTAGACATTTCTACTGGGATCCAAGGAAGCCTTGGCCTGCTGGATGCTGCGCCAGCTCCCGCGCTTCGCCCACTGCGAAATCCTGCGGACCCGCGACCCCAGGCCCATTGAGCCAGAATGGAGCGAGCGGAGCGGCGGGTCAGACTTGTTCAGTGCTAGCTGGTCTGGTGGTTGCGACATCCTGGGCACCACCGTTCAGAACTCCTTCCATGATATGATTCCCCTTTTTGAATCCCAACAAACGTTATGGTGTCCAATTTGTTCCAACTTGGTGTAGGATGTCGTCCATCCACAGTGGCTGGAAGATGTTTCTTTGGTTTTAGAGGGGGAGCCTTTCGTTGCTACCGATGTGGAAGGACATGGTAGGGCACCATGTCTCCCTTTTGTAATGGGTTCTTCTACAAGTGGTCAACCCCTCAAACTCCTTCAATTCAAAGGACACCAGCTGGAGCCAGGAAGTATTAGCACTGTTATAACTGGACGTTTGACCTTTTGTGTTGGCTCTTTTCTGAGTTTCTAGTGGCTTCCATGCATGTATGTTTTGCTTCATGCACAGCTTCCAACCCACTTGCGTGGAACCTGACTGGGAGGTCCTGGTTTGGACAGTTTTCATCTAAACGGACCCTTCGGCGGTTCTATGTTAGGGGACGTGAGGGCAATCACTAAATCTCCGGCACCCAAGACACCTTTTGGGTATTCTAGCAGCTTGTCCACCAGGTGGAATAGGCGTTGTCAAACCTTGACAACCATTTTCTAGGTCTCCCAATAGTGCCCTTTTACCAACTTTTTTGGGGAGGGTTCCCCTACTAAAATCGACTACAGAAAAAAGGGTACCCTTATTCTAACCTCTCTACTGGAGGACCTTGTTTTGGTAGAACCTTTTCGGGTCGACGCGTTTTGGGCACGTCGCTAATGTTGACTTTTCGGCCTTCAGGCTGCTTGACCAGATGGACGTGGTGGTGGATGCGCCTCAGCACCGAATCCCTGGCTGAGAGGCAGAAATCATGGACAAAAACCAAGAGGACAAGAAAAAGCCAATGGCAAAACCACTCGAAAACCACAGGAAAAAGGGAACACCAAGGAAACATGCGGGGAAAACAAAAGCAACCAGCTAAAACCAAGCAAAAAATCAGACGGATGGGTCCCCTGTGCTCATTGAGTCAATGGTGTTTAGCTCTCAGCGAACGGATGCCTTCAGCTAGGTAGGCGACATCTACGACCCTGAGCGCCTGCGCTTCGACCACCACCAGCGGGGATTCTTTGCAACAGCGGACGGAGGGCCGGAGGCGCGGTGTTTTCCGTTCAGGGCCTGTGCCATTGTTGTTGTGTTTGTCGGGGGGTTAGGTCTGAGCTTTTTGAGGTAAGGGAAACCAAAAGGAGCATGATTTTAGGATCCCCCTCGACACGTACCGTTTGATCTCCTCAGGGCACCCTTAGTTAGTGGTTTGGATTGGTGGCTCGCGGATTTGCACCGCTGATTCTTGTACAGGGTTAATGGACGCCTAACGGGCTTACTAACGGGGGGGGGTACTTTTAGGATAATCAACGATGTTGTGACTGCATTACTGCTTGGTGATGGATGTGTCCCTTCACGTAGTGACTTGGCAATATATTTCCCACCATTTCCCTACCAATACCAGGGAACCAAGGCAAATGACACCCTTTGTGCGATACGAAAGTGGGGCTTTTAAAGGGGACCGGACCCCCCCTGATTCGTGAAGGCTCGGCTCGGCGCGTCCAACTTCAGCAGGGGACCCTGAATGAAGGTTATTTTGCGTATTCCTTCCCAGTTTGTGACTTGCACTCCGTAGAAGCAACAGCATCTCAGTTGCTCAGTGGCTCCCTTTTTCCTTGTTTTTTTTTTGGGGGGGGTAGCTGCCCCACTAAAATGGTCTTCCCAGAAAAGGGTTCCCTTGTTTTCCAGGGTCACTGAACAACTGAGGCATGGAATCTCGTAGAAGGCGTTCCAAAAGCAAAAAGCAGCCTCAGCTCTGGCATTTGGGGGTGGATGCATGGGAATAACTTTTGGAAGTTACGATAGTCATGAGCATAAATTAGTAGAAGAGAGATCACTCTCGGACACACACGGCTGCACCGTCACATTGACGATCTTTCCATCAATCGCGGAGGCAGAGGGGTGGGCTTTAGAGCCACCCAAAACCGGTTACTCTAAAAACAAAAACAGAAACAACACATACCCTCCCACCCTTTTCACCTGGACCCTGACCCTCGAAAGGTCCTGGCGGCCATTTTTCCTTAGGGGACCGGCCCGGCCCGGGTCGTTCAGGCTGAGGGCCGCTGGAAGACCCGGCTGTCCTCTGCAGGCCGCCGGGATCGAAAGCTTCGGTCGAGAACCGGAGAATCGGCGAGTGGGAGCTTGGCCGTCCGGGTCAACTTGGCTTTTTAGATGTTTTTTTTGGTGTAAGGTGGCTGGATGTCCGACTTTGTTTTTTTGAAGTTGGCTGTTTAGATGCTTTTAGTTGGTGATGTTGGTGTAAGGTGGCTGGATGTCCGATTTGTTTTATGCCACGAACATGTAGTCGCTTTCAGCAGGGGAACTGAACACTGACAGCCCAGGGAAGCGGTCAGGCGCAGTGTGGGAGGTTCTGCCCCCCATGCGAGAGGTGGTTGGGTCAACGTTGTTCAACATTGGTGGCGGGTTCTGTTCTTGTAGTCACGTCCCACAACTGGCTTCGGACTTGGGACTCCATCCATGTTAAACAACCCAGCCAAGTCTCATATTCAATCGACACTGGCCCAGGCTGTGGATTTTCAAACCACCAAAAGGGAAATATATCCCAGACACCCAGCGGTGCCCTTTCCGTTGTTTGCCGGGGGGGGGGGGGGGGATCCCTTTACAATCGAACACCAAAAGGCGGTACCCTTTATTCACATGGAAATCCACTGGGTTTGGACAAGGATATTGTGAAACATAAAGTTACCGCAGGGAAAGACACGTGTGTGTGTGCGTGTGTGTTTGTTTGTTTTTGGGAGTTCCATTTCAGCTTGGCTCAAAGGGAATCTTGTTGGGTCCTGCGCATGGTTTTCGCATGTTCAAGTATACTCACTTCCTGAGTTCCGTTTGGTCACCTTTTGGCCGCTTGGTTGCCATTTTAGTGGTAAATACAAACAATTCAGGCTTTTTTGTTGCCCCTCCACTCGATGGGAAGTGAGTTAAGGCAAAGCATGAGGTCCTAGCCCAGGTCTCATTTACAAGCACTTCGGCCGGGACATCATCCAGCAGCTGGCTGGCACAGACAAGGAGGACACCGAGCTCGTTTGGGCAGAGGTGCCGCAATCCGGGCGGGGAAGGCCCCAACGCCGCATTCCAAGGAGGATTTGTTCCCGTGTTCAACCTGGTTACCTGCAAATCAACCTGGAAGCCAACACCTCGATCTTCCAGGACACTTAAAAAACAGGCCCCTGGTTCATTCTCCATTTCAATCCAAGAGGAAAATCAAGCAAAAAGGGAGCCCCCAAAAGGACATTCCTGAACAAATGTGTTGTACGTTCTATGTTAATCTGCGGTGGTTTAGTTTGCAGGTGATGCAACCATGGTTTTTGGTGGGGTGAGAAGGTTAACCCCCTTCCAACCACGGTTTCAAGTACAATCTACTTACTGAGTGAACTGGAGGTCCAAGTACATGTGGCCCTTTGTGATCTAAGTTTTTGACTTGGAGGTGGGCCCAAAACAGCGATATGAGAAAAGAAGAGAAATGTTGAACATGTGGAACTCTGCGATCTGAGCCTTTAACTTTGACGAGGCCCCAAAACAACCTGAGAAAGTAAGAGAAGCGTTCGACCTGCTCAACCAGACAGGGAAGCCAGCAGTCCCGGACTTGGGACGCCAAACCACTCTGGAAATGCGAGGCTTTGCGTTTTGTGGGTACCCTTGCTCCCATTGGCATGTGACCCCTTGGAAGGCCCTGCTCCTCTTTTAGGGGCTAACTGTCAGGTTCCATGGCAACGTGGGAGGGTGTAGTTGGGGTAGCGTTTTCAGACGGGTGTTGAAGGTGATTTGAAAAGGGAGTGAGGCGATGTTCAAGGGATGTTGGACCGACCGAGAGTGGGCCAGGTGTACGAGCGCTTTGTTGAGTCAGTCGATGCTATCGACAACGGAGCCGCGCTCTTAGGCCTTTTTGCTGTGGCGAATGCACTGCCTGGCTTGCAAACACCATCCCGACACTTATTCCAAATCGGGTTGCCCATTGTTATGTTGCCCCCGGGTCGTGAACTCAGCCAGAAATCAAGAGGCTTCGCGAATCCTGACCAAACTTACCCCATCCTACCCTATCCTACCCACCCTACCCACCCTACGCATCCTACCATGAAACCCCACCCTATGCCCTGCCCCATACCGTACCCTTCCTACCCAAAGCCCTTCCGTATACTCCTTGGGCCCTGTTCCCTGAGGCTCTCATTTTCGGGCCGCTGTATGTAGCCAAACGCGGAAGCGTTGTGACACACTTCCACTTGCCATGTCTCCAAGTTAATGCAGGCAGAGAAATGCAGAGCGAACTGTGTCGAATCGATTGAATGCAAACCATGTCGATGCCAGTTCCAGGCCGGTGTAACCAAATCTTGATTGATGGTCATCCTCAGGCGTGAGGGGCCCGAGTCTTGGACCCTCAAGCCTCTGAGGTTTTTTTTCTTTCGCGTGCTCATAGACTCTTGGAGCTAGGCGCCCCCCGCCCAAAATGAACATGCGCAGCATGTGAAATGCACCCAGATCTTTGCTGTCGACGTATACTGGCGACTTGGTCACAGTCGAGGCTACGGTCAACAACGTCACACTCCTTAACAGCAGATTTCATACAGCAGGCTTTTGGCATCCCACTGCAAGTCTGTTTCTTGGTGCCCTATGCAGTTTTTCTTGCTTCGCTTCAGATGGCAAGATTCCGACCCCACCATCGACGACGAGGATCGCACAAGAGGATGACATACAAAGCGCCTTTTGCACCCAAAATGATGACCACCACAACAAACACCCCCAAGCCGACAAGCTAAACGCCGGCAGCAAAGGCACCTGCGACGCAGCCGAAGCAGCAGAGAGCAACACCGCAGCAAGCAGCAATTATCAACCAGCTCACCAACCAAGAAGCCACAACGCTTGCGCACGCTGCTTTGCAGCGACGGATGTCAGCGCAGGCAGCGCAACACGCCAGTCCAGGCCTATGAGACCAACATAAAACTGCAAAAGCCCCCGAGCACCATACACACACACACAACCGCGTGCGCTACACAGACTCACTCAGCTATGCGACACTACAGCACAGGCAGCAGGATATGAGCGCATCGCAGACCTGGGCGTTCTCCTTCACTCGCGCTTCTCCCTGCCCAGGCCACCCTTGAATTGAAAGCCTTTGAGAGCTCGTCTTCGGAAAGCCCCCTATGGCTGTCAACTGTGGGGCACTGTGGGGTGGGGTAAGGTAAGGTAGTGCGCTATGGGTAGGGTAGGGCAAAGTGTAGGATTGGAGCGTGGTAGGACGGGAGGTAGTTGGTGGGTCAAGAAGCAGGGTAACAGGGTAGGGTTTAGGGTTGGGTTTTTGGTTGTGGGCTAGGGTAACTGAAGCCTCTGCCCCAAAGAGCCAAGTCTGCCCATCCGCAGTACCCGGCCCAAGAACACCCTACCCTTTTCCCTAGCCCGACCTACCCTACCCCACCCTACCTACCCTACACCAATCCATTTTCTCGTTGGGAGGACCCGGTCCTTGCCAACCCTTGGCGCGTGAGAAGAAAAATTGACCGTAGCACCGCAACTGGAACCTTTAAGGAACGCAAAGAAGTGTCCGAAGTTGTTTTTTCCCATGTCCCTCACTTGCCGCGTGGGGAATCGTTTTGCTTTTCGTGCGCCATCTCGATGGGAAGCTTTGGGGCGGGGCATGTCTCAGCTCTGAGGTGGAGGCATATGAGGGCGCGCCTCGCTTCAAGGAGCGAGGGTCGGACCCGGCCAAAGACCAAGACCTTCGCCACTTTCGGCCCTGGGGTTTCCGAACACCATCCCCGAAAGGACATCTCTACCCCTCGTTAGTTGGCCAAATTAGTTGCCGCCGGAGGATGCGTCCAAAAGATCGAAGGAGCTCAAATAAAAGGGAGCTCACGTAAGGCGCGTTTTGATTTCAAGGAAAGCTCACTTGCCCAAAGCGAATTCACATATTTTATTTTTTAGTCCCCCCGTGTGAATCCATGTGTAGTTAAACGGCCCCAAAAGGTTATCCTTTAATGCATAGGTCATTTGGGAATCTGACAAAAAGCATGGGTGTCCTTTGTTTTGGTCAGCTCGGGTTGAACATCGACGGGTTCCGCTGGTTTGGGGCCTGTTCACCTCGAAGGTGGGGCTCCGAGTGAAGCCAACCCAGCCAGACCAGAAGCCATGGCTATGGCTAGGGCAACACGGGTCACCGCTGTGACAACCTACAGACTCAGTGACCATCCAAGCAGGAACGTAGGAACGTTGAGCAATCTTGACTGCCGTTGGGTCGGGAAATCAAGGGAATAAGTTTTCCACTAAACCCACAAACTCTTTTTTTGGGCAGAGGGACCAGCAGCAACCAAGCAATGGGAATGGAATTCAAAGATGACAAGATGCAAGTATCAGTTTAAACGAGTTTGCAGCCCACATCCTTCGACGAGCTGCTGCCCCGCCCCCCCCCGTTCAGTTGATCCCCCCAACACGAGTTCGGAAGAAAGTGCAAGCAAGGAGGGTGTGGAGGGGTGAAATTCCAAGCTTCGCTTGGACGGCCTCGGGTTTCCATTTGGCGGAGCCAAGGGACGGTCCGGCTCCAGTGAGAAAAAACACTCAACCAGTAAGCCTCGAGGATCTCAATCCGCGCAACTGAGGTTTGTGATGCATGCCGAAAATAAAGAAGATGGCGCAACTGATGGATCAGCTGCATCCAACCGGATTTCTGTTGAAAGGGTGGAGCGGCCTACCGGACCCCCCGGTTTCGCCGACGGCTTCCGACGGCTTCCGACGGACGGTTTTCCGCCCAGACCCGCGGCCAGGAGATGACGGGCCTGGCGCTGCGGGTGGCTCGGCTGAACCCGCGGTGGAACGAGACCTGCGAGAAGGCGGAGCTGCAGCGGCGCTTCGAGGCTGCGCCGCTCGACTGGGAAGCGGGAGACTTGGGCTTTGGGGGTTTTGGGGTTGTGCCTAGGTTTTTGGGCGGTTTGGGGGGTGGCTTGGTGGCTGGGTGTGGGTGTGTTGGGTTTTGTGTGGTTTTGGAGGGGGTTCTGGGGGTTTGCGTTTTGTGATTTGGTTTGTGTCCAAGGGATTTGGCTCCCCGAAATGGTGTTTCCTGAGAGGGGTACCCAGTACCCCCCAAAAAAGCTACCGCCTCACATGCTGCAGTGCCATGACACATGTTGCCAGACTCAACTCTCCTTGTGACCTTTTTTGCATTTGTTGGCGTTGTTTGGGTTTTCCCTTAATGCGATGCATTTTATGGGCCCTTCGAGTGGTCCGGGTTGATCTGAATTTAACATTGTGATATGGTGCAAGGGCATCCCTGGGCAGTTAAGTTAATCCCCTTTGAGGGAAACAATCCACTAGGTAGTTGGGATGCCGCTTTGCCGTGATTACTTCAACTCTTTCTAAAAGGAAGCACATCGATGAGTTGTTTAACTCTTAAATAGGGCCTATTTGTGAAGCTGTCTTCCCTGGTGAATCTGGCAGAACTTGAGATTTGTAAGGTTTGCGCACACCCCGCCATCAAACACCTGACACAGTGTCCCTTGAAACAATAATCATCTTCCACAAGCCTTCAGTCAGCTTCGATGTTAGTGGGCGGGAGTCTGTGAAAGCCTGCGTGCCAGGACGATTGGCTCTAAGGAGTGTGTAAGAACTCACCTGCCGATTGGACCTCATGCCCGGTTTTTCGTTGGCGCTTTGTTTCTGATAATTAGGAGCCTCTCTGATTCAAGTCAGAGCCAACCACCCGAAGGGATTTCGCGGGCCGAAGCGGGCAAACAACTTCAGGTGACCAGAATGGGTTTGGGGGGTTGCCGTGCCGGTTTGTCTCCAGAAATGGTCGGGGGGTCCCCTAAACAAAGGCCTGGTGTGATTATTTTCCCTTGGGAAAAGCTTCAACAAGAGTACCTTCAAACAGATAGACCCAAACTCACTTCTTCTGTTCTTGGTCATTTCTAAGAAGAACATCATGCAAAGCACAAAGTTTAGACTCCAGCACGGTTGGATATCGACTTCAGTCGCCCTAGGTCGGCCCTTTGCGGCGCCGAGTTTCTGGAAGTGCCTTGGCGAATCGAACAGCCGACGAATTTTGCAGGCAGCTTGCCTGGGGTCTCCATCAGGTTTTGACATCTCAGTTGCCCAAAGCCGACCTGTTGACCTTCGCCCATTTTGGATCATGTTTAATTAGTCAAAGTCCCCAAAGGGCATGCCAGATGGTGGGTAAAAAGGTCGTTTCTGTTTATTTGCATCTCCTTGGGGCAAGTAAATAAACATAAAGCCAGAGTCTGATCAAAAGCACGTGTACTTTGGCTTTGGGCCCAGCATCGGGCGAAGCAATTGCATTCCTTGGCCGTCCTTCTGGAAAAGAAAAAGCACAGTTACTTGGATGTTCGGCCTCCGCCCCCGTTTGCCCGGATTGGGCTTGGTGTGGCGTTTGCTGAGACCCCTTGACAGGGACATGAAGGAAGCAGACAGCAAGGTATGGCGGTGTTTGGCACGGCCAGCGTGGGGAACGCACACACGCGCCTATCAGAATCATTAGACATTGTCAGACGTGGCTTGTTTTTCCCCCCCCCCCCCTTCCGGTTTTTATCGCTGGGATTTCCTTCTTCCACTAGCAGCAGCTGACATTTTGCAGCGGATCTAAGTCTGGCCGTAGACCTTTGCCTGTGTTCTGTTTGGCTGCCCCGTGTGCAATCGTGCGCATATGTATGCATTAGGCCAGCTTGTGATTTGGCCTTTGGGCTTCAGGGCCCTCATCTCGGCTGCTCTTCGCGCTTGCATGTTAAACTGTTTTGTGGGAGGGCCGCCCATTTCAAGCATGTTTGTTTCACAGATTTGCGGCATACTGTTGAGCCCATATTAATTATATAACCCCAGTGTATTGGTACGGGCTTGTTGCCCAAAAGTGGCCTGATTCCCCACCAAACCCAGCAAAAAGCACCCTTCAAGTAATCAAGGTTGAGAATGATACGGGGTCAACACTACAAACAGTTTGGAGGTTAATACGTGCCGTCCACTCAGAATCTGCTCCATTCCTCTCGTTCCTTTCGCCGAGGCCTTGAGCGAGGTGGTGGAGAGTTGGCTCCCGGCGCGGGACTTGGTGCTGCGAGCAATGGAGAAGCAGAACGCGACGCACGGCTCGGGGCAGGCGCGGGCAGCGCATGGCTGGGGTGCGGGGGGGGGTGGGTGGGTGGGTGGGTGGGTGGGCGGGCGGGCGGGCGGGCGGGCGGGCGGGCGGGCGGGCGGGCGGGTAGGTGGGGGGGGGACATTTCAGAATGTTTGACCGCCATTTGGGTGTGATTAATGAGATTCTTCGCGAGGTCTCCCCACCAGAGGCGGCTGCCCCAAGAGCTTCACCAAGGCCTTCGTGTTTCACAATACGGCTTTGCCTTTGTTTGGCGGTGCCCCATGCTTGTGGCTTTTGCAGGGCAACCAAAAGGAACGCCACAAACAATCTGTCGGGCGTCCTCACTCCCTGTGTTCCTGAATTGCATATGCTCGCCTCAAACAAAGGAGCAAATGGAGCAACTTGTCTGAATCTGTGTTTCCAGCCTGAAACCAAGGACGTCTTGCTTCCAAAGCCAAAACATGGTAACCTACTTCCCTTTAAAGGGGTCAGGAAATCTGCAAACATTTTGAACTGGCTCCTGTATTTTGATGGGCCCATGTTCCCAACACTTCTCAGGTCCTGCAGCTTCCTTCGGGCAAACTGCCCTGGAGGCTGGCTTTCGCGGGGCTCTTTGGGGCGCCTTCTCGGCGAAGGGAGCAGGTGACTCGCCTTCACCGCCCTCCTTTCCTCAAGTCGTCCTCAGAGCAGAGTGGGATCTGCCCACCCTTTTCTCTGTAGGGTTTGGTAGTTTCCGCAGGGCAAGGCCACTGGGCTGGGTTTTGGGATCACCCGGGCGGACACAGGGGCCACTTGTTCCAGCTGGAGCGCGAGCTGGACATCGAGGGTCACATCAAGTTTGTGGCGCCGGGCTGAGCTCGGCGGTATTTCTGGGGTCTCCTCCAAGATGATTCCATGTTTTGTGTCGGCAACACATGGTCCAGCAATCTTTGCATGCTTGTTTTTGGTGTACCCCAGGTTTTGGTGGTACAGAGTTCTAGCACTGTGCTTGTTTGAACCAATTGATGTCCTTTCGTATTTGGTTGGCTGCCTGCCAACAACGAAAATGCTCAGCCCACATACGGATTCCCTGGGGCCCGTTCGATCCTTCAGAGGGGGGCGGGCCGTGTCACGACGTAGGCCAGCGGTGTCATCTCAGGCTACTCTCGTTAAACAGAGGTTCCCTACGAATCCGCCAAAGAAGGGAGTCCAATTTCCACAAGCACTGGGCAAGTGGTTCTTGGACAAATAGATAAACCCCCGGGCCCTAGAGGCCCTGGAGGCCCTGGAGATACGCTCAAACAAGGTGGTAACGTAATGGGACCACTCTGCAATGGGCTGTTGTGCCAATCTGACATCTTGACTTGACTTGTGTGGTTGATGGCGTATGATGGCGTTGTGTTTTCAGCCCTGGAGCGAGGTCTACTATCAAGATGAGGAGCCTTGGCTGTGGATTGGACAAGCTCACTGGCACATGTTCTTGCTCAGGCTGTCAGGTGCCACAGGTCTTTCAAAAGCAGATGACATGTGCTGCGTTGATGCCAACGGCAAGCATTTGGTGCGCAAAACCTGCTCCCCCTTGGATGTGTAAGTTAAATGTGGTGTTTCTACCCCAAGGTTGCCCGGCAAAGTTGGGCAAGGTTCAAGTTTGAACATCTACATAGACCCTTGTGCGCATCAACACGAACCGAAAGGAGGTTATTCAGAAGTTGTTGTGTTGAAGCAAGTCCGGCCTCTGCGGTCCCAACTCACTAAATACCCCCCGAAATCCAGGACTCCCTAGCTTTCCTATGTCCGGTCGGGTGCCAGTAAATGGGCGTGACTCTTTTTAAGGGGTGCCTTGTTGGGCTTGGCTTAAAGGGGAATCAACAGGCGGCCATTTATTCTTGCTCCTTACTTTGAGACAAGCCAACATGTTGATCCATGGTCAAAATCAGCTTTTGCTTGGGCTTAGTGCTGGTCGACAAGCTGCCATGTAACCCTTTGGTGGTTTGGGTTTGATCGGATTTGAACCTCTGGACTCGGACCTTAGGGCGGTAAATGGGAACCACCAAGCCACCAGGCTCCAGCCAAGTAGACGGATGCAGGACTCACTGCGAAAGGCCGGATCAGATCACAATCGTCCCCCTTGCTTGGAACCGATCTTGACTGCGCTTGGGGAACGGATCTTTAGACTTAAGCTTTGGGTTGAAATCAAGTTGGGTTTTCCACTAAACCCACAAACATGTACTTTTTGCAGAGGGGTCGTTGCCGCAACCAATTATTTAGGTCAAGTCCAAAGATGAGCACCAAATGGTTATTTCCAGCTCCTGTTCAGTTCGGCTCTTTCCCTCATGGTTTTCCCCCCCGGATTTCAAAAAGCACCTTTTTCTACTGGAGTCGTTTATGATAATGTTTTTTTTTTGCTGTTCCAAAGGCAAACCAACAAAAACACCACACAATTTTAGAGTCCCCCCCCCCTCCCCCAAAAAAACAACACAACGGACCCCCCCCCCCCTTCCCATTTTTCCCCAGGGCACCAATTCATTTTCTCCTGGGGATAGGACGTGCGCGTGCGCTGCGCTGAGGAGCGGATCTGGCGCGTGCGCGCGGTGCCGGTGGAGGGCGCTTCGTTCACCAGCCGAGTGCTGCTGCCGGAGCCGCTCGGAACGCGTTCCGGGCGGAACGGGTTGAGGGAAAATGTGGGGGGTGGGGGAACGGGGGTAGCCACCAGGTAGCCAAATGTTGAGGGGAACGGGGGGTGGGGGAAGCCACCAGAAGCCCAGAAAACCCACCTGTAGAGAGGAAACTTCTGGTCTATCGGAGTTGTCTTTTTGTGGGGAGCTGAAAAGAAACTCAAATTGGCAGTGGTGTCCTTTGACTTCCCGACAGGACGGAAGGAAGCCGGACAACCCACCCAAGGGATGAAGCTGGGTTTGAGGGGAACTCAAAATGGCTGTCCTTTTTTACTTCCCGACCAACCCACCAATTTCTAGAGATGAAACTTTGGGGAAATGGGGCCCCTTTTTGTGTAGAGGAGCAATTTCGGTTTCTCAAAAGGGCAAAAGGGCTTTCAGGCCGCCTCCCCCCCCCGCCACAAAACAACACAACAACACAAAGACATGAAGAGAAACAGCACATGGCGAACACACCGGCTGGTTTGGTTGTGGATTTCCTGTGATACCACAGGAATTCGCGTTTGAGGCGATACCGTTGTCATGGGGATGGCCAACTTTGGTATCACAGAAATTCATACTTCCCACCAGGAAGTGAACACCTTGAGTGCTTCTCAACATTTCTTTCGGTTCGCTTTCAACTGCCATGTTGGCACTTCCCCCCCCCACACACAAACAAACACACACACACACACAATCGATTTGACCACGTAAATCGTGGATGGGTGTGCTTTTTTTAGGATCCTCCAAACATGGTCGTATCCCCTTTGGTTTCAATTTGAAGCCACGCAAAACAAAAACAAAACACGTTTCTCGGAAAAAGCCACCCAAATAGAAATGCGCGACCTAAGCTAGCCCCATTTAAGCTGGGGGCCAAACAGTCCCCCCCAGTGACCGAGTCGGTCCCAGGGAGGTTACCTAATTGTAGAGGAACTCCTTTTGGGGGACCACGGAACCCCCCTTTTTGGGTAACCATGTTGATTGTTTTAGAGTTCGTTCTCACATGTTGATGCGTTTTGACCTGCCCTCCCTCACCCTCCGGGCCAACATGGACCGTGCTGTCGGTTTGCAAATGCTACAATAGGCTGACACCACCGGCCTCAAACATGGGCCCCTCAATGTGACAGTTTGTTGAGAATTCGGCATCTCATTTCTAGCTGTTTAAGAATTTGTCATTTGCGCTGTTCCTCCTTGTGCAAGTGATTTTTATGGGGACGCGTTTGAGGGAGAGGAACAAACCTGGACATGCACCCAAACCATGCCAAGATTTTAATGTCTTCTAGGACGGCTTGAACGCCGACGTTTTAGGGAGGTGTTATTCTTGGGGACACATGGGTGTGGCCCCAAATTCAAGAGCCGGGATGTGGACCGCAGGTTGGAGCCTACTTTTCCATCCGGGCTGCCCGGGTTTCAAATTTTGAGGCCCTACTTTTTAGCCAGACCCATAATATGGGTTTGTCTCTCCATATAGGAGTCCCCCAAAAATGGCCAAGGGGTTCTCTTGTGGTTTCCCTTTCAACCAACCCCCAAAAACCCCAAAAGTTAAAAATGGCTAAGGGTCGCTCTTGTGGTTTCCCTTCAAGCCAGCCAAGTTTCAAAGAGGGCCCCCCTAAAAACCACAAAACTGGCCAAGGGTTTCTCTTGTGGTTTCCCAACCAAAACTTTGTTCCATTTTGCCTGGCTGTCCGGACTTCAACTTTTCGCCAACTAATACGGGCTTGCCGTACTAAACCACGAAAAGTTAAGCTCACTTTTAGCAGAAATTGCGCAGAGTTCGCAACCAGGAAAACCTTTGCCCCCCCAAAAAGGTCCCCCTAAAAGCAGCGCCCACCGCTATAGGACCCGTCTACCTGGGTTTTTCTTTTCCCGTTGGATCCCAGGCCCTGGCGGGGCCTCAGGGATTCCAGGCTCACGGAGGTCAGCGGAATCCCAGGCGCCGAGCGCCGTAGAAACGAGTGGTCCAAGCGTCACACGTGTCATGTCCCGCCATTTGCTGAAGCAAATTACGTTTTTCGTTTTCCCTGGTTGATTTTGAGAGTTTTTCATGTTCCCTTGTTGATTTTGAGTGTGTTTCATGTTCCCTGGTTGAGTTTAAGAGCTTTTCATTTTCCCTGGTTGATGTTAAGAGCTTTTCATTTTCCCTGGTTGAGTTTAAGAGCTGTTCATTTTCCCTGGTTGAGTTTAAGAGCTTTTCATTTTCCCTGGTTGATGTTAAGAGTTTTTCATTTTCCCTGGTTGATGTTAAGAGTTTTTCATTTTCCCAGTTGATGTTAAGAGTTGTTCATTTTCCCTGGTTGATGTTAAGAGTTGTTCGTTTTCCCTGGTTGATTTTGTGAGTTTTCATGTTCCCTTGTTGATTTTGAGTGTTTTTCATGTTCCCTGGTTGAGTTTAAGAGCTTTTCATTTTCCCTGGTTGATGTTAAGAGCTTTTCATTTTCCCTGGTTGAGTTTAAGAGCTTTTCATTTTCCCTGGTTGAGTTTAAGAGCTTTTCATTTTCCCTGGTTGATGTTAAGAGTTTTTCATTTTCCCTGGTTGATGTTAAGAGTTTTTCATTTTCCCTGGTTGATGTTAAGAGTTTTTCATGTTCCCTGGTTGATGTTAAGAGTTTTTCATTTTCCCTGGTTGATGTTAAGAGTTTTTTGTTTTCCCTGGTTGATTTTGAGAGTTTTTCATGTTCCCTTGTTGATTTTGAGTGTTTTTCATGTTCCCTGGTTGAGTTTAAGAGCTTTTCATTTTCCCTGGTTGATGTTAAGAGTTTTTCATGTTCCCTGGTTGAGTTTAAGAGCTTTTCATTTTCCCTGGTTGAGTTTAAGAGCTTTTCATTTTCCCTGGTTGAGTTTAAGAGTTTTTCATTTTCCCTGGTTGATGTTAAGAGTTTTTCATTTTCCCTGGTTGATTTTGAGAGTTTTTCATTTTCCCTTGTTGATTTTGAGTGTTTTTCATGTTCCCTGGTTGAGTTTAAGAGCTTTTCATTTTCCCTGGTTGATGTTAAGAGTTTTTCAATTTCCCTGGTTGATGTTAAGAGTTTTTCATTTTCCCTGGTTGATTTTAAGAGTTTTTTATTTTCCTTTGTTGATGTTAAGAGTCGAATTCATTGCTACTGCAAATATGTTTTTTTTTTTCCTGGGGCCTTCTCCAAATGGAAGTTTCCACCCTTTGATCCCACATGGAAGCCTCCAGGTCCCTGAAAAGGGAAAGCTGGCGAAAAAATCGCCCGATTTGTCCCGTTCCATGTGAAGAAATCTACAGGCCTCACAGGCGATCGACCCTTTGGGCTTGGTGCCTTTGGGCTTGGCCTTTCTCCCATTTAGGTGGTCACGCCAGGGATAGTCTGCCGAGTTGATGGACTTGATACCCTTTTTTGGTGCTGGCAGAAGGCACTCGGATACCTGCAAGATGAGTCTGTGGACCAGGTCCCTGGATGCCATGGCAACGGAGTGCGGGTACTGTCTGCAAAGAGACCAGTTCAGACGCGGCCAAATCCACGGAAGCGAGCCGTTCCCCCGTTCCCCCTAACACGTTCCCCATGAAGCGTAGCTCAAGCCAATCCACTTCTTTCCTGGCATTCATTTATCCCTTTAACATTTCTGTATTCATAGTCCTATCCATTACAACTACCGGATCTTGTCCATCCGCGTTAGTTCGCTTGGAGCCACGCTTGAAGCTTCAAGCCTACAACTTAGCAGGCTTGCTCTTTTGACCTCTACTTTGTCTGGCCGCCTGGAGGGACTGCACGCCAAGAAGCGATGTTTCCCACGGGTTGCTGCACCCCCAGTAGGTCCGTTTGCTGCAACCTATTTAGTTGACACCATCCAAGCACAATAACAGCACCCAAAAAGGCTCATTGTCTCCTTTGCATGCCGGTTGTTCTCGGAGCTTGTTCAAGAGATGCTCCTAAAGTACAGCAGACATGTGGGTCTATTCTTTTTTGAGGGTACCCCTTTTTGTAGTTTTAAAGGGAAGCCAACGGGAAACCGGTCATCCATTTTTTGGGGGTCCCCCGTCAAAACAAGCAAAACACATCCAAGTGAACTGCTGCCTGGCTCGGACCTCCGTGTGTCTCTGCAGGCTGCGTCTTCGCTCATGTGAACGGCCGCTGGGCGCACTGTTTGGCTCTGGTGACGCACTCCAGGAAAGGCCAGCCAGACATACAAGTTGATAAATAAATGAAACAACTCATTCTAGACATGGCTGTCATAACATCTTTGCACTATTTATTTTTGCACTTCCAGTTCAAAACAAAGGAAGCAATTGTTTTTGTTGGTGTGCATATATCTATCTATATATACATATGTGTTTGGATATGAAAATGTTCTTTGTGCCCGCAACGCAGTTGTTGAGCCAGGTCTTCCCTTTGGTGCTGGGATCGGAGATGGTCAGTCCCAGACCTTCAGTGGGTGGCTTTTCAACTTGTGCTCAGGGGGTTCTCTCTTATACTTCCATTTGCTTAAGAATCGTTTTCTTTTTTCTCCCTTGCTGGTTTTAAAGAGCTTTATCACTACTGGAAACATGTGTTTCCAGAGGTAACCAAACGGAAGTGTATAAATCAACTACCAGCACAAAGAGCTCAATGTTTGTCCCATCCGCTGGGGTCCGAGCATAGGGAACCATGTGCTCACTTTGGGATCATTGAGGGCCTGTTCCCCCATTTGATTGGTTTTAAAATGTGGGCGCCCAGGCTTCATCGGCGGCAACGAGACCCTGGCGGGAGCCATCGCCATGGCTGAAGCGAGCCTCGAGTAAAAGAGAGAGGTAGGTGGCGCGGCATGGCATGGCCTCCGTGGCTTGGTTCAACGGCTCAGCGCGGCTTCTTCCCCATTCGTTCCCCTTTTGATGTTTTGCTTTTTTGGGGTCCCCATTGTTTTCCACTCACCAGGCAAAACAAAAACTGTTTTTTGCTGGGGTCCTCAAGGTTGAAAGCTTGGCTTGGCACCTTTGAGCTTCAGGAGTGCAGTGCGCCCTGAGGTAATTACCCGATTGCGCGACTAGGCGTGCACAGTCATGCAAGAAGCCTCTTTTGGAAATCTTGCTGAGCAGCCGGTTAATCGTAGGTAGAGTTGCCGGATCGATCAATTTTCCAGTCAGCGGTGCATGTGATTGCTTTTCGGGCTCGAGCTTGGAGGGAAGTCGGTAGGCGATCGAGGAAAGGAATGAAGGTGATGGGAGCAAGGGTGTACCTTAGACCAACTTTGGACGAAACCACAAGGGACCCCCTGAAGAGCTGTTTTTGTTGGTTTTACATCGAAGGCAAACCACAAAGAAACCCGAAGCCATTTACGGACACCTGGCTGCAGGTCCTGTAGTCGCGGATCCTATTTCAGGTGTATGTCTGTGTGAAACAAAGCCGCGCAAAAGGGTACCCCTAAAAAAGACACGCTCATATAGGAATGTGTGCAGATATGTGCAGACAACAAATAATCCAGGAGGGGCCCTGTGTTTCGAAAAAGACAGGCTAACCTGGAAGCAACCTGCCCGTAACGTGGCAGAGGAGCACAGCGGCCAGTTGTGTCGTTCTTTTGTGTTTCGCTGTGACCATCCCCAGCACACGGGGGACAAATTGCACTATAACATTCTGCTTTAGATAGTGATAGGCATACTCCCAGCTTGCTTGCATGATCAGCTCCAGACGGAAACAAGTGGGCGATTCTTTTTTGGAGCTGGTAACCTTTTCGGGACACGCCCGAATGGATATTTGCTCTGCTACTGTTTTTCCAAATGTGAGTCAAACAGCGAGGACAACCGGAGGCAGAAAACGGTGAAGATGTGCCTTTTAAAAGGCCCCTTCTCAAAAATGCCGGAAATACACAGGCCATCTTTTGGGGCCATGACTCATGACTAAGAATGGACCAAAGAGGAGAAACTGAAGGCCAAAAGATCGATCTTCGTTTTGGGCATCCCCGTTTGGGCCATGCAGCCATGGGCCTTTGGCGCTGTTTCCTGGCCCTTGTGGTCGCAGAAGCCTCGGTTCTGCCGGCGCACCCGGCAGCCCAAGTGCAGAATTGGAAGCGGCGGCTGCAGGGATGGCTCTGGAACCCACAGATCAACCAGCAGGACGTCTACCGAAAAAAAAAAAAAAAGAAAGGAAAAAACACGGAAAAAAAGAAAAAAACCTTGTCTTGTTTTAGCTTCTTTTTTTTTTTTTTTGGGGGGGGGGGTTAAAAGCAGGAGTCTCTTCCAATCTTTTGGGTGTGTCAGGTTTTTTTGGGGGTACCAAACCTTTTTGGTGGTGTTAAAGGGAAAGCACCAGTAAAACCAACATTTTGGAAGAAGACCCTAAAAGACGAGCCCCCCCCATTTGGACAACGAGCTCACCTCGTGAAACGATCTCAAGGTATTTTCAAGATCGAGCGCCGTGAAGCGCGAGAAGTGCCACCACGGCCTTCACGCCTTACGCCCAGCCAAGTCTGACTGGGATTACTCTTTTCAGGGTTGGTCTAAAGGGAAACCACAAAAACCATCGACACTTTGACCCCAGATTCACAAACTGTTTATTCATCTGGGGGAACCCCCTCAGAAGTGGCTGGTGGATATAAACCCCCATGTAAATGATGTGCCCCCGAAAGTCCCCAATTAAAGTTCACAGCCAGGTGTATCTCTTGGAGGAGACAACCTCGATCTTTTGGCGGTTTTTCTTCGCAGGAGGCCCGCCAGATTTCGGAGGCGCTGCGGGGACATTTGGAGACTCAGACGGAGCTCACCGAGATGTTGGCAGCGGCTCAGCCGGAGAGAGGACTTGGAGCCCCTAGGTCCCCCAGTAATTACTGCTCTTTTATCGTTTCTTTTTTGGGGAGAGGGTTCCCCTACTAAAATAGACCACAGAAAAAAGTTGGTACCCTTATTCTCACCTCTACTGGAGGACCTAGAGTAAGTAACCCAGTTGCCTAGCGCAGTGCCATCCTGTTTTTCCTCGTTGTTTTTGGGCAGAGTTCCCCTTCAAACTCAACCAACCAAAAAAAGGTTGCCCTTTTTTCCCATGGCCACTGGGCGTCTGAGGTAGGTTAAAAGCTGACTCCCTGACTTCCTGGACAATGTTACATGGATGGAACATCCTTGGCCCAGTTGTTCGGCAGCATTTCTTTTCCCTGCAACATGGCCAGCAAGCAACAACGCCCGTTGTATCGTCCACCCATCAAAAAGGTCTGAAGGAACATTGTTTTCTAGGGACTCCTGTAGTCAGTGTCCATGGATTCCAGCCATGGTCACAACCTACTTGAGGCTGACCCCCCCTTTAAACGCATGTTAGTCACCATTCTTTCCAATCCCCAATCCCCAATCCCCAATCCCCATCCTGGATCCTGGTGCAAATTAAACACCAGCACCTCCCTTAGGGGCGCCCAGCCCGCGACCCGAGCTTGAGCACCCGCGTGCGCGCACGAGGCGCTGGGCGCGCGGGGCTGTTGGGAGGAGGTGCTAACCACCTGGAGCCACATGGTGCGCCACGCGGACACGGCGGCGGGGGGGGCGCGCGCGCGGGTCTGTGACGCGAGTGTTTTTGTGCCTTTTGAGTGTTTTTTGCTTGTGGTTGTTTTAATGGAGTTGGTGGCCAGGAGGGAAACAGTTCCTTTTTATTACATGGGGGAGGAATGTGTGTGTGTGTGTGTATGTGTATGTGTGTATGTGTCATTAGGGCTTTCTTTCGCCGCATTGTGTTTAAAATTTGTGAAATTAGAACGGTTGAGTGCCCTCCTGGGATGTTGAATGCAAAAGTTCCTCGAAGCGTACCATGGCCACGCGGAACACCACTGATGATCTGATGCCGTACGAGCACCCCATTTTGAGCATGGAACCTAAAATCTGAGCTGTTCTTTGGTTCGACTAGTAGATGTTCCTTTCAAAACGGTCTCCAGTTTGGCTCCATGTTAGTGGGCCCTCGAAACTTCAGTCCAACCACTGAGCCAGCCAAAAAAAGATAGAGCGTGTTTGTTGAACAGTTTAGTTTGCTTCCACCGAGCCCCGGCCTAGGGTTAAAAGCTGCGGGACTTTTCGCCGGGCGACGGTTTGACCATTGGAGTCCTCAAGCAAAGCAGATGTTTAGAGCTGGGACCTTCGTCTTCCCCACCCACAAGGTCAATGGGCTTAACCCCCTTTTTCAGCGTTTTGGGCAGGTTAGCTGTGCTTTCAGCAAAGTTGAATATGGATGGGTTCCACCGGTTTCAGTTTGCTTTGAATTTTGTTTACCAGTGGATTCCACATGTTTTTGCAAAAGGACCTCCAACAAATAAACGGGCATCAACGATTTATAGTACCGAATCACTTTCGTTTGCTCAGTTGCTTGTGAGGTTTCCTTGGAAATCAAACAGGGTGCCCTGGTGAAGTATGTGGGAATATGTATTTTGTTCTGGAGGGCCCAAAATAAGTAGTTTCCGTCGGGTCTTCGTTTAGAAACCAATTCAACACCTTCACTTGGTGGCTCCCAGCCATCCCCTTAGCCTTTTAGCTTTTTAGTGTTTAGTGGCAGTTTCCATTTAACCCACTCAAAGTTAGTCAATTTTAGGGGGGGCATCAGAGGGCACGGGCAGCCCAGTTCAAAAAGAGACCAACTCAGAGAAGCCGCGTCCAACCGCAGGACGTAGACCTCAAGGCTTTCCATACGGCGCTGCGTGCCTTGGGCAACCAGCGCCGCTGGGAGCTCGCCGTGGAGCTCTTCGCCTCCGCCGAGAAACTGGGCCTCCAGAGAAACGCGGAGTCCTTCGGCCACGCCACCCATGCGCTGGCAGAGGGCCGCCAGTGCCCCGGAGAACCGGAGAAAGAAAAAGGCAAAATCTCGCCCGAAAAAATGATTCCCCCGGTGTGCCAACAGTTGCATAGGTTCTTCCAATTTCTTCCATGTTCTTAAGAATATGTTTTAACTTCCCCTGTTGGTTTTGAATATTTTGCTTCGAGATGCCTTGTATTGTGACACTTGCGGATACAATACTATGGACAAGTTTGGACTGAGGTGGGTGCCCCTTATGCTTTACGAAAGCCCGCCTCCCCACCTATGGTTGGCATGCCCCAACGGGCCAACCTACATGTTCCCCATGTAGGAGGGGTCTGCTTTTGCCCCAGTTGGGGATTTTGGCCCAAACATGGAGAAAACCATGGGTAAACAAAGGGTAACCACTGCCCAAACAGGCATGTTTCTCGGTGTTTGTTGGGGGCCCCGCTGACAATGGAACTTGGGGAGTCGTGGTACCTGGTGGAGGTTCATTTGCGGCACTATGTTTCCTTTCGGGCACATCCATGGATGGAGTTGAAACCCAAAGCTCCCACCCCCTAATCTCCCCCCTTGGCTCCAAAAAAAAGCCAGCTTATGCGCTTCAGGTGGATGCTGGCCCTGCCTTTGCTGGACAAGGCCAGGCGTGAGTCCATCACGCCGGAGGAGTCGTGCTACACCGCTGCCATCCGCGCTCTCAGCTTCGGGGGCCAGCCGGTTCAGTCACTGTTCCTTGGCAGAGAAAAGCTTCACTGTTCTTGGTATGTTTTTTTTTGATTTGGTTCTGTTCATTTTTACTGTGGGGCTGCAAAAAACACAGTTCTTTGCTGCCATACCGAGAGTAGAGATGAAACGTATATGCTCGATATGCACGGCTGGGTGGCTGGGAAGGTGGGTGGGTGGGCGGGTGGCTGGGAGGGTGGGAGTGGGAGGGTGGGAGTGGGAGGGTGGGTGGTTGGTTGCCTGGCTTGGGCTGCCAAGAGGGAGGAAGTGGTTCCTTGTGTCTTGTTTTGCGCTTTTAAACCAAACCAGGGGCTTACTTGCGCAAAACAGACGCACGGGATGGTAAAATACAGGCTTCCCCATGTTTCCTTTTTGTGGTTGTCAGTTTCCATGAACGCTTCCTTTTGACCGGATGTTCGAATGAGAAGGGAACGCTGGTCCCCTTGGGGAACGAGCGAAAGCAATCACCAGCGGAAACCACCCCGAAACCTTCAAACCACCAACCCAAAAAAACACCATGACCTTGTAGTTTTCCAACCCGTTTTGGGGTCCCCATGTTAAAGAAACAGCCAAGAGGTTGCGTCTGGGAACTGAGAATAGGCATCCAATTGGTGGTTTGGATGGGTGTGGATTTGAAGCCCTGGTTGTGGATGGCCGGATGGCCAACGACCCCCCAAAAACTGGCTGAATCTGGATAGACTTAAACCCTAGAGGTTCGCCTGGAGAAATGAAGGCCATGGCTTTAAGCTTCGCCTGGATTGAAACCATAAACCCTAGACCCAAACCCTACATGAACCACTGGGTTGAAGTCCCTGCCCTCGGATAGGTGGCTGCTGAATGACGTGCTGAGCACCAACCTGCAGCTCCGGAACCAGGCCTTCGAGGCCGCCATCCACGCGTGCGACCAGCTGGGCGAGTGGCAGCTCGGAGTCCGATGTTCCGTTTTTGTTCAATCGAACAAGCTGAGAGTTCGGAAAACCGAGCCCCCGTGTTTGGTCTTTCCTTCAGCTGTTGTTGGCATGGTTTTAGGTGGTCCCAGGTCTTTTTGGTTCTCTTCATGTTTAAGATTCGCGTTGTTTGACTTTTGCTTAAGAATAAGGTCATAGGGGTGGAAGAGGGCTCCCTTTATTTCCTCTTTAAACATCACCCCACTAAAACCAGCATTTGTGTTCCCCTGTTGGTTTTCCCTGAGCTTATGGATTTCATCTTTTTGGGGTTGGGCAATTTTAGTGGCAAACAAACAGTTTGGTCGCTTTTTTGGGCCATCCTCCCAGGAAGTGAGATTTGCTTAAGAATATGTGGTATGTTCCCGGTTTCAAGAGGAATCTATAACTGCAAGCATGTTCCAATTTTTCTACAGGACTTGCCCTCCGTTTAACATGGAACTTGACAGGGGCCTAAGGAAAATGGTCTTCCTCAGGTTCCATGTTAATTGGTGGGAGGGTAAGCAAGCGTAAGTTGTGTCTGCCAAAGGGAAACGCACTGGTGACCTTCCGCAGCCACCAGCCTGGCACAATCCAGCCTTATGGGTGAGTTCCCTCGCGTTACGCTAGGTATCGCCCATTTGACTTGTTGGCTCTCAGCGGGTTTCAGGAGTTTGGGTATCCAGATTGTTTTTTTTTTTCAGAGGAAGCTCGCGTGATGATTCGCGCAAGCAAGTTGAAGCCCAGCCAGAGTACCCTCTTCAGCTTTGTTTTGCAGGGAGCCACACAGGAACAAATCTCCACTTGAAAGGTCCCCGCCACATTTTGACCCAGAACAAGCGCCACACATTGGGTTCCATCCCCCTCTGACACAGACCCATGAGTCAAGGAAGCGCGCCTTGGCGTACCTGGACTACTTGGCCCAGTCAGGTTTGAGTGCGGACATGGGCTCCACCATCCAAGCCATGCAGGCGCACCAGCGCGCAAGCGAGCGCGCAAGCGCGTGGCTTGTTCGGATAAAATGGGCTGGGCCAAAATGGGCTGACCAAACGGAACCCAAGAGATGAATGGTTTCCTTGGTTTTTCTTGGGAGTCCCTTGTTTTTCTATGTGTCCTTGGTTTACGGCCTGCCTGTGGTGCTTGCAACCAGGCAATGACCATTTCAGGTCCGATGATTGCAATACCCTTACTGCCAGTACATCATCTGCAATCAACAAGCCACGGCAAACCTCGGTAAATTGCAGGGTTCCCTTGTTACGCACCCTTGCGGATGCGATAGAAAAGGGCATCTGCAATTTATGGAAGTGTCCAGCTTGTGATCATTCAAGCTGGCGCAGCATTTTTGCACATAGTTCCCTACAAATTCACATGGAACCTAAAAGGGGGGGGTCGCCCAAAGGAGTTCGAGGTTTTTCTTTGGGTTCCTTCCTTTACCTTGCAGTGTGCAACCATTGGGCACACCAGTTGCCCAATTGCCGGATCCAGTGGAGAGCGCTTGAGTCAAATTCTATGTGCCGGCCAAATGCATACTCTTTTCAGAATAATGCGTACATATGTACTTGTATATTATACACCAACATGTCAATATATATATATATATCAATTTATTTACTGTAGGTATTGCCTGGCAAGTTTACATAGGTTAGCCACGAATCCAAACAACCAATTCGAGAGAAGCGGGTTCAAGGGACTGCCTGGTTCAGATCACTCCTTGACCCTGATGCCAAGTGGCATTGGTTTCCCAGGCGTCCCAGTCTTGCAGGAAGCTGATGAAATGGCTGGGTTTCCCTTGCCGCAGAAACCACCCCTCAAAGAGTACTTCGCCTCAAAAGACACGGGCTTGGGTTTTCCATTGAACCCACAAGAAGTGAAACACATTTTTTCAGACTCGCCAGCCAAGATTGGACGTCACCTTTTCTGGAGTATTTTTGTTTGAAAAGCGACTGGAGGGCCAAGTCCAGCGGGCCCCCAGCTCCAGCTCCACCTGGGCCAGGCCTGTGCCACCTGCGGCCAGTGGTTCGAAGCCTTGCGGCTCTTCGATCAGATGGCGCCCCGCGCCTCGATCGGTTCGACGCGCCCGGTGCGGGCCTTCGCCCTGAGCCTGGAGATCTGCGAGAAGACGGGCCAGCGCCGCGGTTGGAGTGGCGTTGGCGTCGGCGGGGGGTTGTGGCTGGTTGTGGCTGTTGTGGCCGTTGCGTTGTTATTGCGGCTGCGTGCTTGCGTGCCCAGCTGCTTGCTTGCTTGCTTGCTTGCTCGCTTGCTGGAGTGCTTGCCTGCTTGCCTGCGTGGCTGCTTGATTGGATTGGATTGGATTGGATTGGATTGGATTGGCTTGGATGATTTGTTGTTTGTTTGGATCGGTTGCTTCGTTGCCCGGTTGGTTGGTGGCACCATTTCAGTGGTAAACAAAAAATATTCAGACTGTTTTGCCCAATCCACCCAGGAAGTGAGTGTTTTTTTTTGTTCTTCTCCATCCTGCCAAGGTTTTTCCCTGTTCTGGGTGGGTTTTGGTGTTATCACGCGTTATCAAAAGCAGAGCCTTCCCAGCGGCCAATGAGTTCACCCGGCAAACCTTTTTTGCGCGTGGCTGGTGTCGTGGGAAGCAAAACACCGCGTAAGCCGGAGGCTTTTTTTTTGCGGATCCGCCGAAAAAACTTGGCCTCAGGTGGCAGCGGGCAGCGAGTCTCTTCGACGAGTTCATGGCCAAGGGCGGGATCCTGGAGGCGCGGTGCGGCGTGGCGCCGAAGCAAAGTTCCACCTCAGGAGCCTCAGGGTGGTCCGTTTGTACCCAAAATGGCACACAAGAGAACTGCTGGTACAAATGGACCACCCTTGGGGGGTGTTGGTTGTTTGTTTTGTTTTGGTTGGTGGGGGTAGGGGTACATGTCCCTTGTTGAAGAGCATGCACTTGTTTCATAATGGCCTGGCTGACAACTTCTTCCGCATCAAGGAATGTTTGGCCAGTTGCCTTGCCACGTGTTGCTCGAGGAGGTTTGCGATTGCAAGTGGGGAAGATTGAAAGGCATGACTTCGTGCTTACAGCGGCGCAAGCATGACTCAGGCATGACTTTCGCGGACCCTTGTAGCTTCATTAGGAGGCGGGGTTTGGCAAAATGTGATTCAACCAGCGGGGTCAGAACATTTTACGCGGTTTTGCATTTCCTGTCACTGCTGCCTGGTGGTCCATTGTAAGTGGAGTTGGCCAACATGTGTTTAAACAACCAGCCCTTGGTCCCCTTTAATAACCGAAAGGGAGGTTGATGAAACAGTAGTTTGTGGCTTAAACATTTTAAGCAAAGCGCTGGGCCTACTCTGCAAAATATCCTCCGAAGGGAATGCAAGGGGAGATCCATCGCACAAGCCTGATTATACCTGATTATAGTTGATCGATTTCTTGCAACAAAGAACCCGATATTTATTAGATAGTTTAAGAAAGGGCACCAAAACAGATCATGGTTAAACAAGGCTTGGTGGTTCACAGCCAAATTTGGACTTGTATTTTTTCGCGGGGTTCGTGACGTATCCGGCTAAAGTTTGCAAGGGACCAACGTACCACGCGGAATAGTCGTTGTTGGGCACACCCACAAACAAACAACAAGCTGTGCAGCTGTACAATGGTGCAGGACCCGGCTGAAACACGGTCGTTTAAATCAGTACTGGGCCACCTGCGGCTGCTTAAGGGGGTTGTAAACCTTTTGCCAGGTTTAGAACCCGATCTGGGTCTGTTTTTTTTGGGGGAGCCCCTCAAAGTTGGCGGTCTGGGTCTGTTCTTTTTTCGGGGATCCCCGTAAAAGTTGCTTGTCTGGGTTTTTAGGGGGATCCCCCAAAGTTTGGTTTCCCTGTAGACCACCCCCAAAAAATGGCTGACCTTTAGACCACTCCCGAAAAGGGCGCCCTTAAATGAAGACTCCACAACGACTCGGAGAAATCCGTTGTTGGCCAGGAGGATTTGGTGGAGCCTTTGGTGCGCTCCTGCGTGCATGCGGGCCAGGCCAGCTTGGACTCGGCGGGGGGGGGGGCCGTTGTGCGGGACGGGCTAAAGCTACGTACGCAGGTCATCTTCTACTGATACCAATGGTACCTAAATCAATTGGTGGTTTGGTATCTGACCCCGCTGTTCTTTTAGATTGGGAACCGCCCGAACCATTGCCAGGCTGAACTCACCTTTTCCCACTTGAACTTTTTTCCTTTTCCCTGATGTTCTTCCAACCAGCTTTTTCCCCAACAGCTGAACGCATGGGGTCTCTGCCCAGAAAGGCTCAGCGCTGGTTTGGGGCAGCTTTCACAGAGGGTTCCACGAAGTTCCAGAATTGTTGGGGATACCACTTGGGCTTCTTTGGTGAACGTGTGGGGATCGGATCCGTCAGAAGCTCCAAACGAACGAGCGAATCTGGGCCTTTGAGCACCAGTGCGCGACCTTTAGGGAGGTTGGGGGTGGCCAATAAACAGAAAAACAAAGCAACAGCTTGCTTGTGCCCAGGGAATCCCCGGGTTCATTCCGACATTCCCTGCTTAGCACCAGCAAGACAAGAGATGTGCCAGGTGGCACGGGTGCAGACCTACTTCCGTGACTGGGCGGAGCTGGGCTTCATTCCCAGCGGCTCGGAACTTGAAAGCTTCCATGGGGCAGATTGTTTTTGTTTTTTTCCTCTCACGTAGGCCTTCTCATTATTCCCCGAGTTTCTGGACTTTAGTCGCTTTTTGGGAAGACCACTATACACTAGGTCCCCCAGTAGTGCCGTTTTGCCCCCTTTTTTTCGGCAACTAACATAGACTAGAGAAAAAGATCGGGTACCCTTGTTCTAACCTGCTCTTCTGGAGGACCTAATGTGGTAAAAAAATAGCAACATGGACTTCTGGTCAATCCCCTATGAAAGGAGCCTGTTCACTTAGGCCCGCGAAGAATGTGAGGAATGTTTCTCAAACAACATGTTGCCCAACGCGAATCGGCCGAATCTGACCTTTTGGTTTCTCCTTTTTGGTCTAGTCTTAGTCATGGCCCCAAAAGGTGATCACCTTTTATTTCTGGGTCCCTAAGGGGCAAGTGAGAATCAGCGTGGCTTGGAGTGTTGAAAAGCAGTGCAGAGGCGCAGCCAAGTTTGACCCCGCTCGTGCAAACTTTAGAGGAGGTGACTGCGCTTGGGGCGGTGACAACGACTTGGCGCTTAAGATTGCCGGACTGAAATCAAGATGTTTTTGCCCTTTTTGCTCTTTGGCTGTCCCTTCGTGTTCCACATCAAGCAGCAAGTTCATTCGTTGCACGTAGTCCGGCCCCGGGGTTCAACTTGAGCCTTTGGGTTGGCCTAGAGATGGATTCAATCCCGAAAACCGACAGGTGCTCTTGCCTGACCCATTTTGCTGGGCCAGATGATGTGTCCCTCGGGCGAACGTTTGAATCCTTGAGACCCTCCTGTAAAATTTGGCACAGTGAATTTGGGTTGCGAAAGGGAAGCAAAACGATTGGCAAATTTAGTATGGGGGGCTACCGCCTTAGGCGGTTCGCCTCAAGGCCTAATTATTGGAACCACATGTTCAGTTTCCAACCTTGATATATCAACTACCGTACTTATGCGTGATAGCACCAAAAGTCTACCCTCCCCCAAACATGGAAGCTCCCAGGACTCCTTTGGAAGACGTGGTTCCATTTGCAGAGACCAATTGGGGGAGCTTCTGGCTGTTAGTCTGAGGGAGTGTAGAAGGTTCCAACTGCTTTCCCAAACCGGCCATGACAGGCTATGCCCTGAGCCGCTTTGTAGCTGACTCCCTGTGGGCCTGAAGCGAGTCTTATGACCGAGCGAGCCGACAAATTGGACATGCGAGCTTTGACCCACTCCAAACGTAATGCTGACACCCCCCAGTTATCAACGCGGGGCCCGACCATTTTTGTGGGGAACCCTTCTTCCAGAGAACCACCTGATTAACAGCTGGGGGGGATGTAACCAGGAGTCATCATTAGCCTTTTGATCCCTGAGATTTGAAGAGGGAACCAAGCACAGACACTTGGTGCCTTAGACTCGTTAGCTCACGGAAAGTCGGTCAACACAGGCTGGCTGGAAGTGGCCCTTAGCATGTCGAGAAAGTTCCATCTACCTTAAGTGCGTAATGCCTTGGTGGTTCCCTGCCACCTCCGCTTTGATGTGTTTAGCTGTTCAGTTGGTTTAGTGCTAGTTTCGGAATTTAACCCACTAGTCAGTCACTGTTAGCAGGAGATCTGAAAACGGACAGCCCAGATGCTTGCCTGCTTTTGCCAAGTGTGAATTGCCCTGTGGCAAATCCTCGCTGACCCCGCTCGAGCTGTGATAGCCTGGAGGCCCGGTTGCGGGCCTCAACCGAGCGCGCGGAGTCGTGTGTCACTCGACGCATCCAACATTTGCACCAAACACCGAGCTTCAAAGTCGCGCTGTAACCCATAGCCAAAGGCGTGTTTTTGTTCAGGGTATCCTTTTTGGGGCGAAGGAAAACAAAGGGAAGACCGCATCTTTTTTGAGGTTCCTCATTCGGAGAGAAGCCCACATGTTCCTTCAAGCTGAGCTTGATCGAGTGGCCCGCGCGGCTCACATCCCTTGCGGCATGGGTGATCAGCATCCAGAAACCGAGGCGGGGTGTGGGAGTCTTTTGGCCGAGGAAACGAACGCATTCATGCACAGAAACCGAACTGACTCAGGCGGGTCACTGTAAGGCTCAGACCAACATACAGTATTCATAGTGATTTTGTGTGTCAAGCTTGTTGACTGAACCGGCCTCAAGCCACGCAGGCTGTCATCCTGCGGCCGCTCCTTGGATTCGGGTTGGATTTCGTTGGAATTGGGGCATCCATGCTGGCTTTCCTACCGACGGTTCTGTGCTGGGGGACCCCCTGAAAGGCTGCAAAGGGTGGTGTTCCAACGCATTACCCTGAGGCTGGGGGGTTGGGGGTTGGGGGTTGGGAGGGATATTGTTTTGCTTTTCAACATAGGGGTAGTAGGGTGCCATTCAGCAACCAGACGTCCCCCCTCCTGCAAGAGTCATAGGCACAGGCCAGAGTTGCCCCTGGCACATGCAGCGTTAGATAAGTGTGTGTGTGTGTGTGTGTGTGGGTGCGTGTGTGTGCGTGTGCTTGTGCGTGTGCGTGTGCGTGTGCGTGTGCGTGTGCGTGTGCGTGTGCGTGTGCGTGTGCGTGTGCGTGTGCGTGTGCGTGTGCGTGTGCGTGTGCGTGTGCGTGTGCGTGTGCGTGTGCGTGTGCGTGTGCGTGTGCGTGTGCGTGTGCGTGTGCGTGTGCGTGTGCGTGTGCGTGTGCGTGTGCGTGTGCGTGTGCGTGTGCGTGTGCGTGTGCGTGTGCGTGTGCGTGTGCGTGTGCGTGTGCGTGTGTGTGTGTGTGTGTGTGTGTGTGTGGGTGTGGGTGTGGGTGTGGGTGTGGGTGTGGGTGTGGGTGTGGGTGTGTGTGTGTGTGTGTGTGCGTGTATCTTTTTTCAAGAGCACCGTTTTTTAGAATGGCTTTGGATAGACCGCTATTTGGGATGTTGCCCTATTTCAACACACACCATATGTCTTGACCGTGTTTGATGCCCCAGCTGTCAATTCTCCGAAAGTGCTGAATGTGTGCTAAAAGCGTGCCATAATTCGTGGCATCCACGGCTGCATCCAAAAATGAATCAGACCAGACCGCAACAGTTCTGGCCCCAGTATTTTACCACCATCAAAGTCAGCCCCCAAGTGTGTTAGACGGACTTCACCAACCAGTTCCCGACTTCGATAATCCCTAGAAACAGTCAAAGTAGTGACACCAATTTGCGGCATCCACAGCTCATCTAAATTCAAGCAGACCGTAACAGGTTGTTGGTTGGCTGGCGGGCTGGTTGGCTGGCGGTTGGTAATTGATGAATTGATGGCTTGTTTCGCTGATTGATTGATTGATTGATTGATTGATTGATTGATTGATTGATTGATTGATTGATTGATTGATTGATTGATTGATTGATTGATTGATTGATTGATTTGATTGATTGATTGATTGATTGATTGATTGATTGATTGATTGATTGATTGATTGATTGATTGATTGATTCATTGATTCATTGATTCATTGATTCATTGATTCATTGATTGATGGATTGATTGCCAGCAGACCTCGACAGTTGGGTCCGCTTCTCCGAGTCCCCACGAGCCGGGGATCTTCGGGCAGCTGGGGGCGCATTTGCGAGCAGGGCGCCTGGTGGCCTTCCCCACAGAGACGGTGCGCCTCGGCGAAGCTCGAAACGAGGCGTTTCCAGTGCCTCGCTTTTTGGACGGCACTCAGTTGTCCCAAGCGCATCGGCCGGATCTGACCTTTTTGGTTTTCAACAATCTTGGTCCATTTTTTTCGTCCTGGCGCCAAAAGGTGATCACCTGTTAGTTCCAGGTCCCAGAGGGGCAACTGAGTGCATGGACTGTACACTTTGTGGGTTTGAACCATGGATCGGCCCATCCGCTCGGGAGTGAGTTGCTTGATGGTGAGATAGGTAGAGAATGATTTTCCGAGTCCGGGTGTTGGGTGAACAAACCGGTTTCGGGGATTCTCGAATGAAGGAAACCACAGGTTGGATGGTCTTTCTTGGGGTCATTCCAACTCATTCCCTGAGAGCCAGCAAGTTTTGTTACATGGGTTTGTCTGCTTTGAGGCTACCCCTTTTTTGGTATGGGTTTTAAAAGGAAACCAAAGGGAAAACCGAAGCCACTTGCGGCGTCCAAATCCTAAACAACAACTTCTTTGTTTTTGGACCAGTAAGATGCAGCCATATCTTCAGGAACCCCTGAATCGGTGGATTCGCCAAACCAAACCTCCAAACCACCAAGTTTTAGGCAACACCTACTGTGGATGGACAAAATCCTGCACCACCTAAGAAGCCCTGGAATGATGATTATCCTGTAAATACCACCAAATTATGGTTTCCCGTGGTTTCAATCTGGTGCAGGATTTTGTCCATCCACAGTAGGGATCCCCAACAGCCACGGAACACCCTTGAATCCTGGAACCCTCTCTGAAAGCTGTCCCAAGCCACACTTTCTCGAGCAAAATTTCTGGGCCTGTCGACCAAGGCCATAGCTTTCAGCTGAAAGAAGGGCAACAGAACACACGCGATACCTTCAGGTACCCCTCAATCGCTGGGTTTTTTTCACCAAACCTCCAAACCACCGGATTGTTTTTGAGGGCGGCTGAGAAGAACACTGTTGAACTCCTTGAATTTTACCAAACCTCACCGCCGAATTTTTTAGGGCGGCAAAAAAGAAACCCAGAACTTGCACCCTCCTTGCACCCTCCTTGCACCCTCCTTGCACCCTCCTTGCACGCCGAACGCCCCGAGGTATGGCTTGGGAGCCAACGGCTTGGATGCCGCCGCCGTGCTGCAGATCTTTGAGGCCAAGGGCAGGCGCGACGCGGCAACCCGCGGAGGGGTTGGTTCCGTTTTTTTTGTTCTTCTTCTTCGTTGTTTTTTCTTCTTCAAAACAATGAATGTGTTTTTGTAGTTGTTAGTGTTTTTTTTCTTTTTCTCCGGTGGCGTTTGTGTTGCCAGCTGGTGCCTGGGAGGGGGGGGGGGTTGGATAAGCCAAGGGGATGAGCCCTGAACTAGTAATTGGGAGGGGCCAAGGACGAAGGGAGCTGGGCGTATCCAAATTTGCAGATAATAAAGAGGGAGCCTTTCAGAGCTTCCGATCGGAGCTAGGCCAAGGCAATGACCTGGATGCAGGGTTCCATTTGCTGAATGAATACTTTTTGCGTGGTTGGCTTCAAAGGGAAACGATCTTACGACTGGACGTATTGCCAGGCCTCTCACGGACCCTTGCATTCTCCACGTGGCCAATGCGGCCGATGCGTGCCGGCCCAAGAGAAAAACCAAGCGAAGCACCAAAGGAAAAGCCACAAGCTGGGTGAGTTTCTAGCTGTACCTTCAAAATCCTCTTCAGGGACCCTTTTCTTAAAACAATAGGCCAAACTGGAAAATAGGTGGTTTCTAAAGAGAACGATGGGTGAAGAGAATGGGGAATCAAACCTTGAAGAGTTGTTTGAAATCCTTGTCAGAATGCCCAGCCAGAAAGGAAGCCAAAGGATTCCCGACCTTTTCTCCATGTCTTTGAGCTTCCGGATGCGACATCCTCAGCTCAGAGTTACCCAAACAACAGTTAACTGGAACCGTGGGGATCTAAACATGGTTTGAGAGCTGAGCATCTTCACCGGACTCCAGTTTTTGCCCCCCCATTTCTTCAGCTGAGGTTGAACCTCCTAGACATGGACGCTTTGCCAGATGGAAGACCTTTGTTCGAAGAGCTGACGAAGGCGCGGTTCTTCAAATCGAACGACGTATCCTACTTAGCGCTTGCCGCAGTCACCCACGCCTTAAAATAGATCGATAGTGTGGCACGTGTTTCGAATGTACACGTGATCTGTAGGTATATAGTTGTTTGGTTTTTGTTTAATATATATATATATATATATATATAATATACATGCTGATGGAGAAGTAGACGCCGACGTGCACACATGTAGGTAGATTAGTTTGACTACACAAGACTGTACACAAATGATACATACATGTATATGTTTATATATTTGTTTTGTTGTGTTTCTTGTACCCTGCTTGGCATGGTTTGTTTCAAACTGAAGGAGGCCCACGAGGAAGTCACTGGTTTTGGAACGGGCTTGCGTATGCCAACTGGTCTCAAAGAACACATGAGCCACAATCAAATCCGGGTAGATGGTGGCTAGTGAGGGACAGGCCCAACCAGATGGGTGCAGCCGCCTTGGTAACTCTTTACATGGCTTTGGGTTCACCATTTTGGTACCAGGTTTTGATGATGATGATGAGGATGATGATGATGATGGACCAGGTTTTGCTACCACTCTTTACATGGACCAGGTTTTGATGATGACTCAGCGAGGGATCTGCAAGTCGTCCATGTTACCCACTGAGTCTCGAGAGGCATTCTGGCCTGGGCCGCTCAGCATTGTTGGCCCTGCACGCCCTTCGGCAGCATGGGTGTGTGTTGAGGCTAGCCTTTTCAGGCTGGCGTTCTTCCACTTGCATAAGAACATTGTGTATTTCCCCTTGATGTTTTTTAAAGGGCATCTATCACTGGATGTTTTTTCTTTTAATTATTTTCTTCAGGGGACTTCAGCAAATGGAGGTTTTTGACGGGAGCCAAAAAATCTAAAACATCGTGCCATCCCATGCCGAAGGTTCCCCCCATGCGCGGCGCATGGGTTTGCTCGCCATTAAACTCGCAGCACAGCTTTGCAACCAGCCTGATGGGTCATTCGCTTCGGGCCAAAGCCTTAGGTTTCAATCCTGTGATAGAGCTTGCAATTTGCTGGCTAAACATAAGGCATGGTTCTGCAAATGTTACGATACTGTAGAAAGTATTTGGAAACATGAATTCAACCAGCATGAGTTAGGGGTGTGCTCTACCACGTTTTCTTTATCATATATGTTGCTCTTATTTTCTCTAAATTTTACTCTTATTTTCTCTAAATGCTACGCTATTTTATCAAGGGTGGGCTCGAGCTCACCACGAAACGAGTTCGGCTCATTTTCCGGACTATACTTGCAAGAAGATCATCGACTCTTGGGATCCCAGTAGAGCAAAGTGTCCAAAAAACACGCCCCCAGAAAAGTCGCCGTCCTTTTGGTTTCCCTTTTAGCCGCCCCAAGAAACAAAGTTGTCCAATTGGTTTCCCTTTTGGCCGTGGTTCGCCAAGGCGAAAGGACCAGGCTCTGGTCAGCAACACCCACCGGGTCCCTTTCGTTTGGCCCATGGATCGAGACTCCGAGGCCCAGCGGTGCCCCCGGAAGTCACTGCCAGCACTGGCTTTGTGGCGGTGCGCTGCCCGTCCCATCCCATCGCACGGCGCGGGCCTCGGTCGCCTGGTGTTTCGCGGTTCGGTGGGAGGTCGAAAGGGCCCAGGTCAGGGGAGGCCCTCTGATTCTTTACCTGGGCTTTGCGCAGGCTTCTGCAATACCAGGATTTGCTCTTGACTTGAGTTGAGTCAGCTTGTTCGGGAACTGGACTCTTGGCGTGGTTTTCTGTCTTGCTGTTTGCCAAGAGATCCCTAGTGCTGGCATGTACAAATCATCACTTACGCCAACGTTCAACCATGTTCAACCTGTTTCCGGATTCTGTTTTTCCTTAGTAAGACTATGCTATCAGTGTCAATGGGGCATACAGGATGTTGACCTTTCGGTCCAACCCGCTCAGGGAGAGCGAATACATTGAAGAGCTCAGTCGCAGGTAAAAGGAGCTCACCATGAGGAAGGCCCTTGCAGGTGTTGGCAGTATTTGGGCTTAAACAACTTCCACTTGAGCGTGGCTCAAAATTAAACAGGAGGGGTTACCTTACCAGGGTTCCATTTTGGTACCGGTTTTTTGAGCCACAGCCATTAGCTGAAAACGTGTTATTCCCCCTGTTGGTTTTGAAGGGAATATGTTTATTACTATTGGAAGTACACTTTGTTACATTTTTTCTAGGGGCCGAAACGCAGAAGAAATTTGAGGATCTCAGGTTGTCTATGTTTGGTTGATGTGGGGATTGTCACCCAAGCACCACCGCTTCATGACCATCCAGGTTGACACGTGTTCTTGGTTCCTCTTTGGTTTGATCCTGAGCCTCCAAAGGATAATCACTTGCAGATTTGCAGCGGGCTTCAGCAACCCTGCTTCGGCTTTCGGGCGGGGTCAAAGCAATGTGTGGCTTGTTTTTTGGGGAGCTACCCAATGTGTCTTCAAAAAGAACGGGGTGGCTCTCATTTTAGTGTGGCTCAAAAGTAAACAGGAGGGGTTACGCAGGTTTTGGCCCATGTTTCCACTGACCAGGGTTCCATTTTGGTACCGGCTTTTTGAGCCACAGCCTTTTATACCTTGATTGTTGCTTCAAGCGAAATCCGCTGGGCCCCTTGGGCTCCTTTTGCTCAGATCACGAATCACCGAAATCTGGCGCGCTCAAGAGGCAGCTGGTGGAGGCTGCGGGCGCCCGGCGCCCAGCTACGATCCCGGCAAAAGTCCGTTCAGTTCCAGCGGCTTTTGGTATCGCGCAGGGTAAATTCAATTTACCCAGGGAAGCCACGTGCATATCACATGGGGCAAAGGGAAACTGAAAAAATGCACCAGCATAGACCCCAAATCACTTTCCTCTCTTTATTAGAAGTTAGAACCCCTATAGCTTTCCGCTATCTGGGGAAAAACAGCTGGAATCTGCCGAGACTCGCGATTGTCAGGGGATGTACCGTGGTGAAACTTCCCATCCTGTCTGAAGCATCAAATCGGGCATTGCTTCGTGACCCCGCCCTGTTTCCAAGGAAGTGGACAGGGGGAGGGTTTCCCAACAGAATTCATTGTTGTGCAAAATCCCCATGTCAACTCCTATGATTGTTGCAGGGAGCGTGACAAGCCAGCAACAGCATGTTACCAAGTTGTTCGGATGTCATGAAAGGTTGACTTTTTTTGCTTATTTTCAGGCCCTCTGCGGGTGAGAAGACGGGAACCCACATATATACTGAAACCAAACAACGCAGGGTGCCCGCTTTTTTCTCTTGATATGCTCCGGCGGCCGTTAGTACGAATATCTACAGCTAGCTGGTGGTTGGAAGGGAGCCACGGAGAAGGGTATCCAAACTTGACCTCAAAGAGGGAGCGGACGAGCTTCCTGGAACTCTGAAAGGGGACAGAAAGTGCGGTTTGAGCGTGTCACTGGAATGTACTCAGTGCTAGATGACCGTTTTGTGTATCACGCAGGCTTCACCCTCGGAACAGTCACGCATTTTCTGGGGTCAGCGACGGGATGCTTAAGACAAATGCATGCTACCAATGGAAAGCGGGCTTGAGACAAAATGAGGAAGCGCATAAAAGGAGCTTGTTTTCACCAATATTATATATATATATATATATCTACAATGCGTATGAATATATTTATTTTGTCTTTAATTGTTGTTGGTTGACATCTTCACACGCTACTCAGCATGTTTCCTAGATTGCTTCGTGATGGACCGTTTGGGAGGTCTGGTTTACCCCCAGCCACATCCCTGCCTTTGGGGTCGCCAAGGTAGACTTAATATCGGGGATCTCCAAAAGGCGAATCTTCTGGGTTTAAGTCTGCCTGGAGCCCTGCTTTTCCACCCCCACGCGTTTGAGACTCTACCTCTTGGCTTTGGGGGTCCAAAACCCGGTAGCTCGAAGCAACCCCCCCCCCCCACGCAAAACAAGGGCCTTGGCCTTGGGATGCTCACTAAATGGACGCTTGCCATTCTCTTGTGGCAGCTCGAAGCAACCCCCCACACAAAACGAGGGCTTTGTGGTACTCGCAAAAATGAACCCTTGGCCGTTGGGGGTTGAAAAAAGCGGCCCCTTCCAGGCCGCCTCTTGTTGGTTTTACGCCAAGAGGTGCCCTTGGCCGCGCCCTCGGCGAACCGCTTCGGGCACATCTCCCCCACGCTGCCAGAGCACGTCATGGAGGAGGGATGCCAGGGGGCTGGCAGCCTTTGTCACCTTCCCCCAGAATTCGCTTCAGTGTTGGTTGTGTTTTTGGGGGTCCCCCCTTTGTTTTCCATGAGCCGGGCAAACAAAATAGCTTTCTGCAGGGGTCCAAATTCCAGCCAAGCCACAGGGATATGAGGCGTAGCTTTGGGAATGGGTCACTTGGGTACAGAAAACCGATACCATTTAAGCCAAAGTCAAAACGTGGGTAGATGAAGGTTTATAAGAGATAGTCCCAGCCATAAATGGGCGCGGCCTTCCTATTAATTCATTTACATGGTTCCAGGTAGGCGATGTTTGTACCAGGTTTTGATGATGACTCATTTGGAGACTCAACAAGCAAGTCATTTGGATGTGGGTTCGCCTGCTTGGAGATGTGCCATAGCAAGCATGGTTGCAACCGGAACCCGGGTCTAGCTCCCTTATCCATGGGTTGGTCTGGCCGACGGATCATGATCGGGAGTTCAACCAATGGGTACACGCTTCTAGCTGCCAGCGTTTGTGCTTTGACCCCAAAGGCCCCGAAGTGTTTCCCTTTATCCTGAGGTGATCGACCTTTTGCTGGGGGCGAAGGGAGCAACCCAGCTTTGAAGCCGAAGAATTGTAGAGGCGTATGTCTGTTGAGGATTTGTTTTGTTGAGTTTCATGTTGAGCCTGGCGAATTGATTAGGGCCAACCAGGACACCCGAATTGTGGCAACGTCTTCCTTTGGGATCTTTTCAGGACAGGTTTTCATGAATCTCATTTTTTTGAGGTATGCCAGGATGGGTCCCGAATACAGGCTAAGGGACTTATTCTGACTGATGATGGATTGACCAGGTGTCTTACCATGCCCTGTTAGGTCAACGAATCGAACCAAGCTGGTGGGTTCCCATTGATTCTGCTCATTTGCCTGCACGGTTAACGTAAACTAGAGGAAGGTCCACATCCGGGAGGTTTTTGCCCACATCCATTCAAAATGCAATTGTTCAGACTATCCCCCCAATTTCCTTGGTGGGGGCAAGGAACATCATGTGTAACCTGTCAAATTCGCTGGGGGTCGGGCCTCATATGGCTATGGGTCAAAGTCCCGTACCCCAAGTGAACATCCCAATCCCCACCAAAATAGACTAAAATGGGCGGTGCACCCACCCCAAAATAGTACCATTGGTATTGACCCACAGCCATATCCACTTCCGGGGGGGGTGGGGCTGGGATGGCGGAAGGCGTTCCGCCAGGACTTGGGGCACGTGTCGTTCCTGAAAATTTTGGATGGCGGCCCCTGCGATGTGGGCATCGAGCCGGGCACTCGACGCAGGGCGAGCAGCCACCAGGGTAGTTTTGCTTCAATACTGTGGATGGACGAATTTCTGCCCACTTTGAAGCCACGGGCAACCATGTATTTGTTGGTATTGACAAGGGCAATCATCATTCTAGGACTTTTTAGGTGGTGCAGGATGTCTGTCCACCCACAGTATCTCAAAAGGGTCCCTTCACTGCATGGCCATGACTAGGTCCAGCAAGGTGTGCCAGAGTGTGGACATGTACTTCTGCTTTGGAAGGGCAAGCCGCAAGCTTTGCGCTCTTTGAATGGCTTGAGCGGGCGCTTTGGTTTGCACCTGCACACGGTTCGGTCAGGGAAATTGAGGCCCCCGGAGTTCCATTTCTTGGTCCAATTTGCCATAGCAGGAGGCATTGTTAGGGGACCCCGTGTGGCCGGCACTTGTTGTCGGTTTACCCATTTGGGCAGGTGATAAAGTAGGGGGCCTCCAAAATTAGGGGTTGTTCTGTTGGCTTCCTTTTAAACCTCCTCCGAAAATGGTGCCCTCCAAAAAACGCAACCCTCTTTTGGTTTTTGAACTTTTGAAAGTTTGTTTGTTGTTTGCAATTAATGGCTGCAAAATGCACTCTTATACCGTATACCTATCCTCCACCCCTTCTTCTTGAAATTTGAAGGTGGGGGGATGTTTGTACTGACTTGGTCCCTTAAAGTGGTTAGATATTGAGGGCTGCTCAAAATGACTTCCTGGGAGTTTGTTTTGCTGAAGCTGGACCATTTAGAGGATCATGTTGAACTGCGCTGTGATTGATCCCGTGCCCCGAATACCCACCATTCCGAGGGCATGATGGCAACCCCTGACTACAAAAGGTGGTTTTGTTCAATATAATGTATGCTTTTCTTTGAACATACTCCAAATTCAGCATGAAGGGGTTTGCAGAGGTTCCCCAAAAGGATGCAACTGAGGATCCGGCGCAACAACACGCAGCCAAGAAGGGCTTGTTATTTGTGTTTGCGTGGGGCCTTGATCGGAGAAGGGAACACCATCATGTTGTTTGAACAGAAGCCCCCCTTCAAATGAGCATGGACCCCCCCATAGGAGGTTTCCCAAAAGGCGGAGGGCTTCCTCTTAGTTCTAAACAAAACCTAGCACTGGAACAAAGGGAAGCTTCAACAAGAACAACCCTGTTTTTGTCTTTTTCTTTGTATCCTGGGGACTTCGGCAGGTCGCTTTCCGGCCGCACGCCGCACGCCGCTGAGGTCGACGGTGGTAAAGATAGACACCGCTGGGCGGCTGCTGCTGCTGCGTCGCGGCGGGGTGACGCCCGAGAGGTTGGATCCCCCGGCTAAGGGTGCGAGAGGGACCGAGTCACCGAGCGGCCGAGTCCGGGGGTTGGGAATGAACACAGGCATTCCTTAAACAAATGCCATAGGGATGATTTATGGGGGTCAATTCGATAGTAAAAACAGCAGCAGCAACAATTGCTTTGATTTGAGACAATTGGACACCAAGTTTTGACCCCGTTTGGGGAAAAGGGGGGATCAAGAGGCGAAGGTCTGCCTGACCTAACAGACGAAGTTTGCATTCTCGAAGTCGCCCGTGAGTGATGTACAGAGCCGGGAAGGAGTAATCTTTCAAGGAAGCAGCCATAACCTGTGGTGATGAGCGTGTTCGATGAAGCACTCCAATACCCGGTTTCCTCTCGTGTAACAGGTTCGCACTGGAAATCAAGCTACAGAGAGGGCAAGTCCCTCTTTGTCCCAACTGGGCAAGTAGCATTGGGAGAGGCAACCATCGCCCAGCGCCGCTGCTATTTTCTTCGGACTGCTCGAGGTCTATCTTTGAAGCATGTCAACCAGCTTCACCCAGCTAGCCCAAGCACCCCCCATATCCCGAACGTCAGTCGGAGGGTTTAGGAACCTTGCCAGGGAGCATTTCACGTAGCACTTGGTCCGCCAAGAAGGAAATCTGCAATGGCAAGACAGATCACAGTGCGAGGGCTGCCTGAGGAGGAAGCATCATTCGATTTTTCTTTTCACGCGTGACCGTTCTTGAGTCCAAAAGGAAGCTGCAAGATGAATCAAGGCGCAGCATGAGCTCAGTGGAGGTGGTTAGTGGAGACCAGCCCTTGTTGAACAACTGCGGCATGCTGATGGAGGCCGCTCCAGACGTTATGGATCTGTATGGCCCTCTCTCAGCATAACGCCGGTGACATGCTCAAGCTTCGAAGATTTGCGGGTAGTTTGCGACAAATCATGCACAGGAACGAAGAATTGAATGTCTGTCCAGACTTGGTTGAGATGATCATGCTGTAGGCCTGCATTGTTCAAGCGAGAAGGGAAAGAAGAGGTGTAAACTTACACCTCTTCTCTTCCTGTTGCAGCTGTGAAGACAGAGGTGGCGCAGCGGCAGTCAAACTATATAGAGAGCTTGCTGCCGGTCAGCTCATCATTCAATCTGATTTTTTGGCAGCCTCTGTATTCCATTTTGCTCCCAGGATCCGCGGGTCGTCACGACCACTTTGGTAGGTGCAGCGGACTTGCCAAAGTGGTCGTGACGACCCTCGGATCCTTGGGACTAGGTGAAATAGAGCGGTTTGCTGCATTTTGTTGGCCATTTCCAGGCATGGTCCTGGTGAAGCCAATCGATGGAGAAGGTTGGAGTAGAGGCTTTCATTGACTCAAGCTTTTTGGCAAGCATGGCCATCCCCAACTGAGCCGGATTGCAATGGTTGCAGCTCATTGGCCAGCATCACCGTGCCCGGTTCCATCACTGAGTTTGGAGACGGTGCCTTTCAAGGTTGCAGCTCACTCGGAAACGTGACCATGGTAGAAATGCCTTCCAAGGTTGCAGCTCATTTGCAAGCGGGACCATCCCCAACTCTGTGACTGAGACAGGGGTTGGTGCCTTTGAAGGTTGCCGCCTATTGGCAAACGTGACCCACCCCTTGCTCAGTCACTCAGATTTGCAGAGATACCTGACCATTCTCAACTCAGTCACTGGGATTGGACAAGCTGCCATTCAAGGCTGCATCTCATTGGCAAACGTTTCCCACTTCCGTCGCTGAGATTTTGGGGAGGTGCCTTTGCAGCTCTGCCGGAAGCCCCACGAAGCAAAGCCGTGCAAGGAATTCAAGAGTCTAGGGGTTGATTCCGATTCCATTCTTTGCAACCATCGTTCTTGTCAAAAACCATCTGTTTTCCCTGGGCTTCCAGTGGTTTTCTGGAAAGAAGGATCCCTAGAATGGGGAAGGTCCCCCTAGAAAGAGGATCATTCAAAAGCAGGGCCAGCAGGGCTGTGGGAAATGGAATCCACTTCTGTGATCAACACAAAGGGCTTCCCAAAGAATACCCCCCCATACGAAGGGGGAGATTCCCTGGTATCACAGAAGTGGGGATACACCCCTTGAGCCCACAAGCCTGTTCAAAAGTCAGGTCCACGCTTGTCAGAACTTGCAGAACCCCACTGTGCCACATCGGATCTGATGCCCAAGGCTGTACGTTGCACGGTGGATCTTTTGAGCAGTTGTCTTGGACATGTCTTGGACTGGGGGCTGTTTTGCTGAAGCAGAGCTGTCGCACAATTAAAACACCAGACAGCGGCTGTTTGGGATCAGGCGTGGTCAGGGATAGTCATGATAGTCGGGATGGTCAGGGATAGGCAGCATCGGACATGAAAATTGAGACCTTTGTTCTGCCTGGCGCATGCCATTTTTGGGGAAAGAAGAAACGGTTGCTCGTCGTGTGAGCTACGGGCAATGCTCTCACCGTCATGTGCCCAGTCACCAGATCACCTTCAGGAAATATGGTTCACATTTGCGCGCCAGGATTTGAATCCAGGGATTCGAATTCCGGCAGTCCACTGCCCTGGGTTTGAGTCAGATTGCCTTGCTTTAGTCAGACCCAACCGCATTTCCACCTAGGCAGGGTTTCATCAGCATGGCAATGGCACGGTCGAGGGTAAGGCCAAACAATCCCTTATGATTTCCTTTATTCGGGAATCCCCAAGTGGTTCGTTCCCACAACCCTGCAGGTCATTCCCTACCTATCGCACCAGCAAGTTGCTTAATTAGGGGGCCCCCGCAAATGGCTTCGGCTTTCTTTTGGTTTCCTCAACAACAAGCCAAGAACAGGTAAACCCCCGTTGTTTCCCTTTCATCAGAAAATATATACGTGTATATAATTATACATGTGTACTATCTTATGAGTTGTGCATATTTTGAAGATGATCCAAAGATTGCAGTTTCATGAAAGGCCACAGTTGCGGCTTTCCTGCGCCTCGTGAAGATTGGGCCAAGAAAAGCCCATGCCATTGCCGTCGGCTTGAAAGTCGAACCGTGAGAAAAGTGCCTCAACATATGTTCGGGCAGCCTGCCTCCTGTAGAATATTATTTTTCCTTTTGGCGTCCTTTTATTGTTGAACCATCCGAAAAAAGGGTACTTGAACCGACACCCGTTTTCGGGCAATGGCCCGCCTCGATGTTGAAAAACCTCGCACTGCGAGGCTCGAAGAGTTCTTGGGCGACTGCTTCAAGAGCGGAAAGCTCCAGGCCTTTTGACGGACAACAAATTCCGCACTGGAGGGAAGGTTTGTCCACATGTCCGGCAATTCCCGCATTAAACCAATCACGCACGTGTCCGACCTGTACACCTTTTGTCCAATTTCTTTGGGCGACTGAGACCTTCATGGAACTCGGGCCTTGTTAAGAGGATGGTAGCCTTCCAAAGTCCTCCTGTCAACCCCCCTAAAGAAGGCAGATGTGCGGTATCACCGAAGCACCCCTTTCCGCTTGTCCGGTTTTCGTTTTTTTTTGTGTCTTCCTCTTTTTCTTTCCGCTGCTCAACCAAAGAAGTGCTCCTCTTCCTTGTGAGGGGTCCTCCGAGGGGTTTCCTCAGGATCAAGACAAAGAGATCAGGTACTCCTGAATGCTTTTTTGTTTTAGAGTGGTGGTTTGGGGACGAAAGGAATTTCTGGTTCTTGCCGGAGGTGAAAGGAAAGCTAGCTACCCCCCTAACATCCAAACTGCCAATTGGAAAGCTGAAAAGACAAAAGACAAACCCTGACGCTTGAGGGTGGAAGCGAGGCGCTCACCGTTCGCCAGGAGCCAGTGAGCCTGGTGTCGCCGTCTAGGCGGGAGCTGGAGGTGTGCCAGCGCGCAATGGAACAAGTTCCATGAAGAACCGCGGGGTCCTTTGCTTGTTGTTGTTTTTGGATGAACATTCCACTTAGTAAAAGGGTTGTAGCCATGGTTTAAGCAGTTGCTCTTTTTGGATGAACATTCCACTTAGTAAAAGGGTTGTAGCCATGGTTTAAGCAGTTGCTCTTTTTGGATGAGCATTCCACTTAGTAAAAGGGTTGTAGCCAGGGTTTAAGCAGTTACTCAGTTACTTTTTTTGGATGAACATTCCACTTAGCAAAAGGGTTGTAGCCATGGTTTGAGCAGTTATAGTTTTTTTTGGATGAACATTCCGCTTAGCGAGTGAGTGAAATCCATGGTTGTAAGGGGGCGATTGTTTTTGGCTGTATCTCCCACTTCGTAAGGGAACTGCAGCCATGGTTAGAGGGGGGTTAACTGCAGCGACCCCAGTGTCAAACCATTTGAGAAAGCCCAAGTTGTTCAGTCGCGCCCTTTCCTTTGGTCTTTTTGTTTTTTGGGTGTGGGGCTTCCGCACGACAGTCACTGAAGAACGCCAAATACGTATTGACTGGTTGCGGGTCTCTGGACTTTTTCACCTTGTGGGTTTGGACAATTTTGGTTGCAAAGAGGGGATGGACTCAGTTGCCCCCAAAATTGAAGGTTTGTATTTTGGGAATCCTCTTAAAAAGGCCCCTTGCCCAGTTCCATGATGGTCTCATTTGCCCCTTAGGTATCCCCAAAAGAAAAGATTTACCTTTTGGGACCTTACGAAAAACGGGCCAAATTGTTTAAACAAAAAACAAAGCTGTCAGATCCAGTCGATGCGCTTTTGAGCGAGAACAATGCCAACGGGATCCGACGCCTTGGATTCAAGCAGGCAGTTTTTGGCTGCACTCCGCGGATCGCCCGCGAATAGCTTTCAGAATTTCAATGGTCGGGCATGACCCGGAAATAGAGGAATTCTGCCCATGTGCTTTCACCCAACTGTTTCCACGGCTGTGGAACATAAACACCTTGTGATGCCAACGGTTGCTGATTCCATTTATCTTATCACTTTCAAGGATAATCCCATTGGCATCGCTTCTGCTTTGCACTCTGGATTGGTCAGAAAAGGTGCCAGCAGGTCAAGGTGTATATTTGTGGCATGGGCAACTGGGTACTTGGATGGTCTCGCTGGTTCATCAGAGCGACACTTCCCTCGCGCCGGGTGCGAGCAGGTCGCAGCCCGTGGTGAAAGCGGAAGAGGAGGCCCAAGTAGCCCCCGGCATGCTGCGCGGCTGCAGCGAGTGCGGGATTCCAGAAAAATCAAGTTGGAGAGGGTCCCGAGAGTACATTTGGCTGCAACAAGCAGACTTTGATTTGGTCCAGTGATCCTGAGAAACTATCAGATCAAAAAATGTCTCTTTGCCCCTGATGAAACTTTCAAGTTTTTGTTGGTCCTTCTGGCGAACGTAGCGTGGATTTTCCTCGTGGTTCACCGTTTGGGACCACTGGAGACATCTTTGCCCTCAACCAAAATGACCAACCCAAAACTACTTAAATCCTGGGTTCGGGGGTTGAACGTCAAGTGTTCAAGGAGAAAACAAATCCATGGCCCCCGTAAAAGTGTTTGGAGGCATCCAAACCCTCCGGAACGGCAACAGGGCAAATGAAATGGGCATTAGAGAAGGGGCGGTTCATGTTGCCCACCCCCTCAATGGAACTCCATTTCCATTGCTTCCATTTCTTTGGGAAGATTCTAGATACATTGAGCTAGGGAACCTGCGCATCCGTCGCAGCAATGCCTCGCATCAAAAATTGGCACTCTCGATGGGGATCCCGTATTTAGGTTTGTTGTGCAGGGTAGGGCAGCTGCTTCAACAACCAGACCTGTCCCTTGTAAGGTTGTTGAGCTGGGCTGTTCAAAGGTAATCCTCAATCCTTACCTGGGAATGCGCCAGGGGTCCCCTTTGTAGTGGCTTTCCTATAGGGATGAGCCAAGCCTCCATTTTGAACACCCATTTAAACGAGATTGGTTGGAGGCCAGGCTCCCTTGCTTGTGGGCCGCACGTGTATTTGCGCCAATTCGGGGCGTTTCGGATGGGTTTCCATATCCCCTGGTTTGCGCGAGGTGAAATACCAGTCCGTGCACGGGTCCATTGTTTTCGATTGGTGATTGTGCGTTTTGAGCACCTGACACGTGTTTTGGCTGTTTGTCCCATGTCCTGTGGGGAGATGTTCGTAATTTTGCCGTTCATTCGGTCTTCAGCGCGGACAGGAGTTCCGTGAAGCGCAGGCTTGTGAACATACAACAGGTGGCGAAGTTCAACGGACACGTCGCGAGGGGATGGCTTGAGCGTGTTTGAAACCTTCAGAATCCTTCAAGAGTGGATGCGCATCTCCCTGGTTGCCAACCCACAATGTATCAGCTCTGCGGAGAGGAATTCGGAAGCACTTGAACACACAAGACGCCCCAAAGCTGGCTCAGTTGTCCAAAGCCGACCTTTCGACCTTTGGGCTTTCCATTTTTGGTCATGGGCCCAACAGGTGATCACTGTTTTATTTCTGGGTCCCTAAGGGGCGTTGTCAAGACCCCAGTGGCGGAAAGCAACGGCCAAGGATGTTGAAACATTATGCTCCTTCCGCCAGTGCCTCAGCTCGCTGGCCCTCAGGCCCTGGCACGGGAGAGGGAAGATCGGAAGATTCAATGACCACCCTTGCCCACCCCACCACGGGCTCTTAGGACCCGGGAGAGGAGATTCAAAGACCACTGGGACTGGGTACTACCAGCATCCCTTGTGCTGAAGGATTTCAGGACCACCTGGCGTATTGGGGTCATTCATTCCCATCCGCCCATACTGGGTCCGTAGCGAATATGTCCCGGCAAAAAAGGGACACCGCGAAACCGCCCTACTTGTCCATTACAATCTTCGCTGAGCCGGGGCCCTTGCGGCACTTTCTGGTTCCACTTTTTGCTGGTGGAATCCTCACAAAAAGTAACCAAAGCACGGACCCGAGTCCCGAGCTCATCTTGAGGCCTTTTTTGGGTCTCCCAGTTGAGTGCTAAGGAACAAGCTTGGCTTGTTTTGGCTCCAGTCGGAGCCTACCAGGCTTTGTCACTGAACAACGAGGTGTCTTTATTCCGCTATTTGGGAGCGGATTGGACTTTGACTTTTTGGGAAATGATGGATTCACCATTTTGCAGAGGGGTCTCGCCGGCAACCAAGGCATGTCATTCTTGCCAGCCAGGTGCTACCCCCACTTTGGCTCCATGGATGGTAGTGACGTGCATAGTTGCATGCACTTCTACAAAAGGCGGCCACATCCATTCGGACCGCTTTTGGATGGGTCCAGCCCCTATTAATTGGACGGGTTCTACTTAGATCCAGGGTCAACATTACACCAAGGACACCAATCCGATTGGTGAAGGCATCCATGGCTCTGGGATGCTGAGTGCATGCCCTCAACCAAGTTTGGCCCCTGTATGATAGACACTTAGACTCGTTTTTGCCACCTTCATTTAGGGTATTTGTTGTTTTTTTGGTTTTGAGTCTGAATGACTTGGTCTGCAAGTGTCCATGCACCCTTTCCTAGTCTGCAAAGCAGACTGTAAGTGTCCATGCCCCCGTCCCTTCCCTGGACCCACCGAGGTGCACACCGTGCTGCTCTCCCCGCCTCGAACAGCGGGCGCGGCGGAAGCCGCGTCTTCCGGAGACTTCATGAAGGCCTCGGTGAGTCGCAGCGTGCTGCCGGGAAGCCCAGGCGGAAACCCTTGGCTTTGGCAAAGAGGTCCTTACCTCTGAAAAACACAAAACTTTTCGTAACTTTTTGGGGGTAACATGGGCGAAAAGTGTCTGTAAAAGATGAACACTTCCCCAATCCTTGGAGTTTTAAGGAGTAAGGTTCAGTTCTCCAAAGCGATGAGCCCTTAGGGTGTTAAGGGCTTCATAAGAGCTCCAAGCTCCTGGCTTTTTTTTCCCCCGCAGCCGCTGATGACAACTTCGGTTTTGGTTTTGACCCTTGGCCCATATTGTGTACAAGTCTCCAATAGTTCGACCTTGTACTTTGGGGCTTTTCTAAGGGGCAACTGAGTTACCCCAATCATGGAAGCTTCTGGAAGACCACTTTCCTTTTGGGGTACCCTGGGTTCCAATCCTATCTTACCTTTCTTGTGGTTGTTTCGTAGGGTCATGAATTGGGATTGGTCAGCACTTTGTTTTGAACAGCCCAGCCACATTGAGTTCCAAGAAGGGAATGCTAATTGTCAGGTTTTCCAGACCGCCTATTTGACGCTAGCTGCCAAAAGGTACCATTTGTAACCCACCTAATCAATCATATGCAACATCTGGGTATGGGTCCAAACTAAACCACAATACAACCACAGGTTCTAGTCCTTGTTTCCATTTTAGGGGTTGCCCTATTCTTGACCCACAGTGCCGTCGATTTTCATGGCGCATCGACTCACTCATCACCCTGGTTCCACTGGCTCCCTTAAAGGACTGGCAGTCAAGGGTGGCTCATATTTTCCAAAAAGCGTTTCCGCCCCCCCCCCCCCCCCCCCCCCACAAAAAAAATGCCATGTGAACAACGACTGACTCGGGTTTGTGTGTTTGTTTGTTTGGTTGGTTGGTTCGTTCGTGCGTTTGCGTGTTTTGTTTGGCCGGGTGAATGATTGTTAAATAAGAGGAACAGCAGCTGTGCTTGGATGATTTTGGCTCGCAGGTTGAGGCACACTAGAAGTCGCATTTGAATTTGAACAAGTTGGACATCCTGGGCCCCTTCAGCACGTTTCAACCCCAGAGACTGAATGTATGGAGGTACGACCCCCGCACTTGTAGATACCAACCATTTCGCAACAGGGGTCTCACCCGGCAAACATGGCGAATCGCCTTTTGAAGCCCCAGGTTTGGGCAAAGGAAGTGGCGCAATTGGCAATTGGCGACAGATGGCAAGGTGTTAGAATCCAGCTTCGGTCAAGACCATGTGTGCTTTCTTTTTTTGGGGGGGGATCGGTTTTTCTTTTTCTTCTTTCTCTCACCAGAGTGAGCAAGCTTTTGGCTTGAAAGGGAACTCCCTCCCGGAGGTTCCGAACTTGATACTTTTTAGGGTTTGGACTATTTGCAAACCAAAGTTCCCGGACGTTTTTGGGCCAGTCTTCTCCATGGGAAGTGAGGAATGGACTTTCAACGACTGAAGGCCTGAAGGCCTGGCCGGAGCTGTTTGATGCACGTCTAACTTGGTGGCTCCCAGCCATCCGGTTCCTTAGCTTTTAGTCTTTTAGTGTTTCGTGGGGGCTTCCATTTGACCCACTAAAAGTTAGTCACTTCTAGCAGGGGCTCTGAGGGCACGGGCAGCTAAGGATCGACTTCCGGGCTGGTCAGGCGGAGCGCCACGGCAAGTTCCTGAAGGTCTTCGAGCTTTGTGAGGTCGGGGAAGGGATGGGCAGGGTATGGCCTTGCTGAGATTGGGGGCGTGTCGTTGTTTGAGGGCACCCCCCCCTTCTTCTTTTATTTTTGGGGGGGAGGGGTGGTGTTTAAAGGGCTCCTTTTTGGGGGGTTTATTTTATACAAAGGGAAAGTGAAAGGGGACCATCAATTTAAGGGTTTCCGCTATTTTGAATCAAACAGTGCTCAAGAAAAAAGCCTTTATCGGTTATGGATGGGTGGAATTTGGCTGAGTCCGACTCACCAATTTTCCACCCATCGATGGTTGATACGGTTTGACTCGGTTTGGTGTTTTTTTCTTGCAAAGGGCGGGGGGGGGGGGGGGGTAAGTTACCTTGTTTGTTGCTTCCCCTTGCAGGGAAAAGGGGGGCGGTAAGTTAATCAAAGGACACCACTCCTATTCTTTTCACGAAAGCCTTGCCGAGGCTTCCTGGAGTCTTCCACCCTTCAGGAGTTCGTAGCTGCAGCTGTTTCGGTTGGGTTTGCGCGACGAACCCAGTTAAAGCAAAGCCATACTGTGACAACCAGAACTATTTTCAATAGGGAACCCCTGGAACGTGGTTGATGTTATTCAAACAATGTCCACCCAAGGGTCCATAATGAACATGTTGAGTCCATTGAAGACTTTGCGCTTGCTCCCATTGGCCGCCTATGCGGCGATGTCCGATGGCGACGTTGGTGCTTGCTGCAGTACGTGTCTCCTTCTCAAGTCACCTTTTGGCTTTGATGGGGTGATCGCTGTTTGTTTCCGGTTGCCTCTCGCTTGCATTTGCAGTTGTGGTTTTGGTTGCCAGCACCTGCGCGTCTGCGCGTTCCTTGCTCGGACCTTGGGGCATCCAACGAGTGCTTGCCAGTCACGTTCAAGCTTAGGCACTCTGGTGGTGTTTTACTTGGGTCCCGCCACGCTTATGACAGAAGGGGCGGGTTTCTTACATTTCGGGGCGCTTTGAGACTGTTTGTTGTTGTTTAGCAAGCTCAATACAGCGATGACCCATTTGTGATTTATCTTGTTGGCTCCCAGCCATCCCCTTAGCTTTTGAGACTTTTAGGGTTTAGTGGTAGTTTCCATTTGACCCACTAAAAGTTGTTCATTGTGCTTAGGGGATCTAAAAACGGGCAGCCCAAATATGTGCTTTGCCTCTAGATGTGTCCCGTTAAATTGGCCAAAGAGGCGCGACGCTTGCTTGCGCAGGCCGGATCGAGTGGAACTGCGGAGGAGATCCGGGGGTCTGCTTGGGGTGCGAAACTAGCATGGGCTTACCCTGCTAAATTAGCATGGACAGGGCGGCTTTGCACCAGGCAGCAGTTTTGTCACGAATGTTGCCAGTCTGCTCATACCCTCCGAACTTGGCAATCACGACATGGATCTCCAGACCAACAGAAGCCAGGTGCTCCTTGTAGTGGGTCACCTTGTCACAAATTTTCTTCTTGAAGTCGATTTTTCCGCCTCCCCAGACCGCGCGGTATCAGGCAATGACTTCAGGAAAAATCTGAGCTCTGTATGCAGTATCCGCGGATGAAATCCGTGGGTTTGGACCAAATTTTCCTAAAAAAACGGGTCCCTGCGTGCCACGTGTGGGAGGGGTAACGTCCAGGGGTTCCCGAGTTGCCGCCCCTGGGAGCTGGATCGAACTCTGACCAAAGAGGCGAAACGGCGGGAACGGGAATAAGTTCTGCCGAGTTGTTTTGCGTTTTCAGCCCTTTGCAAGGCCGAAAAGGTTGGTCGACCTAAAGATGGAGTGAAAAATACGCTGATTTTTTATTTTAATGTGACACCTGGAGGAACCTTTTTGAGCTTCACAGGTGCGTCTTGTTGATACCCTCTTTGTCATAGGTGGATGTTTTGTGGGCGTGCCTAGGTTGTCTCGATGCATCGACTCTGTGGCTAGCACCCTCATGTTCTCCCTTGCCCTTTGGGCCATGGAGAAATACTATCCATCCTTATGGTTGCAAACGAAAAGGACAACCATTCAGTTTGAACATTTGTGCAAAGGGGACGAAGGAAATTCGGATTGGCCAACCATCCATCAGGCCGTGTGTTTTTTCGGTACCATTGAGTGGAAGACTATAGGAAAACCTCACCGCAGGCAGTCTTTTGGAAATGGTACACCCAAAGGGAAACCACATAAGTGACTTCCTTGCAACCTCAGGGATCCTAAGATCAAAGGACCGCCTCCCATTTGGGGCCTGCTTTGACACATGGGGGTGATCAAGTGCTGTGGGTAAATGTTCCCATGTGGGAAAGTGTCATGGTTTTTGGTGGTGTTCCCCAACTGGTCATCCCATAGCTGCCCCGTCAACCACTGACCTCACTTTGCACAGTGTCACTTCACCTACAAACCGAGGTTTCAGGTAAAGGATTGTTGGATCAACCCCCCCCCCCACACTGTCCAAGTGGACTTTGGTGCATTTTGCTTGGATGTTGGGACTCCAACTTTTTGCCAATGGATTTTCCGTATTAAACCACTAAAAGTTATTCACTTTCAGGGGAGCAGAAAGCAACCGAGTTGAGAGGAGGCCTGCCGCCGGGTCTTCGGCACCTTGCGCGAGGCTGAAGCCTTCGCGCAGGCCCAGCAGGCACGACAAAAAGAGAATCGGCTGATTTGTTCAGAAGGTACCTGCGTCCATTTCGCCTGGTCGTTTTGAAAGAAGTCGATTTCACGAGTTGACCTATATTTTCCGATTTTCTCCGGGCGAAAAAGTCAATTCAATGGAGGTCTGGGACATCAAAAGTTCCCTTACAACTTGTGTCTCCGAATTTGTGGGGTGGATTCCCTTTTTGAGGCTTCAGGTGCAATTTTTCGGGGTGTTTTCAACAGAAAGGGACACCAACAACCAAGATGTGCAATGGTATGGCCTGGGCATGGGACTTTTTAGTGAAGGCTGTAGGGCCTGCATTGAGGTGACCCGGTTCATGGGTGAGGCGGGTTTACATGGTTGTTGTTGGGAAGCAGTTTACAATTTTGCTTATTGTGGTCTAGTGGTTGGAATCCAACCACTTAACTGCCAAAACTTGGATTTTTGCCCAACTTCCAACGTGAACCAAATTTTAAACATTCTGTGGATGGGCGAAATCCATTCGCACCAATCTCAAACCCTGGTTGAAACCTGGAACGACCAATTCTTTCTGGTGGTTCACCTAAACAACCTTTCCCCGTCAAACACATCTTATCATAGAATCTGTTTGTTTGGGGAAATTTAAAAAGAATTGGTTGTTCCAGGCATCAGGTTTGTTGGTATTTACAGGGAAGTCATATATATATATATATGCCTGAGGACTGGTTGATACTCAAACAAGTGCTCCAGACGGCTTTTGGGCATTCGGCATTCGAGCGATTTTTCTGCTCGAAACCATGTCAAGCACCTTTTCATGTTGCCTAGCTGCTTTGGTGAAGTGCTCGGGAGAAAACCAGTGCGCAACTCGAGCACAGTTTCCAACTACTCGGGCGCAATTGTCCGCAACTCGGGCGCAATTCCAGAAAGTGTGCAAAGCCAAAGCTCTGCCCCGCAATCCTTGTGGTGTTTGCATTTGCCAGTACTTGCACACTTAGTTGCCACGAAGAATATTTGTGTGTCAATGGGGCCTGCAGGTGATTCCAGGGTTTTTCGAACTTCAAGGCAAAAGGAAATCATCCTTCTGCGCCCAAGTCAAACCGTTGCCCACGCACTCTCCACATAGCATCGTTGCTGAAACATGCCCAGCCAACAAGCCGAGATTCAGCAGGCTCAAAGCAAGTTTACCAGAACATCGTTGCTAGACAAGAGGAAACCTGCCATGGCAGAAGAGATTACGGTGCGGCAGCTGTCTGGGAAGGAAGAGTCTTTTGAAGTGTCCGCGCACACGACCATCATTGAGTTCAAGAGGCAGCTGCACGGGCTGCTGCCCTGCGAAGATGAATCGAGGCGCAACATAAGCTCAGTGGAGTTGGTTGTAAGAGACAAGCCCCTATTGAACAACAAAAATATAATTTCAGAGGCACTTCAAGGTGCAGAAGTTCTGGCTTTCCTGAGCATAAAGCCGATGACTTGCTCAAGCGTGCAAGCCTCTGGCGTCGAGCCTGAAGACTTGCGCGTGGTGGAAATTCCAGGAGATGTGACGCGGATTGAGCCTCATGCCTTCCGTGAGTGCTGGTCATTGGTAAGCGTAACCATTCCCAACTCAGTCACTCGGATTGGCCCGAGAGCCTTCGAAGGTTGCAGCTCCTTGGCAAGCGTGACCATTCCCGACTCCGTCACTGAGATTGGAAAATTTGCCTTTGCAGGTTGCAGCTCGTTGGCAAGCGTGAGTATCTCCAACTCCGTCACGAAGGTTGGAACTTGTGCTTTTGCAGATTGCAGCTCATTGGCAAGTGTGACCATCCCCGACTCCCTCCCTGAGATTGGAGACATTGCCTTTGCAGGTTGCAGCTCATTGGCAAGCGTGACCATCTCCAACTCTGTCACTTTTATTGGAGACGGGGCTTTCAAAGATTGCCATTCATTGGCAAATGTGACCATGTCCAACTCTGTCACTGTCATTGGAGACAGCGCTTTCGAAGGTTGCAGTTCATTGGCAAACGTGACCATTCCCAACTCCGTGACTCATATTAGAGATTATGCCTTCCAAGGTTGCAGCTCATTGGCAAATGTGACCATGTCCAACTCTGTCATTGTGATTGGACGTGCTGCCTTTGCAGACTGCAGCTTATTGGCAAGCGTGACCATTCCCGACTCAATCAAGCGGGTTGAATCAAACGCCTTTCGAGGTTGCAGCTCATTGCAAACCGCGATAATCCCCGACTCTGTGTCTGAGATTGGAGAAGATGCCTTTGAAGGTTGCATCTCATTGGCAAACGAGACCATTCCCGAGTCTGTGACTCGGATAGGAGACTGGGCTTTCAAGGGTTGACCCCCGCAGAAGTTTCACAAACAGCAAGTATGAAAGCTGCTTGGCTTCTGCCCGCAGAAGTGCTGCGCAGAACTTCGCACACCTTGTGGAGCATGTTCCGAGAAGGCTGCAAATGTTCCAGGGCGCCAGAGCGGTTTGGGGGGAGATGATGGATGCTTGGAAATGCTCACTTCCTGAGCACATGGCCTTTCAACTTTAGAGCCTCCGGCTCTGTCCGACCTTGCATCTCCCAGTCCCCTTCACGTGACTCATTCTCCCTTTGTTTCCACGCTTGGTTCTCTTCAGTTCGCTTCATTCCCCCTCTTCCTTCCCATTCATATCCCTTGCATTTCCCCTCCTTCATTTCCCTTCATGACCCACTGTTCCTGCTCTAATGGAACCCAGCATGATCTTGAGTCGTGGTGCTGTTTCCGCTCGGTTCGGCCATGGTGTCTTTAAAGGTGAGCTTGGTGTCTGTCGGAATGTACTCATAGAAGTGTTGGATCTTGGATCGAATGAAGAGGTCGTGATGCTGTGTTTCCAGCGTCTCACAGATAATGTTCCAACTGGATATGATGGTTCACTCTGAATGATGAAGAACTGTGCTGTGAGGTTGTCATCGAGTGGAGACACGTCAGGCTGTCTCTTCTGCATTCCGTTGACTGTCTCAAAGTCTCCAGGTCGTCCGGGTTCAACAAAAACTGCACGGGCGGCGCTCCAGCCTGACTCGCTTGCTCAGGCTGCGCGGCTCTTCTCTGATTGGCAGCTTGCGCTGATTGGAGGGAAGCTGGTGATTGCCCGTGATGACGGGCGTCTGATCATTCCATGCTGCTTTTAACCTGCGTAGCAAGATCTCAAAATTTGAAAATGGAAAATGAAAGCGGGTTGTGTCTCCTGTGATTGAAGCAACTGAGAAGTCGATACAGGTACACGTTGGTCGTGCCTTTCAGAAAGTACTTCTTCAGCGTGTTCTTGACTCCCTCCGCTGGATCTCCAACAAAGCTTTGTGGAAGCGCTCTGCACATGAATGCGTCAACCACGAGTCTACTCCTGAGAAGAGGCTCTCAGCGCTCTAATCCAACGGTTGTGAAAGAGGTGCAGTCATCAATGGGTTCCTCATACCTGAACCCTCCAAAAGTACTGAAATTTCCGTACATGCGGAAAACAAGTGTCAATGTACACTTTTGAGGAAATTTGACGGAAATCGCTGTTAGCAGGCTGTGAGCGTTTGTGGTGCACTTGGATGCACATGAACACAGTTTGCAATTTACACGGCCAGTCATACTTAATTCCGTTTCAGGTCTTTCGTCTCCAATTGCTGTGGGGCAATGTGTGACAGCTTCCTTGCCGCTTTTGCGAGTTTGCAGTTTTCTCAGCCAAAATGCAGAAACCGCAAATGCACGGAAATCGGCGGGAAATGCACGGAAATCGGCGGGAAAAGTACGGAAATCTGCGGAAAATGCACGGAAATCAGCGGAACATGTTCTTGAGGAAATGGGCACCTTTTGTCCTTGGTGAATTGCACACCTTCAAATGGTATGAGCATGACCGGAGCTGAAAGTGAGATTCTTGTAGAAAAAAGGTAGCAAAATGCTCCTGTGTCTTATGTTGAGCCTGCAAGAAAAGCACAGTTTTTGCTCAAATGTATGGATTTCAAGGAAATGCACGGATTTTTGCAGAGAGTCGCAAAAAAAGTGCCCTTGGTTGGTCCAGGTATCTAAGTACACCGGGAGCGCGCGCAGCGAGGTTGTTTTCTACGGCAAGTGTGTACTCTAGCATTGGTAGAAAAAGGGCCCTTGAGCCAATATGTATACGTCTGGAAAAGTGTTGCGCCTTTTGTGACTCCTGCCTTGCGCGCGTAGCAAGCAATAGCAACAGGTGCAACAATTAATTAGCCAGCTAAATAATTTTACTCGTTGACTAGTTACGCATTTGCACTTAACACGCCCTTGAACGCACTGGCAGTTCACCCAACCATCTTTGTGCACTTTGAAACTTTCGCCCCCCCCCCGCTTGGGGGCTTCGCCAGCTTTACTTGTATTATGTCTTGTCCAATTTAGACAACTGGGCGTTGGCGCCCTTGAGCCCTTGTTAGGTGAGTTCGGTTGAACATACAAGGGCTCCACTGGTTTCAGTTGCCTTCTAATCTTTTGCACGTGGAACCCATTTGTTTGTCCACCCGGACATGTAGGCAACTGGGAACAGGGGTGTTTAAGAATGCCGGAAACTGGGCTGAAGCACGCGCAGTCGCCCTTTGGGTGGAATAGTTTGCGCCAATCAACAGTGTGTATGTGTGAACATTTGGGGGTTGTGTCCAAATAGACAAATGCCTCTTGAAAACATTGCCACAGGCGGATCTCATTTGCATCGCGGAGTTCGATCCCAGTGGCCTCGGCGGATACGCAGAAGCTTTGCATGATAGGCGAGACCCCGCGCCATGACTCTGCCATTGTCCCGAGGATGTAATCCCGTTTTTTTTAAACCTCCCCGTCACCAGCCTTGGCACATACCCTTTTTACGGAGAACAACAGCGCTTAAACGGGGTCGTGCACTGAAGGCTATGTAGGAGTATTCAGAACCTCCACTACTTTCTAGAAGTTCTAGATTGTTCTGGATAAGTTTGAAGAGATGTGTGTTTTAGCGCAGGGCGGCAGAGTGTTTGGATTTCGGAGTCAAGGCTTTCAACGGCTAACTAGCATTTATTTTCCAGATCTCGTCGAAATGTTGGCCCCGGCCCCGATAGCAAACATGAAAGATCCCATTCCAGGGGTTGTCAAAATGAGGGGCCCCTGTTTGGGATCCGTTTTGTTGTCGCACAGGACGACACCAGCCTACATACGATAAGAGGTTCCACATGGCCACTGGGCCATTTCAGCCTTTGGGCCAGGCTCTTCCGATCAGCTTCTGGTCAGCGCGCTGTGCTGGTGGAGGTCGGGCGGACCGGCGGACAGGGCAGAAAAGTACACGTCCCTTGCACCAGTGGTGGGTAACAGGCCTCAGTTGTGTGGTCAGTCTCGGCAGTCGGGGTAGAAAGGAACATATTGGCTATGCTGCTCTTGTAGTGAAAGGAAATTGATAAAGGATACCTGGAAATTTGAATGACACATGAAGATGAGCCGGGCACAATTTCCCCGACACGTGGCTGGGGTGTTGGAGAATTGAGCCGCAAACAAACCCATTTGAATGAAGACTTCTGGGGACTGTGTCAGGTAGCTGCGACCGCCCTTTTGGTGCTTTACGTGTAATGGATATTCTATTCCTTGACCCAGCAGTTGATCGTGACATGGAAGGCCTAGCCTCAGACCCACGCCGTGAAACCCATCAGGAAGACTTGATGTGCACAATGTCCCTTGGAGGATGCATGAAAGCCTGTTTGAACGACAGTTTCACCAGCTGACTCAGAGGATGACCTTGTATGCAGGTTGTTTTCTGGATGTATAAGGAGCCCAGTTGGAGGAATCCTGGTGACCATTCTAGCTTGTGTGGGTCCCTTTGGTCCGCTCATGCTCGCTCCCGGCGAGGATGGCTCGAAGTTCTTGGCGTTGCGGACGATGCCCTGAAGGGCGCTGAACGTCTGCAATCGCAGGTCGAGGTGGCAAAGGCATTTCTTGGGAAGGGTGCTTCCTTTGAATGCAACCAAAAAAGGATGCCCTGTTTTCCCATGGCCACTGGGCATTTGTGCTACACATGTTTTTTAAGTGGAAACCCAAAGTGGAGGGAATTGATCAGCTTGTGTCCAGACCCCGGCAATTCTTTGGCACCCAAAAAGGACGCCTGCCCAGCTTGGATTGGCGATGTTTTTCTAGTTTGAAAACACCACAAGTGCGGCTGTGTCGGGAGGGGAATCCTGACTTGAACGTACTTGCATTTTAGGGAGTGGTCAGGACCGTCTTGGGTAACGTAGCCACGCCAACCCACGCGCCAGGATTGTCCGGCGCACCTGTTGTACAGATCTCGATCTTTCGCTCGCTTTGTACAGAGACACCAAGGCAAAAGCGCGAGGCTGCGAAGAGAGAGGACGGTCGGGTCCCCACTCACGGTTTGCTCGGCTGCTGTTTTCGTCCACGGAAGCCTTGGAGTCATGCTTTCATTTCCCAGCTTCTAACCACTTGGCACAGCCAGCTGATTGGGAAGAACTTCAGGAGGTGTTTTTTGGATGCTCTTGCACGAGCAAACTCGCATGAGAGCTGAAGTTCAACATTTGCTCGGTGCCCTCCATGTTCTCCAGTCTTTGTGCACCAAAAACAAAGACGGCTTTCGACATCCGCTGCTCACATGTCATGCTTTCGGGCCACCCATCCTTCTAGCTTTTGGATTTTTAGCTCTTGGGGAGCCATCATATACTCAGTGAAGTTCCAAGCGAATCGACCTGATCTGACCTTTGGGTTTTCCAACTTTGGGTTCCCAAATTGGGCAACAGCTTTTAGTTCATGGCCCCAGCTTTTAGTTCCAGGGCCCATAGGACAAGCCTGGCAGGCCAGGCCTGGCAACTGAACTCGCTGGCAGATATCCGACGCAGGGTCGAAGGCTGAGGTTGGGTCGCAGGGCTTGAGTTTTTGAGCTGTGATGCTTGCCTGATGGCCTGTGAGTGCTAAGTGTGTGAATCTCCGCTCGCGTTTCGCTTCCAAATGGGTTCCTTTGTTACATAGTATGGTACTTCAGCAATTTAATATACCGACATGCGAGCAGCACCCGAAACCGCAGTGTAAATGCTCAGCAAGAGCGACCTGCGCAAGCAAACACATCCACGCACGTAAGGTGGCGTAAGCTGGTGATATGTGTCGTGTAAGCCAAAATGTGTTTTGCGTAAGGTTTCGGTTGGCGGGGCTAAGCAAGGTGATGCGCACAGATCTCACAGCATGTTTAGGACATGGCTCATGTGGTCAAAAGAAGACTGCATCTGCCATGGCCCATTGCCGTCGAACATTTGTGTGTGCATCGGCGGTTTCAGTATCATTTGCCAAGGTCAAACGCCTTGGTCCCTGCTACATTGTGGCACCTAACCTATTGTATTTTGGCGGAGCTGCTTCACGGGAATCGGGTGAAGACACATTGAATGACGGGCGATTGCCGCCCGTTCAGACTCCCAATCACTCGCTGCTTTTGACGCCACGTGCCCCTCGAAGATCTTCTTGATGTTTGCCTCGCGCGTCCAAAAAGGAAGGGTGGGGGCTTTCAACTGTGGAGATACTGTGGATGGACGACATCCTGCACCACCTAAGAAACCCTGCAATGATTGCATACCCCTGCAAATACCCACCAACAATGGTTTCATCCATGGTTTCAAAGTGGTGCGAAATGGATTTCGCAATCATCCACAGTATGTTCATGGTTAAAACCAAGTTCCTGGCACAGCTGGAAACAGCATCGGTTGGAGCAGTGTGTACCTGGCAGCACAGAAGCGAGCATCAGAACGCACATCTGCAGAACCGAAGACCAGAAGCGACAGAACTGACCACAAAACCGAGCACCACGCTAGACTCACTACCTTTTTCCCTTCAGACATGTTCAGCTCAAGCGCCTTGCTTCAGCACGCTTGCGGCCGACCGCAGCTGGAAGCAGAGAACCGAGCAGAGAAGGCGCAACCAAAAGCTTTCGATCTGGCAAAATGGAGCGCCAAAAGAGGCGCAGCCTACAACCGGACAAAGCCAAGCACCCGTAGAGGCAAGCGTGAGGCAACGGCGAGTTTAACGACTCCTGCAGCTTTGACCCCGGAGGCCAACAGTGTTTGTAAAAAAAAGAGAAGAAACAACTCGGGCATGTGCTTTTTATGTGTAAATTTATGTTCACTGTTTGCTAATGATTCGCACGTCCCACAAATACCATAGGGGTTGAGGCATATTTGCGATTGCATCGGTGAGGGAAAAGACTGTGTTGGAAAGTAAACAGCCGCTCACTTTTCAGCGGTCAGCTTTACGTGCCTGCCTTCCTAAGTTGACACAGGGGACCTGTTGTTCGCAAGTCTTGCGAAGGATGTCACTCACTTCCCGAGTTCGGACTGGACTTGAAATGTTTTGGCAAGACTCTTTTAGTGGCAAATAGAAAGTCGCGGTACATATTGTTGCCCACACTACCCGCTTTGCAGTTTCAAAGGAGCTTTTCTTCAAAGCGCCGCCCGAGATTTTTGTTTGTTTCCCTGGTGCTCGTTGGGCGCCGGCGGATGGACGGACGGACACTTGGGGAGTCTTTTGGCGTGGCGACCCGGCCGCAGCCCAGAGGCGCAAGCCCGGGAACTCGAGTTAAGTGCGCCTTGAGCGGCGCGTTGTACCTGGGACCTTACTCCAAGTTCCAAGCTGTGGGGGTGCCTGGTTTAGCTCCTAAGATGCCAGATCAAGGTAGGCCCTTTTTTCAGTTTGAACTGCCCCCAGTTCAACACTAGACTGTAACATTTATATCCAGCCCACAGAGCCCGAACTGCGGAAATAAGGGTTGGCGAGGCCGCTGCTTTGCGGCAGTGCTTTGCTTTGCTTTGGTGCTTCCTCGCAGTGTCCTCGATGTGTAGCTGGTTTGACTGTACACCAAGTGGCGCAACAAGGCTACTCGGATTTTCGCACCTCAGGCCCTGGCGCTGTGTGCCTAGAGCTTCCGGGCTGCGTGCCCAGACATGTGATGTGACTGGTTCAAAGACTGCGAGGGCTGCGCACGCCCTCCCGCTCCCTGAAATGTTTGTAGCCGAGTAGCTTCATTGACCGTCATCGCAGGCGGGCAGTATCGCATTGATACTGTGGATGGACAAAAACCTGCACCACCTAAGAAACCCTGGAATGATGATTCTCCTGTAAATACCAACAAATTGTGGTTTCCCATGGTTTCAAAGTAGTGCAGGATTTCGTCCATCCACAGTACGTCCCTAGCTGGGCACGTCACGCAAATTCGTCGCCTGGCTTTCACTGGCTTGCAAAGCTCCCTGCCGTGGCGGTTTCCGCAGTTTCCGCGAGCGAGTGCAGGGCCGCACACCGCGCATTGGCCCCCCTCCCCAGAAGAGTGAGTGCCTGCCAATGTCCCAGCTGGACGCTGCCGAAGATGCCCGCAAAGATGGCTTCATACACATGGCCACGGGTCAAAATCCTGGTTACCCCCCAGTGAACATCCCAATCCCCACTAAAATAGGTTCTAAAATGGGTGGTGAATTCACCTACCTCAAAATTGGATCCCATTGGTTTTGACAACCACGGCCACATCTCGTGAAGCGCTTTCGGCAAGCGCTGTTCTATGCAACCCTTGACCCTTCTGTTTCTGTTTGATTACAAAAGAGGTGCTTTGCGCAACGGTTGCCAAAATAGACAACGCAAAGGCTTCATTTTGAACAGCCTGTTTTTGATTGTGCATGTTGCTGTGTGAGATGGAGATTGGCAAACGCTGTTTTGGCTTTAGATCCTACCGGTCAGAGCAAACACTAGGCCAAGAGAGAACATTGAATTTGGACCATTCAGGACCAAGTGGACCAAGCCACCTGGGTCGTAGGTTTGCGGCTTTGAGAAGAACAACAAGTCACTTGTTTTGTTGTGAGACCAAGGGTCAAGTAATTAGGTTACCCTTTGCTCCAAACCTGGGCCTCGAATTGCCAAAGCAGAGTCAGGGTGTCCCCATATCAGCATTGAACTAAGCTGAGAACCAGGCGCCAGAGAGGCGCCATGCCCACCTTTGCGGCTCCCGCCAGCACAGCTGCACGAGGGGCGCCCTTGCTGGCGAATGGCGAAGGAGATGGCAGGCGCCATGGGCTTGGTTTGTTGCCTCGTTGCGACGGGTGCCTCCGGTGAAACCTTTAGTCTTGTTGCAACAAGATGCAGGAGAGAGAGGGCACGCAGGGCAAGATGCACGAGAGCACCTGCGCACCTGCGTGCAATAGTGCTCGCGCATGCATGCGCAGCAGGGTGCACGAGAGCAAATGCAGCGCACGAGACGAGGTCACATGGCGAGCGCGAGCGCAGACCAAGATGCACGAGGGCACGTGCAGGCAGCTTGCAGACTGAACTGGCGCAGACTGACAGCGCACAGAACATGCACGCAGAGCTGGTGCGGAGCATCTGGCGCAGAGAGCACCCGCTTTCTGGTTTGAACGACAAGCGTCGCTGCAGCAAGAGCCAGAGCTGCAGCACCTTGCAAAAGCTGTGACCGCAGAAATGCTTGAAATCAACGCACGCTATATGTGATGCTTGCGGTGCACCCGTGGTTCTACCTTTGCCGTTTGGAGGCCGTTTCTCAGGTGTTTTTGAAGGGAAACCGTGGGAAACCTTTGCAAATTGGAGGAAGCCAAGGGAATATTCAATGTGCGGCAGGTGGAAATGCAGCGCGACCTTCCAGCGAGTCCTGGGATTGACCATCAAAGCCTCGCTGCTCTCGGCGCAGCGAGTCTTCGACATCCTTGCGCTCGTGCGCATTGTGTACAAAGTATCCCCCACCTGGCTGGCGGTTGCCACCTGGCCGTGAGATGGAGTGAACCATGCCGAGACCAAAGGGATGCCCTGTCGTGCACATGGACCATCGGACCCTCACTGGTGTCGCAGGATTGCGCCCCCGTTCCACCAAACCTGGGAGTGCAACACGTAAGCATGTTCGGAAAGGTGCGCTGCAAAATGCTGCCCAGGCCACATGAGGTTCATTTCTGATGTTCAGATCCGTTGTTTGCAAGTGAGTAAGCCATGGTTGATGGGGTATAGCGTGGAACATGATCAGCTTTGTTAGAAGGAGGGGGGCCTACGCGGTCAGAGGAAGATCCTCCCTGCCTGAGTTATTCATGGGGTTAGGCAAGAGTTTACATGCATTCACGTGTGTCATATCGATGTGTACAGATGTGTAAAGATATAGATGACTAGGTTGGCAGAACCCAAGGTCAGTGGTTTTTCTACGGTCGGCACATTTGCGGGCTGTTCCTCGGGCTCCGGGGCCCGGCGGCTTGCAACCGATCTCCGCTTTTCCGTGGAGAATCACGGGGATGGGCGCTGCGCAGAGCTCAAGTGAGTACTTAGAGCCAAACTTGAAACGAGCTCTATAAAACAACACAAGCAACATCCAATGCCAAGTTAAGAAGCCAACCACCCCCCTCCCCTAAAACAGATTTAAACCAAAACTTGACCGCTATTGGGTTAGATCGTTCGACTAAAACTTTGTGGGAAATCAAGGGGGTTTCCATCAAACCCACAAAAAGTCAAACTTCTTGCAGAGGGGTCGTTTCAGCAACCAAGACAAACGGCCGGTTGGTTTTCGGCGCCCCAAGCTGAGGTGAAGAACGGGAACTTCTGGCTGCTGGTGAGCGGCGCGTTCGCCTCCACGGTGCTCTCGGCCTTGACGCTGAGTCGGCACCGCAGCGCCATCCGTCAGAACCGGCCCTATGGGCGCCTCCGACGGCAACTGGACAGTCTGAAGTGGAGTTGGAATGCATGAAAGTGCATTTTGCCAAGGGATGTTAGGACTTTAACTCACTTTTGCCAACTAATGGGTTTTCCGTATTAAAACCACTAAAAGTTAAGCTTTTAGCAGGGGAGCAGAACGCAACCCAGGTCTGAAGTGGAGTTGGCATGCTTGAGTGGGGTTGTGTGGGGGAGTTGAGTCGGAGACTGGAGTTGTGTGGAGTGGAGTTGGAATGCTTGAGTGGGGTTGTGTTGGGGAGTGGGAGTGGGAGTGGGAGTGGAATTCGTGGAGTTGGGTGCTTCCTTTTCTTTTTTTTGGGGGGGGCGAGCGATGAAACCCAGATGTTCAATCAACAAAAAGGGGATGGCGAAACCACGAGAAGCTTGGCCCACCCGTTTGTTTGCGTTGTTTCTGAACGTGGATGGAACCGAGTTTGGCCCACCCGTTTTCTTTTTCTTTCAGGGGGGGGAGGATGGGTCTTGTAGATCTAGTTTTCTTTTTCTGGATAGAGCCCCTTGAGAATCAGCCCCTTGAGGGTGGGCTTTTTGGGTTTCGATCCCGTTCCAGCATTTGTTTGTTGGGATGGGTGTGCCTTTAACATCGTCTTTTCTGAAGATATATTAACATATATATATATAGGTGAGATGGGGAGCCCTTGAAGCCACCAGCGGACAGGTGGTAGTGAAGCAGTGTCCCCGAAAGGATGCCTTGTCAGGCTGCTTCGGATCTGAATCTTTGCAAAGCATTCTTTGGCACCCACGGTTAGGGCTCACGACTCTCACAGCTCTCCGGTTGCAGCCATAAGTCCTGCGCTGGATCCCTGATTTCAGTTTGTGGATTCTAGCAGGGGCAACCCCTTCAAAATACGGATGTTGGCTTCCATGTGTCCCTGCAAATGTGGAACTTGGCTGCAGGTCCCTGGAAGACCACTTGGTTCTTACAGCCTTCTGCTGGGAATCACATGTGGTGGGAGGGTACCGGGTAGCCATGACGATCCGTTTGGACAAAGAGAACAATAACAATCTCGCCGATTCGGGGATTGAACCGTGCCCCATGATGAAGGTCCCTTGCAGATTCCTTATTTCAGGTGTGGGGAGTGCAATTTGCCCAGCCAGATCTGTAGGTGGTATTTGGCGGTGCTGGTGTCCGCTCTTCAGCTCGCGCCACTGGTGGAGACCCGGCAGAGAAGTGCTTGGAGAGTCACAGAGTCACAACGCCTGGATTGCCTTCTGCCAAGCTGACAAAAGAAAATCCTCGGAACATGACGGTGTGTTTGGTTTCAACTTGATATGCAGAGTCTGGAATCCAAGAAGGGGGAGCCTTCTGCATTTGGGTCCCCGGTCCCCAGACGGTTTCCGTCCATTTTCCCTCCTTGGCAGTTTCCTCCTTGGCGGGAATAGCTGGCACCCCCTCTCCACAAATCACAAGACTGATAAGAGCAGCTGACAAAACTTGCCGCCTTCGCAGGAGAGACAATGGCCCTGAATGTCCCAACCAAAACATGGCCAGATTCCCATGAGCAAAGAAGCCCGGACCCTCTGGCCGTTCCCGTTGCCAGGTTGCCAAGAGAATGAGCAAAGCATTTGAAGAGTTCTAGCGTCGTGTCCAAGCACCAGTCAGAATTGGCAAAGCGAAGGCGTTTGAGGAAGCGAGACTTCGCCTCTTTCCAAATGGAAGTGTTGCCGCCTCAAGGCTTCCTGCCCACTTCCATTGAAACGAGTCGCATTCGGTCGCCCTCCCCAAACACACGCGTGAGACGCGCCTGAACCCGTCGTCCACGGCGTATCGCTTCAACTCATGGCCACACAGGTCCGGGGTTAGGGTGCCAAAAGTTTAGAGTATGGTCCAGATCTCCAGGTGTTGTTTCAGAGCCCCTGTCACATATGCAAAAAACATTAGGCACACTTGCTGCGGTTGATCAGATCCTTTGAGCAAGTTTGCCTTTAATTTTATGGGCAGATTCCGTACGCATGGTTACAAGTGGGGTGACCTCGGTTAGTTCGTAGGGACCCATGGGTACCGCCTAGAATTACTTAAAGCACGCATGGAGCATCCAGACATGCGCTTTTTTGTGATTGTTAGCATTTCTTTCCCCCTGCGAATCCTTTTATAATACTCTTTAATACGCTGCTAATCTCCTACTAGAGGTGCACCCCTGAAAAGCGTAACAACCAACAACCAACAACCAAAAACAAACAACCAACAACCAACAAAAAAACATAATAACAAACTACCAACTACCAACAACCAACTACCAACAATAATAATAACATTAAACAAAGACCGACCAAAAAACATGTTGTTTTAAGAAAAAAAATAACTGTTGAGGTGCATCTCCTTCCCGTTGGCCAGGAGATGGTCGACAAGATGGGCGACGGCTTCTGCTGGGGCGTCTCTGACGACGACTTCGTCAGCCCATTAGCTTCGGCCCGGGGGCTCAGCTGAGTCGAATGGCCGAAACCAGAAGCCTCCCTGGTGAACTGGCAGAGATATTTTCCACGGCACATCTGTTCTTTGTTTTTGCTCTCTCTTTTTTTTTTGGGGGGGGGAGGGTTGGGGTCAATTGCGACAGTAGCCAGGTTTTTGTCACCTTGTTGGTGGAGTTTTACTCGCACAGTTTGGAAGGTTTTGTGGTCTTTGTGTGCGAGTTGATCCTTTTCGGGCAAGCTCAGGTGGCTCAACTCCCTTGCTCAACTCCCTGGCTACGCCCGTGATTGTTTGGATTGGCGGTTTGGGGGTTTGAGTCCTAGGTCCTAAGTGAGGCACCCACTCTCTATCCAAACCAAACCCAGGCAAACCACCATGGCCGAGACCCAACATAGGGTGTCTTATTTGCCTCCCGAGATTTAACCATTCAGTAAAGGCCTCTGGTGATTTTCATGAAGGTGGGTTTGAAGGGAAGCCAGAAGGAAAACCACATATGAATATTCGAGGAACACATGTCCCTGGAATTTTCACTCTTCGCCAGGGTTGTGGGATCAAGGGGTTTTACCCAACTTCTGTGATACAAGAGAATCTCCCCCGTTATGTGGGGGGGTTAGTGTTAGGGAAGCCCTTATTGTTGTATCACAGAAGTGGTCATTTCCCACAGCCCTGCTTTTCACCCTGCAAAGATGGGGCGCCATGACAAGTCTTTCGTTTGGCTGACTCGTAAGGTGTTGCAACCCCGGCCTTTTCGTGCTTCGAGGTTATGAGCACGGCGGCCTCGCCGGAGCTGAGCCGCCGTCGAGCGCAGGCAACAGCGGGCACGGTCACGGATCCTTTTTTTTGGGGGGGGTCCTTCGGCTGGCCTTGCAAAGAGAGCAGTGATGTTCTTATGGCTATTTGGTAAGGATCTTTGGACTTGAACTTTTTGGTTGACATCATTTGGGTTGTCCATAGCATCCACAAAAAGTTAGGCACTTTTGCAGAGGGGTCAACAACAACCAAATGTTGGCCCCCGTTTTTGGGGAAAGGATTTCTTTATGATCCCTTGGCTGGTGTTTCAGCATTCCTTTGGGATCCTTTTGGAGGAGTTTTTTGAGCTCAAAGGAACAGTGGCGTCTCAGCATGGAGTGCTTGGTCCCTTTGTGCGTAGGATTCAACCCCTGTACCGGCTCCCAACGTCCTTACCCCTGGTATCCCCTAGTTTACTCCTGTTGTTTGTCTCAATACAGGCGCTTTCTAGCACTCATTTGTTCAAGGCCGACCTTTTGACCTGTTGGCTTTAGCAATGTTGGTCCATCTTTCATGAAGGTCCCAAGGCCGGATCTGACCTTTAGGTTATACCAGGTCGTGGCAGGCAAGAGTGATGGATCGTGTTTTGTTTGCGGATGTTTCTAGGTGGCCAAAGGGTTCAATCACCTCCCATGACGCAAAGTCACACATCTTGCCGCCCTTTCATGGAGCAAAGGCCCCATTTTTTTTTGGTGAGGGGGGGCGTCACTTTTCCCAAAGGCGGCAGAAGACTTGCATTTGGTTGATGAATCGTTGCGTTTTTTAAGCTTTGGTTTTAAAGGGCATCTATCGCTACTGGGACTATGTGTTTGTTTGCAGTAGGCTCAGCCCCAAGCACGGGTGTAGGTCGGAGATGGGTTCCCCGAATGACGTTCCGGCCTTCAGGATTTTCTGAAATGAGGCCGACCTTGGGAGTTGCGTGGGGTTCCCTGATTTCCTCACAATACTGCAGGTTAGCGTGAAACAGAACCAGTTTAGACAGAGTTCGGCCATTCCACTTGGGCAAGTTCCAGCACCCCCCAATGGCTGGCTAATTGCCGGCACATCGATTTTGGGCAAAACGATGTCACTTTATGCCTAAGTGACTGCAAAAGCAATTTGCTATCAAGTATCACTGATTTGTACTAGCTTAGTGCAAATTTGTGCAATGATACAAGTGACCTTTCAGGGTCCTTTGGAATGGGGTTGCAGGGGAAAGGCGAGCGCAGCAAATTTGAGGTTTGGAGGGCAAGTTTGAGGTTGGGAGGGGTTCTTGAGGAGCGTGTCACGGCGTGTCACGGCGTGTCGGGGGGTGGCCAATTGCCGGCACATGTACGTTGAACGGTCACTTTTTTAAGATATGAGCGTGTCACCAGCGTGTCACACCCCCTCCCACCCCGCGCGTTGCATGTGCAATGATCATAGATGCCAGCCCAACCCCTCAATTGGATCCCTCTAGTATCCTGAAGTGACGTTTCAACAAAAATTACTTTTCACTGCACTTTGAGGATGGCAAAAAAGAACTATGTGACTACAAAACTATTTTTAAGCAAGTGCTGGTCAATTGCCGGCACTCCACCCGGGACGCCAATTACCGGCCATCGGGGGGGCCTGGTTGTTTCTTTCCGTTGAATTACACTCATTTTAATCATTTTGTTGCCCGAGCACATCCACCAGTGAGATGCGGGGACTTCATGGCGTCTTTTTTTCGCGGTCGCCAAACGTCGTGGAGGAATTTGGGTTAAAAAACCACGAGATCCAAATCCCAGAGGTTGATGCAACTTGGCCATCGAACACCTCTTGGGAATGCACCAAACGGAAGTTGGGTGCGTCGTTGTTGAGGATTTGGACCGGGGCCCCAAAATGGCGAGCCGGTCTTGTCAACGGTTGGTTTCCCTTTAAGAACACACGACCCACAACGGGGTATAGCACTAGAAAAGACCAAGCCACCAATTCAAACCACCAAGAAAAACAATTCAAGCCACCCTTCAGGGGGAGATGACTTGTTTCTTTTTTGCTTTCTTTCTGGGGGATTTTTCCAGAATCACGGCAATTTTTGGGCCAGGCAGAGATCAAAGGCAGCCGTTACGGGGAGAACCTGATGCGAGGGCTCAGGAAGCTGTCCATTGCGAGCTTGCCCTTGGTGCTTCTGCCTCTCACCTGGACAAAACAAGCGGAAGGCCATGGTTGGGTGGGCACAAACGCAGGTGAGAGGCCAGTGGTGCTCCTTTTTTTCCGAGAAAGTGCGCCCTGTTTTTCCCATGGCCGCTGGGCCTTCCCAAAGGAAACCCCACTAGGGGATGAAGGTTCAAGAGCCCAGAAAGCCCTGGTTGATTGCATTGGGAGGGTTTGCGATCACCTCATTTTGCGGGGCACATGGGCCTTGTCACATGGGATCGGTTGTGCAGCCTTGTTCCTTTCGGGTATTTCAGGTTTCGCCCTTTGTGAGGGAAGCCGAGGGTTGGCGCCCGCAAAAGACATCCTCGTGCAACCATTCCATCCACCAGGCCTTCTGGGAGCAATTTTTTGATGAGCTCACCTGAAGGCTGAGGGCAAACAGGCTGGAGATCCCGTTTTTTTTTGCGGGAGATCCGCATGTTTTGTGAATCGTTTGTGGGAGAGACGAGGTTGTGGCCAACATGTTCCGGGGCTTCCATGAGCTCAAGAAGTGAGAAACCTGTTTCCCCCATGTTGCGTTTCCCCTGTTCTTGACTGCTACTGGGTTGGATCTTTATATAGACTTTAACTTTTAGGTTGAAATCAAGGTGTTTTCCACTCAGCCCCCAAAAGGTTGTTCACTTGGGGGGTCGTTGCAGCAACTAAGTGTTTTGACACATGAGCAGCTGACAAGCCCCGTCCATCATCAAGAACATGACTGGAAGGCTCAGTCGGCGGTGTTCCTTTCCAGGGCTTGGCCAACCCGAGGGTGCCCTCAAGGTCCCCCAGCCCCCAGCTAGGTGACCTCTCACCCCTTTTTTGGTTGGGAGGGTTCTCCTAGTAAAATAGACTACGGAAAAAGGGCACCATTATTCTAACCTCTCGACTGGAGGACCTAGACAAAAACACAACCCCAAGTGGAAACTATCCTTGTGATATCAGGGGTGGGATTTTCGTCACAGGTTTGCCTATAGAGATGTGTGTCTTGCTCTCGCAATCAGCTGGCATATGTGGATTTCTGCTTTGTGAACCTTTGTAAACCCTAGCCCTAACATTTAAATCGGATCAAGGAATGGACTTTAATCTTTTTGGGATGACCAAGTGGTAAGCAAAATGAAGTCAGAGTTTGTTTCTTGCCAATCCACTCAGGAAGTGAGGTGTATGAAAGGGGAAACATGGTCTACTCAACTCAGTTGCCCAAAGCGAATCGACCTTTTGACCTTTTGGTTTCTCCTTTTTGGTCTAGTTTTAGTCATGGCCCCAAAAGGTGATCACCTTGTATTTCTGGGTCCTTTGGGCAACTGAGTCAATGCTGGATTGCAGTAATGGGTCATGCTGAGGATCATGTTCCGGTTGATTTCAACTGACGCATTTGGCCAGGCTTGGGGAATCAGAGCTCTCGTAAAGCCGAGCTCACCTAGTCTTTGGTTTGCATTTTGCCAAGGGATGTTAGGACTGAATCACTTTTTGCCAACTAATGGTGTTTCCGTATTGAACCACTAAAACTTATTCACTTTTAGCAGGGGAGCAGAAAGCAGCCGAGTAGTTGTACATGTTATTATTGGTCCAAATGAAAGATGAACTAGTACATGTTTTAGTGTTTGTTGATTTTCATGAATGCCCTTGACTACAGGGGAGTCAACAAGTAAAGCCAAAGACAGAGCTACGTCGAGCGCAATCTTTGCATGTCACACGCGTCACGCGGTGAGCCCAGCGCCAAGGTCGGCCATAGTACACTCCGTCGCTTGGCTGACCTCGGGAATGGTGCGACGCAACAATCAGCTTCACCCAAATTGGTGGTTTGGATTGGTGGTTTGGTGGATTGGTGTTTTGGTGGTTGGGCAGTCAGGAGTTGCCTGAAACAAGGTGTGAGCTGGAAGTAGCCCAATGAGTCACTTTTCTTTGAAGATTTGGGGTTGTACTTCTGGAGCATGAGCCAACTGGTGGACGGAAGGTCTTGGATGGCAACCGGGGCAACGAGTGGGCGTGATCAATCCCAGAGCCTGCACCACAAACAGCCTCAAGCTAATCTTCAACACATGGGGGGGGGGTCTTTTTATTAAGAGTTCCCTTTTGTGGTGGTTTATAAGGGAAATGACATGAACATCCCTCATTTTGGCACTTCCCTATTTAGACACACCCACATATATTTGTAGCGCCGTTTCAACGCGCCATTTTCAGGGGTCAAGCACCTGCCAGCGCATCCCAGGGCCAAAACGTGTTTACAAATGAAGGGCCAACTGCTGGTGCACCCTGTGTCCCAGGGCCAAAATGACGTCTTTTTTCTCAGAGGAAACAATTTGCAGCGGGATATGTTCTCACTGTATGGTTGGGAGAATATCGGAAAGATCAATGCTTGCACACTGAATCGAACATCATTTCCTAGGTGTCCGAGACCCAGAATTTGGATGGATGAAACGAGTCGGCAAATTGAGCAGCGCTGCCCAGCACAAGAGAAACTCCCACCTCTGCATTTGTTTTTGGCGAAGTCTCGGGAGGGTTGAAAGTAAATGGCGCAATTCCCTTGATGTTGGTCAGTAGGGGGGATTCCTAAATCTGAACTTGGGGGAATTGAATGAATCAAATTCACCTAGATTCACCCAACTGTATCAGGAGTGCAGTTTTTTTTCATGGAAGCCACCAGTTTCCAAAACGGCATTGCAAAACCACGGGTTCCCACACACCAGCTGGGGTCTCCGAGTCCTGTCTTAGGCCTGGCTGTTGAGGAGCGTGCTCGGCAAGGAGGACTCGGAAACGGGACACAAAACCAAGCTGGTTTCAAAGCAGGGGAACCTAAACAATGGGTTCAGGGTTCCACTTTTGGACTACCCTTCAGTTTCCCTTTGGCCAACGAGCAAGAACCCCACAGTTTTTTGAGAAACCTCTATTTCCGTCCTTCGGCTTGGCTCAATGAGGCTTACCCCCTTCAGGGATTTGGAGCGTCACGTGACCCCTGCAACAGAATTTCCCCAGCCATTGTTTTTGAATTTACTCGCTACCCCAGCCAACAAGTACTGAGTCACTCATTGCTAAGCTGAGCTCGCCTCTTGTTTCGGCCCGTTGGTTTTTCCAAGTTTGGCCCGGTCGAGGCGTGTACGTGGCGTTCAGCTGTTTAACCTCAGGAAAACAAGGACAATTTTACGACCCTCTAGTTTTGTCCAAGCGAGGGGTCAACAGGCAACCCCCACGCCAGGCAACCACATGCGAATCATTCGGCAGATCTTTTGTCACAGTGAATTCGGATGCACTCCTGGGACTTCTGAATGTGCATGATGCCGATTCTAAAATCTGGAGAAAACAAAGCCGGGCCCTTCCCACCTCTCCACCGCCTTTTTTTCCCCGCGCGGAAACGCTTTTTCGCGCGCGCACGAAAGCCACCAAGCTCCGCGGGAGGCCTTCGACGGCAGCTGCGTGCAGGAGGCGGTGGCGCTTGGGGTGGGCATCATTTGCCTGGCCATGGCCTGTGCGGAGACCTGGGCTGAAAAAATGGCCAGGAGAGAGGCAGGGGAGAGGCCTCGGGGCCTCTTGGTCGAGCCGCTTCCCCTTTTTTGCGGGTGTCTCCACACTTTCTGGTCCTCTTGTCGCAGGGCCTCCCCAAAGTTTTGGTTGAGCCGGTGTTTTTCCCCCCTTGTTCGGGGGGTTTCTCCACAAGTGGCGGCGGTTTCGAGGGAAACCAGTAAATTGATCGACTTTCGAAGGGGAAATCCAGCGACCATAGTGACCCCTGTTCCATTTTACATTCAACTGCTTCCGGTTGGTAAAGAATATTTGTTATTTTTTCCTGCTGGATTTCGACCCCCATTAAAGGAATGGTTGACCCAATTAGGAAGATCAATATCCCTCGGTAAACAATGGTGGTTATATGAAGCCCCTTTGATTAAATGGTGGTTTGAACCCCAGGGCACAGACAGTTTGACACATGAAGGAGGGACAAATTTGGACTCGTATCCTTCTGGTGATAATGTTCTATGCTGGTTCTACTAAGCTTTCTTTAGTTTCTGTGGGGTGAGGGTTTTGTTTGTTTTCCTCTTTGTCAGCAAACATGGAAGTGAACACGAAGTAGGCATGATAGGCCGGAGGCCCTCACATTGGCTGGCCTTTGGATAATTTTTGTTTGGCGATTGGCTGGCCATTTTGCGAAGCACTGAGCCAGTTCAGCATCTCAAGGGCCTAACTGCCCTAACACATAGTTCGCTTCTAAATGTGGTTGAAAAGACCCCCCCCAACACAACTCGTGGGCGAAGTGGGCGAAGTGGGATTCGCCCGGCATATTTGTTCGCCATGGTTAGAACCTTCCGTGGGATGAACCTCTCAGGATGTGGTGCTCTATGTTTGGGTTGACGACGCCTTCGTGCGCACCCACAAGAAGTTGGTGCAGGTGCACTACTTCTTAGAGCTCCTCACCAGGCCCTTGGGGATTGGGAGTCAACGACCGGTTCCCAGTTGGTTGCTTCCTTTTTCCAACTTGTTTTATGGAAGGGACTTCCCTTTAAAACAAAGCATCGAGTTCCAACTCCGTGACTGAGATTGGGGAACGTGCCGTGTCAAGAGAATCATTCCTTCAAACCGCCCCTTCCAATTTACAACTCAACTCGACTCCATGGTTGGCCCATGTTGGCCCGCTCGAAGGACACGGCCCTCCCCCCGCTCAATTTGCATTGGCACCCCTCCCCCCCACCAAAAAGAGGAGGAGGAAGAGACAACATCATGCCAGGGGCCCATTTTCTGTGAGAACCCCCGCAGACGCCCCCCCTCCCCATTTTGTCTGGGGTCTGTTGCTTGATTTTGATCGAGCTCAGCTCGATTCGGATTTCCGTCTTCGGACTCGGAGTTCGGAGGCTCCCGTTGTGCCTGCTGCTGCACGTGTCCTTCATGCTGCAGCCTTCGGCCATGCAGCCCATCGTCTTCCTCTGGGCCGGCGATTGCGTCTTGGAGCTTCGGGGCTTCGGGGCTTTGGGGGCCGGGGAGAGCGCAAGAAAGGTCCAGCCAGCTGCCCGTTTTAACCCGTTTCTTTTTTGGTTGGGAGGGTTCCCCTACTTTAAAATAGGCCACGGAAAAAGGGCACCCTTATTCTAACCTCAAACTACTGGAGGACCTAGACAAAAACACAACCCCAAGTGGAAAAACTATCCTTGTGGGATGTTCGTCACAGGTTTGCGTATAGAGATCCCCAAAGCTTTGGGTCGCCAGCTGGGCCCTCCCCAATTGAAGGGAGGACCAGGGCTCCGGGAAGTTTTATTTTCCTCTCACTTCCTGAGTTCCGTTTCGGAGTTGAGTCACTTTTTGGGACCAGTTTGGTGGTGAATTCTGCAAATAGAGCAAAGATATTGAAACCTGGGCTCAGAAATGATAAATGATGTTGCAGCTTAAGGTTCCCAAACTTGCGACCAGAATCGAACACCTCATCCCCACGTCTACCACGACAAAGTGTGCTGTGCCAGACCCTTTAATTGGTACCCTTCCCGTTGGGCTTGTAAAGATGCTAGGGTTCAAATCCCCAAGCCACCAATCCAAGCCACCAACCGAGGAAACTTCTTTGCAAGGTGTTTTTCTCAAACGAAGCAAATGTTGGAGCAGCTCCACAGGGATGGGAAGCTTCGCCCCACATGCAAGCAGATGCTGAGGCTAAGCTTTGCAGCTCCAAAGGGGCTACGACTTGCAGTCGAGTTGGCCCAAACCCAGAGCTCAAGCACACCGTCTGTTGGTATCAGGCACCTTTAGTCACCAGACATTCACAATGACCGCAGTCGCTTTCTGCTTCTGAAAGCATGTTTTTGTTATAAAAAAAAAGACTCAACACATGGAGTTTGCTCAATGTGTCAGTTGCAACCGTTCAATACTCCTATTCCTCTGATCATGGTTCCCTGATTAGGAAGCGTTATTATTATCTTTAAAGATCCTTCCCAGGTGGATGATGTTTGTTAACCCCAAGTACAGGGGTCTTTGTCTTTGACCATGGCACATGCGGGACATGGATCGTCTGGATGGTGCAAAAAGTTGAGCTGAGTTGCTGTGGGAAGCTGATGGTAGAACAACTATCCCAAGAAACCATCCCCCTGGGTTCCTTCCCGAAACCCTGGTTCATTCCCTACCTATCGCACCAGCAAGTAAACCACCTTGGGGAAAGCAGAGTTGGGGACGAGCCATTCAAAGGACCGAGCCCTGAATTGCTGCGGAGAACTGATGGTGCAAGAACTTACTAGGTGGATGCCTGAAAAACTACCCAAGTAAATCCACCGGTTGTTTGAATGCAGGAACTTTAAGGGACATGGTACAACAGCCAGGTGGACGCCTGAAAAACTACCCAAGTAAATCCACCGGTTGTTTGAATGGGAGGAACTTTAAGGAACATGGTACAACATCCAGGTGGATGCCTGAAAAACTACCCAAGTAAATCCACCGGTTGTTTGAATGGGAGGAACCTTAAGGAACGGGCAAGCCATGAGTCATTGAGGCTTGGCCTCGGTGCTGCTGCTGTTGTCCCCAACCTTGGGGGGCTGGCGTCGGCGCATGTCCTGCCGCCACGGCGCCAGCCAGGCCATCGGAGGGCCATCGGATCGATCCGCGTCGGCGTCGGCCAACGGGGAAAAAAAAAACCGGGGAGGGGTGGCATCCAAATGAAGCACGCCGTAAATATGCGCCGGCTGGGGCTGATAGCCAATGTTATGGGTTAGTATGTGTTACTATGGGCTATGTTGGGTTTATTGTGGGTTATGATGGGTGTTTAATGGTTTGGGTCAACTTATGCTTGTTTTATTTGCCCGGTTTTGAGGGACGGGCTGCCAATGAGGGGGAATTTGTTCTCCAATACCACGAGGCAAGCAAACCAGCATGCCCTTGCGGCTGGGCGCACCAGTGAGTCAGCGCAAGTGGGAGGTTTCCATGCACTAGCCAGTTATTGTGGGTTATACTGAGGCCTATATGAGGCCTGTATGAACTTCTTACTAGAACAAAAAGTCAATGGGTTTCGGGCGTTGATCCTTAACACGAGTGACTGGCATGTACTGGGGGAATTGTGCAATCTACTTGGGCTTCCTCTAAGGTCTGTCTTTGAGGACCTTTGGATTCTGCTTTGGAAAGTGCCCAACGAGTGCTACTTAGGGCTCCGTTGTGCAAATTTCGGACTCCCACCGAGCAACTTAGAAGGTGAGTGGGGATTCTAACAACGGTAACAGCCCCATTATTTTGCCTTTATCAGTGGTATGTTGAAGGGAAACCACCAACCAGTATCTGACCAGACACAATGAACATAGTATGACCCCAGTACCATGATTGTACCTGGGGCACTTGTTCTTTTGCAAATGTCTTGACATGCTTTTCAGTGGCTTGAAGAACCTCTCGAGGGCGTTTTTCTTCTCGCGCCCGGCCAGCGAGCTGGCCGCTGTTTCCTTGAAGTCGCCGGGGTTGGATTCCTTGACCCACATCTGCTCTTTGTTTAACCCTCCCAGCCTTTTCACAAAGAAAATCTGACGTTCGGGGGTCCCTTTAAAATGGCCCCTTGAATTGGTGGGAGGGCCCAAGGCATCCGCCTCCAATGGTCCTAAGCCAGATTTTGGCACAAAAGCCTTAAGGGTACCACAAAAACGCGGAAACACGCGGAGGCCTGGAAAAGACAAACAAACAGAAGCATTGGGAAGAAGGAGATATTGGTACCAAGCCCGAGCATTTGCGGGTAGAAGCCATTGGGGGGGAAGCTCGAGGATGCTTTGTCTTGGTGGCGATAGGTAGGGAATGAGTCAGAAGAGGGAATGCACCTGGGGGGGCCCTTAAAGGAAACCACAAAGAATGGTTTGTAAGGGTACTGCTGGGCAACGGAACTTTAGACTCTAACTTTTTGGTTGAAGTCAAGTTTGGATTTTCCGTACCAAACCCACGAAAAGTGAATATCCGGATGGCCAGATTCTTTCAATGCAAAGCCTGAAGCCAGGCTCTTGGCTTGGTCTCTACCCCCAGTTGAGTCAAAGGCAAGTTAGACTCTTCCAGTATGCAAGTGATTCACTTTGTGCAACTGGAGGATTCATTAGCCAAGCTGAAGAGAGCACGCAGTGATTGCCAGGTGGCCAGCGCGGTCACCATGTCTCAGATCCTTTTCTTCGTGAACATCACCTTTTTCGACCCCCGAGAAGCCTTCCAAGTGGTGAACGCCGGGTTTTACATTGCGCCTCGGAAAACGGGGATTGGCGGGATTGGGGGTGGCACTTTGTCTGCCTATTTTATAGCGAACTCTCCTAGACCGAGCTCATGATGTAGGTCCTTGACCTAGACATGCCGTATTTGGCTCGAAAGCAGTGGTCAGGTTGAAGCAGTGTCCGAGCTGCAAGGCCCCAGCTGCAAAACTATGAGGAGCAAGGCGTGTCGATGCAACCAGATGACTGGTAGGGAGGTGAATGGGAGGTGACGCATTGATGACCGGAGAGAGGCGGCATATTTATTTGGGTTCTGGCGTTTTTGCGTCCTGGGCGTCGGCGTGGGTTGTGGCTTGGCCATGTCGCATGCTTTTGATGCCAGCGGCATCATGGTGGCCTTGGTGGTGCTGTGGCTTCCGTTCTCTGTGGTTGTGGGGCCTTATCTTCTGCTTGCTCTTCAACGACAAGGCAGGTGATGCTTGTTGATTGTTCGTGGCTTGGCCGTGGCTCCTGACAAAATGGCTCGAAGGCAACTTCATCCGGACCTTGATTCGTGCGGCATCCTTGAGGCACTGAGCACTCACCAACCAGGCCGCAGCACAATTTGCATGGCCTGGAAAGTAGTCCCCATGGGATGGTGGAGGGGCGCTGAGTGATTTCGGTGCCGGTTTTCTCTTCCGGGTTCACGCCATTGAAGGGCTCCTCGCCTGAAGTCCTTCAACACCCGAGCTGCAAGATTTGCGGGGCTCCTGTTGGTGCACTGTTCTTTATGGTGAAAGAAAACCATCGGGATGTAGGTGGCGGTGGATGGTGAATGTTGAAAAGGCGGTCCGAAACGGCACCAGCCTCGAAGTGTACTTCTTTAATGGCAGAACTGGCTTAGGAAAAGTCAAAGACTTCACGGCTGGAGCAGAGCACAAACGAAGAGAGAAGATCTTCAACAAAAAAGCTGACTTCGAGAAGTCAACAAAAGTGTCCTTGCTCTTGATGTTTGCCTCAAGCATCTCTCCAAGATGTTCAGACTCATCATCCCCGTCGCGAGAGGTCTATGGCCCCTTCCTTGCATGGCTTCCTGAGGATGAACGTCAAATCCTTCAAGAGTCTGAGGGGCGAAAGAGGAAGTCGCAAAAGGCGGAGGTAGCTTGGCGAGAGAGACACGGCTATTCCATTCAAAACAAGTCTGTGAACTTGGCGCTCCATCGGCCCAGGCGACAGGCCTAGCACACAAAGGACAATCAACACTTGAGGCATGTTTCTTTTACTCATTCACTTGATGTGTGCCAGTATGCTTGTACCTCACATATATCTTTACTGATATGTCCCTCAGCTCAGCTAAGTTCACGTTTGTTTCGTACAAACACGCAGGTGTTGCCATCAAAGGTCCTTGCCAGAAGGCAAGATGCATCAAAATGCCAGAAACCTTTGGCAGCGTCACAAAGCACTGCCTGAAAACATTGGGCAGCACCACCAGGACAAAAACATGACTAAAACATGGCGTGTCGGGGTGGCTCCTTTTGGACCAGATGTGACGCCGGGATGGATCGATTACCTGGTGTTTTCCGACGTGTGTGGTGAAGCTTCATCTTTCAGCACCAAAGCTTATCTTTCGTCCGCTTCTTTAAAAACGAGGAAAAGAGGGTGGTCTTCTTTGTTTGCAAGAAGGGCACCACTGATGGTGTCATTTGTCGAACCTTGGGTGTGTCAAAAGGCCCTTTGCCTCTCAGGTGAAGTACCTCGAAGCCTTCGTCATCTGCAAGATCCTGCAGTGGCACGGTATCCTCGAGCCTTTTTTCCAGCACTTCTGCGATTCTCGGAGGCAGTGAGACAACTGGTCGTTGCGAAATCCGCTTCCGTTTCGCGACCCCCCAGAAACCATGACAAAATAATTATTCCAGGGGTTCTTAGGTGGTGCGAAGTGGATTTCTTTTATCCACAGGTGGCGCCAGGCTGACTCGGCGTGCTTCTTTCAGGCAGGCGTGAGGGTATGGATGATCAATCATGTGGCGCGGCAAGTCAGTGACTCAGCATCATGGTTCCAGAACTGGCCTTATTCGCGTACAGCCCACCTGGATCGCCAGTTGCTGGTTTTTTCCATGCACTTTTTACCCCAAAAACCAGCAACAGTGACTGAAAAAGCAGCAACTTGACTATCTAGGCATGGGCCACTTTTAGTGAATGCGGCTTTATGGAGCAAGAGATGCGGTGGGGCTTCTTGGCTGAGCTGTATTTGTCTACAGCCCTGTTGCTGCTACTGCGCTGGAACCTGCGTTCCTGCAAGTCGACACGGGACCCAAAGACACACGTTGCTAGCTGCGTCTAGAGGAAGCCCTGAACAACCTTCTTTTTGTTTGATCATGTTCACCAGTTGTCCAGACGAGACAAGAGTTTGCCGGCCTCTACGGGTGCGCGCAATCTTTCGAGCGGCAACACTTCCAAATAAGACACGCCAAGACACGTCTCTAAACGATGAGGAGTGCAAATTACTGTTTGGTTGTCTGAATTCTTTGTTTGGATTACATAGCTGGATTCTAAATTCAGAAGCAACAATTTTGTTAAAACCATTTCTAAAGAGATGTTTGTAGATCGGGTGTGTAACTTCATGTGGACATCTCTTGAACACCAAAACATGCAGAACTTAGAATACCGAACAGTCATTTTCACTGCTCATCGTTTAGACACGTGCCTCGGCGTTCCCTAATTGGATGTTGCCGCTCGAAAGGTTGCACGCACCGCGGAGGCCGGCAAACTCTTGTCTCGTCTGGACAACTGGTGAACATGATCAAACAAAAAGAAGGTTGTTCAGGGCTTCCACTAGACGCAGCTAACAACGTGTCTTTGGGAAATATAGCCAGACCTCCAGTGGGCCCCATGTTCTTTTTGTAGAAGGGGTTCCCGAAAAGACCACGACCTTGGGCACTAGGGGTCTGGGGTACCTCCATTTGCATCAGAATACTTTTGTTTGTTTTCCCTTGTTGGTCCTAAAAAGAAATCCAGCACTACATGGAAGTATTTTTGATTTTTCCCTGGGGCCTTTCCTGGTTTAAGTCCCAACCCTTCGCCCGGCAACGGCTCGCTTTTCGACCGCGGAGACTCCGATCTCAGGAAGCGCAGCTGGCGGCGGTGCTGCTGAACGCCTTCCTGGTGTGGGTGGTGGTCCCAAAGCTGCGCACGCTGCAGGCTCGGCGCTTCCATGAGCGAGCTCACCGAGTCGGGGGGAATGTTGACCCAGGATAATAAACCCGTCCCATTATTAGAGGGGCGTTCCCTCCAACAGTGATGAATCCCCACTAAAAGGGAGCGGGCACCCCCCTATTAATCAACCAGGAGTTTATTAATCCGGGGTGAGCATTAGAGCGAGCTCACCTTGATAAAGGTCGTTTACTGGAAGATCCCCTAATTCAGCTTTTGGCATTTTGGTAAGAACTGGGCAAAAACAAATCCACCTAGGGGTTGATCAAAAGGCCCTGCAACCTTGGAATGGCACAATGGAGAAAACGAAAATCGATATTTCAACCACGCAATAGGAAGAGCTCTGGTCATTTGGGGGCCGAAGGGAATATTGATACCCCCACCTAAGCATCAGTAGGGACCCTCCACGGGCAAAACAAACCTCCATTCAATGCAATGGTTTTGAACCTCCAACACAGGAGTTTTGTGGGCCGGCTCGGTGCTTACGGTTGTTGTTGTTTTAATGAGGGCACCATTATTCAGATTGGTTGAAAGTGAAACCAAAGATGACGTTCTTATTTTTTGGTGACCCGGGTGTGCCAATGTTGAGGGTTTGCTTTTTTGAGGGGGTCCTCTATTTTTTGGTGTTTGACAGGGACGCGAAGGGGGGGGCGGGGCAAATCCGTTTCTTTTTCCCCCCCCCCCCTTTTTTCCGAGTAAAAGGTTGACATGGCTCTACCAGCATGGTTTAGGTTGGTATGGGATGGGCGTGCATTTTTGGAGCTGGATTTGGTAGACTTTTTGAGCAAGGGAAACCAAATGGAGACGATTCTTTGGGGAGTCCGAATCTTTTTGCGTTGGAAGCAATCTTCTATGCTTTCCTGTAAGAGAAACCCTAGGTTCGATCCAAAACCCTGGGTCATGCCCTACTGAGCACCGCGAAGCGTGTAATGCGCGAGCGAACCGCTGGGATCAATTCACTATGATTGGCGACAGAAGCCAAGGTTGCTGATAAACCCGTTCCCAAAATTATGATCAACTTATATGGGAAGAAACTGGTTAAGTGGTTGCCTGTGGTTTCCATTTGTGCTACCAGTGGGACGTACTCCACCTGACCTTAAGACGCTCGCTTCTGCTTGAAAAGTACGTATAGGTTGCAAGCATGGCTACAAGGCAACTAAACCTGTTGCTCCAGTTGCCACGGCCAACACTACTCACAAAGTCGGTTGAACATCCAAATTATCAGCTTTTGAATCAACGCCCCGTCCTTGCAAGGGTTCGGAGCATCGGCAGGTCAATGGTGCCACAGCCACAGCCACTTGGAGCAAAAGTTTCGCTGCGCCCGGCTGTCATCTTGACCTTGAATCTGTTTGTTTGCTTTGTGTGTTTTTGTGTGCTTGAATTGCGTGCCTGCCTGCCACCTGCTGCTTGCGTGCCTGCCTGCTTGCTTGCTTTCTTGCTTGTTTGCTTGCTTGCTTGCTTGCTATTGTTGTTGTCGTGGTTTTGTTGTTTAGGAGCGCAATGTTGCCTTTGTTGTTTATCGTTCGCTGTGCATTGTTCGTTTCAGTGCTGGCTTTCTTGGATGCTTGCCTGCTTGCTTGCTTGCTTGCTTGCTTGCTTGATTGTGAAGTTTACATGCGTACGATGTGTGTTTCTTTCTTTGGGGTTCTTTGTGTTTATTTGTGTCTATTTTTGTTTATCCCCGTTGCTCTTTATTTCGTTATTTATTGTTTGGTTTATTATGTGTTTTAGTGTTATCAGTTATGTATGCATTTGTGTATTTCTGTATGTCGATATTTATTCATGTCTTTACTTTTTGATTTTTCCATGTTTGATCATGTTTGTTTAATTTAACTCGGTATTCATTTTTGATTGATATGCTTTTGCGTGTTGTTGTTCGTTCCTTCTGTCCTTTGTATTGATTGTTGTTCTTTTTGATTAGTCATGTATGTCTTGTTTTGTTTGTTTGTTTGTTTGTTTGTTTGTTTGTTTGTTTGTTTTATTTCTTGCTTGCGAGCTAGTTTGTTTGCTTCGTTTTTTTGGTTTTTCTGTTTCTTATTTTCTTTGTGTCTGAGTTTTCACCTGTTTGTTTGCTTGGTTTCTTGCTTGCTTGTTTGTTGTTTTGTTGGTCTGTGCATTTCTCGGTTTGTTGGCTTCTGATTGGGGTGTGTATGTGAGGTGGGGCGGGACCTTTGGTTGCGTGGTTGCGTGCTGTGTTTTTCTTGCCTCGCTTTGCATCCGATACCCCTGGAGGCTTTGCTTATGCATTGTGAATCAAACCAGTGCATGCTCGTGCTGGTGGCATAAGTTAGCTCAAACTCACGACTTGGCCATTGGCTGTGATGCCTGATGATGCATAGCAGCAGGTTGCTCACTGGTCATCACTCCGAAAGGAGCCCACTGCTCCCCATGGCTTGTTGTTTGTTTGCTTCTCAGTATGGAAAGCAGGAATGGCTCTGTACAAATCACTTGCCGTGTTCATTTCTAGCATGTTCGGAGGGTTAGATGCCCAAGCTCTCTGCTAAGAAGCGTTTGTTTTGAGGATTCTCTGAATCTCTTGCCTTTCTAGGGAAGCCGAGCGAATCCAGCCCCCCTTCTTCTGGGAGGAATCTCCGAAAGTCATGACGCCCGTCTGAAAGAGGACACCCCCTATTCATCAACCAGGGATTTGTTAATCCGGGATTCGCAGTGAGGTTCACTCAATTTGGTTCATCCTCACAATCATGTTTGGTTGGGACAAAACCTGAAATATTTGCCGGCAAGGTCGCCGCTCGCGTCGGTCAGTGGATTTTCAGGGGAGTTGTGGCTCTCAACTATTAACCCTTCAACGCCTTGTCAAGGGTTTATCCTTGGCTTGTCCTTGGCTTATCCTTGACTTGTCATTTGCTCATCCTTGGCTCATCCTTGACTTATCCGTGGCTTCTCTGTGGCTGATCCTTGGCTTATCCTTTGCTTTTTTCTTGGTTTATCCTTGACTTATCCTTGGCTCATCCTTGGCTCATCCTTGGCTCATCCTTGACTTATCCAGGGGTAGTTTCCGCCAACTCAGCCCCACCCAGTTGGAGCTTCGGCTTGCGTCAGGATATGCCGCGGCTGTCGCGTCTGCTGCCGCGGGCGGAGGACGAAGAAGCCCCGCGGTCCCGCAGCCAGGTCTTCGGAGCCCCCGAGGCACAGACGCGCGCAGCTTTGGGGTTTCCCTTGGATTCGGATGCCCCGGGGCTGTCGTGACCCCCTTCATCTCCCTTTCAAGCATCCCTATATGATATATATATATATATATGTGTGTGTGTCGTGGTTCTGCTTCTTGCTGCAGTGGTTTTCTTTTTGGGCGTCCCTCTTGGATTCCTTGGCGGTTCCATTTTTGTTTCCCTTTCAGGGTTTCATGCGTGGTGGTTTTCCTAGTGGGATTATAGATGGCACCCCGGACATCCCTGGGAGCCCATCCCGGAGCGGGACCTGCCCCCGATTCATGCGATGGGTTGGGTATTCGGTGACCACACTCTCGCTTTAAATCCCTCCCCAAAAGATCGGCGATGGAGTTTGCAAAAGAGAATTTGTGTTTAGCGAAAGATCCGCGTTGGGGGTTTTAGCATGACCTGTTTGGCATGTAGGTGAATTGCCCCTGGTAGGGGTGATGCTTCAGATGAATTAGGAAGACCTTGCTCAGAGGCGCCTTGGGTTCCCTTCTTTTTTAAGGATTTCCTGCTACGTAGTCACGTAGTCAACACAAGCATATTTGCCTTGCTTTCTTGGATCACTGGACCACTGGGTTGAGGCGGTGGTATGTCAGGGAATGAGGCTCCATGTTTGAGGAGCTTGGTTTTCAAGGGCGGGAGAGGGAAATCGCCTTTTGTAGGTAGGGTGGCACTGCGTTCGGAGACAAGACTCTTTGGTCCTAATATATAGGTGTTTATTTTAGTATATATTGTTTTGAGTAAATACAAAAATGGCTGCACATGCTGTATGTAAGTGTATATATATATATTATACATATGAATACGTACAAGCATATCATGCAAGTATGCGTTTCCTGTTTGTATATTCACATTGCAATAGGCAAATGTATTGAATCCTGCAGCCAGGGTAGACCCAACAATCCTGGAACCCACGACAGGGCTTAGAAGCGACTGGCAAACGGTTTTCCTTTCTGACAAATCAACAGAATTTGTGTAAACCACCAGGGCATGGCCTCCTTCAAAGGAAAACGCAGTGCACCATGACTACGCGCTTTCCAACAATGGAAGGTGGCGTTTTAAGGTGTTTTAAGGAGGACAGTCCACCCTCCGATCGTCAGCTTCCATTGGCAAGAGCGAGGGGTTGGTCCAAACCTGGTTCCCCCGCAGTTCGCGGATGTCTACACTTTTGGGGCTGGCTCAACCCTGTTCCAGGATGTCCTCAAAATGTCCCTCTACATGGTTTATAGGGAAAAGGAGCACCAAATGTAAATTTGACACTCCCTCAAAATGCCTAAACCGCCACTTCAGGCCCAGTCTTCTCAGGAGCTGCGAACCACTCTCCCTACATTTTTCAAGGCCCCACTCGTGGACTCGTGGGGCCAGTTTGGAGTCCCGTGGATCCAAACACTTTGGGTGATGTTCAGGGAGAAGCAGTGGAAACCCTAAAAGCGGGGAGTTTCTCAAAGTTCACCCCTTTGGCACCCAAAGTAAACCCTTGCCATTTCTGGGACTAGTTCAAGAAACCATTTGGGAACATCACCAAGCCTTGGCAGGTACTCACTTCCTGAGTTCATGAACTTTAAACTTTTCGGAAAGACCATTTTAGTGGTAAATATAAAGCTTGGACTTTTTTTGGGCCATCCACTCAGCCAGTGAGGGTAGTTTCCACAGCCTAGTTCATTCTTTAAGGGGGAGCCACCACCCCCACCCCCACCCCACCCTTTCTAAGCCAGGGTCCCAAAAGTTGGTATTCCCCAGGTGCCGAGCAAGTAAGTAGCCCTTGGAACCGAAAACGCCCCATGCCGTTTCCGCTTCGTTTTCGTCTCTCCAAGGTTGTACCACCAGACCCCTGGGACTACCCCTCAAGGACAAGCCAAAAATCAGAGGTAAGGGAGAAATACACCCCTTATTTAAGCTCAACTGTCATATTTATTACCCCATCCTTAACTTCTTAGACCCCACAGACCCCAGACAAACCCCAGTTAAATATCAGACAAACCCCATATAACCCCCCCCCAAAAAAAAAAAAAAAACTCATATATAAACCCCGGAGGTTTGGTCTGTTCTGCAGGCCTTGGAGCTCAGCACGGTGGGCTCGCCGCAGAACGTGTGGCGCCACTGGCGCGGCGGCCCCAGCCGCGCGGAGAGCGCGCGCCTGGACCTCCTGGGCGCGGCTCGAATGCACCGAATGCACCGAAGCCGTGGGCCCGGGACCTCTTTTGGCAGTTCTAAAGGGAAACAGCTTTCAGATTTCTATACTTACCTCTTAAAAACACAACTTTTCAACGGGGGGTAACATGGGCTATATGTCTGTAAAAGATTAACTTCCCCAGGGCTTGGAGTTTTAAGGGGTAAGTAAAGACAACCCGCATTTGTCAATCACTATTTGGGTATGTGTCGAAACAGGGGGGACCCCAACACATGTTGTTTTCCATTTCTATGGGTTCCTGAGCTAGGTGCCCTTTTAACCCCCTTTTTTTTGAGGGGGTTCCTACAAAAATAGACTACAGAAAAAAAGGTAGCAGTCTAGCCTCTCTACTCAAGGACCCAGGTGGTTTTAAGGGGGACCACTCACTCCCTGAGTTCATGTTGACTTGATGGTCACTCTTTGGGTTGGCAATATTTTAGCGGCAAACAAAAAGTTCAGACTTTTTGGGGCCACTCCACTCAGGACGTGAGGGTAACCGAGAGAGAGGCCCTGCGCCAAAATTCAAGCCACCAGGATATGGCCGCAGGTGTTGAGTCCTTGTGTCGATTTACAAGGGTATGTTAGGTACCCTTAAGCGAATCGACCGGATTTGTCCTTTTGGCTTTTCAAAGTTGGTACATTGTTCTCAAAGTTCGGAAAGGTGATCACCTTCTATTTCCAGGTCCCATTCGCGCAGGTAGGAGGCAGAGGGACTGCTAGGTTCCTACCATGGGTGTGTCTCAAGATAGGGGCCCCCCAACGAAAAAAGAGGAGATGGTTGATCCATTGGCTTCTGGTTAAAACCACAACAAAGGATGCCATCAAAATAGACACACCTATATTTGAGGAGTTGGCCCCCTTGGATGTTATTCCAATGTCAGACGGGTATATCGTAAGCGGACGGATCCCCTTGACCGCATTCTGGCATGTTTTTCCCCAACAGCTGAAAGCTTTGGTGTCTCAGCCCAGATAGGCTCTGGGGCGGTCCGGGGCGGCCCTGAGGTAAAGTTCCACAAGGGTTCCACCAGTTCACCAGAGTTCCACGAGGGTTCCACGAGGGTTCCACAGGGTTCGCGAGGGCTGCGGGGTGGTGCGAGCACTAAAAAAGAGCACCGCATGCTGAAGGGGATATCACCTGAGCTTTTTTTCCATGGCTGCAAGCTCAAGTAGCTGGATGAGGTTCTGTTTGTTCCCCCTTACACGGCGGTCCAAGCGTCATCTTCTGGGTGTGGCGTTTTCCGGGGTTACCTAAGGCTTCTATTGTTTGTTGCTTGGTTTCTTTCATGGCGTGACGGTTTCACAAGGAGTTAGTGCTTTCCTTTGGGTGCGTTGCCCGTATTTGCTGAGTTACCGAGTTACCACAAAAAGAACAAAACCAACCGGGGATGAGTCATGTTGCTCTTTGGCGGACCCCGTATTTACCGTCCAGTCCTGCTGAAAGCCGAGGACATGCTGGAGGGCCTGTGCTTGCTCAGCCAGGCCCACAGTGAGCGCAACCGCCCGGCTGTGGCGCGCAGCACCGTGGCCGACGTCTTGTGGTCTCTGGTCCTGCCCTGGGATGGTGACTACGAGGAGCTGCAGGGGAACTGGGCCTTGGGTGTACAGGGCGCAATCAAACCCCAGGTAAAGATGAAGGTTAGTAAGGGATGATCCCAACCAGAAATGTTGTGCAGCCGCCTTTTGTAATTCTTTACATGGTTCTCGGCAGACCATTTTGATGCCGGGTGTTTATTGTGGCTCGCTTGGGTCTTTGTCGCATGGGAACAAATCAGGAGATCTGGCGGTGCTCCCGGCAAGCCGACTGGGCCATCAGGAAAATCAGATTGGCGGAATGCCCCAAACGGACTGCGCGATGTGTGGGCCGACGTGGCCGATTGGAGAACCTTCAGAAAAAACTGTGCACACGAAGAAATAGGGGAAACGAGTCGAAATGTTCATGTTTCTAATTGGTGCCATGTTGTGAGTTTGTAATTGCCGTTAAGGGAACCTAAAGGAAACCGTTTTCAGAGGTGTGTGGTGGCAGCGTTTTCGCCCACCATTGCTTTGAGCCTGGCTAAGTTCTTTCGGCCCCGCTCAATCGAGAGGATCGGACCCTTGATTTGACACCAGCGAGGTTCCAAGGAAAATCAAGCGATCCACTTGTATTAGTCTAGGAATCTTTGAGTTGTTGTGTTTGCCATTCTCGGTTTTGGGCAAGCTGTGAACTCCCGAGCAGCTGAAAACTTAATTAGGAGTCTCTACCCGGGATGCTTGGGTCAGTTGCAGCGACATCATCCTCGCTACCTAAGCATGCAACCACTCCGGGGCCCAGTATCTGACATGGTTACAGCCCTACCCCCCGCCCAAACCCAATGTCACCGATCCCAATGGGGGAGTTAGGGCGTTATGGGGAGGGGCTATCCCAATTACCCCCTAAAAAGACCTTATTAAGGCCTTATCATTGACTTCTCCCGGGCTCATCCATATAAAACCCCATAGCCCCCCCCCCATAGGTCCCCCTAGGCATCCCACCAGATCCAGCGGGCCCATCCAGCGCGCTTCGCGCGCCTCGCGCGCCCACTTCGCGAGGATGGGTTGGGTGGCAAGGTGGCGCTGGAGGTCATCGACTCCGAGAAGGGTACGGTGCTGGTCCGCTGGACCAAGGCCCACGCCGAGGCGCGCGAGGGGCGCGAGGCGTTCGTTGAGGCGGTTAGGTCCGAGCGCGTGGCTCTTTTGGCACGAGGCGGAGGTTGCCCCGTTGAAATGGGTGCTGCTAGCTGGCTGGTGGTTGGCAGGGGGCGGTTATGGAGCTGGGGGTTTCCAAATTTGCTATAGAAGGAGCTAAGGAGCTACCAGGAGTCCTGCAAGCACATGGTAGTTGAGGTGGGGGGAACCCCCTTTGAAGCACAAGTCAAAGGGTAATCTTGAGGATGTCATTAGTGGACCGAGTTTCAACCTTGGGACACAGGTTTGTTTGCTTGTTTCCTTTTGTGCAGTGTTTTCTTTTGAATTCAGCCTTCCAAAGGGAGGCCTTTCGAGGGGGCTTTCGACCTGCTGACCTTTTAGTTTCCCCTTGGTCAGATTCAAATAACATGTGATCCCCTTGTACTTCTGGGTTTTGAAGGGGCAACTGAGGGTTCGTCAATAGGATGTGCCACGCTCCCCCAAACCCCAAAACAACCCTCCGGGGTGTGAACGCGTAGATTTTCGTTTCTGGGAACGACTCCAGCCCTGCCAGGCCGCAATCGAGACCTTGGGCGTCATGTTTCAGGGCACCGCCATTGAAGTGGTCTCTTGGCTGCTCTTGTCCTGACTGCTCTTGGGCAACGGATCTTTAGACTTGAGCTTTTTGGTTGAAATCAAGACGGTTTCCACTCAACCCACAAAATGTTAAGCTTTTTGCAGAGGGGTCAACAGCAACCTAGTTAGAGGTATCTTTATCACATTGATCTTTGGCTTTGGCCTTTGGGAAAATGGCTAGGGAATTTGCAAGGGGTCCAAGACAAAGTCTAAAACAAATGGGACCTCCAAAAGTGGAAACCGATCGTTTCAATGGACACCACCACGAACTCGATCAACTTTTGAAAAGGAAATCCAGTGCCCCCTGATTTAAATGAAGAATACCCTCCCTGATCTGTGAACATAAATCCCCACGTTAATGATATCCACCAGAGGGTCCCTAATTCAGATTAATCCCCATGCTCCGTTCGAGCCAGTTAAACATCACTTTTTGGCCAATTGTAGTAGTATGTGAGTGTTCGCTTGCTGGGATGAGGTTGTTGGTTTACATATAGGCAACTCATGTTCAACATCGCACGCAGATGTGTGTCGCAGCTTAGCTCACAACATCAAACCACCAACCAAAAAGTGGGGAAGTTAGACTACATAGATACAACCTGATACAGCTTATCACCTTGACCTTGAACCTTCAACCAATCAACATAATCAACACAACACACAACCCACACCATTCAAACAAAACAACAAATATCGGTTAACCACTAACCTTCAACTCAATAACAAACAGTATACTCACTTGTGCAATGCCGACGTCCATGTTCAGTCATGGCCCCAAATGGTTCCCGCCCTTTGGTTCAGTTTGGGGCATTCCCATCTTACTACTGGACATGTATTGCTTTGCTTCTTCTAGGGGTGCGTGTATATATTTACATTATATACATATATATATATGTATTTGTATATACATATGTACAGCTAGGTATAACCAAGTGGATGTAACTCCCCCCCCCTTCCACCGGTAAGCAACTGAGACGCCGTTTTTCCACCGGCGAGCTTCGCAGAAACTCCGAGGTCTTAGACCCCTCCGAGGGCCGTGTGACCGGGTCCTTCAGCGGGAAGGACATCCGGCTCCCAGTCGGAAACCACAGAAAATTGCTTTTGTCGGGTCTCAAGTGGCTTGCAGCTGTCGTCATGTTGGCCCCAGATCTATCAAGGGGGTGTTCCTGGGTTTAGTGGGGATTCAGACCACTTTTGCAGAAAAGCAACACTACCTCGAATCGGCGGTTGGAAGCTTCCATATGTTTGTTGGTGTTTATGTTGTTTCGTGTTGTTGTCAGAGCTGTGTCAGGTGGTTTGGATTGCTGGTTCTGGGTTAAACAGGGAAGCATGAGAGCACAAGGTGCAACCTGGCGCCCAGGTTTCCTAGATATCTCCAAAGCGCTCAACATGTTCACTCGGGACGTCGAATTCTTCGCCGATTGCGCGTCGTTCAAAACCGGAGGTCCGGTCATTACAACTTGACTGCTATTGGGTTGGATCTTTGGACTTCAGCTTTTTGCGAATTGAAGGAAGTTCCGTATTGAACCCGCAACACGTTTAACTTTTTGCGGAGGGGTTATTACAGCAAACAAGTTATAGGTATCTTTATCACATTGATCTTTGACTTATTCACAAGGGGTCTTCTTTTTGCAAAATTCCTACAAGGTTAACCTTCTGTTTCCAGGTCCTTTGGCTGACTTTGGCACTACGAGGCCGCAGTGTCCTTCGCAGTCCTTCGCATCCAATTTCCTTTGCACGCAGTTCACGGCAGGAGTGAATGCTCTTGGCGTCCCGCGAAAAAGGTGAGACCCCAAAAAGCGAAAAGAACGCGCCCCGGGCCTCAGCGGCCTCAGGTTCAGCGACGCCCATGGCACCGTGTGGACCCGGCAGAGCGACTCCCAGCGAGCCTTGGCGTCCACGGCGGCCAGGGAGCTCCTGCGGCTGGTGCTGACCCAGGCGACCCGGGCGGGCGGAAGCCGGGGGAAAGAGATCGCAGGGCCCAGGGCTTTTGGGTCGAGTGGTGGTCCAAATTTGGGGACCCACTGACCGAACCTATGAGAGGGGCCAAATGTAGGAATGTGTCAAATCAGCAGACGCCATGAGTGGTGTGTGGCTTGCATTGAAACCGAGCGCGACTTTTTTTTGCCACCGGTTCAACGGAAGGTCCATTTGGGGCTATGTAAGTAGGACCCTGAGGAACCCTGAGAACGCAAAAACAAACACCATCAGTCGATCAGCGCTCGATAAGCACAGTGCAAACCAAATGCGCGTTGCCTTACCTCCTGTCTACTTGTAACAAAACGGCCCGTGCATAAAACATCAAACTTTTGAAACTGTGACTGACAAAAGGGTAACGTAAGAAAAACAAGTCAATCATGCCACAAGTTTGATTGGCCTTCGGCTCTTCTTTTCTGGAAACGCCTCTTCGGGGAAAGTGAAGAATCCTGTTTGGGTTTCCATTTGTCAAACGCAGCGTGAGCTCTCTCGCTTTCTCTCGCTCTCTCTCTCTCTCTCTTATGTGGCTCGAGCTTACCAAGGCCTCTCTTCCTTTAGGAATCCGAGGGATGTTCGACACCACCTTTGTCACCACTGAGCATGTCAGAAGCATTGTTGTAGGGGAACTAACCCAAGCTGACAGTTACAAGCATGGTTATCATCTACTTGCAGGGTTGAATATCCAAATTGGGGTTTAGCGAGCGGTTCTCCCATGAATGGACCTTCAAAAAATCGGGGATTCCTTCAGTCGCTTGAATGGACCCACCAGTTTGCAAACATCGGGGTGCATCACAAAGTTCCAACCTGCCTACAAGATCCTACAAAGAATAAAAGGGTAGATGAGGTGCTATAGCGCTTGGGATTGCCAGAGTCACGAGGGCCAGTCTTGCAAACCATCAATCCACAAACCACAACTATATCAATATACCATATGTTTGCGCATGTGTGGCATATATGGCACATACCCATGTAGAACCATGAACAACGTGTATTCCCCCCAAGATGTGTTTCTCATATGGCTGTGGGACAAAAATAGGGTAACCCCAAATGGACCCCTGGTAAATGGTCACGGGGACCAAAGCCTGCAGATTTGGGTGGTGAAATGTTGACCCGCAACCATGCGGTGGATGGACGAAATCCTACACCACCTAAGAAACCATGGGAAACCATCGTGTGTTGGTATTTACGGGGGGAATCATCAAAAGCCGAACGGGTTTCTTAGATGGTGCGAACGGATTTCGTTCAACAGTATGGTGAACGTCCAGGTGCTGCTCGCCCTGCGCTGGGAGCCCACCTTCCTGGGTTTAGGCACCGCCGCCGCGCGCGCCGGGAAGCTCTTGGTGGCGGATGCGGCGCAAAGGCCTGGCTGGGCCATAGATCAGCGCGAAAAAGTAAATGGAAGTTTGGCCGGCGGTATTCTTTGCTAGGTCCCCCAGTGCCCTGTCTCACCCCTTTTTTGGGGGAGTGCCTACGCATCTAGAAACATTTGCCTGACGCAAGACATCTCGGCCATAGATCATTGCGAGACAGTAAATGGTCCATGAGACGCGCTGAACCAACCTCGACTTTGCGTTGCCCATTTGAAACATGGCTTTTTCCACCAAAATGAAGGGAAACCATCATTTACAAGGCAATGTTCAGGTGTATAATGTAAGGATCCCTGTTGGAAGCTTTGGGATCTTTGTGCTGCTTTCCCTGTGTTTTCCTGTGGCTTCAAGTTTTCTTTTTTTTGCAATGGGGGAAGGCCCTCACAAGCCAAGACCCCGCATGACATTGGCTGGAAGTTTGGCTGGTCATTTTCTTTGGGTGGCTTGGCTCTTGGCTTTTGCTTTGCTTTGCTCTGGTTTTTGGCGTGGCTTGTCGATTTGGCTTTGGTCGTTGGCCTTGGCCTGATGGGTTTCATTTGGCTTTCGGCATTTTGCATTCTTGCTCTTCCTCTTTTTGCTTCCGGTTCGTTGGCTTTTCTTTGGGCTTCGTTTTTTTTGTTTCTTCTTCCGAAGTTGAGTGACTGGTTTCTGGGTACGGGGCCGCAGGCCGCATTTCTAGCGTTGGTTCCTGGTCCATTCTTTTCACCATGGTTCTTTTCAAAAACCCGCTGGTTGGCAGGGTGTTGGGTTTCTTCCGTTTTTTTGTTTTGAAAGAAGGATGCCTGGAAAGAATGGAGTTGGAAGCTACTGAAGCCGTCAACCCTGAAGGCCGCTGCTCAGCTTTCTGATTCGCTACGCCATCGGCACCCATGCGCCGCGGTGGAATCACCCCCATCCACTGGCTTGTTTTTCTAGGTCCCCCAGCTAAGTGCCCTTTCTCACTCTTTTTTAGTTCGGAGGGTTCCCCGTGGCTAAAAAAGACTACAGAAACAAGGGTACCCTTGTTCTAACCTGTCTACTGGAGGGCCTATTTTTTGCCTGTTCCAAGCATTGTGTCGTTCTTGCTGAGTGCTTCGTTTTGTTAGTTAGCTGGTTGGTTCGATTATTTGGCTTAGTTTGGGTTGTTTGTTTGCTTGCGTGCGTGCCTGTTTGTTTGCGTGTTTTGTTGGTTTGTTTACTTCTTGTTTGTTTCTGTCTGTCTTTGTTTGTTCGCCTATTTGTTTGCTTGCTTGCTTGGCTCGCTTGGCTCGCTTGGCTCGCTTGGCTCGCTTGGCTTGCTTGCTTGCTTCTTTTGTTTTGCAGTTTTCAGTTTTTCAAGCGTTGCTTATGTTGGTTGATTGGTTGGTTGCCTCTTGAAGGGCCCACCTCTCCCTTTTGGTTGTTGTAGAGGGTGGGGCACAGGCTTTTGATATGGTATGGAGTAGCGCTCCCTTACTCGGACATAAGACCTTCCGGCGATTCCACCCCATGCAGAATCAATCGCTTGAAAAGGGGCATGAAAAGGCCTGAAAAGGGATTTTGTGCGTTTTGCTCAATCAGGTTGCACCCCCCCCCCCCTCCCGCCCCACCCCCGTTTTTGAGCCGGGCAAGGATCTCACGCTCCTCTCCGAGATCTACTGGGCCCTTTGGTGCCTGTCGCAGGATGTACTGGATCCTGATCGGACCGCCTACGAGAATCTCAACCTTATGATGTGCCAGCTTTTGACATCTTGGGCTTCATGCAGTTTTGGTTGTGTTGGTTTTCCTTGCTTGGCTCAATATGTCGAATCTCACCGAGCAAAACACATCCTGAAAGAACATGAGTCACACAAACCAAACACTTCTTTGTCTTGCTTCGCCTTTTTCCGGAAGAGCGTGTTTTGGAAGACATGTCTTTTAGGACCCCATGGTTTGATGCAGGCGCTTGGTCGGTTGGCTCTTCAGGAAAGCTCGCTGGGTGCTGATCAAATCGTTGGAGGGCACCATCGAGTTCTGGGACGGCGTGCGGGGCATTCGCTTGGACCACCTGCTGCTCGGCGGGCGACGCGGGGCCCGGGGCCGATGCGGGGAGTCTCCCCAAATCGACCTTGATACAACTCATCATATCCGACTAAACGTTTTAAGTCCCAGCCAGGGGCCACCATCTTCGCCTTCAAAGCAAGATCCTCCATGGAGATTTCTACAAACGAGGGGAGAAAAACGAGCTGAGGCAGGGGTGAAACGAGCGATTCCGCCCAATGAAGGTCGCTCGCTGGGGGAGTCCTTCTTTGCCAAAGGTGGGCTTGTCTCTAAGGGCTTCTGTCAAATCGAGTGATTCCCCCCTTCGGCGGCCCTTTAGAACACTAAAAGGAAAAAGAGCGCCGCCCCTCAAAGACAGATTTCCAGTTGCTAATTTAAAGTGAAGTAGTGAACCACGGTGAGACTCTTGAGCCTGGAAGGCCGAGAGCTCAATCCCCCGGCGCTGGGTTCTCCAAAGAGCGGGTTGGGTTCAGGTCGCAGGTTTCAGTTATTGCAGCGATAGCTAGCCCACGAAGAAAACGTGCGAACCGAAAACGCCGGGACGGATTTGAGGTGACTTGCCATCCAGAGTAACGTTCGAATGCAGTAGGCCTGCACGTGGTCCCGTTTTGACTTTCCCACTTAGCTGAGAACACCGGGGGGGGCTTTCCAAAACCAAGCAGATTTGCATGGAACCCCAAAAAAGGAGGTCACACAAAGGATTGTCAAGGATTGTCCTGCAAGAATGATGGCTGTTTGGGTTCCATTGTTGTTCTTTTCCGAGCGTGGACCTCGTTGGATGTGACGTCGAGGTGCACAGACCCTGCCGAGCTCAACGCGTTTCGACATGAAGCTTTGCGGGTGCTCACGTCCCAGGCCTTTGAGTGGAGGAGGGAAACCTCCGACACCCCCAAAAGGAAGGGTATGGAAGGGGTTTCCACTCAGTTGTTCGAAGCGAATCGGCATGAATCGACGGAATCAATCGACCTTTTACTTTCCCCTGTTTGGGTTCCCAGTCTTAGTGGCCCCAAAACGTTCTCCTTTGGTTTCTGGTTCCTTTAAAAGGCAACTGAGATTTTTTAGCAATGGTCTGCCTCTTGCATGGCGAGCTGGGGGTACAACGAGCTCACCATCACGGGGGCTGGGGGGGGGGGCGGGGGGGGGGGCGGGAGCCCCTTTAACCCAGCCCTTAAGAAGGCCTTATTTGGGGCGTATTTGGGCTCCCTCCCCCTTCCCTCCCCCCAAGCCCCCATGACACCATGTAGATCCTTTACCCGTGGATCCAATTCTTGTCCCAGGTGTTGCTAGGCCACACGAGGGGAACCAAAACCCATCTTGGGGCGCGCCAAGATCCCCATGTTTGACAGATCGGGGAGCCCTCCGCATTGGCCAAAGTTGTTTTTTCCTCCTTCTTTTTTGCTGGGTTCGCCTTTGAACGGAAAAGGGTTTGCCCATGTGGGGGTTTTCTGAACATAGGGTGGTGGTGTTTTCCCCCTTTTTCTTTTTTTTGCCTAGGTGGGTGTTGTTTTCTGTTTTTTTTTACTGGTTTTCTAGGGTGGTGGTCTAAGAACCTCGGGCCCGTGGATCCCCGGATCCATTGGCTGGCTTCCTGTGGACGGACTCCTCCGACCAACATGAAGCTCCGAACCTCCGAGCCCCCCAAAGCCCCAAAGAAGACGACAAAAAACCGGCGCAACCGGCAAAACAACAAGAACAAGGCAATACGAACAACGGCCCCCCCCCCAAAAAAAAAAACATGCAAACAAGCAAAGGCCCCTCCAAAACAGAAGGCCCCCCAAACAAAACAAGCAAACAAGCAAAGGTCAGTCCAAAAAAAGCCACGGAAACAAAGAAGACCACCCCCCGGTGACACTCGCCGGATGCCTCAGGCCTCTTTGTGGCAGCAGACTGTGCGCCTGGCTGCCCTTGGCATCGAGACGGCCGGGGAAAACTCGAAGCCGCGGGTGGATTTTTTCGCCGGGGGGGGAGGGGAGGGGAGGAGGGGGGAGGGGTGAAACCAAAATGTTTCCCGGTTTTTGGTTCCTTTGGGGGCTTAGTAGGGAACCGCCTCACGCGTGGCTTTTTCGATGTCAGTGTGTTTTTTTTGTTTTTGTGTTTTTTCTCTGGGGCCTTTATAGGGGACCACCTCAACCCCCAAAGCCGATTTTCATTTGGGAGCCCCCTGACTGTTGAGATAGGCCCCAGTCGTCTTGCTGTGTTCGTTTTTGCAACCATGAACTCAGCGTAGAACCAGAGGGGTGAATTTGATCAGGCCCTATTGGGGGTGCCACTGGCCCGACCTTCATGGTTTGCCTTTTCCACTGTTTGTGGGATGAATATGCAGCCCCTTGGTAGTGTAGAAACCCTTTTCAAGGGAGGCTGCTCATTTCAGTGGAAAAGGCAACCCCTGGTGACCTTGGGTTTCTTCTCAGACAGGGAAAGTCATCCAAGCGGCCCTTACTTCGGGGCTACTTTTATATAGGTTGCCGCGCCTGGCATGGCATGCAGAGCCTTTCCCACGGTTTCTCGTCGTTGTTCTGCACGTCACCAACAGAAAGTGGCTGGGAATGGATGGGGTCAGGGTTCAATGGGCTTCATGATGACGGCTTCACCGTTCTCCACTGCTTCGATGGGTCACAGCCGCCAAAGCATGGATTGACAAATCCCGGTATATCGCATCGGCCTTCGGAGTGCTTGCCCAGATTGTCGACTTTCACAGTAGGATTGTGCCTTTTTAAGGGGACCTCCCAAAAGCAGTTTGCCATGTTGAGAACAATCCAATGTGGTTTTCTCTGAACATCTGGGAACATTGAAAGGAGTGGTTTCCCCTTGGTTTCCCCTTGGTTTCCCCTTGGTTTCCCCTGGTTTCCCCTTGGTTTCCCTTTACTTCGAGCCCAACCAGAAGACCAACTCTAAACACAGGCACATCCAAATCCGGAATAGGGGACCCCTTTTGTTTCCGAGGGAGGGCATTGCAAACTACTTGTGCAACGAATATGTTCAAGGGGCCGCACCTGTGGGCACAGATGAATACCTGTAAATCCAGGGATTACTAACCTACCCACTGGCGCAGGATTTTATTCATCCACTGTATGTTTCAACAGGTGGCCCAGACTTGTATGTTCGAGCCACGTAGTGTGTAGGATATTGGATAATGATATATCCATTGCTATAGGGAAGCTGACGTCAGTGACCCCAGTTGCAACCATTTTGACTTGCTTCACTCGGTGGCTTGAATGAATGAACGCACAAGTGCAAGTCGGCATCAGTTGACCCGCAAATCCATAGGCTGGGTTGGCCGGGTGAAAGGACTCCCACCTGGTGAATTTCTATCATGTAACCTGGGGGAGGGGGAGAAGGTCCAAATAAGGCCCTAAGGGCTTAGGAAGAATAAACACCCACCCACCCTCCCAGGCCGTGAATTAGCCAAGCTTCCAAAAGCTCGCCTGTCCCCAGGTGAGAAGGAGGAGGAACCAAGGTTCGTACCAGATTTCTCCAAACCTACGAGTTTCTTTTTTTCCGCACCTTTCCTGGATGGGGCCTCGGGCTGTTTCCCAAGGTCAAGGGCATTTCCGTGTGGTTTTGAAAGGTATGGATGTTTTGTATGCCAACCACATACTGGGCTGTTGGAATGTAATCCTTAATCCTTACCTCAGGTTGCGCAAGGGGTTCCTTGTGTAGTGGCTTTCCTGTGGGGATTATGAATTCGGAATTGCCAACCATCTTGAACGGCGCTGCAGTTTGCCATGCAGTAACAAATTACCACCTCACCTCCAGAACCCACTCAAAAAGGTCCTCATGATACCGCTATTGGGTTGGATCTTTAGACTTCAACTTTTTGGATTCCCTTCATATGTCCTTTTCACCGGCAAGTTAAACTTTTTGCTTGGGGATCTACAGCCCTTTGTGAGAGGGGGCTCCTTGCGCCACGCTCGCCCGACCCGTCGTCCAGGCCGGGGACACGGCCGAGAAGACCCGCGCAGTGCGTCACCGTCTGCGGGAGATGAAGTCGGGGGAGGCGTTTGGCTTTTGCGCGGGCGGTGCGCGGGGATGCAGATGGCTTAAGAATTCCCTGAAGTTCAAACCAAGGAAACAATGGGGTTCATGTTTCACTACATTTGGTCGTGGCTCAAAATTAAGGAGCTAAGGTTACGCAGGTTTTAGTCTCTGGTTCCATGAACCAAGGTCCCATTTTGGTACATGTGTTTGACCCACAGCCATTTGTCATATTTCTGTGTGAATTGTAACAACCTCACACGACCAAATGGGGGTTTATGTGGGGAATGGCCCCCAAACCACCTTATCTCAGGCTGGTGAAAAAAAATGATTCACCCAGATATTTCACCACATTTGTTTACCTGAGGGTTGTCATCAACCACCATTGTCGCCGTTTCCCAAATCAAAGGTTGATCGGTTTACGGGTGGTTTCCCCTTCAAACAATCGCCACTTTCGCAAGCCTCCAAAACGAACATGGAGAAAGCTCTGCCCAGAGATGATCTTCCATTTTCTTGAGAATGTGTTTGATTTTGCTTTGTTGGTTTTATGATGAGCGTATCACTACTTAATGTCTTGTTGTTCTCAAGGGAGTGGAGATGACATGATAGAAAGCGGGGAAAAGCAATCTCCATGATGAAGGTCCGTTGGGAGTTCCTTATTTTGGGTTATTGAAGTCTAGCAATGCAGAGCCCAACCACGAACACTGAGGAAAGAGGAAAGAGGTGCCCCTGAAGTAAAACGGCTCTCCTGTCCAGCTTGGAAGCTCAGCCCTTTGTCACGGCCAGCGTGCGCCCGAGGGTGCGATTGAAACAAATGGTGAGTCGGTTTCGTAACATCGCCTTCCGGCGATTTGGAGGGGAGTTTGTCTTGTGACTCCAATGTGCAGATACTTGAGAAAAATCTCCTGAAATCAAGGACCTTGTCTTTTGGTATGGGTTTCAAGGAGGTTCTCAAGTCACATGAGACGAATGTTTACGCTTTAGCGAAGTGCAAACAAGCTCAAAACCTTCAAACCCCATGTCAATGTCTCAAAAGGCGATTCACCAAGGGTAAGGTCTGCAAGTTTTGTACGCCCTTTGACCTGCATCCCGGGTTGCTGAGCACCCTTTGTCCTGTTTTTGACGTGAACTGGTTCCTCACTGAACCAGGAAAGACGTGTCTCTCTTTTTCGTCGGCAGATTCGATTTCGAAGCGTACTATGTGACCATATACGTCTCCCTTTGCAAGTCAAGCGTGATTCCTGGCCTTAAGACATGCGCAGTTGAGCGTGTCCAGTATGAGGTCTGTGAGTCTGTGGGGTTTCTCGCGAAGCAACATTCGGCCTTGTTGTTTGGACATACCCATGTGGTTGTGGCAGGGATCTCTGTTCACATATTTTGTTTAATATTTGGGGGTGGGGTGGTGCAACAGCATAGTTGTTCCAAATCTGGTTTCAGGTTGCCGACTTTCTGTGACAAACTAGTCACAGAGATGGCCCATGCTGGATGATTATGTTCATTCAACATCTGAACCATACTGTGGATGGACGAAATCCTGCACCACTTTGAAACCATGGGAAACCATAGCTTGTTGGTATTTACAGGAGAATCAGACCATTCCGGGGTTTCTTGGGTGGTGCCTCAGATAATTTTGTCCATCAGCAGTATGGCTTTTGGAGCGACTGCGTCTGGACATCGCAAGGCTCACCCCAGATTCGCCAATGGGTCTTTGGACCTGCCGGAGGACTCGTACATGCTGGATGTCCTTAAGGCAAGTGATTCCACTCATCTTTGTCTCAGTTGCCCAAACCCGACCTTTTAACCTTTTGGTTTTCCTAGTTTGGTCTATTTTTAGCTGACTAATTCACCACCAAGGGGTATTCTCAAAAGAATTCCAAAGGGTTGGGCCCTTTAACTGTCGGGCTTTGGACCTCCAGGTCTCCTTGTCCAGTTGGGTATGTTGCAAAACCGGGGCCATCTCTCTTTACGGCCATTTAGGTTCGATCCTTGGACTTTCAACCCTTTTGGGGTTGAAACTGCAGGGATTTTCCAAACTGGACCCAAGTCTTCTGCTGTGAAAAGATGAAAGAGAAGTCCAACAGAGTCACACGCCTCATGGATCTGGCCTGATGGCGCCGCGAGGAAGGCGGAAAGGGGACGCCCCCTGTTCTTCTTTTTTACTCACAGCTAAGAAGTATGGTATAAACCTGGTTTGCCTTGGTTTTGAGTGAAGCAACTTGCTGTTCTAGATTCAGATTGATTCCAAGAACCTTGAGAATTCAAGTCGGTTGCAAGGCACCCCCTGAGAGAGCTAGTGCGGAGATCGGCGGGGGTGTGTCTTAGCCTGGGGCCTTGGTTGACCACAACACCAATCGCTTTAAGCGCTCCGCAACGTGCTGCAGACGTTTCCTTGCTCCAAGCATCCCACCACCTGCACACTTGACTGAAGTAGGAAAACTGAAGGTTTGGTTTCCAAACGCAGTAGGTACGCACCCACCTAGATGGGTGGGTTTTTTTTAGGGGACCCCCCCACCCAAACAAAAAAAGAGAAAGACGTGTTCCTTGTGGTTTCCCTTTAAAGCCAACCCAAAAGGGGTAACCTACAAAACAGACACCCCCAGATGAACACGAGTTTTGCTGCATAGGCAGACCCCGAGCTGAAGGCAGCCACTCTGTCTGCAAGCCGCTCAGAAGCAGCAGGCCTGTAGTCAAACCAGGGCAAGAGAAGGTTATACTGTGGATGGTTGCGAAATCCGTTTCGTACCACCCAAGAAACCATGGTTGAAACCACAACGCTTGCGGTTGTTAGGTGGTGCAGCGTTTGTCCACAGTATGGGTGAATCTTTTTTGAGGCACCCCTTGTTTTGTGGATTTAAAGGGGCACCACAAGGGAAAGCACGATTTGAAAATCCCCACACACACAAAACAAAAAGAAAAACATCTAGTTTGTCGGCCAAACCCAGCCATGAGTGGGCATTTGTGCAAAAATCAACATCATAGGCTTTACTTTTGGGGACAGCTTCCAGAATCAAAGCAGGACCCGTGAGGATACCGGGGCCAAGAGAATGCTTTGCGTTCTACACACCAATTAAATTAGGGACCGTCCAACGCGTTGGAAATTGAACTCTGATCCGCAACATGAACTCGTTGATGTTTGTCGTTGCATCTTGTCGTGAAAGTCTTGAGACTGCCTGTGGAACTTGGAGGACCGCGTCTCCTGGAGGCATTCTCAGGGCTCACATGCTTTTAGATCCCTAGCGAGATCTGATCTTGGGCACTGACTTTTTTGAGCCTGGCTTCGACACCCTACGTAATGCGAAGTGCTTGGTGGACATGCTGAGTTGATTGGAAGTGCTTGAGGGTTGCCATGTTGAATTGACAACCAGAGGCCTACTATGAAAGCTGGAGCGTAGTAAGTGGGTTATGACCATTGGTAGGCCCCCCCCCCAGTCGCACCACCTATACTAAACAAGTTATCACCTACTTCGCCAAGGGTTATAACTCATAACCATGGCAAGGGTACAGGTTGAAAGTAGGCTAATCCAGCTTATTCCCCGGGCCGTGCCCAACCAACCACACCACCAACCACTCAGTTGTTCAAAGCCGACCTTTTGACCTTTTGGTTTTCCAATTTTGGTCCATATTTAGTCATGGCCCCAAAAGGTGATCACCTTTTAGTTCCAGGTTCTTTGGGCAACTGAGACCAACCAGGCACCAAGAATCAACTACATGGTACACCAGGGTCAAAGTAGATTGCACCCACAATGCCCGGTAGATGCGGGAAAGTTCCTGGGGCCCAACAAAGCGCATTCCTAGCCCAACAAACTACCCCACCAACCAAACAAAAAACACCAACCACAAACTACAGGGTGGAAAGTAGATGGGGCCCTTCCCCGGTAGTTGTGAGTATGTAAACTGTATGACTGAACTAACATGCGTGAGTTGTGGTGAAAAAACCTCGGGGGGGTCCGTTTGGGTTTCCTTTAAACCAACCCCCAGCAAAGGGACCCCCCCCCCCGTCGTGCACAAACATGGAACCTTTCCCAGGATCCCCCGGTCAGGTTCCCTGTTAGATGGGAGGGTAGCCTCAAACAAACCACACCCAAAGCGGGTACCCTCAAAGAAGATGGTGATGATTTTCAAAGAGTTGGCACCACCTGAAAACTACTCTGGAACCTGACATCCGGGGGTCCTGGTTTGGACCATTGTCCTTTTAAAGGGACAAAGCGTCCGAACGTCACGTTCCATGAGTTGGTGGTCATGGTTCCCTATTTAAACTCGCTTCAACTAAACAGTTGTTGGCGGACGTGATTCCCTTAAGACAAAGCCAAGCCACCCGCGGTGACTGCCTATTAAAGGTCGCCTCAAAAAGAAAAAAACACAAAACCTTGTTGGTTTAAACAACATATGGGTATGGGTCAAAATTAAGCCAGCGGGGACCGCAGGTTTTAGTGCAGGTGTCCACTTGCTGTTTTGGCGCCATTTTGGTACCGGTGTTTTGACTAGCCATATCATGAGAATATTGTTGGTAAGATTTTCCCTCGCGGTTCGTCTGAGGCTTGGTGGGCTCCACTGCTCGGCTCTTCCTGTCCGTGGACCCCAGCGTGGCGTTTTTGGGGCTCGACATCAACGCCTGCCACAGGGCTTGGAATAGCGAAGGTTGGGCTTGGGGGCAGCTGCGGGGAGGGGCACTTGGGGGGGTGAGGGTGTTGGTGGGACGGGGCTGGAACAGGCCGTTTCTCATTTGGTGTGGTTCTGGTTCCTCCAAAACGCCTTCTTTGCTCATTTGCATGTTTTTCCTTTCTTCTTTCTCCCTTTCCCTTCTTTCCATTTGCCGTGGTTTCTCTCCTCTTCCCCTTCCGCTGCCTACTCCGGCTTTCCTTCCTGCCCACCACTCCATGGACACCATCCATAGTCAACAAGACAATAGCTTTGACGCCGCTGCATTTTGCAAGCAATCGCTGCGGCAGACCGTCAGACTTCTCTCGACGCCGAGGCGAGATCCTAGCGTCCAACACTGCACCGCTACTCCTGGGCTGCGTCAAGGCTCGGAAAATCAGCTTTTTGCACATCCAGTAAGGGGGTTCCCGAAAGATGGGTGTGTCGTTTAGTAAGGGTCTCACTCCCTGAGTGGGTTCCCGAAATATGGGTGCGTCGTTTTTCAGGGGACCTCCCAAACTGGGTTTTCCTCTGGACTTTCCTTTCCAGCAAAGGGTGGCTCTCCTTGGGGCGTCCCTTGAACCCCTAGGGTGAAAAGGGTACGCTCAAAAAACACAGACTCATACATCCTGGTGGAAAAAGTCCCTCCGTGATTCCAAAGTGGATGGACGAAATCCTGCACTTAAGAAACCCTGGATTGTTGATTCCCCTGTAAATGTTTTTTCATGGCTTGAACAACAGCGGTGCAGGATTTCGTGCATCAGTAGGATTTCTATCCCTTCGACATACGGAAAGTGGCCCCAAGACCCGATGCTCGAGAGCCCGGCCTTTTCTCGTTGCCCCTTCCAGTAGGTTCACGAAGCCCCTTCTGGCCCATTGGGGGGAATGCCAACGCCGCCTAATAAGCTTCGGCTTTGGCGCACTTCAGCCTCTGCTGCCGTTAAAGGCACGGAGGCGCATTGTAATTTTGCTCTGTGGGAATGATAGATCCTTTGTAGACGACTTGATTGAATCCAGGTATTGAAAGTGCTGAGAGTACCACAAGTGGCTTCTTTTCGTGATGTTTGAAGAATCGCAAGAACCCTCGCATCCATTTAGCTGAAGTTGCGGAACTCAAGGTGCCCATCCAGAGTGTTGAAAGTTCCGGTCAAGCTGGGCTGATTTGTTGAACACTTCTTGGGGAAGTTCTCCCTTTCCGGCACCAGGTGGCCACGCACCTTCGGGGTTGAATTCTGATGAAGCTGAAACGTGCGGAAAACATGGACTTGGCACGTCTCAGTTGTTCAGCACTCTTGTTCCCTCTCTGTTGGGTTCCTCATTAAAAAAGGTCAACTCCACTGGGCCCACGAGTGCTTCACCACTGGTTTCTCTTTGTTGTGTTCTTGATTGCCATTGGGTTGGATCTTTAGACTTTCACTTGGTGGTTAAAAATCAAGTTGGGTTTTCCGTATTGAACCCACAAAAGGTTAAACTGTTTAACTTCTTGCAGAGCTTCAACCAAGTTTTGATTTCGACTCCAAGCGGCCTTTTCGTCTTTTCCCACTTTCGGAGTTCCCCATTCCCGTGCCTCGGGCGCGTCCGGCAGTCCGGCAGGCGAACGCGGCGGACCCCGAAGCGGAGAGCGGCAACAGCCAGGCCGGGCCGGGGCAACGTCGAGCGCGGCCGGGCCGGGATGGCGGAATGGCTTTCTTTGGTTTGCATGTTGCCAAGGGATGGTAGGACTGAATGACTTTTTGCAAACTAATGGGTTTCCGTATTAAACCACTAAAAGTTAAAACTATTCTGCAGGGGAGCAGAAAGCAATCGAACTTTGACTTCCCTTCCAAGAACCATGGAAGTGGGCAAGAAGCTGTCCCACGAGGAAAGTCGTGCAATATTTTCAGTCAGCTCTTCGGCTTTTTTTTGGATAGAACAAAGATGCAATTATTGGATGATGTTGTTTGGACGATGTTGATTGGTGGCCCAAGGGAATAGCAGAGATTAGGGGATGTTAGGGAATACTTATGCATTTGGATATGGATTTGTGTGTGGACCGCGTCACCGCCCCCCAAGCAGGTTGGTTTTTTGTTCAAGTTTGTTTGTCAAGCTGCGCCCACGGCAAGCTGGCGAGCCAGAAATGCTCCAAAGTTGCGGAGGAATCTGGAAAGACCTGGATGGGCTGGAACGCTCCATTTTCTTGAAGATAAGAAGGAGGTTAAAAGAGGGATATTGCACCTTTCCCGAGTTTCTTGGTGCTCGCAAGGAGGATGTCTTGTTGAAAGGCAAGCCCTGAATCAAAGGGGCTTCCCTTCGAGAAACATGGAATTGCGCAGATCTAGTTTGGAATGCACCAAATCGTGGGAAGTACGGGGCTATATAATTACGTCTCGAGGCAGGCCCCTCATCCGAGTTTGAGGGAAAGCACAACCTGAAGTGGTCCAACTGATGCAGAGAAGCGCCGACCTTCAAGTAGGCTGGTTTTCCTGCTTACGCCCTGTGACACCAACCAACAGCAAGAGAAGAGCCCACCTTTTCATCACGACATGTATATGAGTCTAAGTTGACATGCATACAAACACGGGTGCGGCGAGAGAGGGGGAGAGAGAGATGTTTATGTGTGTCTGTCCTGTCCTGTCCTGTCCTGTCCTGTCTGTCCTGTCCTGTCTGTCCTGTCCTGTCTGTCCTGTCTGTCTGTCCTGTCTGTCTGTCCTGTCTGTCTGTCCTGTCTGTCCTGTCCTGTTTGTCCTGTCTGTCTGTCCTGTCTGTCCTGTCCTGTCCTGTCCTGTCCTGTCCTGTCCTGTCCTGTCCTGTCCTGTCCTGTCCTGTCCTGTCCTGTCCTGTCCTGTCCTGTCCTGTCCTGTCCTGTCCTGTCCTGTCCTGTCCTGTCCTGTCCTGTCCTGTCCTGTCCTGTCCTGTCCTGTCCTGTCCTGTCCTGTCCTGTCCTGTCCTGTCCTGTCCTGTCCTGTCCTGTCCTGTCCTGTCCTGTCCTGTCCTGTCCTGTCCTGTCCTGTCCTGTGTCTGTGTGTCTGTGTGTGTCTGTGTTGTCTGTATTGTCTGTGTTGTCTGTGTTGTCTTTGTGTCTGTGTGTCTGTGTTGTCTGTGTGTCTGTGTTGTCTGTGTGTGTGTGCAGGTGTAGGTTTTCTGCAGAAGTGTCACTCATCAGCGCGACATGTTTGCACGGCTTGAAGTTAACATGTCATTCGTGAGGGGGCCAAACCACCAGACCCTCCCGCGAGGATTGCAGACCCTCCCGCTCGCTTTTCCCTTTTCCCTTCTCCATGGAGGTGGACGGGGGGGGGGTTCAAGGGGATGGTCTTCCAATCATAACCCCCTCCCCCGATCCCCGAACCCTCCTTGATTGTCGAAAGAGGGTAAAGATGCTTAATGTTGACCCCGGATTAATAATCCCCTGTTTATTAATATGGGGGTGTCCCTGGTTTTAATGGGAATCATCACTTTGGGAGGGGAACACCCCCATATTAATAGACAGGGGTTTATTAATCCGGGATCAAGATTGAAGCACCTGGCCCAAACTTAATTTGTCCCGTCAGGTCGACAAGTACATGGTCAAAGTGGGGGATGACCTGCGGCAGGCGGGGGAAAGACGGGCAATCCAGGAAGTCTTAGAGCCGGTCAATGCCCTTTTTGAACTGGGCCTTGGCATTCCAAGCCCGCAACCAGCCATTTTTTGGCTGACTCTCTATACCTAGGTCCCCCAGCGATCGGTGCCCTTCTCTCCCCCCTTTTCCTGGGGAGGGTTCCCCTACCTAAATAGAAAAAAAACAAAAAGTTATCTGCTCTTCGGCTTACCAACCCCAAGCCCGTAGAGAGGAGGGCGCCGAGTTTTCTAGGCGGCAACCTGCCCCCTCCAAGCAACCTGCGCAGGTTAGAACCAGGCGCTCAGCTCCCAAAGCCATGACCTATGCAAGTGGGTACACCCCGGTGTGGGCGGCAGTTGTTTCATGCTCGCAATGTTCAAGGTTGTAATTCTGGATGCACAGTATTGGGGTTTTGGATGTTTGGGTCATTAAATCTATCCCTCCAACCTCCAACCCTGGGGGGTTCGGGATATTTGGCTCGACTTGGCCGGTCCAGACTTACAGCCTGTAGGGTGTAGTGGGACTGGGGAAAGGAGGCCCCTTTGGGATGTGCATTGACAAACACTGAATATGTGATAGTGATATGTGGTTTTAGGCAAATCCTTGCTTCCCTGCACATGGAGCCCACTTTCGGCGCCAAGCTCCAAAAAGAGTGTTTCCTTTAAGCATAGATCGTCCACTGATTGAGAGGCATCGCAAGCGGAGCTCGGGGCCCCGAATGGCTCCGAATGCTCACCATCACTAGCAGTCACCATGCGAAATCCCCACCGTTCGGAAACCCTGGGTTCTGATGATCCCCTGTACCTAACACCAACAAATGTTGTGGTTTTCCACCATGGCTTCTTAGGTGGTGCAAAATGGATTTTGTCCATCCAGCATGACTCAGAATCAGAATGTGGGAGGCCCGCAGCTTGAGAGTGAGCCAACCATTGGCTGCTCAGGACCAGCTCGTACTGCAGATGCTTCACCTGATGGAGCTGGTGTGGCAGGATGCGTGTTGGGTTTAGCTTCCGATCACAGCAAGCAACCACTGCCACAAGGGCGACACAAATATGATAGAACCTACTGGAGTATATTCATATTCAATCGCGAATAGGGCATTCTTCGCCATGGCTGCCGGCATTTGGGTTTGCTTGGTTTGTCTCTTTTGAGGGAATATACATTTGTTGGCAGGGTTTGAAGGGAAACCAAAAGGAAAAGAACCATTTGAGTGGGTCCCCTGAAAGAGACACACCCATTGTTATCTCACCTTGGATGCTGCTGACAGCTTAGCACAGACGAATCGAGTATGTTCCTGCCATCAGGAGCGATTGCCGGAGACAGAGCACCGCATGCTGCGCTTTGTTCCGTACCGCTACTTGTCCAGCAGTGAATCACAACTTGGCATAGCCACCGGCAATCGTTGGAGATTAAGCAGTTGTCAGGCAGTGTGCCGTCCAATCCCCTTGCATGTGTTTGTTGGACTGCAACTTCTTGGAAGTACTCATCTCAAGTTATGTTGCTCAACTTGTTGGCTGTTGCTTTACAGTAAAGTGTATACCGTGTGCCGAGTTTTCGCCGTCATAACTTGTATCAGCTTCTTGGCACCATACCGACCGAAAGTTATATAGTTTGACTTGTTGGAACATGTTTCTGCCTAATGTTGACCCAGGACTAGTAAACCAGTCCCATTATTAGGGGGGTGTTCCCTCCAAAAGTGATGAACCCCCACAAAAGGGGGACACCCACAATTCAAGATCAACCAGGGGTTGCTCTTAATCCGGGGTTAACATTAGAGTTAGAACCCAGGACTTCGTCAGTTTGTCTGGTTCGGCGCGCGCCCAGTCGTCCTGGCCATGACGCCCAACGCGGGCTACATCAAGTTCGTGCCCGGCGCGGTGTCGCTCTCCAAGGCCTTGGCACAGGCCAACGGCGAGACTCGGCGAGCGAGCGATTCCAAACCCGCAAGTCTTGCGGCCGGCGGGTGGGGTGAGGGGGGGGGGGGGGTGGGGTTTCCCAAAACGGAGGGAACGGAGGGAGCATAGGAGTCCTTTTTGGTTGACTTAGTGTAAAATAGAGGGCCCTGGTTTACCTGGTGGTTCAACCAACTACCAGGGCCATTTATTCTCCCAAAAAGGACACCTATGGGAGGGAGCGGCCGGTTTGGGGGAGCTCGTCCAAAACCGAATCTCTTGGCCTGTTGGTGTCCCCTTTTCGGGTTCCAAATTTTAGTCATGGACAGAAGAGGTGATCAGCTTCTGTTGTTCCTGGGTCCCTAAGGGGCAACTAAGATGTAAGCGGCTCAATAACAGCTGACAGTCTTTCTTAATGGATTAAATTACTTTCATAGTACATCTCTCTAATAAATTTTGCCCTTATATATAGTACCTTCTTTTCGATACACTGGGGGAATACGTGCCATAGTCGCAAAACATCGTTTCTTTGGGTTGATAGGGATGATCGGGAACCATGACCATAACACCTAGATATTTGTTTACTAAAGGGTACCAGGGCTTCCCCTATTGTTGATGCTGTATGAGTAACCTGGGATTCAGAGGTTGTTCCCCGCAGACCCCCAGACAATGCATGAAACAATGCATGGAAGAGGAATTTCCGTTAGGGAATCCCCTCAAGCAGGAAAGAACGCAACTTGGCATCAGGAGAGTGATTTCCGGTATGTGCGACCGCCTGGACTTGTTTTTGAGGTAAAGCTTTGCGTCCTCAAAACCCCGAATAGATGTCGCCGCCTTTTAATTTCCTTACATGGATTTGAGCCCCGGAACGCCCCGGAACTCTCTGGAACCTTCCCTGAAATTGCCCCAAACCCCAGAAACTATTTGGGCAAAGGCCCCAAAGCTTTCAGCTGTTGAGAAAAAAATAGAGGTTCGGTCAACATTCCCTTTGGTCGAGGGGTTTGTTTGGGAGGGACATCGAGGAACTCAATAAGTTTCCCACACAAAAACAAACAGGGGAGCCGCCAGTTGTCCCATGTCATTTCGGGAAACCACTATCTTTGACCGTGGCTCATATAGCAAGAGTCTCCGACGAGAGTCCAGCCGCTGTCCATGAATTTGACTTGGGTGTTCATTCCACCCACTAGGTTGACACCATGGTTACAAGAGGACCGACCCCAGTTGCCCAAGCAGAGCCTCCTTACCGAGATGGTTTCCTTTTGGCGGGTACCTACTGTGGACGGACAGAATGATTGAATACTTGTTGATAAACAGTTTGCCAACTGGTGTTGGGCATGGATTTGTCCAGCCACTGTTTGCATTTGACATATTTATTCTGGTTACTAGGCTTTCTACTTGCTATTGTGTGTTCTAAATAGTAAAACGAATGGTTGTTTAATTTACCCTAAAGGTAACTACGAGGGTAGGGGTATTTTGGGTTGTGTAATTTTTTGAGGGCACCCTTTTCACCTAGGATTGAACGGGAGCCAAAAGGATAACATTTTGGTTTTGTGGCCCCCCCAATTTTGACACGCACCTATCTAGCATCCAGTATTGTATATGTCGATGTGTGAATACATGCCCTCTTGGACCCTAAAAGGGGGCTGATTTTTTAGAATTAAGCCATAGCTAACGGTGGGTTCATACCACATCCCCATCTAGCATCCAGTATCAAAGGCGGATTGCATAGGTCGATATATTCACCCATTAACCCTAGCTTCTAGCATCAAGACATAACTAACGGTGAACTTCCCCAAGGGGTTCATACCAGCGGTTCGTATATGGACGTTTTGTGGTTCCCCTATTTTCGCACATAACCATTTAGCATCCATTTCCCCCGTGATCGTTTGAATGCGCCGGCCCGAGGATTTGAGGCTTTGGCTGTCCGCCCATCGCCCGAACGATTTGGCGATGGATCAGGACTGGGTCCGGGCGGGGTCGTTTGGTTGTGCCTTGGTAGCCGTGTTTGCTTTGTGGTTTGTTTGATGTGGATGGCTTGGCTTGGTTTGGTTTACTTGGGCTTGGCTTGGTGTTCTTTGATTTGTTTGTTTCTTTGGTTGGTTGGTTGGTTGGTTGGTTGGTTGGTTGGTTGTTTTGATTTATATCGTGTTGGTTGTGTTTGTTTGTTCTAAAGTAGGTAGCCACTACCCCCCCCCCCCCAAACCCACGAAGGGGGGTTTAATGGGATACACAAACAGCTTTGCTTGGTGGCAGTTGTTGTTCAACCCATGCAGCAAGGATAAGGAAAGGCAGATAGCTGCAGCTTCCTCAGCAATAACTCTGATTATTGCCGGGGTCCATGCAAGCACTCCAAGATTTGTACTCCTCAGTAAGGGAACCCCTCACCCAGGAAAGGTTCATAGAACCCCCTTAGGGGTATTTTAGAGTTCCCAATAAGAAAGGCCCCCGCACTCCCCAAACAATTTGTTGACTCAATAGGGGAACCGGCATTTGTTGTCGCGGTAAATAGCCAGTTTGGGCACTTTTGGCCAATCCACGCAGGAAGTGACAAAATAACCAAGGCCCAAAGCGAATAAAGCGAATCGATCGGACCAATCAACCTTTTCGGTTTGCCTCTTTTTGGCCTATGATTTCCCCTTTCTAGGAAGTGAATGGCAATAACCAGTTTGGGTACTCTCTGCCAATCCCCCCCCCCCCCAAAGCCAGACGTGTTTTTTTTGGTGGGGTGGGTGGGGTGCCCTCATTCTTTTCTCCTCCCCGCTCCCCACCCGGTCGCGGAGGTGTTGGCCAATCTGTGCGGCAGCGCTGCCGCGTACTGCGTCGCCACTTACGCGCGGTTCTCTGAGGGACCCGTGGGTAGGGTGAAGGAGTGAAGAAACTTGGTGGTTCCCAGTCGTCCGGTTCCTGAGCTTTTAAGCTTTTAGGGTTTGGTGGCAGCTTCCACTTCACCCACTACAAGTTCATAAACGTTTGGCCGGGCATCTGACAACGGACAGCCCGGGGAAGGCACTAGCTTCTACGAACCATCCCCAGGAAACTTATCCAGGAAGTTCGCCCAAACAGGGTGGTCTTTGGTGGTTTTGTTGGGTTAATTTCCTGGATAATTTCCTGGAGATGGTTTTTCAGATGCTGGATGTTCAGGGGGAAACTAAACCCCTTTCTGGTGTGAAACACAAAGTCATGTCAGCGTTGTCCATTTGCGAATTTTAGCAGGGGGCCCTTGGACATCGTTCAAGCGTGGATTAATGTAGCCACCGTTGAAGCGGTTCCCTATTAAAATGTGTGACCAAGTTGGTTGAAACAAGCAGACACTCTGGCCCGCACTCAAGGGACACCGGAAAAGAGCTGTTGAAACAATAGTGGCTCAAGCGGATTTAAGCAATCTGCTGTTCGAGCCACTTGGTAGGCCCCAGCCATTCCCCTAAAGCGGCTTGCACATCCAAGTAGGTTACCCCGTGCACCTGCCCTATCATGTTTTCAGAAGCCTGCTCAGAAAGTGTTCCCCTTCAAACGTGGAAATTTAGACGGCCACTGCAAATGCATGAAAGCAAAGCTTCAAGTCTTCCAAGGTTTTTGCAGGGCAGAATCTGGGAATCTTAGGCCCAAGGTCCCAGTACTTGAGATATGTGTGCCTGCTTTTGCTTGGCCTTCTTTCTTAAAAGACAAAAGCGTGGTCAAACTTCGACATGACGGGCTGTGTTGAAGGCTTGCCCTATGAACCATGCTTAATGACATATTTGTCCTGGGATCTTGTCCAGAGAATGGGTGACGCATGGTGGCTGTCAAAGAAAGGCTTAAGCTGCGGACTCGAAGGAAGCAACATGTTGGCCGACACACACCCGCCCTTCGGCCGTCCACGATCTTCATCTCAAAACCTGCTACTATCTTGGAGTCTCTTTGCATACCCCTGCTGCATTCCCTGAAGATGGTGAGCAAAACGTGAGACGAATCCTAAGCCTTCCCAATTACCCGGTCACACCAAACACGCTTACCCTAAACAGGTGTCATGATTTAGGCGGGGGAAATTGGGGTTTGGACTTGGGCAACCAAAAAGTTGGGGGTAGGCCACTGTGGCCTTAGAGATCACATTCCAAATCGGCCCGCGAATCGCCCTGCCCAAGTCGCCCCCGGCCGAAAGAAGCGGCGGGAGCCATGGCATGACGCCTTGCCGCCGGATTCGCTCGGTTTGGATCGGAGCTGGCGTGGCCTGGCTGAGCGTCTTCCAAGTTTCTAGTGGCCGAGATTGTCCACTGCAAACGTGCCCCAGCCACAAGTTGCCTTTCAACCGGGCACTCCAAACTTTAAAGAAGGCATATAAGCATACCTGGAGATTTCATTGCTGAGGAATTCCTAGGCGTTCTGGTTCTCGAGGCGTTGATTTCTGCGTTTTGCGTTGCTTTACGCTTTTTTTGCCGGCGGTTTCCCCATTTTTGCGGGCGTTTTGCGTTTTTTTTGCGGGCGTTTCCTGTTTCTAGGCGTTTGCGATAACTTGTGGGCGTTTGCGTCCAAAACAGGGTCAATGCCGAGAAATACTAGGAATTCCTTGACGTTTGAATCTCCAGGTAGTAGTCACAAGCGGAAACAAACTTGTATTTTTGGAGCAACTTATTGGGTCAATCTTTTCCACGGCCCTGCTTACCCCATCATGAGGATGGCTTTTTGGGGGGATAAAATGGGTCGAAGTACCTCCTTAGAAGGTACTTGGACCCTTTGGGCTTCATATTTTGAGTGTGTCTTTTTTGTAGGGTACCCCTTGGTTGATTGCTTTTTAAAGCAATCCACCAGGAAGGCGGCTGCTACAGCTTGGTACCTTGAGGCTCCTTTAAATCGGCTGGCGCGCCCCTTGCTGAATGCCATTGCCAGGCAGGTTTCGATCAGGACATGCGAAGGGTTTCGACTCCAGGTTTTGCTATAGGACCTTAGGAACTGTTCACTCTCATGTTTGCAGACGCTTTCTTTTTAGCTGTGCTGGTAATATTATAAAACATATTTTTCCATGGTCATGAGTCGTGACTTGATTCAGCTCTATCGTCTCAAGTTCCCAGTCGACTTTGTTTTGTCCAATGGACAGCACTTAATTTGGTTCTAAGGTACCTCAACCCTCCATTCAACTGAAACTTGCTGGTGCTCAGTGGGGAATGCGGGAATGAACCCAGGGATTCCCTTAAAGGAAACCACCAGTTGGATGCTTTACAAGGGTCGTTCCATTTCTCATTCCCTGCCAATCCAGCAAGGTAATTTCGCCCCCTCTAAGCTTCCAAAAGTGTTTCATTTTCCCCTGTTGGTTGTGAAGGAGATCTATCACTACCGGATATTTTAATTTTTTTTCCAGGGGACGTATTCGCAAAAGGAGGCAAGTGGTACTGTGGATGGACGAAATCCTGCACCACTTAAAAACCATGGGAAACCACTGATTGTTTGTATTTACAGGGGAATCAGACCATTCCAGGGTTTCTTAGGTGGTGCCTAAGAGGATTTTGTCCATCCACATGATCCCAGGTGGGGCTCCTTTGTGCGCCGCGTGCCGTGCTGACGGCCAACGCGAGCGTGCCCAGCGCGCCGGCGGTGAGCCTAGAGGCGGAGTATGGGTCAAGGTGGCCGCGGCTGGCGGCGGCACTGGCCAGGCGCGAGTGGATCGCTTGGGGGGGGGGGTTGGGGGGGGTTTTGGGGGGGGGGTTTGCGGGGGGTTTGGGGGGGGGTGTTTGGGGGGGGTTTGGGGGGTTGGGCGCCCAGAAACTAGGCTATTCGCAGGCAATCCGCAAGATCCTTACCTTCGGTTAGGCAAGCCCTGGGATTCCAAAGGCGGTATTTATTACGGTGAATTATAGAAAGACGGTTTCTTCTGAGAGGATGTGCTTTATGGTTCAAAGCTTGCTGCAAAAGCATAACTGCCAAATTCAGGTAGAGGCGTGGACCTTGCCATTGCCCAATATTAAGTTTGGGTTCGGCTAGGCCACTTAATCTTTTGCACGATTGCATGCAACAAATCATAAATCACGCCTTGGCCTTGGACCAAATTGCTCAACGCCAACATGACAGCATGAGGTGCAGAAGCTAAAAAGTGCGCCCTGCTGCACAGAGTTGGACCCTACACAAAACATGCACATCGGCTGTTTGCTTTGCAGGGGCGTGCATAATTGATGCGCCAACAATCAAAACTACTTTGCCTGAGGCCACCGCCAAAATGTGTAGGAACCAACATCAAAACTATCAACACAGAAGTTATATACTTCTTGTTGTTTGGTGCGTCTACTCGGCATGTGTTTTGTGGGGCCAAAACCACAAACAGTCTTTCATGGCCAAAAACGGTCTTTCACACCCAAAACGGTGTTTCACGGTAGTTTCACGGCAATTTCACGTTAGTTTCACGCTAATTTTCAGGACTGCTCATACTGTAACCCACAAGGTTTTTTCCAATCACGAGTTATTGTCGCAATATGTTCAGAAGGATAGCTTCTGCAGTCGTCAAATGACTTGATTAAGTTCTTTGACTATCCGCTGCAAATTGCTTCGGGCTTTTCCGCTCAATACACTACTGTACAATCGTTGACTTGGTACCTGTTTTGCAATGCAAACTTGGGCATGCTCAGTTACGCGATACCCTTCCAGATATTGGAGTTCAAAGGTCGGTTCAGCTGGGATTCAGCTGTGATTCTGTCACAAATGTGCATCAGCGCAAACAGCACTGATTGCCTATAAACTTGATGTTGTAAAGCAAGCATATGTTTAAACACTGGACTCGCAGCGCTGCCCCAAAACCCTCAATGTCATAGCTAAAGCGACTGTCTTGAGGCCAAATTATTGGCAGGAGGGCTATAAAGTTAATGCTATATTACACAATCGGCTGCTACCGGCAAAACGGTCGTTCCGAATAGACCATTAAAAAAAAAGGTCGAGGATGTGGCCCCTTTTGTAGTGGCTTCCCTAATTGGGATTCTATATGGATTAGGATTGGCCAAGCCTCCATTGAACAGCCCAGCCTTCGGCAAGGTTTCCTTGATTTCCTTGGGGATTTGAACCTTGTTTTCTAAACTGACCCATTGGGCCCACCATTGGGCGGGGTTTTCGAGCAATTTTCCCATGTAAAACCTCCAAGAGTGGCAGCTGTTAGTTTGTCTTACCTCAGTTGCCACCCGCTCAACGGGTTAAGCATCTAAAGCATGGTGCCCTGGACACGTGAGCCGGGGAGGTGTCTCAACAATGGGCAGGTGTTGCTTATGTCCGTCTCTTTGAAGCCTGTTGCCTGTTCTTGAGCAGTTTTGGGGGAGCTTTTTGAACACCACTTGGATTGGATTGGATGATTTGTTGCGTGTTTGGTTTGGTTGGTTCGTTGCTTGGTTGGTTGGTCGGTTGCTCGCTTGCTGGCTGGCTGGCTGGCTTGCTTGCTTGCTTCTTGCTTGATTGGCTCGTTGCTCGGTTGGCTGCAACTTCGCCAGGCCCAAGCGCTACGCAGCCTGGGTGAACCCCTGGGCAACCCAAATGGACGAGACTTTGCTCGAGCCGCTGGGACCGGGCGAAAAGCGGCAAGCGGCGGGAAACGACCGACGGTTCCGAGCCATGTCGCTGGTTGGTTTTCTCCAAAAGCGGCGATCGGTTCAATGGAAACCACCAGTAGGTGGCAACAACTTTGCAAGGGAAAGTCCAGAGAGCCCTCAAGAAGCTCTGGTGAAACTTGCTGGGAAGAACTTGGGAAACGTCTCCAAACTTGATAAGCTAAAGGACATCTTGTGCCCCGTTTGTGTTGTTGAGGGCTGCCCTTTCTCAAACGGCACGCAAGTATTTCTCCCAAATTGGGAAATCAACTTTCTAGGAATTGATTCACCATTCTTTT